ATGTACAGGTCATGTGACATGGTCATGTCAGGTCAAGAGTCAATGGCAATTGCAAGTCAAGCTACTGTCCGCGAAATCCACTGTACCCAAACTTGCGACCACATGCTATGAGCTGGATAGTCCCATGGGTAGTCCCTGTGGAACCAGCTGCCATGGAAGACGTGAGAGAACTTTGCTCTTAGTCAACGTGCGCGGCCAACAGTCAAAAAAAAGATGAACAGCGACAAATCAGTGACAAATTGGTGCGGAGATATATTGACTGAGAATTATTAGAATCAACACATCAACACAAGATGCCATGCAAGCCTGTTGGGCCTGTTGAGCGGAATGGCGTGTCGGGGTCGAAGCAGGATTGCAGTACAACATGATTGCGGTGCCCACACGGCTTCTTCGGCCAAGATAAACAGGTCAGGAGCACTAATCCGGCCAAAGTTCAGCTGAAGTGTTTGGCTGCACGGCCCAGCTTTTGAACCACTGGACATGGCATGGCAACATAGATGCATGGTGACATGGCAACCCCCGACATGTATTCCATGCATGCCATGACATGGCAATACGCGACATGTATTCCATGCGTGCCATGCCATGCCCTAACATGACAAGCCCCAGACATGTATTCCATGCATGTCATGACATGACAAGCCCCCGACATGTATTCCATGCATGCCATGCCATGCCCTAACATGACAAGCCCCCGACATGTATTCCATGCATGCCATGTCATGCCATGACATGGCAAGCCCCCAACATGTATTCCATGCGTGCCATGCCATGTAGCATAACTGGACATGACAAACCATGTAGCCCATGAATGCCATACCATGAGAGACCCTCCAAAGCCCCCCACCTCATGACATACCTTTCCAAACCACCCCCCCACCCAGCATCAAAAAAGTTTTGGCATCATTTTTTGCAGATTTCTTCATATAGCTATTGAACGTGGCCCAGTCGAAATAGTGGTTTTACCATGTTTTACCCATGAAAAATTGCCCTGTTCCATAGTTTTTTGTATGTTTACCAGAGGATATCCTCCACATCTCATCCATTTGGGTTTTATTTGGAACGACTTCACTGCGACCTCCCCTGACTGATGGTGATTCGGTGAATTATCCCCATGTGTCGCCGAATGTTTCAGGCTAGTGAACTCTTAGTAATGAGATGTATCCATTAATTATCATCAATATATACTAATATAAAATAATATATATATATAATATATATATAATATATATAATATATATATATATATTATAATATATTATACTAATATAATACATATAATAGTAATAACAATGAAAATAATAGTAATAATAATAATCATCATCATGATAATAATATATATATATTATGTATCATCCCAATGATATCCATAGAATTTCCCCAGATCCAAAATATCGACAAAACGCGCCACACATGTTTTTTTTCGTTCTTCGGCTCAGAGCATGTTTCGCCTGGCGAATCTCCGGCGATCATGAAGATCCAATAGCCTGGAACTCAGGAGCTGGTGCTTTGGAGCTCACTTTGCGAACTTGAAGATATGGCACATTATTAAATGATATATACAGACTATAAATAAACATGGCACATTGCTATTGAACATGGCACATTGATATACATTTATTTAGTTGATTTACCTAGAACATGGCACATTGAATTGAATGATATACACATTTATTAAGTTGATTTACCTAGAACATGGCACATAATGAAGGATATATACATTTATTAAGTTGATTTACCTAGAACATGGCACATAATGAATGATATATACATTTATTAAGTTGATTTACCTAGAACATGGCACATAATGAATGATATATACATTTATTAAGTTGATTTAGCTAGTAAAGATGATAAAGATGTGGCACATTGAATTTAATGATATACATTTATAAAGTTGATTTACCTAGTAAAGATGATAAAGATGGTGATGTTCCATAGCTATGGTATTGAAACTTCTGGCACATAGAAAATTCGTTGATCTACCGGTTTTTAAGATGAAGATGAAGATTTTTCAGAGCTATGTTAGTTTCATTTCGTTCCTTGATTCACCTTTTTTTTTTAAGATTGCGATTTTTTTCCATGGCAAACTGTTAGTTTACCGGAGGGTAGCTGCTGGTGATTGAAGATATGCCGGTTTCGTTTGAGCGTTTGACCCATATCTGTTGTGACGCCATGGTTGGAAAGTCGTGGAACCGGGTGAACCGGTGGGCTTTCTGAAATATCGGAAGGTGAAGCAAATTGTGAAGTGTCCATTGTTCTGGGTAAATGATAGCGACCTCACCGTTCTCCCTCACTGGAACCGAGCCCTGGAAATCATGGTTAGGATTAGGGAAATCATCCCCTTTTATGGCCGAACTATTCAGGTTAGTGAAATATTATAATTTACCCAGATTGTTGATTTTTATGGGTGTTCCAGGGTTTTCCCATAATTCATAGATTTTCCCACGACATCCCATGACTTTCCTATGATCATGTTTCATTGCAAGAGGGTATCGTTTGGTACCATGGCTAGCTGTGGCGACTCCCAACTTCTTCGGCAACATCTGAGGGTAATCAACAAAATAATATGGATGTTCAAAAACCCATAGGATCCATGGTGCTGTTATATATTATATATGATACTGTAACATGGATCCCATCAATATGCTCCAGTCATGTTAGCATATATACCAGCACCATGGATCCTATGGGAAATGGCCAGGTTAAACTTCTAGGATTGGGGAAGCCGAACGGAGAAATCCAGCTTTGGGGTCGCCAGAAATGGACGCTGCTTTGAAAGCACATGGAATTGATGAGCTTGAGCATTGGTGATTTACGCATAAAATTGTCATATTATCGTTCAATCAAGGTGATTCGTTGCCATTGTCAATACTACTTTGCCAACCTGTTTGCGATGCACTCTGATGGCTATTGAACCGCCGAAACCCTTGGGATGCAACATGAGATAACCTGATATATTAATGTAAGATAATAATGTATATATATATATATGTATATATACATGGTTATATGATATTATATATATATATGTAGCCTGTACTGTAGCGATGAAACATTGGGATTTTACCAGCAGAATTGGGAGTTTTGAGGAACCCCCCATAGGGTAACGATTGTTTGTGCCAGGGGGGAATATTCTGGCTATCTAGGTTTCCAAGTGGCATTTCACCTCTTAGCAGGGTATCTATGTAAAATTAGCCATACCATTCACTTCAGGAAAAGCATGAACATCCTATATATAATTTTATATATATATAAATATATATATATAATGATATATATATATATATCAAACCAAAACATTGTAGTACACCAGAAGGAACGTGCTTGACTCTCTCCACCCATCCCCAATAGCATCCAATAGCCCCTTTTTTCTGGGAAGGTATTCCCCCAAAGCTTTCTATTGGTGGTGCCAAATATCCTTCATGTTCCATCCTTGGATGATAGTCGCAACCGTACACCGGCTTCGTGTGATGCTGAACTTGATTTTTTTCACACTGACTTTGATGCTGTTCTCTATTGTTGATTTGCATATATTCTGGCGTTCACATATTATGAATGATGCATATTCATATGATTTCATATGCATATTACATCATTTTCCCAACTGTTTGTGCATTCCCTACATTATCCCCATCCATCACGTCGCCCACGTCGCAAAAAAAACCAGGCGAATCAACTTCTCGCGCAGCCGTGGGGCTGGTCAACCACCAGCCGCGCCCCACACACCATCCGTGACAGGGGGCTCAGTATGGCCACTGTTTTTGTGGTGGGTCAACAGCTATGGGCCCTCTTGGGTTGAACATTCATAAATCATGATAGCCTCTGGTAGACGTGATGTAAAATCAACTATTTCGACTGGGCCATTTTCTACGTCGCTTTTTGTATGTTTACCAGAGGGTAAATCCCAGGTCTTTTTTGGAGTTGTACCAGAGTGGGCTTTGACATGCTTTGAAGCATGGCCATGGTATAGCTATGGTAACCCTGGAATTTGGACATGATTTTTCCAGCTAGCCATATTTGATTGTGGGGTACGTCTGCTTCTATGCTCTATATGTTACCCACGTATGTATGTATATATTGAGAGAGAGAGAGAGACAGAGAGATAGCAAAATTAGAATAGATTGGATTCGATTAGGTTAGATTAGTTTAGACTAGATTAGATAGATGGATAGATAGATAGATGTGTCTTACTAGATGCGTCTTACTATATCTCTGTCTATATATATATAGAACATATGTATATATATTATAGAATATATATATATATTATAGAATATATATATATATATATATACATAGTTATGTACTACAGATAGATTAGATTAGATCCAATTAAATATATATATATATACATAACCAACATATATAATCTCGACGATTTCCAACGATGGGCCATGGTCTACCCATTTTTGCTCCTGAGGCCAAGCTGCAGCTGAAACTCCCTGCAGTTGGAGGTTTTCTCATTGCGGCAGGGTCATATGTGAATATCTTGAAGCATTCCCCATGATATATAGACAGCCATATATGTTACATGATAGCTACATATTGTATCTATATATATATATACACTGTAGTAATAACGTAATTCAGGTCATATATGTATAATGTTTGATATGTTCAACGGAAGTGTGATCCAAAAGCGAGAAGTATATTTGAGCACGGGGTTGCCCAGGATCTCTGTTTCGTTCTTGATGGTCCAATGTACCCTCTGGTAAACGTTTACATAACTATGGAAAATCACCATGCTATTAATGGGTAAATGAACTATTTCTATGGCCATTTTCAATAGCTTTTTGTATGTTTACCAGAGGGTAAATCCCAGTTCATAATTACAAGGCCTTAATTTCAGGGAATATCCCCACAAAATATGGTCTTATATGGTACAGTAGCTCCATTTTAGGATCCTGAAGATCTCCCATTGATTGATGGTTCAATGTATCTAAAGGCGTACCCAACCATTCCATATATGGCTCCTGGTTGGATCTGACGCGAAGGCGATGAGTTCGGATGACTTTCCTACTCCGGGCTGGGAGGACGGCAGGGACCACGGCTCTTTGGCTGGGCACACCATAATTTAGAATATCTCTAAAACTTAGGTATATGGTACAATACATATTTACATATATGATTATATATATATATCATTATTATTATTATTTTTTTATTTTTTTATTTTTTATGATTATTATTTTTATGATTATTATTATTACTATTATTATTTATTATTATTATTATCATCATACATATGCATAAATACTTATTTAGTATTATACATTTATAATATTTTTCTCTATTTATATCATTATATATATTTCATGATATATATATATAATGAATTATATATATTATAATATATATATATATAATAATTGTTAATATAATACATATATATATAATTATATATGTTTTTAATGTAAATATAATATGTATATATATATATATACATACCATGTTCATCCATTTTCGTAGTCCCCCCAAAGCTTTCCCAGGTAATTCGCCTGGTTTCTCCATTTTCGTTGCCGGTCCTGTTTTGAGGAGCGGTTTCCCGAGCCCCTGAAATTTTTGCCGGTGGCCTTCATCGTGGCAATGATCGTTGGCCGCTGGGTTGTATGATGATAATGACAATTAATTCCTGTACATGAAACATGTAAAATAACGTAGTATATATATATATATAGTCTTAATATCCATACTTATATATACACGTGATTGTTTTCATGTATTGTGTATATAATTGTTTTGTTTTTTTTTAACGTGGTGTATCCATATATATATATATAATCCAGAATCCAGAATGATTACACACTATGAAATACCCACAAAAACTGGTCATTTTTTGCGATCACAATGTGGCGATCTGAGGCCTCTACTCGATATATGTGACCTTCCATTTGAAGCCGCGGATGGAGGACTGGGACATCACCAACCTTGGATGGGTTAAATCCGCAGTAGTTTTTTGCTATGGAACATGACCATGATACCATGGTTAACATCATGTTCGAATTATAAGTATGTGTATATATATATACCTGGCAAACCGAAAGTATGCAGAATTTTAGTCATTTCGGGAAAAACCATGTTTTTCCAAATAATGACTTTTTTTGGTTATACCCACCAAAAGATTACCTTTTTTGATATATAGCTATTTTGGGATGATCTGCATACTTTCTGTTGACCAGGCTGGTTTATTATGGTTCATTATTGGTAACATCCATCCATCTTGGGTCCAATGCCTTGATGTGAGCCTTCGGGCTCAATGTGGCTCAGCAGAGCCAAGCCCCATTGGGGGACCATGCGTTGAGAAGGTGCCACCCTCCCTTTGCATCTTGTTGATGCTGTTTCTTAGCAACTTCAAGTTGATATGGGTCAAAGCCAATAAAAACACGATCTATATCTACTTTGGGTTGCTCTATATTTGACCCATATCAATAGAAATCTTGCTGTGACCTGGGTAGCGTTTTGGTTCATCTCAAGGGGATCCTAATAGCTAACCGCTTAGAACCATGGCCGACCTCATTGTCCAATGTTCCTTCGATGCCATCGAGACCATTCAGAAAGAAGGCTGGAAAGCAAGTCTATAATCTGGGTTTATAGGATAGATCAGCTCAAGTGCTTTTGGATGAAGATACATGGAATGCATTCGGAACTCTCAACTTATCACATTTGAAAGAAGGCATGTTTGATTTAAACATTGGTATTCCTGGCTCATCTCACACCACACCCCCGGAGCCGCAAGGCCTTGGAGATGTACACAACTTTTTCTGGGACTTGTGCAAGGAAGCGTTGTTCTCGCCAAGTGATGAAACTTATCAGCAACCCATGGTTGCGCTACACAGCCCTACAACACAGCCCAGCAAGTTAATTAACATGGGTCAGTGGTCTACCTTTCCCCTTCTCCATTCTCAGGACGCACCTAGCCCGGATGAATTCCTCCACTTGGTTGTCACCAACATCCACGCTGGCGGTATTTGCCATGATCTTTTCAACAAGGACGGATGTGTAGGTTCCATGCCATGATTTTATGTTGATATATGATATATGGCTTAAGATATCTGACATGTCTCATAAAGTTAAACATGGAACGTGTATAGCATCAAGTCCGGTTGCTTGGCATTGCCCTGAGAATTTCATCTCACTCTCACCATTCCTGGCCTTGCGCCAGGAGAAGCAACGGGCCTCCCAGAAAGAGGCAAAGCGTCGGGATGATGCCCACCAGGAGATTCAGGAGAAGAGTTTTGTCAAGCAATGGTGTAACCCAAAGGTTTTGTAGAAATACCATCTTTTTTCACTTGCAATCAACACCAAATAAATCCACATAATCTTATTGTTCAGATCGGTCCCAATGATTATCATCATTTTTTATGATTGATGATATGGTGGTTTGATTTCCTCATCGCAATCATTTGAAATAACTTTCAATTACACAGTCATACCACCAAATTTGAATCCTTTGACTTTGGGGTTCTCAAGGAAAACCGACATGGTAGACAAGTGATCCAAACAGTGGAGCTGCTGGGAAATTATTTGTTTTCCGACTTCAGGGGGTTGTACCAAACTCCCCCTGTACTTTCATTTTTGAATAGCGGCGATGTGGGGTGCCTAGCAGCTACATGCCTTGATGTGTGCATCTTGGCTGAGAATCAGCTGCACCCCCAACTTCTTTTGAGAGAATCAGATTTGGACATAGCTGCTTACTATCGGCTTTGGGGTCACAGGTACTAGAAATCATTAGAAATCACAAATGTCGATATGAGGTGAAAAAAGATGTCCTAAAGCTTGTCTTGACTGCCATCAACCATCCCAAGCATGAATGAACAACAATTGCAAGTTGAATCATTTTTTGTGGTGTGCCCCTTGCGCAGGTCATGCCATGCTGAGCGGACTTGACTTTGCGAAAGGCTTGGATCGCAAGGGTTTGTTTCCTGTTGAACCATGGTGAAACAAGAGGCAATAATGTAATGATAAAAAACAAGACTGGAGAAACAAGCAAAAGTATATACCCTTTAGACAATTGAAGAATTGATTTCAAAGATAGTATACTGTATATATTATATAATTTGGTAACCCTTATGCAGTATGTAGGTCGGTCCAATCACCCTCCATCTCTCCAGGCTGCTGCTGCTTGCTGTTACGTGCTGGATGTAGCCACTTTCCAGGCCCATTGCCAGCTGGCTTAGGGGTGGATCTTGTTGGTTCTCCATCAATAAGGTGGTTTTCCTCAATCATTTATATATATATATATTATATGTTAATATAATATATTATATTTTAATATATAATATAAATACATATATATTATTTCAAAATGAGTGATGAAAACCAGCTTATTGATGGAAGAAAAAAAATAAGCCGATGGAAAACTGAGACAACTAACCAATATTTATGTTATGAGAACTTGCATGAATTCACACAAGGGGTTTCCATCGCATATGTTGGCTGCCAAGTTTGAAGTTGCCCCCCATTGATTTGGAATTAACCGAACTATGATCATATATTGGAGGGTTGGTATGAAATGATTTATGTTTGAACTATATATGTTTGGGGTCTACCATCCATCAAGTCGCAATCCTGGAACCGCAGGAATTTGAGAGGGTTCAAACTTGCTGTTGCCCCAGGCTAGGCTTTCAGCATGGCACACCCACCACAGCCTGATGCGCCTGAGAATCATATGGATGATTTCGAGGATGAAGATGAAGCCAGCAACAAGCCATGGCCACCTAGGCATGCGTTGGCGGCACTTTGGGAAGAGGATGTGGTCATTAGGAAAACCCTGAGGGACAATGGCAAAATGTTGACATGGCCCAAGAAGGCGTTAACCGGAATTGCTACTCTCTCCGCTTTGTCCCAGAACCGAGCTGCCATCAATGATGCTCTCACAATTTGGGCTAGCCACGAAACCACCCCCAAGAGCCCACCCGTTGAATGGCTGAAGGATGAGGTGTGTGATGTCCAAACTTTGTTTTCTATATCGGATGGTTTTGTTATTGGAAGATTTCTTGAACAAATCATTTCTGTTGTATCCAATTTGTTTGGAAACATATGGAAAAAATCACAAACCAAAACCGACATAGTAGCAAAAACACAGGTGAAGCAGCTCTACGTCCTGGTGAATGTCGAGGTCAAACCTGTCAACCTCTACCTTGATGCTTGGGGGGTCAAACGGATGATTTCCCTGTGCTTGAGGCGGTGGAGGTCCCCCATCAATAACTTCAGGGACTCTTGGATCAACATCAAGGTTTTCCCCTACGACCCACAAGTTTTAGTGTGTTTTTTTCAGGGTTCAGACAGTTCAGACATGAAAACAAGTTATGATAATGGTTTACCATGAATGATCTCCAAGTCGAAAACCATATGCTTGGATTCAGGATCCTCTTCTCCATGGATTGATGGACACCATGACTGACCATTGGGGAGGGACACCACCGCCGGCCCAGCCAGCCATCGATGACGAGCAACGAGCAGCAGCTGATGATTCAGAACCAGGCGCTTCTGATCCTGGGGAGTGTGAGGAGGATCCCATGGCCATGGCCATGTTACAGGCATCCCGAGCTTGTTTGGAGGCACAAAGGGAGGCAGTCCTGATTCTTGGCATCATAAACCCAAGCTTTACACAAGAAATGATTATTTCAAATTTTAGGGTGAACACATATCTCATTATGGTCGAAATTTATTGTAAAGGTTAACATCGCCTCAGGGTCTTAAAGTGATATTAACTTGCCCTAATGTACAATGATCTAAGGAGGCGGTTGCAAGCCATCCGTGATCTGAAGAACAAGCCCAAAAGAGAAGACCGATGCCCATCAGTACCTTCAGGCTTGTTCTTTTCCAAAAAATGTTTTCTGTGGTTTCAAAAGGTATGGATGAATGATTCACTGAAAACAAAGACACACATCTATACCCTGTAGGTGTGAATGTTGATGCTATGGAGACCCTGCCCTTTGACATGGGTGGTGGTGACTCTTATGGTTCCATGTTGGAGACTAGCTCGGAGGTTGGTGCCCCTGATTCACCAACCCATGGAGTCGAAGCCCTTGCTGATCCCAACCATGATGGAACTCATGCTGTTGGGGTTGATACTGTTCCTTCACCCAACCATGGAGATGATGACATCTTGAAGAAGAGAACTCTGGAACTTGGTGAGACGTCTGATGGTGAGCAGCCTCTCACCAATCCTGAGGACCAGCCTGCCCTCCCAGGCCAACCGGTCTCTCCTCCATCGGCTTCAGTGCCTGCAGCCAGCGCAGCAGAGAATGTGGAGCGACAGGTGGAGAATGGAGATGATGGGGTTGGGGTCGTGGCACCACTGGATGCAATGGTTTCACATGATGGTGATGTCAGTTTCAATCCGGACAAGCACCAGGACATACAGTAACCTGAGTGAGCAAAACATGTTCAAGTTTATTAGTGTATACATTCTGAATTCTCAATTATGGGGTCCATTCAAGGTTTAAACAACACTGGTTTATCAAGTTGGCATGACACTGCCCACCAGGAGCCACTTTCTCGTATCCAACAGTTTGGCGGTGTACCGGAAGCTGATGGCGATCTTGACACCACCAAGCCAAAAGGAAAGACCTCAAAGGCAAAAGCTAAGTCGAAGGCAAAGGCAAAGGCGAAGGGTAAGAGCCGAAGTAGCAAACCTTCACCTAAAGCAAAAGCAAAAGCGAAGGCAAAGGCAAAGGCATTTGCTAAGTCAAAGGCGAAGAAAGAAAAGGTGGAAGAGAGCGAGGTCCTTGTCACACCCAAGCGAGCACCCCCAAAAGGTGATGCACAAGAAGGCGGTAGCAGGTCGAAGCAATCTAAGAAACGAACCTCAGAGGGAGGAACCACCAGCAAGAAGGATGCAAAGGAAGCACCTACCAAAACCCGAGCCTCCAAGGGCAATGCAGCGTCCTTCGCTCGCCGCAATCCACCTGCGAATGAGCGGGCCAAGGCTGAGTGGGAGGCCATTCGCAGTGCTTATCGCCGAGAGTTGATGTATCTTCGCCCCCAAACCAAACATGAGGACAGGGTTCGAAACAAAGATCTTTGATTTGCATTCCATGGGCTTCCAGACTCTGATGTTCAGGTATCCCAAAAACATATGGTATTAAGTTTAAGATAATGACATAGAAACCCTGAAATCTCAGTGACTTTTTTGTTGTTTTTTTCGTGGTTTCCCAAGATCACAAAAGGGCACCTCTAATCAAAACATAACCAGCAAATAATTGTCGATGCTTAGAACCTGTGGTGTAAGATACATTCTTTCCACAACTGTTAGAGCCCTAGCTTGTACCAGGATGGCTTTTGGAAGTTTGTCAAGAACCAGAACCATGAAGTCGTCGATGGAACGGCTACGGATGCGCTGGGTGATGTGATCATGGGTCTGACTGAGGAGTATGCCAACCTTGCCAAGTGAAGTGAGAAACAATGAGAAACATGTTAATTTGAACTTTGAATAGCTCTCAAATTTGTTTGATGGGCCGCATCTGCATTCTTAAATGCAGTCGGCATTCTTTTCGGGGAAACATGGGAAGTGAAATCTTCCTTTGACGTTCTGCAGGGGCGATCCTTGCAACATGGGCCACAAACCAGTGTGGCAAAATCCACTTTGGCATCCAGCTTACCGGGGAAGGAAAAGGTTCTGCAAAAGCATGTTTGCATCTTATTGGGAAAGTCAAATTTCATTGCAATCTTGATTCCAGTTTTGAAATGCACAGAGCCTCGTGTTTTCAAAACCCAGCGCCAACAAGTTTCCAAGATTTTTTTTTATGGACAATATACTTGATGCAGGTAGATTCACCATCCTATCTTGGTTTGATATATACAAATATTTAAGAACTTGGCTTTGGACCAGGATTGGAAATTCTTTTGATTGCAAAATCATGAGGTGGATATAGGTGGATAGATCATAATTGGAAACTTGTGGGCCACTCCAATTCCATGTATGTATACCACATCCACCGGTTGCAGGTGATGAAACGAGGGCAAGGTTGGCTGGCCTCCCATGGTGGCCTTGATGAAGACCGTCTTCCCAACCTGTTTGGCAGCCATGAACGGTCAGTGATGAATCCATTTGCCAATCGACTTGTTCATTCAGTACATATCCTGCAGCTAGTGATCAAAAGGGTCTGACTTAGTATTTTCTTTGGGTGCCATGCTTCAGCGCCATGAAGAACTGATTCGTAAGCTGATGTCGGTACCACATGTTCCAAAGGACTGCCCTGCTTGGGGAAAATGGTGTTGGATTTCCATGGTTCCCATATACTTTTAATTTACAACTAGTCAAATTTATGTACAATGATGAACTTTGGTCACCAAGGTGTTTTACACATGGAGTCCACATAAATCAAAGTGTTCCCATGTCAAACAATAGCAACAAATCCAGGAGTTCATCGCTATCGTGATCATGGTCACCTACATGGTTCCAGAACGGGTGTCAAAGATTGCTGGGTGCCAGTTCTTAGAGCTCTTTTCAGGCCAAGCTCGAACTTCTAGGCTTGCTAGCTGGACAGGTTACAAAGCCAAAGCTGTTGATTATGTTTATTCTCCAGCGCTGGACTTCCTCAAGAGTTCGGGCTTTGTGTTCCTTGACCCTTATATACCACCAGGAGTTTATGTTCTATATAACCTTATGACAAACCATATATATATAATTATATATATAATTAAATCATTTTATGGTTTTGTAGCCCCTTCATTTGTTGTGGCCATTTAGGCTTATCCAAGGTCAGGTGGTATCATAATATCATCTCATCAGTGGGATGTGTTCGTTCACCTAAGGCTGGCAGTGGCCTTGATACTCTTCGGGGACCCTGACATGGTAGCCCTGGTAGCTACTGAATGCAGCAGTTTTGTTCACATGAATTCTGGAACATCAAAACGCAGCCAGTGGATGCCAGATGGGGACCCAACGGTTTGCTCAGTGCTACGTGCCAATGGCTTGGCAGCAAGAACTTGCTGCCTGCTACTGTTGATCAATTTACTCCAAATGACATTTCTGCTGGAACAGCCAGGTTCTTCTGTTTTGATGTTGACATGTCGAATGGAATGGCTGATAAAGACCATGAAAGACTTTGGAATTACAACTTACCGTCAAGCCTTTTGGATGGCTTGCTGGGGCCACCAGAATCCAAAGAGGACAGTCCTATGGTCAAACAATCCAGCTGTTGTTGTTTTCACCACGCCCAAAATAGCCCGAACTCCAATCAAAGGGCCACCAACTGTGAACCGCTATGTCTCAAAGCGTAGTGGCAAATCTGGTTACAGTGGGTCACGGTACCTGAAGAAAACAGAGCATCTTGATTTGAATTTATTGATTGTTTTTTCACTGATCAAAATAGATGTGTGAACCCTCTATGCCCCTAACCTCTGACCTCGAATGTTCATTTGAGGCATTACCCGAAGAAGTTCGCAGCAAAGGTTGTGGAAACAATTCCAGCTTTTGTGCATTTAGCACGAGAGATCAAACAAGTCCCACAGGCCCATGTGAGTTCATGTTATAGTTGTAAAGCTTTCAACAGCATGCTTCCTCCACCATCCTGCTTTCCAGCCTCTGCCAACTGGAGGTGGCTGGCCCTTTGCATCACATCTTTGACGAGATTCCTTGGCAAAAAGAAGAGCCGTGGCCCGAAGCCAAGTTGACTGAGTGTATGATCTACCTGAGTCGAAGTAAAATGGTGCAATGTCCACCAGAGTTCAACAAAGTCATTCCCAAAGGAGACTATGATGTTGGACTCGTTCGCTCTGGATGGATGTTACCAATTAATTATTAAAGCCATGCTGCCCACCATGGGTATACATTTGGTACACTAGTGCTACTGTCAGCGCTGTCCAGGGGGAAAATGCTGCAAATTGCATCGTTCAGCGTTTTTTTGCACTTTCAGCTAAAAAATCATTCCAAAACAATGGCGGAAATTCCCGGAAAAATGCCGGAAATTCCCGGAACAATAGCGGAAATTCCCGGAGACCAATTGCTCAGAATTCTTTGATTTTCTTTGGCTTTTTTTTTGGCCAAGAACGCCCAAACACAAAAAATATCATAGGTGGCTCAAGAAAATGCAGGGTAGCTTTCTTTCAAGCAGCTCCACATTGGGGGAAGCTCTTAATCTCATGTCCGAGCCAATTGATGATGTCGTGGGGGCACACTTTGACTTAGACGAGGAGGAAAAGCAGTTGAAAACCCAACTGGAGGCCAATGGTTCTGGACAGATACAAACACTGATTCGAAACATGGTTTTCACCAGGTCTATATACCCATCTTGGATTTTTACTCACGTGATCATCACCCCTCATCACCACAATGTCTTCAAACCTGTTATGGGTATATTAACGATATTATATCAGATTTTATAAGTGGATCACCTTAACCATGTTTTGCGCTCAACCTGCAGGCCCTGAACCACCAGATCAAGGAAGCGGCAACGCTGAAATCGAAGGCAGTGGCGGCATCTGCACCTCGGACCGAGGCAGCGACTGGGTGGGTGTTGCTCAGTCTTCCAAAAACCCGACTTCAAGAACACTTATAAGCTCCATGCAATCATCACTTGAAGGATGATTCGAAATTAGTTTTGCACATTTAACAACTGGACCTTGGGACATCCCTATATATAGATGGTGCAAGGGTCAATGATGCCTTTTGGAAAGTGTTTGCTTTTTGTAATATAATATATATACACCTGATGTGCAAGCCTCTGCAGGTACATGCTGAGACCACTCCAAAGCGTTGGTGCCCCCAGAGTGATGCTCACACCTGTATTGCCAAGTTTAGATACAGAATGTATTTCATACAGGTTGTATACTATTATACTTTGCCAATGATTAACCAACTTTTCTTTTAATGATCATATATATAACAAGTTTGCATCCATGGTCCTAGGTGATGTCGTCGTTGAGGAGTTCCCAGATAGCCTATACTCACCAAGTGTTGGCGGCTGCGCACCAGATGCTGATCTGGACCCAGATGACTCAGATGTTATCATAGAGGATGATGTGGAAGCAACACAAGTGGATACCCCAAAGCCTTCACTTGAAGCACCAGTAGGTGAAGTTGCCACCTCCACCCCTCCAGTGGTTGCCAAGCAGCCGGCGTTCAATCCAGCTTTGATGCCCCCTCCACCTGACCTCAGCCACGGCGCCAAAGACAGGCGAATTCGCAGAGCGTTGGAGCCCAATGCCCGGGGTGAATACAAGGTGTCTGAGGAAATCAGAAAGTTATGGGAAGAGGGTAAGAAAGACACTGTCTTCAGGTTGTTCGCTGAATGTGGTAACAACACTGATGTGTTTGTGAAGACCTACTCTGTCAAGAAGGATCATGAACGAGAAATGGAAGTGGGTGTCTACTTCACCTTCAAAACCGAAGAAGAGTTGGAAGACAGACCTGAGAGCCTTTTTTGCATCTCCCCAAGTATCTCACTTCATTGCTGCTGGTGTATGCTGGTCTCATCCCATTGATTGTGCAGATCTAACTTATATCAATTATATGTTTTACTATTTACATTTAAGACAAATGTTTTTTATGTGTATTATATACATGATGTATCATGTATTGTACATAGTTTTTCCCTTCGCCAGCCAAGGAAGGAGCGAAAGAACATCATCGCCCGGGCCAAAGCCAACCCCAAGAAAATGATGAGGTAGCGTAACATGTTTTCGGCTGTAGTTGCGATGTCAAAGAATGATGATATATACTTTGGGGTTGCTAGGTGGAATGCCCAAAAAGACGATTGGACTTACTATGTGGAGACTGAAGTCAGTGGTCACAGCAAGTGCCTAGGTCGCATCATCATTAGGACACTTAGCCAAAAAGATTTTCAAACAAAGCATGTGTTTCACAATTTATTAAACAGTGTTCGGATGAAGTAATCAGCAGCTTCAGTTTCTCTAAGGGACAGGGTGAAGGCGTCTTTCTCTGAAAGCCAGAGCTGGGAGACTGAAGAGACTGGGGTGAACATCAACATTGATTTGGATGCACCTTTGGAAGGCCACTGGCTTAGTCGGGCCAGCTCCAGGTTAAATATATATGGCTTAGATTGTCCATGGTGCCCCAACAAACAAATCAAGCGCATGGGGTTGGATTGTCGAAACAAAAATGCTATAGGGTATGTCGATTGGATTGGCATAAACCTCTTGAACGGAAAGGCTGGAAAACACCAACGATTACATGTACAAAAACATACTTGGGTTTTGGGTCTGTTTTTTTGGAATTCCATGCCTTCTGGGTTGATGGTGGGATTGCTCATCCTTTGCTTTGATCTTCGCTGGTAAATTTATATGGGGCCCAAAAACCAGATAGCTTTCCTGGTGGATTATGGGATCCAAACTTTCCATTGAATAACCACTTATATGATGATGAAACTGCACCATTTTGAAAAAACAATCATCAAGTATACTTGATGATTTTTTCAAAATGGTGCAGATATTTAAGGGATGCCAAATGATGAATGATCAAGCACCATGAAACATTGCAATTGTATATATATATAATATATTCATATCTCAGTATCACCAATATATTTCCCCAATTCCATTTCAGAAAGTAGCAGCCCTGATGAACGACCATGGGGACTTAAAAGCCAAAACCATCGCTGGGTAAAACCACCAATAGTTCATCCAGCATTATGGTCAGTGTTATATTCTGGATCATTCTTGATGAACATGCAGCACATGCAATAATCATTGAAAAATACTTAAAAATATGGATGATCATGGGACCACTAATATATATATATATCAAACAGCTGTTGATGCATCACCCAAAACCATAACAGAGATCAGAAACCCATTCACCACACTTGTGTGATATGCGCAACCCTGATGGGCACCTGTCCCAAACATCCCCGTGGTCTTGCTAACCCAATGAGCCATTCACTGATCCTGAAACATGTTTATATGTAGCATGCTAACGATCAAACTATGTGTTCAATTATCTTCTATACAACCAATCACCACGAGATGAGATAACAAAGCGTTACAATCCAGCTATCAGTACACTTGTTGAATTTATGCCTAATGGATTGAAGTAAACCAATCTTTGTCCCCCAAAGGTATGTTTATACAGTATGATACATTTATATAATTATGATTACACCCTTCGATTAGCAAACTGAAATTAACATCACCATTTTTTACCATCTACAGTAAATTTCATTATTCACATCCAACTGGAAACCAACAAGTATGATGTACACCAAATCCATCATTATTTTTTGTTTGGGATTAACAATCCATTTTGACACATGACAATCTGTGAAATATTTTAATGTGTTTGGTTTCGTTATTGATCCCAAGCCCCAGCACCAATCATCTATATCCTCTTTCTGCCGAGCCGCTCAGGAACTGCAAGCTCTGCCCCAGATGGTGCGGTGCCTGCCGGTGGGTTGCCATCATCAGTCGTGGAAACGGTGAAGCTGTTGAAAAGACTTGGTTACCCCGACTCCCAAGAGATTCACCAATCAAGTGCCCTTCTCAACAAGGTGGCAACAGCAGTCACTAAACGCATGGGCCAACTGGAGTTGATCAAAGTCAGTTTGTCAAAACCAGACATGGCAGCATCGCAGCTGACGACAAAGAATCTCATTTGACATTAGTAAATGAATTTAATTTGTTCTTCCCCCATGGTAGTTTCAGCTCTACATGTTAACCACAGAGTCATGCTGCCTAGTTGGTTTGATCCCAGGATCTTGGAGAAGGTTAACAACCTCTACAAATCTTTGGAAGGTCTTGGTGACAAACTTTCTGAAGAATACCAAGCCGGAATCGTTGATGGTTGGTCGACTGAGTTGGGGTCTTGGAAAGCTTTACTCATGTTTGATCATACTTACCAACTGTTTAGCTTGTGAAAACCATGAGCTGGATCAAGCTGCAAACATTATCAGGAAAGAAGCAGAGTTGAAGATCTTGGTGGAGAAAGCCAAGAGCGCGTTTGGGCCTTGGGGTTTCTTCACAACAGAATTTCAGCTATTTGGTGCTATGTTCTAAGGATCTTGGAAGCATTCCAGCTGGAACAGCGAGCAAGGACTGGTCTCATGATCATCATATTATAATATTTTTGATGGTTGCATATATTCTAAATAAATATACCTATCTTGTAATCTTGTCATCATGTTTGCGAATCAACCCATGATAGAAAAACAAAGATCAGTTAAAACATTGTTTGATCATGACACCTGCAGGACTGTCATTCCGAAAGATACCCCAAAGGCAAAGTCCGGGGCATCGACAGCACCCAAAAGGGCTGCAAAGGCCAAACCCGTGGCCAAGGCGAAGGCTGTTAGTGAGCCACCACCGACGCCCAAAAGAGGTGCTGCCCCGAAGGCACCTGCTCCAAAGCGACAGCGAAAGTCTTGAAAATCTTGATGAGCTGCAATGTAGCCTCAGATGCGAGAGCTTATGGCGGGGAGCCATTTTTGGATTCAGCATCTGCCAGCGAATGGAAAATTGGGTAATGCATCGTTGCGATTAGTTGCCCATGTGAGACTGTTGCTTGGGTGCTATAGTAAGCATTTCCTCAACCCTGGATTATTACCACATTGATTATAAAGATAAATATATGGATTCCAAAATGGTAATATAAATATATATTACCATTTTGTAATCCATATATTTATCTTTATAGCTGGGGTCGGTGTTAATCTTAAGGTTGGTGATGCGATCATGCTCAGTGGTTTGATGATGCGATATAATATTCCCATGATATTCCCTTTTATCCATTCTTATAGTTTTCAGAACAATGCTATGCCAAGATATTGCCAATCCACTATATGTCTTGCCACTTCCTTCTGCCAGGCGATGATATGGACAAAATGGCAACGCTGGAACTTTTGGCAGATCAAGTGGCTGATGGTGCCAGGGGCCAAGTGCAGTATACCATATACCAATCCAACTTCATGGCAGTGTGTTATCAAAACCAACATGGTTATTATATATATTATAATATAAATATCTCTCTCCCCATCCTCCCAGGCCCCAGCTTGCCGGCTTGGTTCTCTGGCTCGTGCTGCAGTCAAAGATGGTGCGACTGCCCAGAGCCTGCATGATGCTAGCAAAGTCCACGTATCACATGGAGAGCGGGATGCCCACAGGGTTCTGAACAAGTATTGGTTGTCCCTCAAAGTTCCCATCAAGCACATCTTGGTTGGTCCAGTTGAAGGGGGCCAGAGCATAGACATTCCCTACTACAAGGTCGGTGGGTAGCGGTTGTAATCGTTGGATCCTTTTGAAATTGAGTTCACATGTCTTTTGTATGTATCAACATCGGATCTTTGATTGTTTATCAACCAATATTATGCAATTATATCACATCAATCATGCATGAACCATTTTCCTTTGGGGTTTCCAGACTAATCCTAAATTGGGTGTTTGTACCCTGCAGGTGGGTGACATGGCCACACACCTTCTGCAGAAGAACCCAGCAGTGATATTTGGTGGTGTTGATCTTCGGGCTGGTGAAGCCAAATGCATGGAGTTTTGGAAGAAATTCAAATTGTACCAACCGTCCCATGCAGTGTTCAAACACCATTCTGAACATTTGCACACCACAATCCCTATATGCGTCCATGGTGACAAAGGACGAAGCTTGAAAAAATCTCCAATAGCTTGCTACTCCTGGGAGTCTGTTTGGGGCTTACCTGATGACCTTCGTTACACTCCTGATGAGATGTTGGTTAAAAAACGTGCAGATCAAAAACATGATACAGGGCGACTTGGCCAGTCCTGCTGTGAGCGTCCTGCCTGGAGCGAAGGGGAGGAAGCATCCAGCAGGTGTACCATCAAAAGGAGACGCCTCGGCCGGCATGCTGAGGAGAAAACCCAAACTCACAACAACTTGGGACCCTTGGGTGATTATCATATCAAACCTGTCTTTGTGTTGGTTCCATACCCAGACCATCAAACAACCAACATTGAGTATATCATCATGACTGGCTTATCATCACATCGACATATGAGGTTCAAAAGCCACCAAAAAATAGTGTTGATGTTTGGATGATTTTTGATACCAAGGATCAAAGGCATTTGTCGTTAACCAACCAAATAAAATCATTTTGTTGATGTGAGGTTTGGGATTGTGAATTAAGCCATCAAATAAAGAACGTGGTTCATTTTTCTGATTTCCCATATACAAGCTTATCATGCATCATTTGAACCTAGGACATTCCTTCTTGACCAAATTCCTCTTCACATGTGTTCCATGGTCGGTTTATCACATCGACAGCTCTGCTATCCTTCAAGCTGTTCTTACAGAGATGGCGAAAGATCTCCAATCTTTGTTCTGGGATGGAGTGGTGGTTGATTCCACTACATACCACTTCGCTCTGATTGGAGTCAAGGGAGATTGCGAGTTTCATGTTGAAACTGGTGAATTCCTACGATCTTTCATGACAGTGGGAACCACAAACAATCTATACATGTGCCCAGAATGCGAAGCAGATGACAACTTTGGGGATGTTAGTGATAACCCAGCTTGGCTACCAACGGTGCCTTGAACCATTTTGGCTTATGTTGTGTCAACCTTTTTGGTAGAATAGAATACTCATTATTTTTTTGATCGGGTATATATGATGATAACAGATTTGTACACCAAGCTTGTATATTGATCTAAATATAAAGATTCATCGTTAACTTAGACCTGGAAGCTCCCTCTGCACATGAGGTTGGATCTTCGGTCCCATGGAACCCGGCTACTACGCCGCCTTTGTCGACGGTGCCATTCAGCAATGACAATGAGTATCCAGCTTTTCTCTACAAGAGGGATATGTTCCATACGATCAAGCATGGTGTTGGTCGGGAAGCATGTGCATCTATATTGCTGATGTTGGCATACCGAACATATTTCGATGATGATGGTGATTCCCGGAATTTGCCAGACAGACTCAGCCGGGCTTTCCAAATGTTTAAGCTATGGTGCTTATCCGAACACAAAGTGTCATCCTTGAAAAATTTCACCCGTGCAAACTTGCACTTTACCAAAGCAGCGGCTTTTCCATTTCTTGGTGGAAAGGGAGCTGATGTGACCCTGGTGTTGATGTTCTTGGACTTTTTTTTGCAACTGGCCCAGCGCAACCCACGTGATGACCATGACAAATATGTTTTGTCGGCAATGCATAAACTTGTCCAAGGCACTTTGAATTTCCTTGGCGTGATGCATAGTCACGACCTGTGGCTGCCGCATGGGTGTGCAGGCTACATGATGAAACAAGGCTTGTGTGCTTTAAGAGCATATTCATTTTGTGGTCGGGTTGCTTTGGAACAGGACCGCAAACGTTTGTTCTGCATGCGACCCAAATTTCACTATTGGGCCCATACAATTTTCGAGATGAAGGGGTCCTATGAGAGTTCACACCCTCAAACTTTGAGTCCTGCAATATTCAATTGCGAAATGAACGAGGACTTTATAGGGAAGGTCTCGCGCATCAGTCGCCATGTAAGTCCTAGACTTACCATTCTCAGAACCCTCCAAAGGTATGGAGTTGCATTTCAAGCGAGGCTGCGCAGGATGAATGCCCAAAAAAGGAAGAGATAAAGATAAACCAAAAACAAGTTCCAATCAAATTCCTTAAGTTTGGGGAATCACTGGCATCATTCATTATGTTGCTTTGTTTATCCTTCCTGGGGCCTTCTCCGATGTCTGAGTGCCAGGCAATCCCAGGCATTCATCAAATCGAGCAGCTTAGGATTTGCTTGAAAGAAGCGAGCGGGCAGAAAGGATGTGTGCACCCAACAATTCCTTTTTTTACTTCCGATGCCTTTTTTTCTTTGAGATGACTTTTTTTGAGTTGATTTCAGCCCATGCCTAAAATTTTGCAGGGTTGGGTTTTCAAGGTATACATGGCTATATTTCCATACTTATATATACACTTATATACTCCAGTTGCCATTTTGGACTAATGATCCATGTTTTTGTGAAAGACACGCCCACCGTTGTTTCTTTTAGCTTGTAGCTGAACAGCGAAATGATTTGCCTTCAAGTATCATAGTTGTTTCAGTAATGGTAAACCATCTCCAAATTTTCCATAAATGGGTTTGATTGAAACCATCAAAATGGGTTTTAATTATTGCTTTACATATTGTTTGAGAATGTTCGCTTTTGCAGTGAAACAGCTATCGATTTTCAGCCTTAAGAATCTTCTTTACCACATATGTCCAGGTGTTTTACTTTTCGATCTATGACTGCGGATTGCTATAACAATCTATAACACATACAATGTGTTTTCCCCAAAGGTGATGTTTAAGTTGTTTTTATAAATTCCATGACTACAAGTTATAAGTATATATAAGTATCATAAACTGGTTGGTGGTTTGGAACATGAATTTTATTTTTCCATATATTGGTAAGTTCATGATCCCAATTGACTTTCATATTTTTTTCAGAGGGATAGGTCAACCACCAACCAGTAAACCATGTCGTGACATTGAGGCGATTTCTTCACCAGCGAGTTGCGCGATTTTACCGTAGGATCCTGGCAGCAGCGGCAGTGCATATTTTGACGCCTTCATCTTTCATTTGGTGCCGGGCTCCGGGCTCGGGTCGGGCTGAGAAACGCTCCATGTCGACGTTTTTAGCAACGGAAAGAAAACCAGCCATAGATATCCCATAGGATCCATGTATGCCATATATGGTAACATTTACCATCAATATACCCCAAATGTTAGCATATATACCAGCACCATGGATCCTATGGGATATGGATTGATCAATGATGTTTGATACATGTTGATACTATACCACGCATTTTACAGTCGTCAATTGGAGGATGGTTTTTGCGTTTTTGCTTAGCAAATATGATGTGAAATAACCACAGCATTAGTGGTTTTTATAATGACGATGTAGCGGATATAAACCACCTGCATACCACTTGCATCCACTTGCGAACTGTAATGCACGTCCAAGTAGGCCCCCCACCATAGTAAATCCCCGCAACCGCAAGCTGTGGCCCTCGAAAACTCTGAAAAGTCGCCGATGGCTGAAAAACCCACGACTTCAAACTCACCAAACATGCTTGAATTTGTATTTTTGATAGTTTTGTTGTTTTTGTTTTGGTTCTTAAACTAACCACTTAAAGTTTATTCTAGCTTTACTAACACAAACTAAACAAAAATGCAATGCGTTGTTTGGGGATGCTTCACCAGCTGTCAAGAAGGTGACCTTCATGCTGGTCTTTTGCTACATTCTTTGCGTCCGGGCGCTTGTAACAAGATCACCTGGGGCCCGTGGGGAATGACCCATTTTGGGACAAATCGATGTTATATATATATATATGATTATATGATATATTTAAATATACAATCTCTCTCTCTATATATATATATCATATGTGTATATATCATATATACATGAATATATGCAAATTATAGACTATATATATATATAGATACACATGTACATATGTATACAAATGCATATATATATATATACATATGTATGTAGAAAACAATGGTCAATCTTTATTTATGTGTTTTTGCATTTATAATGGGATCACTTCAGATGACACAATATCAGAGGGCGTTTATACGATTCCACGATGTGCGCAGTGACATGTCAGTCTCTTGAAGAACTGTTTGGTTAATAGGAAATCCCAAATATGGATAGTATCGTATAATCAACATGATAGTATAATCCCATATAATCCCCAATATAATGGATGATAATCCCAGAAGGGATTGTGATAATCCCGAAGATGTTGGATAGTATAAGTCCCGAACCAATCATCAATGAGCCGCGATTTTGAAGACTGTTCCGATGCGTCATTTGGAGTACTCATCCCATAACCAGGGACACAATTTTTTTTCACTATTCATGTGCTTACTCGTGCTTAGCAGGGAATGAGGGAATGATCCATAATCACTAGTAATAATCATCCCATTCCCTCATTCTCATCCATTGCCTACTAAGCACCAGTAAGTGTGTATCCTTAGTGATAACAATGGCCAGGAGGTCATAGCCATGATACTTTGATTATTTTGGCCCAGTTGTCAAAACAGACCAACTCACACCTTCGTGTTGCGACAGGGAAAGGCAGTTCTCTTTAGAATACCTTTACTTTATTGCTAGCTAGAATTTGCACACTTGAGGTCTCTGAGGCCTCAATTTCGAGATGTTTGTTTGATTTTGTTCGATGTGTTTTGATTTTTTTCTATATTGTTCTTTTGCGTTTTCCTTTGCGTTCTATTGGTTTCTAATGTTCGTTTATTCATTTGTAATGTCTGACAACCTCTGTGCTGTGTGATTCTTTGAGTGGATTTGAACAGCGCTCAGATGTTTGGCCCTTCCGATCAAATGTTTGGAATGGCCATTGCTATCGAGTGGCCATTGTTTGTATGTGGTGAAGAATGATGTGAAACAACGGATTGGTGTGTAGTTCAAAAGAAAACATATACAGAATATCTATATAATCATATAATGATCATATATATATGGTGTTTTCACAGGTTTGAGTATGTTTAATTGCAGGATGTTTTTGATGCTTCAGTTTTCAGAGCTACCCGTCCCCTAGGTATTGGTCAAGATCCTTGAATTTTCATGACAGATACCCCATGGCCGCATAGCCCAAAGCGGCCGCATACACGGCCGCATACACGGCCGCGTAGGTCTTTGTACATCCAGGGACAATCCCTGACAAGGAGGAGGACATCCGCAGTTGGGGCGAGGGTGGAACAGCAACAGCAGCAACAATCACAGCAACTGCCAGGAGAAATCAAGAAGAATCAATAATAAGAAGAACGACAGTAAGACTCTCTAAGACTAAGAACAATAACGGGGCACTATTATAACATATACATATACATAATAATTATATATATATATATACATAATTATATATTAATTATATAATTTGTTTGTGTAACATTGTGATATATTGATACCTATTGTAACAAGAAGATCACAACCATTGGAACCGCACCATGACATGTCGAGACTCGCTTGAGACGCGCCCAAGATGGGAGGACCCATCTTGGGAGTATGATGAGGCCGAGGCTCAACCGAGCAGTGGGTCCACACCCAGTGCACTGTACGTCATTCTAGATCTATTGTAACATTATGAATCATATATAATTATTAGACATAATTTTATACCTAACTACACATAGTTACACATAATTACATGTTTTAAATAAATATATAAATATATGTATATTATATATAATTATATATACACACATGATTGTTGATATTGATGTCTCTGTTTGAAGTGGTGACCCAGTGGGAAACCATCAGAAATGGCAGTCCACCAGAAGGCCACCGCTGCGATCTCGCCACGAAATCGCGAGTTGTTGGTTGGTGCAAAGAAACCTCCAATAACTATGGTGTATAATATTCCCTCTGCCTCTGGTTATTTAACATAGCCATGGAAAATCACTATTTTTGATAGGTAAACCATCTATTTCTATGGGCCATGTTCCATGGCTATGTTAAATAACCCGAGGGTACATATAACTGTTCGGTATAACTATGTATTTTTAGTAAACCAACCAAAAAAAAGACGATTCTGGCTTCAAAGATATTGAAATTTCGAAAAGATACAGAGATTTTACCATGATTGTACCATATTTGGATGACTAATGGATATAGCATATGTATGGACTACATGGATATTGTTTCAACAGCCGAGCCCAGGGGCCGCAACCAATCGCAGCTGATTTCCTGCTGAACATGCAGGCGTGGCGTGCCGGAGAGCCTTCCAAATAGCCGTGTCTATCCATGTTTGATATCATTTCATAGGAAAAATGTGGAAAATGATGATTTTGGGTATAGTTTATTTAAAAAGACACTCCCACGGTAAGCGACAAGAGGTCATGTTATATCATATGTACGGTCGAAATAGAGATATGGTTTTTGTTGAAACGTATCCAAGCTTGTTAGCTACAGACAGAAGAACAAAGAGATGTCACACGCAATAGATATGTATCCTCCCACAATGATGGATCTATATTCTGACCATCTTTATCATCATCTGAGCGATGTGAGTGCGGACCCTAGATACCCGTTGTTCTGGTCGAAAGCCCACCAAATTCAGATGTATATAGAAACAACAATGCGCACAGGCTTTAGCCAATATGATCTGTTCTATTTCTTAGATTCATTCACTTGTAATTACCCCCTGGTAAATTAACATAGACCCTGAAAATCACCAATGTTGAATGGAAACTAGTCTTCCAACCCCTATCTGCCAGGGTCTATGTTAATATACCAGAGGGTAATTGTTAGATGTATCACCATGTGGCCAATGATATTGCTAGTTTTTCTCTAGTTGCACTTTGCCTCGGGATGGATCTCACAAATAATGCGGAAATCAGATGTCCTAACATTTCCTATGGAAATCATAGGAGTTCGCATGTTTGGAAGGGGGTTCCAGCACATTGCAATGTCGTCCATTTTCAGTGCACTTCTTGGAGGCGACACGGCAAAAATCCATACAGAAATTGTTTCAAAGACTCAGAGAACTTCTTGGATTAGTAACCCATAGGATCCATGGTGCTGGTATATATATGCTAACATTTGGGGTATATTGATGGTAAATGTTACCATATATAGCATACATGGATCCTATGGGTAAAGCAAGTGGCTATTGTTCTGTTAACTTCTTTTTGCAAGGAGAAGCTGACGGTTTCCGATTTGAGTTTCGCTCATTTCGCCAGTGAACCCCCCTGTGTCATCATTGATCACCGGCAGGAGATGAAACGATCAGGTGACAGAAGACATTGCAAGTGGTGTCTCAAGTGCGCAGGAAACACCCTTTTGGTCGCAGCGAGGAAACACCGAAACACCCGGGGCGTGGCGCATGGTTTTTAGGTTTATCAACTTCTTCGGCAACATCTGAGGGTAATCAACAAAATATGGATGTTCAAAAACCCATAGGATCCATGGTGCTGTCATGGTTTATCCCATGAAAATTGTCTCAAACTATGCCTGGAGCCATTGGTTTTGGACTCGTCACCGGTCACCTGGCCAATCCACATCCATTTTTTTCTGAAAGGGCTGTGACATTTCCCAAATGCTCCATGGTGCTGGAATATTTACCAACAGTTACCCTAAAAATCACCCAGTCAGGTAAATATACCATCCATGGAGCATATGGGTTATGACATTGGTATTATACTGGCTGGTGGTTTGGAACATGCATTTTGTTTTTCCATAATATATTGGGAATGTCATCATCCCAACTGACTCATATTTTCAGAGGTGTAGGGTTAAAGCGACCAACCAGTGACATTGGTATACTTTTGCCCAGATTTTTGTCACAATTCACATGGGTATACCTTAAGCCATACCAAGCCAGCCATTCGTCTCCGGATGACGAAGGTTTTTTCAGCATTTCACCATGCCTTCTTTGCAGGTACAAGCCTGATCGTTGTCACCACTGTCGGGCCTGGCAACCTGGAAAACACCATGGAGAAATGATGGGAAAATGATGGAAAAAAATGATGAAACACCATGGAAAGACCCTGATGAATCGGTTCTTGAATATGGGGATGGGTCAAAACCTATTATTACCATAGGGGGAATAACCATTCATTAACCAGCTATTTTAGGGTGCCTATGGTACCAGGGTTTTGAGGCATAGCCATATGGGAAAACCATGGAAGACCATGCATTTTTCATGGCCTTAGTCCTGGGTTAATGGATAGTGGATAGATTATCCAGACAAATGATGGTTAAAAATGATATGAAGTCTTGATTCCTACAGACACAAACACTAGGGAAGCACAAAGGCAGCACCGGAAATTCCAACAGCAACCGAAACAACGATCGTATTTATATTATGGCATCTAAACAAATGTATATAAATATGAATAAACCATAATAAACCAACTAAATCACGACAACAGGTAGATTTCTCACACGCTTTTCTAGCACGCTGAACGCGGAGGTTTGTCGTATCTGCATCTTAAAGATGGATCACCACTGCCCGTGGATCTACAACTGTGTTGGCTTCAGGAGCCGTTGTCTTCTCGCAATCTGTGTCGATATGGGGGGTTGGAACTTTCTGGGTTTGGAAACTGCAAAACCAACCACTTTATAATATGGAGATAGAGTGGAAATATAATGGATATAGCAAACCAACAGTATGATGCTTGACCCCGAATACATGTTAATGTTTATTGCACACATTAGACATTATGATAAACCGTTGTGGACTTCGGGAGAATAAGTTTTCAGACAAGCCAACATGATTGCAACAGGCATCAACAGGCTAAGCCGTTGAGGATTGCATGAAATCCGGATGTGACCACTGAATAAATGCCATCACATAGAGTTGAGAATGGGCTGTGAACAGCAATGGGCTTGCTTGGAATGGTTACCCCGGCACAGGCACCATGTATTTCAGGTGCTCATCCTTGAACAATTGACCAGTGCCGTCTGTTTTCCACAGATCAGAAAAGTAGATCTGACTGAAGCTTGAAATCCGATCCGAAAAATCAAGGAGCAACCCTAGGCCCACCGTGGAATCCATGGGGTCTCTCCAGTTTCAAATGCAGGTTCACCATTTTCATGGGGATAGTTTGTACATGCAAGATCCGCATCCTGAAGTCTTGGGACCCTTGGGACCATTGGTGCCGCAGGAATTACAAATATTTCTTCCTGTTGCTGCTCTATACCAGCATCGATTGTGCCTTTATCGTTTTCAGCATGCTTCCATCCGTGAGGCTCGGCAGACTCGGGCTGTCGCTGTTGATGTTTTTTTCATGGCCACTCCAACAGCCAACTTCTGCCATTTTCAACAGGGCTTGCTGCAAAACAATGGGTAAATCATGTGGAAAATCATCGCGGCTATATATATAGCCGCTTTTGATTCATGATGCGTTTTGACGGATGTTTGGCAAACATCCGTTCGCTTGGCAGGGCTGGAACGCAACCCACCACGCCCTTTATGACGATGTGCCTGATTCAGCAAAATGTGAGGGTTTGTCTGAAAACCGGGTACCGCAGAATAATCAGGATGATTTGCTAACTATCAACTATAATTGAATTATCTAATGATGCATTAGTTGATTATCAGTTGATTAAATTAATTGATAATATGTTATTTGTTTCTCCATTTCAATGGCCATTTGAGCTTTTTTTTGAGCATGCGGGCTGGCGGGGGGTATATAGGCCGATGCGGCCTGAACAGATGACACTCTTTGGATGATCTTCTGTTTCAAAGCACACCTCGTTTTTTTTGGCATGGAAAACATGTCCAAGAAATCCAAGTGTAGCAAGCATGGTTGACATGTCCTGAAAAACCCGTTCTGATGTTTTGGTGTATGGAATGCAACATATCGACATGTTCAACGCAACGTTTCCCCAAGCAGCGGCTTGGACCGCGGGAAGCTGAACACAGCCGCGCCGGAAGCAACAGGTTTTGGCTGATGTTTGGAGAAACCTTAGCAGGTTTCCTGGGCGTTGGGAGCTGAGAATATACGCAGCAATGCAGCTTCCATGGCCATGAGTTTTCAGCTTGCAGCATGTGGAAAAACGTGATGTCTGGCCCCAAAAAATCTGGCCGGTGTCCCTTGCACGAGATCAACCAATCGCATGTTTGTTGATTTGGAAAAGTATGTAGAATGATTAAGTGATAAGTGGCGATATGTTTTTTTTGTTTAAACGTGGCTTTAAGTATCTTCTGTAAAATCTCTGATATTTTGGAACCACACCATTTTGGAGGTTTGGAGAAATGCCTATTTTTTTCGACCAAACGAGGTCCTGGTCTTCCTGTTCTTTTGCTTTCATATCTACCTCATGATGAAGGCAGAGACTGGAGTGGGCCGAGACCCAGGTTGATGGCAAGCCTAGGATGAAAAGCCAGGTTTAAGAGGGATGATATTCTCACATATTCAATCAGAATTCGATAGCCATGACCCTTTTGTAAACTAACATAGGCATGTTTTTTTTTTTGATAGGATAATCAACTACTGTGAGTGGCCATGCTTCATGGATATGTTAAAAAAAGCCAGAGGGATCCAGAGGGTGTGACAATCTTATCCTACACATCGGAAATCGGTTTGACGATTTGCTTTCTTGTTATGTCCTTGCTCTTGTATAGTTGTTTATGTACTTAATCCAATCCACAGTAATGTATGCGTTAGAAAGTATATAGTAAATCCAAAGCCGGAAGTCACCCCAAGGGAGTCACCAGAAATGGGTTGTATATCCGAGAAGTTCATTGGAGCTTTGTGGCATTTGTTGGATCCCACATCTCCCCGCAATCTTTTCGGGGAACACGTGACACAGGACCCCCATTTGGTCCGGCTTAGCCGAAAAAGCCAGCGGTTTGTAAAAACAGCAAGTGAGTTCAATGAAATATGGATCACAGCCATCAGTTCGCCCCAAATTTTGCATATCTCCAGGCTATGACCACGATTGAATTCTGTGAAAAGTGTGGGCCCTGAGGATGCTGAACATTTCAGACATGAAAAGATGCTGCTTTTGTCGGCAGAGCTCCGACTGATTAGCATTTGACTTTCTTTAGTTTGCCTATTGGTCAAGATCAGAGTCAAGAATGAAATTGGATTCATCCTGATCTACGCACCATCTATGGATCATATTTCCAAATGATGTGTTTTCTTGGTTTCAAGCTTAGTTGGGAAAAGACAGTAATACTAATAATAATGCTAGGATTGGTTGAAACCAGCAATTTCGCCAAAGTGTGATGGTGGATGATGCAGGAAAACAGGTTTGCACCAAATTCCAGTAGCGAAGGCGGATTGCTGGGGAAGTTTAGATGAATATGAAGAAAGGCGTCCCAAAAGTCTGAACATCCAATGATTGTCACAGCTAGTGGCCCACGAAAAGCGAGGATTTTTTTATGAATAGCTGGAGTTAACTGGAGTGTCTGATGCTTTATTTCCTCATTAATATCCCATATATATTATATAACATGTATAATATATATATAATACACCACTCATTCCCTTTAAACAAAAATATGCAGGTTTCCTAAAATGGGGTACCCCCAAATAATCCGTAAAACCATGTTGATAGGATTGTCCATTGTAAACCTCCATTTTGTGGTACCTTCATTGATGGAAACTCCCATATGTACATTGACATTGATCCTTGTCAAAAACATCTAAAAGCATATGGTGTTTTCTTAAATTGGTGGATCCTCAAAACAATCCAAAATATGTAAATCCCAATGGAAAAACCAATGGTTTGGGGGATTCATATTTTAGGAAACCCCATCTAAAAACCATGAAAAGAAGAAAACCTTGGTTTTTAGATGGGGTCTTCCATGATTTTAGGCAACCCCTAAACCCTAAAACCCACTGCCGAAGTACCGAAATCGGCACTGAGGTCCCATAGCAAGGGCAGTTTCAATGCTTCCACCTACGACCGTGGAGTTGTCAGCGGATCTCAGTGGAGTTGCTAGGGAGAGTTGCGCTGATTTAAGCTGTGACCATGGTGAGCGTTGCCGGGGAAAACACAGATAAATGCCGTTTATATTTGTGTCTAAATGGTGTTGATATGTCTGTTGTTCTTTTCATTAAATGTTTGTTATAGAAGTTATGGGCCAAGGGTCCAGGGGGTTCTTATTGTAGACCCTGTATTTGTTTTGAAGCATGGGATTCAAAAGAGATTGTATAATCATACATAGAACCAATTGCAAACGCGCTCCAGTCAATCCAGCCTCAAGCCTTTCTTGGAAATTGTCGATTAGGATCGGTTTGGTGGATCCCCTAATGTCACATTAGTACTCAAGACTTGCAGCAATCAGCTGCACAAGCCGACATAGCGACAGGTGATAGCACCGATACTATGATAGCAGCGATACTACAGACATCTACAGACATATTCAAGCGGACTCCTGGATATATCTGATTTGTCGCAATAGAAAAGCTTGGACTTCCGCAGAGTTTCTACTTTTTTGGGGTTGCAGGCCCGCAAGACGTATTCCAAGATGTTTGTAACTAATTTTCTATCCCATAAGATGATTCAATGTTTTGAAATCGTTTGTTTTTTGTTTCATTGCGTTTTTTTAAACAACCAACCAGACTTTTTGCTGCGTGTTTCCTTAGCGCGCACCGGCTCAGGTGGGAAATGTGAAAGCTGTCCTTGGTGACGACTGGTGGCTTTGGTGTTGCGGGCCAATTTCCACCCGGGTCTCCCAATGGGTTGGATACTTCTGAACTTCCAACAAAGATAGGAATTCAACCAACAAAAATGGCGCTATAATGAGATACTCGTAGAATGGATGGTAATTTTACATGGCAATTCCACACTTTGCGAACTGGAACATCACCATGGTTCAATGATCGGTGAATCATCTACATGCCAGTTTCCATAGCTACAAAGTTTGTGTTTCCATAGTTATGTTGAACTACCAGAGGCTATATGGCCTGCCCATCTTTGCGTGGTCCTTTCACATAGCTATGGAAACTTGATGAACATGTCCCATCTATAGATGATAAATATTATATATTATATAATAATATATATACCCTCTGGTAATTTAACATAGCTATTGAACATGGCCCAGTCGAAATAGTGGATTTTCCCAGCTACAACATGGTGGATCTTTCCAGTTTATTTATTGTAAACCTTTACCAGGCCGGGTAGATATCATCCCCCAACATGATTTTACCTGGTAGATATGCAACAAAGTCTTCCAGTTAACGGTGGAATCTCTGGACCCTACATCATCGCCAGCGCCCCGCTGTCACCATCTGCCAGGTTATTGCCCACCTCGCGACCACCTGGTCGTGGTGTCAGCTTCATCAGCGAAGAAACCCGGCTCAGCAAGGCGTGGTGCTGACGGGTTCGGGGGGGATCTGAAACGGGCAGTTTGAATCAGTTTATGGGGTACCTTAATCTGGTTGGTGGTTTGGAACAGTCTCTGGCTCGAGACCTACCAGCCGTGGTGAGGCTGTGCTAGCTAACTCGAGTGGTTCGTTCACCATGAAAGGGTCTAAGGGACCAGCAATGGAGGACCTCCAATGGTTGTTCACCCCAAAATGGGAGGGCATGGCTGTTGGAACAAAGGTATCAGTGGTCATCACAGACCTGGTTTGGCAGGGATCAACTGGAATTGGAAGAATAACCCCGGGTGAGCAAAGGACTAGGATTGTTGGACTTTTCCCCCCGGAAGCTTTTGGGGTCTCCACAGTCACGCTGCTCCAAGCCACCTTTTTGGATTTGTCTTCTATGGTGGAACTGTCGGTCGACACGTCTTGCTCCGTCTTGTGCCACAGTCAGCCGCAGGTGTCCCATGTCCATAACTACATAGAGTTGTGTGCCGGGGGTGGTTTTTCGTCTCTTGGGTTTTCCCATGTGGGCTTTGTTCCGAAGTGTGCAGTTGAGCTTCAACCGAAGCTGTCAGCTCTACACCAGAGCATGCATCCGACCGTCCCAGTCTTGACAGCTGACATCACCGATGATTGTACAGCAGCCCGGATTCATGCCATCTGCCCGGAACCGGCGACCATCATGGCCGGAGTAGCATGCCAGCCTTATAGTAGAGCAGGGAAACAAGAAGGGGGCCAAGACAACCGTGCGGCCACCCTTCCAGCCACTTTGAAGATGGCACATTACTTGCAAGCCCCGGCCTTGGTGATTGAATGTGTAGTTCCAGCAAGGGACAACCAATATGTCACTGCACATATTCAGGCACTTGAACACCAACTCGGCTACAAGGTAGTCAATTGTACCATGAAGTTGGAAGAAGTCTGGTCAGCTCAGCGATATCGTTGGTGGCTGTTGGCAACTCACAGCAGGCTGGGTCGTGTGATCATCCCGGAATTCCCCAAAGGGTCCACTCTGGTTGTAAGAGACCTCATGCCTTATACCCGTAGATGGCCAGATGATGAGGAATCCCAATTGACTTTGACTGCTCAGGAACTGGAACGGTTTCAGTTGGGGGGAGAGCCACTGCGGAAGTACTTGGTTCAGGCCGACCAAAAATTGCCGACTGCCTTGCACAGCTGGGGGGGCCAAACACAAGGATGTGCCTGTGAGTGTAGGGGCCAAGGCTTTGCAGATTTCACGTTGCAGTCCAGGGGCCTTTTTGCCCAATTGCTTCAGATTCCGGGGTTGGGGAACCAGATCAAGTACCGACACATGCATGCCATTGAAGTTGCCATCCACAATGGAGTACCACCTGTCCAAGCATGGAGTACAGATGCATGACTCAACTTGTGTGCAGTGGGACAGCTTGCGAGCCCTTTTCATGCCACGTGGATTGCCTCGGCATTGCTTGGCCATGTGCAGAAACTGTTCACACATGAAGCCCCGGTTGACCCTTTGCAATCACTTGCATCCCTGAAGCACTTGGTCATGATGCAAAGCAAGGAATTTTTCCCAGCCATTCCGAGGACCATTGCCCCACCAGCCCCACCTCAAGAGGATCCGATTGAGGACATGCCACCACAGCTGCAAGTTTCAGATCATGCAGGAGTGACTTGGAAGCTTGACCATCAGGCCAACAGCACAGTCCGAAATCTGTTGGAGGCGGAATGTGATCTCCTCAGGGTGCCTTTGTTTGATGTTCAAGTCTGTGATTTGGATGGGAACCCTTTGCCTGAAGACGCCAAACTGGCAGATCAACATGGAGTACTTTTGGTTAAGTCATGGATCAATCACCCAGTTGAATCGGAGCCACCAGCAGAAGTTCCCTTTGCACCTGAAGATCTGCTCCCATGCCCAGGACCAGCTGACCCGATCAACCCAGAGGAACCTGCCAGTGCCGTCGCTACTCAGGTTGACTCAGATGCCGACCAGCTTGCCCCGGTAGATCTGCCAACTCACACCGAAGACCATGTCCCGGCACCCGTGAGCCAATATCGAGCATCCGATACCTCCGTCTTGCCGTTGTTGCAGTTGACCCCATCTAGCCTGCTTGAAATGTTGCCGCCTCGGACCGATGATGCCGAAGTTTGCAATGGGCTGAGGTCTTTGCACATTTCATGGACTTGTAGAGTAGATCTTTTAGATCGCCAGGCACATGCATGTGCAGATGATGAGATGCTCTGGCATATGGAAGCAACAGTCATGCACGCCAGAAGATCAGCAGTTGTCATGGACCCTTTGCTTGCCACCACCTGGATGACCACAGGTACAGAACAAGCGGTGCAATCATGGTTGGACTCAGTTGAATACCCGTCAGATCGGATCATCACTGCAGTGCTTAGCCATGGCCACTGGACACCGGTGATTTGGTTTGTCAAGGCGGACAGGCTGGAAGTTCACACATATGACCATGCAGATGTGGATTTGAATTGCCTCAACTCACTTCATGGACTTTTGTGTCACGTGTTGGCTTTGCCATTTTACAATGTCTCATGCCATCGACGCAGCTTTGGTCCCAATTTGTGTGGAGCTGCCGCCATCGCTTTCCTGATTGCCAAACTCAACGATGGATATATGCCAGCGACTGAGGCCGCCTTGCAAGCCTTCAGCGACCGCCTGAGGGACCAGTTCAAGGTGTCACATGCAGCAGCCGCTGATGTCTTGAGACCTTGGTGTTGGGGCACAGGGGTAGATGAAATCCCCACCTTGTTGGCTACCTTGCTTCAGTTTCATGGAGTGCCCCAGTCAGCATCCAAACAGCGAGCCAAATTGGTCCTCCAAAGTCTTGGTAAAGAGGCCGTCCAAAAGGCACTTGAAGGAGTGTCCCCCTGGAAGAGCTTGAAGCATCTTGCCAACCAACACCAACCGTTGATCCAGTTGGTTCTGCCGGATGAACTTGCGACCGTGGTGAAAAGCCGACAAGCCAAGAAGGGATCCAAAGACCCCAAGACGCCTGTGCCCAAAGTGCAACCAGCAAAGCCCTTAGACTTGGATCCCAGCAGGTTACAACTGGAGCCTGAGACGTTTTGCACGAACCCAGACACCATGATGCAGCAGATACCCGTTGGGCAGGTAGGACCTTTGGCATCCGGAGTGGCCCTGGTTACTCATGCAGAGGCACAGCCCTTTTTGCAGGCAAACAAAGTTTTGACCACCAAAGGTTTGGCTCTGTTGATCGTGAATGGGCCGCCAGAACTGTGTACAGATCTGCAGTGGAGCTCCATCCGATTTGCGGCACGTTGTGCGGTCAACCAACAACCCATTTTGCTCCATGGTTTTCTGGTTCAATTGGGCAACGCCGTGGTGTGTCCTTTTCGCCGCCATACCAATGTCTCTGTCCCTGATGTCCCAGTCACATGTGCCAGGGTTACTGTCTTCCGAGATCAATGGCCTCAGGATTGGGAATCGTTTGCCACCCACCCAGTCAAAGAAGTGTTGCAACACATTGCTCCGTTGCAGACGTGTCGCATTGAAGGTTGCACATGCCACAAATGGCACAGAGACCCCATGGATCAAGCTCAAGATGTGGTGATGGATGTCTTCAAACGCCAGTTCTTCACAGATGGGGGTCGACCGACCCGGGCGCACCAGGCCAGCCACTTTAGTGTCCAACTTAGGTACCTGAAGCAGCAAGAAACCCAGGTCCTGCAGTGTAGTGGTGTCAATGGCTTGTACATAGAACCCAGACTGCCAGATTCGTCTACACCGTCTGATGAATTCCAGGTGATTTGGTTACCACAGGCAACATTGTCGGAAGCCCAACACAGCATGCAGTGTGAGCCCCTCAGCATCGGCCTGGCACGAGCCGGCAGACGGTATGGCATCAGAGTGCAAGCCAGGCACTACCAAACACTGTTTGCCAAGCTCAAGCCTGACAGCCAATTCCTGGCGCCTGGTGAACGCCTTAACTGGCATTGTGGTCCCTGGCCGTTTGGATCAGATCGCAAAATGATTGCCAAGGTCTTTGGAGACATGCAGTGGCAAGCCAGACCGTTACAACCACACCGCACGGTCGAAGGTGGTATCATGTGGTTAGTGCAAAGTGTTACACCGCCACCTCAGTCGGTCTGGAACATGTCTCATGGTCCCGTGGTAGTGTCCCAGTGTGAGTCAGCCTCAGCCAGCATGACGCAGTCCAACCATGTCATTGGCACCCAGGCCACAGTGGAATTGTGCAGTTCCTCTGCTGATGTTGACCCGTGGATGACCAGAGATCCATGGCAAGGAGCCCTCAAAACGGTCCCAACCTCAGCAAGCCCGAACGTGACCACTCAGATTCAGGAACTGGAAGAGCGGTTGGAGAAGACCACCATGGCCAAACTCCCATATGAGAAAATGGACACTGACGAAGACGACGACAGAGTGGGCCAATTGGAGCTCCAGCTCCAGCAGTTGGCCCAGCGCCAACAGTCCCTTGAGGGCATGGTGAATGAACACCACCACCAACACACGGCACAGGTCCAGACATTGCAAACCCAAGTGATGTCACAACTTGAGGTCCAGCGATCTCAAATGAAAGGCATGTTCGACGACCAAATGAGCCGGTTGGAAGCCATTTTGGCAAAGAAAGGGCGCTTTGAGTGAAAGCCCGGCAGCCGTAGGTCCCAGGCCGCACCTGCGGTGAGCCAGTTTTGTCATGTGCCCAGACTCTTCACAAAGTTTTGGTTCATCCTTTTGCTGTTTTTCGGTTTTTCCTGCCGGATTGGCGAGGCCGACAAGCCTGGTCCTGTTCCACCCGATCAAGCCTGTTGGTCTTTGGGGATCTGCAATCCGAGCGGGTTGTTGGGGAAAAGTACACTGTTAGCCGATGTCAACACAGACATCATTGCAGTCAGCGAGACGCATCTCACCAGTGTCTCTAGTTCCTGTTTGCAGACAAGCCTTCGAACAAGAAGTGCTTACAAATACCTTGTCACGGGGCACCCCATGTGTCCACGCACCACAGCCAGTGCAGCAGGCCAATACGCTGGGGTTGCCTTGACCTCCAAACAGCCTTCCAGAGCACTTTGTTCGGATTGGCCCCAAGACATGTATGAAACTGGCCGTGTACAGATAGCAGGGTCCCTTGTGGGTCAACAATGGGTTACCGGAGCCATCATCTATGGCTACCCACAGAGCAAGTTCCACCACAATGCCCAAGAAAAGACAGAAGGAATCCTTGCCCATGCCTTTGACCACATGACCACCTTTGCACAGGGGCCACGTTACATGGCAGGTGATTGGAATTACACTCAGGATCAGCTGGCTGTCACTCAGCATTTGCTTGCAGCAGGCTGGCAAGAGGTACAGACCTTAGAATACCTGCGTACGGGCACCCAGCCTAGATGCACCTGCAAAGGAAAAACCCAGAAGGACTTCCTGTGGCTTTCTCCGGAACTCGTGCATGCCTTTCAGGGAATGTCTTTAGATGACGAAACCTTTCCAGACCACTCTGTCTTGAAGGCCACCTTCACCACCAATCCGATGTGTTTTGTGCGGTACCTTTGGCCAACACCGCAAAATGTGCCGTGGGCCCAAGTCCCTGACCTTGACCAACCAGTGGTTTTCCAGCAAGGTAATCCCACAGACCACTATGCAAGCCTTTGGCAACAGTATGAAGCCTCAGCACAAGCTGCCTTGCAACATACCTGGACCAGCAACATGCGGGGTAGAGGCCAAAGGACAGACACCACAGTCAAAAAGGGTTGGCCCACACCACCCAAGCAAGGCCGGAGTAGGGACCCACAACCTGCCTTCCATGGTTATGATGTCCAGCACTCACGCTGGCTCAAGCAGTTGCGCCGGCTATGGAACTACTGCAACTGGGCTCAGGCCAATTGGCACGCTGCCACAACGCAATCCTGGACTCATGGACTTTTGCTCTGGCGTAGCATTTTAGATGCCCCAGGTTTTGGCCAGAACTTTGCCACTTGGTGGACAGGCAGGGGGTGCATTGGACTTTCGGACCCTGGATTTGTTCCGCACCACCCTCCTGCGCCTGACCTGGCCATGCAGTTGTGTGAATGCTTTGCCAGTGAAGTACGTTGCTTTGAACGTAGATTGGTTCAAGCTCGGAAGACAGCTCGAGCTCATGCCCACAGCCGCAACCCTAACCTGGTCTTCAAAGACGTCCAAAGACCAATGCCAGAGCCAGTGTCGACCCTCCTGATCCAACACAAGTCCCAGGTCACAGCAGTTGATGCTGATGAAGCTGCAGTGGTCATTGACCCACCATGCCAGTTTGATGACACCAAACCTGTGGTCCTAGGCACCACGGCCACTGCAGTCATCCATGCAACCGCAGATAAGGTTTACTTGAAAACCGTCCAAGATGCACAGGTTGGGCAGACTGTCTCCCAATCACACCCGGTAGGAGACTTAGACGAAGTTTTCCGTGCTTTCCATGAGCAATGGCAGAAGAGATGGTGCCGACATGATCAGATCCCACACTCTCACTGGGAGAACCTGATTGCCTTCGCCAGAGCACATATGCCCCAGCGGACGCTTGCGGCTCTGGACATCAACCCTGCCTTGCTGCAAGCTGAGGTTGCATTCAAAAAGCCTACCGCTGCCACCGGTATGGATGGGGTATCCCGGAAAGACCTCCAAGCAGCGGGACCCCACATGTTACAAAGCTTGTGTAACATGTTTGATCGAGCGGCCTCAGATGGAGCATGGCCGGTGCAAGTGATCACCGGCAAAGTAGCCAGCCTTGCCAAAGTGCCCAACCCGCAGGGTACAGGGGATTACCGACCCATAACGGTTTTCAGCCTGACGTACAGGTGCTTCAGCTCCCTCCAGGCCAGGCACATGCTCACCATGGCAGATGAATGGTGTCATGCCGACATCCATGGCAACAGGAAGAACCACCAAACTGCCCATCTTTGGCGATGCCTGGTGGACCAAATACAGTGTGCCTATGACCAAGGCCAGACCTTGAGTGGCCTAACGGCTGACATAGAGAAAGCCTACAACTGCTTGCCGAGGTTCCCAGTCCTGGCCATGGCACTACATGTAGGCACGCCTTTCAGCCTGTTGAAAGCCTGGTCTGGCGCCCTTGCCGGCATGCTGCGACGCTTCCGAGTTAGAGACAACTACAGCTCAGGCTTCACAACCAGCACTGGACTTGCAGAAGGCTGTGCTTTGAGCTGCTACGGCATGCTCCTGTTAGATGATGTCATGCACAGATATGTCCAGGCACAATGCCCTCAATTGAGGGTGCTCAGCTTCGTCGATAACTGGGACTTCTTGACCTGGGATGCCACAGCAGCCACTCAGCAGCTGGACCTCCTCCTGGATTTTGCGGGGCTGGTCGACCTGACGGTGGACCGCAAGAAGACCTTCGGTTGGTCAACATCACCAGCCATTAGAACCAGCCTTCGCGCCCAGGGCCTTCAGGTCAAGCACTTTGCCAAAGACTTGGGAGCACATGTCGCTTTCTCCAGACAACGCACCAACTGCACCTTGGCTCAACGACTGGACTCTCTTGGGCCTTTCTGGACTCAGCTCAAGGGCAGCAAAGCCAGCTATCATAGCAAGCTCAGAGCACTGCGTTGCGTAGCATGGCCCCGTGGACTTTTTGGGGTTTCCAGTGCTCCACTTGGGTCGGCGGTTTGGTTGAAGCACCGCCGTCTGGCAGTCCAAAGCCTGTCTTTTGATAAACCAGGAGTTAACCCAGGCCTTCTTCTGGGAATGGTCGAAGCCCAAGCTGATCCTGAATGGCTTGGAATACTGCACACTGTGGCCGAAAATCGTGTCATGAGCCCTTTGGACTTTTGGGCTGTGGAATTGGCTTATGCAGCACACGGCCTTCTTGACCCACCTCATGCTTCGCCGACGGCAGTGTTGCTTTCCCGGGTCCAGCATCTGGGGATTTCCATCCACTTGAACGGTTTCTGGCAAGACCCTGTTGGAAGTTTCAATCCTTCCTCCCTCAACTTTGTGGAATTGTCCATGCGTTTGCAGTGGTGTTGGAACCGTGTTGTTGCACAATCCGTGACCCACCGGAAAGATTTTGCAGGACTCCAGTATGCAGACGTCGCTGCCACTCGACGTTGCCTGGCAGCCTTGCCAGCTGACCAACAAGCGTTGATGAGGCTCAACCTTGCAGGTGGACTTTACACGCAAGATGCCCACTCGCACTGGAATGATGGCACTGGATCTTGCAAATGGTGTGGGGCCCCGGGCTCTACTGTACACAGATACTTCCAGTGCCCGGCTACCAGTCACATCCGGCAAAGTGTGGCACCGGATGTCGTCAGACTCCAGGATCAACTGCCAGATGCTATGAAGCTCCGCAGCTGGGCAATTCTTCCGACCACCCATCTAGATTGGCTCCGACTGTTGGATTCCATCCCCAAGACTGTTCCTCCCTGTGCGGTGCCCCTGCCCTCGTCAGGTTGGTGTCACGTGTTCACTGATGGTTCTTGTCTGTGGCAGTCCACCCCTGACGTGCGTGTTGCTGCTTGGAGTGCGGTTCTTGCGGCCCCCCTGTCTGGCCATTGGAATTTTGCCGGCCACTCGGTCCTTTGTTCTGGGGTCCTCCCTGGCCTTTGCCAAACTGCGTTTCGGGCTGAACTGTTTGCCTTGTGTGTCGTCCTCCATCATGCAGCGGTGGGGGGCTTCCGGGTAAAAGTTTATTCCGATTGTTTGGGGGTTGTTAATAGGTTTAATTTGCTCACCCGGGGTCAGGTCAAACTGAAACAAAACAACCCCAATGCAGATCTTTGGCATTGGGCTTTGGACTCTCTGGAGAGGCTGGGTGCTCACAACGTACAACTGGTTAAGGTGCCGGCGCACCGACTTGTCGCCTCGGCCAAGACACGACAAGAGGCCTGGTTGTATTGGCACAACAGCGCTGCAGATTGGGCAGCCAAAGTGGCAAATTTGGATCGTGGCTCAGCGTTTTGGCAGCGATGGCAGGATCATGTGACGGCCGTTCATGCGGCGAAAACACTACATCAACAGGTGTGGCAACTGCATTTACAGGTGGCTCTTTTGAGCGTGCAGCAGGATCGTTCACTGACATTGGATGAAGTGGAGGTGCCTCCTCCGAGGGCGACGCGGTCTTTTACAAAAGTTTTTGACACAGTTGCTTGGCGGGGCGAGATCCCGCTCGACTTTGCTACAGAGTATGGCGCTGGGATGGCTCGGAGGATAGCCACTTGGTGGAAAGCCAGAACTACTGCTGGCGGAGGCGAGGTGAAATGGGTCTCCTTCATTCATTTGTACGTGGATTACCAACTCACATGGGGCTGCGTTGGCCCTTTGCAGAGTGGTAAGAACTGGTTGGACTGTAAGTTGAGGCCATATTTGGACGGCCAGGCTTATCCATTTTTGAAGAGACTGAAATGGTTCCGCAGGTGCCTAAAGCAGTTTTGGAGCAAAAGTCGACAGCGTGTGGGACTGGAGACTTGCCGGTGTGAGAGCGAAGTGCTACAATCACACGTGGCAGCCGCTTCAATCAGCTGGGACGCGGCAACTTTGAGGATCGCTGAAATTTGGATAGCAGAGAACTGTCGAGGACCCGTGGCACGAGGAACACGACAGGTGCAGAATCTCCCCATAGCGAAGGCTATGCCAGGGTTGGCTCTGTCTCACGATGCATCAAATGATGCTGGCTGATGCGCGACAGCGCACATTTATGGACATAAGGTCTCGGTCCGAAACCTGACCAGGCCTGCTTGCGGGAAACAGTGGAAACAGTGGTGGTTTGGAACATAACTTTTTATGACTTTCCATTCAGTTGGGAATGTCATCATCCCAACTGACTTTCACTCCATCATTTTTCAGAGGGATAGGTCAACCGCCAACCAGTAATGCTTTCAACTAACATGGGAATAGGTCAGTTGTTCCCTATGAAATGACCATTCAGTTGGGGGAATTGACATTGAAGCAGCTATTTTGGGGTACCTCGTCCCTAGGTTTTGACTCATAGCCACATGAGAAAACATATTAAAGAACTTCAGGCATCAAGTTCAGCTAGAAATTGCCACCCTGCTGCAGGACATGGAGGCTGGTCGAGGTCTTAGTCTTCTTGGCATGTTTGGGGTCAGCTGCTTTGGCTGGCTGAGTCGTGGAGGTTGATAGGGGCTGACATATATAGTATATATTTATTGTTGTATAATTAGAGTATTATTTATCAGACTATCAGTATTTTGCTGCGATTGTATGTTTCTATTTTGTTGTGCTTGATATATAATGATATATACATATACCACCACATATACATATATATATATACATATATGATTGGTTTCGGTACAATATCTTACAATGTTGTGTTCCTTTTTGATTCCCATCAAATAAGCCCAGTTATTCCAATGAATTTCTTTGGGAAAATGATCCAAGAACTACGAGCCTTTCTAGAAATCCCATCATTCATTGGTTAAGTATAGGGTCGTAGCTATAGAAAATATATCTATATTCTTAACCAATATTCATTTTAATCCATGTCTCAATCATCTACATGTCCTGGTGATCAATCTCAATCTACAGATAGATTTTTTCAGATGGGATTGAGCTTTAGGCACCTAGACACATTGAACATGGGATGTGTCCAACAGGACAACCGTGGTCCCCACTTCAGATGGAATTCGATGTTAGATATGGGGGTGTTTTAGGGCTATAAATCACAATGTGATATCTTAAGTGATCATGCAGTATCATGCATGGAAAATTCCATATTACAATCCTCAATCATATAAATCCCATATGAAAAAAGGTCGTCCCCTACTTAAATCCATCACTAAATGAATCCATCCACCTGTAAATATATATATATAGAATCTCAATAAGCATATCCATAAATCCACTTGTGAATTTCATGTCCAAATGCTGGTCCATCCATGAATGGAATCATGGGAATCCCTGCAAATCCCTCAGTAAAATCTCCATCAAACCCTCAAAATCCCAAGAAGAAATCCTATCAAGAATCCCTAAAAATCACCATAGATCATAGATGATCATAGTTAATATATAGTATATCCATGTATATCCCAGGAGAAAAATCGATAAATCAACACGACTGGTTTTTTGAACATCAACCCAATATCCCATCATCCCATGCCAAAATCCATCAGTTTCCCAGCAAAAAATCCATGGATGATGTCCCATAAAATACCCTTTGGTAACCATGGAAATAGTGGATTTACCCATTGAAAATGCATGGTGATTTTCCAGTTCGTTTATTGTAAACGTTTACCAGAGGGAATTGTTGTCCTAATTGAACATCACCCAACATAATTACCAATATTACAGTAATCATTCAATTGGGGAAAATCCTATCATCCCAACAAAAAATCAATCCAAAAATCATTGATATCATCCAATAAACCATCAACAGTTATATCAATGGGAATGAATATATCATAATATATCCATCAGTGTCCATAAAATACCCTCTGGTAATGACTAAAAGTTTGCGAACTTGAAGCCATGACCCAGTCGCGTGGATTTACCCAGCCATCAATAGCATGGGTGGATCTTTCCATAGTTAACCAGTGATTTTCCATTAAATATGGTGATTTACCCATTAAAAATGCTGATTTTCCTATTAAACATGGTGATTTTTCCATAGTTTACCATAAAATCCATCCCAAAATCCATCCGCAAAATCCCAGGGCGCCGTGCTCACGACCACCCGGAGGGCACCGGCCCGGCCTCGGCGCCTAAGCGGCGCAGCGACGCCAAGACGCTCGCCACGCAACGAAGGGGACCGGTGGAAACCGGGTGGGGCCGGGAAGGTGGCGATTTTTCGGGTGAAGTTCGGGTGATTCTATGGTGATCTCTGGTGTTTTCCAGGTAAAATGAGGGAACATGTGTGATTTTTTGATGGGATTTGATGGGTAAATCTAGCAAAACGATCTCGAAACTCAGGAGATTTGGGTCATTTTTGCCCATTCAAACTGGGTTCTTACTGTAGTCCTGAGGCCGAACGCTTGCGGTGGCACAGGCGCAGTGTTTGGGAACAAAGGTGAGCGACAGATAGCAACCAGAAGTCATAGACCCAAAAGTTTGGAAATCTGTGATTTTGATGTAAATATCATTGAACAACCATCTTGGAAACGCCTTTTCCATCTTTTTGGGGAGCTACTATAATACCCAAAAAGTAACTTAAGCTTGGGTATGATTTTCCCGCCATGGTTTCATGGGATGTGAGCCGCATGCAAGTTTGCGAAGCGACCCATTGGAAGATAGGATTGGATTGCTGACTTCATCCATAGGGTTGTGGAGTCATACCCCTACCGCTGGGTCCCAGCAATGGTAACATAGCATTTTGGGACGATTGATGTCATCTTCAGTGCAGAAATGCATGTTGAAGTTGTTGCCATCACCTGCCAAGCAGAAGCCTTGATGGAACAGGAACATCATGGTTTGGCCTCTAAAATCTGGCAAGATCCTCCCGGAAAAGTTGGGAAACATGATTAAATCACAATGCCTTCGAAAGTTATTTTGGAAAATTTGAGCAAACAGACGAAATCCCGGAGCTTTTGGCAGGCTCGACTGGTCAGTCTGAGGAGGATTCCCACTCCGGGTCTGGTAGCGAGGTGGGAAGACTCGAGATATCGATGTAAAAGGAGGGATTCCTGATGGGTTTGCCCAGAAAATATCAAAAATATCAAGAATTAACGGATGCCATATTTCTGGATAGGCATGGATAGCCCAATTTATGGCTATTTTTTATAGACAAAAAGTATGATAAGCTATGATATGCTACAGGTTTTAGTTTTTGATGCAACCAGGTTTCATAGTTGTGGCACATGCACGATCATGTACGCACTTGTTGGTTTCAAGATAGAAATTAGTGGCTCTACATTTAGCAATATTGCTGTTTCCTCGTGAAATTGCCTTCTCCTTTTCTTTTGGGTGTGAAATTCGGTTTGGTCCAGAGTAGTGAAATGTTTGCTTGCCATGTTTATGGATAAATATTGTAACATCCTGTAACACCAAACCAAGTTTCTGCAGGGTATCTGGTGAGCTTGTCCAAAATCACCAGTTGTTTCTTGTTGGATCCCGATTTTCGACGCTTACTTGCCCCTATTTAGTGTCAAATCATATTATATAAATTTATTTGTTCTCAATTTGTGACTACCAGAGAAACCTATATCACATTTTTGCTGTTATTCCACGATACCCCATGATATTTCCATTGTGTCCCTATTGTATCTGCATCATATCCCCCACTTGCCATCAATTAAATTCTCCCATGTTTGACAGTTATGTATCCAACACTTCAACATCTGTTCAATGGTAGAATGCCGCGTTCCCCCATTAAACTGAGGAATGTTGGTTACAGAATCTTGGGGATATTATAGGGATATCATTGGGAAATTCAGGGCTCATAATCTGACCATGACCTTCAGGTGCCTGATGTGGGTTCCAGTCGAGACCCACGGCAGGTGGAGGGTTTTGTGTCACTGGCGGAAGCCTGGGTGACTTTTGCGCCGCATAGTCACCAAAGCTGATCAAAGTACCTGGAAATACCTGGGCGATATTTTCTGAAGCTTTGTTTGGAGATGTTTGGAGTTTCAAAGAAGCCTTTTGACATTTTTGTTGACCCATGCACGAACCGGGGCTGAAGTATCCTGAAGCATCCTGAAGTATCCAAATTTCATGGGTCATGACTAGGTTCCAGGTATTGTTTTGGAGAATTTGTCCAGCAGCTCCAGGTGCCAAATTACGGCGCAGCAGATGTAGGACCTGGCTGACCTGTGGGACTTTTTTCGCTGGGGAGCTGGGGAGAGCTGGTGACCTCAAAAAACGACCTGTCTGGGTCACAACAATCATAGATGTCCTTTTCCCATTGGTTGGTTGATTAACAGAGGGGTTGAAGGTTTACCCCTTTAACAGGTAAATGATGATGGATGGTAATACCAAACCGGCCCCTCTATTTTTACCAAACCGACATTATTGACAACAAGTGCGTTTGTGTTATCAACAGACATGGTCATTCAATGGGATATAGCTTGCAAAAACGATGGTTCAATCGGATACAGTGGGTGATGAAAAATGGGATAGCCGGATAGCTAATGGTGGCAATGGAAAATGCCCTATAAGTGGAGGTTTTAATGGGAAAATCATTTGCCATATTTGACTACCCAAGGGTATAAACAACAAACATGATGATTCAATGGGTAATGGGGATACAATGGAAAATACTGTTTTTGGCCTATCTGGTGATTAAACAGGAACGGTTCGGAGCTATAGGTATGCACATCAATCCATATTATATCATCATATCACCCATAGGATCCATGGTGCTGGTATATATGCTAACAAAAAGGGGGTATATTGATGGTAAATGTTACCATATATAGCATACATGGATCCTACGGGTCATATTATATATCCTATTGAATATGATGGTTGTGGACATGTTGGGGGAACATGAAGCTTGAAACCATTGGGTTTGAGAGGCAGCCTGTTTTCAAACAAAGCTTCTTTCCCCTGTCAGGTGAGGGTCTCTCGATTTTAACAAAGGTGCAACTACTTCTTCTCTTCTTTTTGTTATTATGTTTCCCTTCTTATTATTATTCTTCTTCTTCTGCTCTTCTTATTCTTCTTCTTATTATTATTATTGTTGTTAGTTTTCCTATGTTCTTTATTTGTTTTGTTTTATTCTTCTCTTTTTCTTCTCATTATTACTATTCTCTGATTCTTATTATGCGGTTTTTCTTTGCATTGTTATTGTTATTATTGTGTATCTTATGTTTCTTCTTATTCTTCTCTTATTCTTCTCTTCCTCTTCTTCTTCTCGTTTTATTATTATTAGTATTATTATTATTTTGCTTATTTGTTTTCTCACTTCTCGCATGTCAGAAAAGTTCTGCGTTTTTCGCGTCCAACCAATGGCTGGTCCGGAGAGAAGGAAGCTGATGGCTGGCCGATGGCTTCCATCAGAAGGCCATCAGATGCTGGGAAGGTAGCCCTCGAATATGTTATGCAAGTTATGCCCAGACTACTTCAACTTTTTTGGTTGTTCACCAATAACTGTTTCTCCCATCAGTGCATAATTTCAACATGCCTGCCGAGTTTGCTTGAAGAGTTTCCTTTTCGAGACATGGAACATATTGCAAGCAACATTGGCTTGTGTCATTCTCCGGACATTCCACCTCCAGCGCTGTTGCTAGAGCAGATGGCGGATGTTCCAAATCATTTTCTATCGCCGCTTTGAATAGGCATTTAATCCGTGTTCCAAAACAGAGTTCAAAGTTCACAAGCAGCCCAAAGAGATCCGAAGGAAATTCCGCTACAAGAAACCTTTGTTTCCCCATGTGAATCTATGTTCTCACCCAGGCATACCTGCCAGGAATCCAAAGTCAAGACAGAAGAAATCAATCTTCGAAGCAGATGTCTGTGGTCAAGCGTCAAGAAAAAAACTGCGTGCGTGTGTGTGTGTGTGTCTGAAGTCTAAAAATAGCATGCGCCCCCGCACATGACAACCTTCATAGGAACAGTGGTGATAACCCAATGACTTCAGACTTCAGAGGAACTTCTTTTCATTGAACCCTATATACATTTGCGTAGAAGAACCGTTTGGAGCAAGGTCGAACTAAAGATACCTATGCTAGAAATGACAAGAACAAAATAATAATCATGACTGATATGGATGAAGGAGCACTCCTGCGCTACAGAATGCCAGACAAAATGCCAGAGTATATGCCGGACATAATGTCACAAAGAATTCCAGAATAGATGCCAGATTTAATGCCAGAAAGAATATCAGAATATATGCCAGAAAGAATCCGGACAGAATGTCACAAAGAATGCCAGAATAGATGCCAGATTTAATGCCAGAAAGAATATCAGAATATATGCCAGAAAGAATTTCAGATAAAGATCCAGAGTATATGCCGGACAGAATGTCAAATAAAATGTCAGATAAAATGTTAGAACATATGTGTATATATATATATAGACATACATATTATATATATACAGTACCATATTTAGTTCCAGATAATATGCCAGAAACTCGGTCAGAAACTCGTGTGTCAGGGTCATTTTGGGATCGATGGGATGGCCAACGAGTCAGGACATGTCGGTCCTTATGTACAGAGTGTGGGTTCCAGTCGACTAAGTCGGTTTATATGTTGAATTTTCAATAGTTTCTCGTTCATTTCAACATATATACAAATAAATAAATGAATAAAGAAATGCGTACATAAATAAATATCTACATATCTACATATATATATATATATATCGGCAAATGCCTGGGTTTTGCCCGGACCCGCAATGACGACGGGCGACGCCGCATCATCATCATCATCATCATCATCATCATCATCATCATCATCCTCATCATCATCATCATCAACATCATCAACATCATCATCATGATCATCAACATCAGCATCATCATCATCATCATCATCATTACGGGGGTGGGAGTTTAATTTTCCCTAATATCTTTGTTGATCTTCCCAATTGCATGTAAAGTTTAACGGGGGTGGGAGTTTAATATTCCCTAATATCCTTGTATCTTCCCAATTGAATGTAAAGTTTAACGGGGGTGGGAGTTTAATATTCCCTAATATCTTTGTTGATCTTCCCAGTTGCATGTAAAGTTTAACGGGGGTCTCAGAAAGAGAAAGAGCACAGCAGGGTCAAAAGCAAAAAGCTTGTGACAAGTGTTTCAAAACAGATCAAACCGCTGAGGTCCAGCGAAGATGCCTGGTCCCCTTGTGAACCGCTCAGAGGTTGCGGTCGAGACATTGAATAAAGTTTGCTTCGTGCAAGTCGCTTGCCCCTAAAGCGCACTGGACCGAGGTCTTTGTGCTTGAATTCTTCGGCGGCCGCTGCGAGGCCAGGGTAGGTTGGGTCACGAAGAGTTTAATAGGCCGTCGCCCGACCGAGCGTCGCCTCAGGAATGTCAGCAGGACTTCCGCTACGTGGGGGAGGATCCAGGATACCGCGGGGACAACGCGGTGTACTTGTGTCGGAGCCTCAGTTACTCTTACGCTGCTGAAAGATAGCAACACAAGCCGGCGGCTGACGACTCAGGCCTCCGTTGCGCGGAGCGCCGGCGTTACACCATCACGTTTGCTGAACCGTGGCGATCTCAGGTGATGACGCCCAGCTTCAAGATATGTCAAGATGCGAAACGAAAGAGTCACACGCGAGCGCCGCGTGGCCTGAGGTCGGACACAGAGCAGGAAACGGAGCCGGAGACGTCCGACGGTGGTTCCACCGAGGCAGGTTGTCTAAACGGACTATAGCTGCTCATGCTGTGACCCTTGCAAGCAATTGTGTTGCATGAGGCGCCTGGCACGCCCATCCCGTCCGATGAAGAAGACGATCCATCGGACGAGGAGGCACGGGGCGACGCGTGCTAGCTTTTCCTTTGTGACCACATGGCTGCGATGCAGGTGTGGCCTCATCCCCACGGATGGGTCTACGCCTCGACCGAGGTGTGCCAGGCGAGGGAGGGGAAAACAGCGGCGACAAACCGATTCGCCTGATGAGTGCACGGCAGTCATCCCATGTTGCCCCGACAGGCGTACGACGCAGATCTCCGGCTCCTCCCCGAAGACGGCTGGATCCGCCCGGGCCTCAACTGGAGCATCGTATAGATATGCTCGGTTTCTTGGGTTCGTTTGGCGGACCTCGCTCGGCTTCGAGGCTATACGGATCCAGTGAGCCGAGCAAGTTGGTGGCACAAAGGGGTCACCTGGGCGTGGGAGCGCGACTTCTACCTTGAAGTCTGATGCGCGAACTCATGAGTGCATTATATAGACATCTGTTTTGTTTATATATAGATGCACAAGGCACACAGCCTCAGATCGAAACATAGATAAGCAGATGTTATTGAAGAAGGCCATATTCGAGAAAGGACATGAGCTTGGAAAGATCAGGCACGGAAGAAGAAGAACCAGAATAGATCTCAAGGAGGAGTCGCGCTCCCCAGGCCCAAGCTCAATTGTTTCACCGGCGGCCAAGCAGTATATATATATATAGAAAGCAAAACGAACTCATCTAAGATACTGATTGGTTTATTGTTCTATATTGCTTGCAACGGCCTAGCAGGACTTATCCACAGACACCGCTAGGTCGTTGACGCCGCAGACCAAACGCAATTTTGCGACCAAAAAAAGAGAATTGGGGCAACGTGGTTGGGGAAGGGGCTGCTTCAAACCATTCTTAGTGTTCAACGGGAAAAAGCAACACGTCCATGAGAAGAAACTTGCACATATGATCGAACGACATTGTAATCATATCTGCAGCTTATACCACAGCTCAAGAACGACAAAGCTTCGATTCGGTCGCGCGGCGGCCCGCAGCGTCCGGTGCTCAGCTTACTGCCTTGCGTGGTCCAGCATCAGGGTCACGTCAGCGTCTCACACGGCATGTGCAACCAGGCTGATGCCAAACACCAAAAAGCGACCACCGCCGGCCGAAGAAGAGTCGCAGCCTCAGTATAGCGCCTCATGCTGGTTGTTCTTTTGGAGTTAAAATTAAAATCCACCAAGGCCTGTCTTCGTGCCTTGGAAAGCGCGACGCCGGCCGAAGCAGCCGGCGATCCGCTGCAAGAAGGCGAGGCGCTGCGGGACGTAACAGGATTCAATTCAACGGATCGAAGCACGAGCTGTGAGCGTTTGAGGTCGAAATCGACCTGTCGGGGGACGGCCTCACGATCATGGTGGACAAGGCGCGCCCAGTTAGATTTGCGTGGCATTGGCTTGAAGCATTCTGCGTTGCTTGCAGGTGTACGTCCCCAGCCGCAACGCGAAAGATCCGGCGCCGCCACAGCGTTCAGGCGGGTAGCCGATTGCTGCAGTTCCCTCAGGCGTATGAAGCCCTCACTTTATACCGGGGCTGCCAGGATAGCATGGCAACGCAGCTGCGCCGAGCAACGAGCGCCATGAATCGGCGGAAAAAAAGCAACGAGACGGGCCGGACGATGGATTTGCCGGACGTGTTTCGGACAGCTTAATATTCCCTAATATCTTTGTTGATTTTCCCAATTGCATGTAAAGTTTAACGGGGGTGGGAGTTTAATATTCCCTAATATCTTTGTTGATCTTCCCAAGTGAATGTAAAGTTTAACGGGGGTGGGAGTTTAATATTCCCTAATATTCTTTGTTGATCTTCCCAATTGCATGTAAAGTTTAACGGGGGTGGGAGTTTAATATTCCCTAATATCTTTGTTGATCTTCCCAATTGCATGTAAAGTTTAACGGGGGTGGGAGTTTAATATTCCCTAATACCGTTTTTGTTTTTCCCATAGTCCCTAGTACCTTTGTTGTTTTTCCCATAGGAATTTAAGGTTTAACGGGGGTGGGAATTTAATATTCCCTAATATCTTTGTTGATCTTCCTAATTGAATTTTGATTTTCACGATTTGAGAGTTTAAAATCTGCTAGTACCTTTGTTGTTTTTTCCATAGGAATTGCAGGTGTTATGCCGTTTTTGTTTTTTCCATAGGAATTTCGGGTGTTTTGACCTTGTTTGTTTGATAGTCTCTAGTACCTGTGTTATTTTTCCCATAGGAATTATGGTAATTTGCAACATCATGTGTTCGTGAATGGGACATATATACGCTGCAACGCCTGGGCAGAACCCAGGCGTTGCGCGTATATATATATATATATCCAATATATATATATATATATATATATCCAATATACCAATATACATTTACAATCATTTTCACACATATTTACCCTACTAAAATGCCGTTTTTTTCCGTTCCAAAACTAGGTTTGTGCCAATGATTCCGTGGCAGGATCCCCCGTTCCGACCTCGGCCGCCGAGAAGTGACCAAGCCATGGATGGGCAGAGCGCAAATATTTCATACATCGTGACTGGGAATCCATGGTTTTTTTTTAGGGGAATCATCCCCAAATGGCCATGATTATATGATTCAGGTGAGTGAAATATGATTTCATTTACCTAGATCCGAAAAAAAAAATCATTGTTTCACTTAGCCTCTGGTTAATGACTAACATAGCTATGGTATAGATGTCCCATTTACAGATGATTTTCCCAGCTAGAAACCTCCATTTATTTTGGGGATGTTCCATGGCTATGTTAAATAACCAGATGGTAGCCTAATATTCAATACACCCCTTGGAAACCCTGGTTCGGTATTGGATTTGTTCGTTTGGGGGTCCCATATGGTGGGTCTTTCAGGGGAAACCACGCCACTGTCAACTGGTTTCACCGTGAGAACGCGAACAGCAGCTGGGAAATGGAAAACATGGAATCGCCTGCTGTGCCAATGGCCATAGAGAGACATCGAATTCCTAAGGTTATATATAACATATGTAGAGAATTTTTAATATAATATATATATATATAATATAATAGATAATTTATAATATATAAGATATAATATATAATATATAATATAATATACATATATATAATATAATATACATATATATATATATACACACCCTTTGGTAATCAACGATCAGTTCCATACCTATTTTAATCACCAGATGGTAATAAAATGAACGCTCACCCTTGGGTAATCAGATATGGCAATCAAAACTTTGAATCGTCACCATTTTTTCATGACAAATCAATGGTCGGAATTTTGGCGAAATTTTGAAGCATACCAGAACAACAACAACCCACCGCCAACATCATTGGATTGGTTTAAGGGAAAATCTACAGGAAACCATGGTTTTTACCATCAAATATAGGGCTTAAACCAGTAAATTTTCCCATCATCCAATTCTATGACAACAGGTTCTTTGAGGACCGGCAGGATTCCACTGTCTGCCGCAGTATTTTCAGGTGGAATCGTCATGAATCAAGTGATGTTTCAACATTTTGGCACTACGCATGAGTTGTTGCCTTCAAAAAAAAAGACAGAAACTGGATGATGAAACTGGACTATGCAAAGTGATGCTTCAAACATGTTGGTTCTAAGGTTTCTAAGAACAAAAACCCGCTTATCTTGCAGTCTCAGCCATCAATTTATACATCGCACATGAGGGTGATCCCTGGACGCTTGCTGCACATACTGGAAGAGGCTCCTGGAGCGATCTTGCCACCTTTTGCATCGCAAGGAAAGATGGCAGCGCTATCATTGAAGTTCCCAGTGAAGGAAGGTTAGTTTTCCTGTATGCAATTTTCTCTTCAAATGTCAACCGAAAGATGCTTTGCAGATGCTAAATGTTTCTCCAATCTCACTGAAATAGTCCTTCAAGCAATGGAATTGATCAACGGAAAGTTGTTTCAATCAGGGGTTTATACCATCTCTTACACAACAACTGACTCGAAGTATCTCGAAGTGATTTTTGTTGCTTTTGCTTCAGGGGGGAAAGACGCGCCGCTTCCATGGACCAGGCAGGAATTTTACCGGAAACCTCTCACATTTTGCTTTTGATTGGAGACTCCAAATTGAATTTATAGTGCTACGGAGTTATTTGAGCTAATTTTATATATCGGGGTATTGAACCAAAAGTTTCATCCCAAGTAGGTGGATCAATTGAGAAAATTGAGACCTTTCTGCTTGTGAAGACAATTGCTTCGATCGCAGATTCGGAAAAAAAAACATCTGTTTGACTGTTTGCTAAGCTTTAGCCATAATTATACACTTGGGCGATCTTGGACGTTTAGCTTCTCCAGGGCCGGCGAAGGGACACGGTATTTTCATGTATTTTCCACATATCCTACATACATATAATATAAACATATAGTAATTATAATGATAATAAAAATAGTAGTAATACGCGACAAGCGCGGGCAAATCGAGGTGTTTGGCCGTAATAATACTATATAATTAATACAATAGTAAATATGTATATATATATATATTCCACCCAAACTCAAGCTGGTCCAGCAAGATACTGTGGATAGACGAAATCCTGCACCAGTTGGCAACTATACTATGAAACACTGTAAATATTGGGATTATCATGGGATTTCTACGAATCCACCAACTGGTGCAGCCGGGGTACTCTCGACCAGGCTCGGGTCGGTCGAGTTGCAGCGATGCGTGGTCAGACACTTAGATATCGTGGCGAGTCGTCGAAGTCAGTCGTAGCGCGGATGAGTTACAACTTTATATGGAGGAACATATCAATGAAGAACTCAGAGAACCAAAGAGATGGATATCTTGAAAAACACATATATTTATCTGGTTGGTGATTTGGAACATGAATTTTATTTTTCCATTCAGTTGGGAATGTCATCATCCCAACTGACTTTCAGTCCATCATTTTTAGAGGGCTTCAAACTTCAAACCATCAGTGAGTTATATATTATATATCTATATCTATAGTTCATCCATGTGAATCCCATCTATAACTTAATCCCATAGATTTTCCCATGAAAAAATGGGGCTTTCCGGTTCCAATTTTCCCAACTAAACCAATCCTGCTTGATATTTGATGTATATCATATATCTATAGTCAATCCATGTAAATCCCATCTATATATCTATCTGGGTAAATTATAACGACCTCACTGTTCTCCCTCACTGGAAATCATGGTTTTTATAGGGGAATCATCCCCAAATGGCCTTAATTCAGGTTAGTGAAATATTATAATTTGCCCAGATCCATGTGAATCCCATCTATATATCTATAGTTAACATTTGATGTTGCTAATGTTTGCCGTTACTTGGGATGTTTGAAACGAAGCGGCAGAGATTTTGACGAACGTCCGACGGGGCGGACGGAGATATCAAGGTCCGAGATCTCACGACCAGGCCTGGGATGGACGACTGGCGGGATGGTCGTCATCCATTTTGGGATACCAAAGATTCGGATAGAAATGGGATGGATGACCATAAATAAACTACATATCATAGTATAATATGTATGTATACAATATATATATATATATTATATATATATGTAATTATATATATGTAATTATATATATATGTAATTATATATATATGTAATTATATATATGATATCAAATTTGGTTAATTATGTCCCATGAATATCCCATAAACCACACATTGTTCTCCTGGTTTCCCTTCAGCCAGCGTTTTTCGCGTTGCATTGCTTGTGATGTGATGTAGATTTGCATTGATGTGTTCCAGTGGTGTTTGGATACGATTCCTTTGATGCCACTGGTTGGGGATGTCATGTGGTGTTCAACCATACTTCAGCATTGTGGGCGGTATCCCACAATCGGCCCATGCTCGGTTTACAAGTGTGGAAACTTGTTTTGTGTTTTTTTTCTTGGCTTAAGAGCTTGATATTTCTTTGTCTTCAGTTGTTTTTTGACTCTATGTACATAGACATGATACTTTAGAACTCTCCCGACACCCGGACGCCAGCAAAGCCACAAGGGTAAATAAACTTTTTGGCCTTTGGCAGCATTGGAAAAGTCTTGATTGGACTGATGGGTCGTGGCAAGGGTGCCAGGGTTTTACTAAGAATTTCACATCACAGATTAACCCAAAAGGAGTGGCACAAACGTATAAAGATTAGTAAACTTTAAACGTTTTTGTGTCATTGGATGGCTGTGACTGGGACTACTTGCCCTGGAAGGGGGCCTGGAGTTTACTGAACATTTTGGTGAGACGCTCCACTCAAGAGTAATTGAGACAGCCAAAACAACACAGAAAATTTGCTTAGTAAACCTTAGTACCCTCTGGTAAACGTTTACATAACTATGGAAAATCAGCATTTTTATAGGAAAATCCACTATAAATGGCCATTTTCAGTAGCTATGTTAGTTTACCAGAGGGTAAACCTTAGTAAGGTGTCTGACATGGATTGGGCCAACTCCTATGAAAATCTAAAAGCGAGATCCCACTACAATAATCGTAAATTGTTTCAATCTTGTTTGAGAGCGCTACACAAAATACACAGGCAACTTGAAATGAGCGTTTTGTGTTCCTTTGATCAACACTGAAGTGTTTTTTTGTGTGCAAATCCTCGGAGATCTATATTGTATAGACTTTGTATATACGGTTTCACGGTATCAATACGTGCGATCATAAATATTATACTGGTTGGTGGTTTGGAACATTTTCCATAATTTGTGAATAATGATCCCTACTGACGAACTCATATTTTTCAAGATGGTTAAAACATGTTAAAACCACGAAGCAGTATATCATTATCCAGATAAACATTATTTGTGTGTTAAACACATTTAAAAACATATCAACAAAATCTACGGGGAGAATCCGACGAGGTGGACCTGGCCACGGCACCAGCGACTCCGAGGTGTTTTTTTTTGAATGACATTCTGATGGTGGGGAGGGGATGGGGATGATAATATTTGATTCATTGTTTTGACATATGACCTATGTTTTTTTTGGTGATGATGGTGATGATGGTTTGTTGTGATTATCATCATGATGATGATGATAATGATGATGATGATGAATGATGCTGATGACTTTTGATCATGATGCTGATGATGATGACGACGATGATGATTTATGATGACAACTGATGGTGATGATGCTGGTGCAAGTCGATTTGCTTGTTGTTTTTGATGGCAGGAACGGGCCGCCTATGACTTGCTGCACAAAGAACAGGGCTTTCAAGCTTTCAGGCTGCCGCACTGCGGGACACTGCGGGATCACGGTGGAGCAAGTGCCGCTGAATGCGGTGGATCTAGTTTAGCTTTTAAAATGCCCTTTTTTGTTGGCATTGAAATAGGATAATCATCATCATCATCACCATCAGTTGTCATCATAAACCATCATCGTCGTCGTTATCATCATCATCATCATCATCATCATCATCTTCACCTTCATCTTCATCTTCATCTATATTTTGTGTTGATTTTCCATTGCCATGTTTGATTTTCAGAGGTACACATTTGTGTCTTGTGCTGTTGGGCTGTTGGTCCAGAAGAAAAGGGAGGGTTAAAGAAACAGAAAGAAGTCAATCTGCAACATGAACTGGTTGGTGGTTTTAAACATTTTTTATTTCCCACAATATATGGGATAATCCTTCCCATTGACTAATATTTTTTAAGATGGTTAAAACCACCAACCAGTGAGTGTGTATGTAAGCAACCAAATTTCAAACATGGGCCAGATGCCAGATACCTTGCCCTTGAAGGCGGCTCATCAATCGCTCTTTCCCTCCATCAGGGTCAACTCCAGGCCCTATGTACTGTTCAGGGCCCATCATTCGTATGTAGATCTTGTGCTTCCCCCTACAGTGTGATATGTTGTTATCCTCAATCTTCCCCAAAACCGCATCAACCTATCTTCAAGTCTTTTCAGTGCTTGACATTAACCCCATTTTCCAGCATTCTATCAAAGTGTATTTGTTTAAAGAACAGTGTTTGTTTAAAGAACAGTGTTTGTTTAAAGAACAGTTTTTTTTTGGCGCTTTGATATGAATTCCGTTTTCCTATGTTTCCCCTGTTTTGTGTACTTTTTGAATGTATGTTTTCCTGGTGCGTATCATTTCCTCTACGAACATATGGTCAAACCATTATTTGCACAGTAAATCCCTATGTTTCCAGCAGTTAAATTTTAATATGTGTTCCATTCACAACCACTTAATCATTAAAAACCGTCAAGAATAACCTTTCACCATGAATAAACCATCAAGGACCATCAATTCCCATGCATGAACCACTACATACCAGTAATAACAATTAACAACCATTAACAACCATCAATATAACATAACAGAACCATTAATATAATAACATAACCATTTTGTAACCATTATGTAACTATTATGTAACCATTATGCAACCATTATGTAACCATTATGTAACCATTACGTGACCATTGATATAGCATAACATAACCATTATGGAACCATTAATATAACCATTATGTAATTCCCCGGTCATCAGCCTTTCTAGGTCCTGGTACTTGCAGCAGCTGCGCCAAACGCAGCCGGAGACGCCGGACGTGGGATCCGCCAGATCCATGGGATCCGTCGAGGACGCAGTGGGGCTCTGCTTTCAGGCGCAGTGGGGAGAACGATGCCTGGGGAAATGCCTGGGATATGCTGGCACCATCATCAACTATGGTTCCCTCTGGTCAATGGGATTTGATTTTTTGTGATTTTTCATGGGATGATAAAAAGTGATTCAATGCCATATTAATGGGAAAATACCCTCTGGTAAACTAACAAAAAGCTATTGAAAATGGCCATTTATAGTGGATTTACCGATTAATAGCATGGTGATTTTCCATAGTTATGTATATAAACGTTTACCAGAGGGTACTGTCACTCGAGGAGGAGAATGTCAACCATGAAAAACCTGAGACACACTTAGATGTTTTTTTTGGGGGGTCATGTGTATTGAAAGTAATCCTAAGAGACGGGAAATGGGGCGTGATTTCTACATGTTTGATGTTGATTTGTATTGCTACAAGGGAAACAAGGGAAACTTGCAGATAGAAGACGTCAGTGATTTAAGTATTTGTAGTGATACCTTCATGGCTCAAGGAGATTCGTCGGGGATCAAAAACAGCAAAGATGGGGAGTGTTTCACATAGCCAACCAACATTGTGGATGACCATGTCCTCAGGTCGGAAAACAAACACATTTCTTCGACCAGGCCAAGATGTTGATCAATTGAAACCTAACTCTCAGGCGGTTCCTATTCCTGGGACCATCAACGAGTACGCGTTGTTCTCAGCAGATGGGTTGAAATCTACCTCCAAAGCGCGTTTGGCATTGGAAGAAGGCAACGGAACCCAGGTTTTAGGACTTGAAAAGGTGAATCATCATTTTTCCTGTAGATTTCCCCCAACAAACCGATCCATTGATTCATTGACCCATTGAATCATCACAAATGGGAACATGGCATGTTTCATTCCACCGAAGGTATGAAGAAAGGTTGGAAGCGTCAGACCAGAGAAGATCAATTATTGTACTCCAGATTTGTATCGGAATTCCTTTCATTTTCAGATAGATAGATAGATTGATTGATTGATAGATTGATAGACTGATAGAATTAGATAGATAGAATTAGATAGATAGAATTGGATTGATATAATTAGACAGATAGAATATGATAGAATTAGATAGATATAATTAGATAATTAGATAGATATAATTTTGATAAATAGAATTAGATAGATGGAATTTGGTAGATGGAATTTGATAGATGGAATTTGATAGATGGATGGACGGATGGATAGATAGATAGATGGATAGATAGATAGATATATATATATATATACCGTTCTGGACTATGCCATGGAGAAACAAAGGTGACTCTGGTCTTAGATGGTTAATGTTCTACCTTATGGTGTTTTGGATAGCTTAAACCGCTCATATTATGCGGTTTTGGATGATTGAATGTAGATTTTCATGCTGGTTTGGATGTTGTTTCAACTATGTTAACCACCTCTATATATATATGTTATTTCGGACTTACAATGATATGTCATATATGGAGGTTTCCTAAAATAGGGGGTACCCCGAAATCATCAATTTTAATAGGATTTCAAAAAAAAAGAAACAACATCCATTTTAGGGCACCCCCATAATGAACCTCCGTTATAATGAACCTCCATTTGGATGATCGTACAAAGTGGCCGGGCCCCCGCTGACGAAATCGCAAAGTTGGTGACATTCCAATATTTACTGTGATTTATGATATTTACTAACTAGAATTAACTGTATATTCATGGAATCCCTAACTATGGTTTACGATATTTATAACTATAATTAATTGTACTATTCAGGGAATATGGTTTATGATATTTACAACATCTTATAAGTGTATATAACTGTACGAAATTCATGGTATGTATAAACCAACCAACATCCCTGGGGGGGCCCACATTGTCCAAGGCTTTCATGGACTTCCTGCGATTGTTCCTCAATTGCTCAGATGCCGAGGTGGAAAGACTTGCGGGCGGAAAAACCGGGGCGATACGGGGTCAGTTCCAATGTGTGGCTGAGTAGCCTATGGTAATCTGATAATCTTAGGATATCTTTGGAATACATGATTATATATATAATGATTATATGATCATCAATCTTACCGTATCAAAATGCAAAACTCTCATGAATTACTTGATGTTTTTTACTTTCAAAATTCATGTATAGATGGGTTTCGATGGCAGATTTTTTGTTAGTACCAGCATAGACAAAACCAGAGGCAAGCCCTACTGGTTTTGTCGTCCCATTCCATCGGCGCAGGCGCGTCAGGCACAATCCCAACAAGACAAACATGGCAGTGTGTCAAAACCTTGTACCCCTGGTGAACATCAAAATAGCTGGGATTTATGGATGTTCATCCCCCTAAAAATGGTATTAATAGGTATTGATCCATACCCACATGTTTGTTCGCTCTACTTGGGAATGGTTTGCATGATCGGAAATCTACTTGGTTAGCAGTGTCAGTGTCAACAGCGTTTTTTGCCTTTCATTCTATACTTGGAAACGTTATCTCAAGTTGCAAAAACATGTTCAGGGGTTTGGATCAAGCATCATTGCCAAAAGCTGGAAAACAACATACCAACAGTATCAAAAGGAAGCAGGAAGCAATGCATTTAGGCGATTTTAGGGTTAAGACTCCGGAGAGAAAGTTGTTTTTAGGAAAAAAACAAGAAAACAAGAGAACACGAAAACAAGAAAACAAGAACACTAGAAAACTAGAAAACTAGAAAACTAGAAAACAACAACAACAACAGCAACAGCAACAGCAACAACAGCAACAACAACAACAAAACCATTTTTTGTTTAAAAGAAAACTATATTTTCCTCACATTTTATTGTTTGTGTTTTGTTTTGTTTTGTTTTTATTATTATTGTGTGTTTTCTTTTTTTTGGTTTTCTAGATTGTTTTTTCAGTATTTTCTGTTTTTTATTTTTACTTTTTATGACACCCTATATTCTCTGTGTTGTTGGACTCTTAATTTTAGGGGAATCTCATTTCATTGCCGTTAACTTCTTCAATGGTTGTTTCAGTGCCATGTTTTTCTTTGCATCTCCTGTTTTTTGGCGCTTGGATCTGTGGATTCTTTCAGGCTTTCAACTTCTTTCGCTTGCTGGACGCATCCATGTTGGGTGCCCTGAAATTTCAACAGGCGCGTTTTGGCGGAATCCCATCAGGTGCCGCTTGACGCGGCGGTTTTGACAGAGGAACACACTTGATACCCTCTGGTAAACTTTAACAAAAAACTATGGAAAATCACCATGCTATTAATGGGTAAATCAACTATAAATCACCATTTTCAATAGCTATGTCAGCTATGTTTGTTTGCCAGAGGGTATTTGGGATATCCGATTCTTCAGATGCACCTGAATATCACAGCTTTAACAATGACCACGTCTTTTTTTCAACGGTGCGGATACTGAGTTCTCAGCAGGAATCACGACGGTGTTTGCCAGTCGTGAATTCGCTTTGACGTACGCTGTAGCCTTGAACAGAAGATCCTCACCACCCTGCTTCAAAATGTTTTTTTTGAGGTAATGTGCTAAGCTGCCTGAACCCAATAAACCATTACCAATAGACAGGGGTTGGTAACTGTCCCATTTTGGGTATATTGGACATCACCTTATAGTAGCCATCAAAAAGACCATATACCTAATATTAGGTCATGGTTGGGTGATGTTCAATGGGGACATTTAATGACCCATGGAAGTTCATTCTTGGGCTTCACATTTTTTCAAATGCCTTGACTCGGTCCCTGTCGGTGTCCAGGTGTACTTGGCTACGGTGCTTGTTTCTGCGTTGAGTTCCCGGCAATTGACCAAGTACCGCGATTGACGCAGGGAACGGTGACGGATGGCGTTTTGTTTGTTGTCTAAGTTGTCTATCGGAAAATCTCAAGGATATATGGTTTTTAAATGTTTTTAATGGGTTTTCAATGGATGTTTAATGATAATGGGAACATCTTTTGAAACTTGGTTTCCAACATCACCAAGGTCGAGTCTGGTTCAAGAAAAATGGGAGGCTTTCCAATCATGAAGAGGTGAAACATGATTATTCTGCTGAGCACCAAGTGCCTAACGTGCGCACCAGTGAAAGAACATTACACTGTACATCACTGTACGGAGGATGAATCACATTGCCAAAGATGTTCTTCCGCTTCAAAGTACGTTCGAAAACATAGAGATTCTGCTGCTCAAAAAGACGTATCGACTAAATGCGCAAAACACAAGTTACCAAAGCAACACGTAGAACGAAGTCATTAGCATGAGATTACTAAGTTCAAGCTGATGACTACCATCATTTCCGTTACAACCTCTGTTTTTTTTGCATGCTTTAGTGGTTCAACTTCAAGAAACACCTAACTAATTCAGAAATAAATATCCATCGGTCCATCACACTTGGTGGTAAGAGCCGATATCCTGATGGTGGAGAAGCAGTTTCACGCAAAGTCGCCACGTTAAGTTTAAGGTATGTTTAAGGTTAAGGTTAACTTCATGTCGCTTCAATTGATGTTAGCGTGGGTGAAAAATAGAGTTGTTTGTTTCCGCGTTAAGGCTTCAAAATTCAAACACATTGGGGCATAAATGATCATCGATTCATAGAAGATGAACCACCCTCTGGTAAACTGACATAGCTGCCATAGCTATGGAAAATTGTTGATTTATAGTTGATGTCCCAATTCAAAAAGGTGATTTTCCATAGTTATGTTAGTTTACCAGAGGGTAAAACACTATTTGAACCCAGGATTTACCAATTAAGAAAGGTGGATGTTTTCGCTATGTAAACGTTTACTGGGTAGATCCTGCGCAAAGATCTTTCCATCCTGATCCCAACTGGAGAAACAATCTTCCCAGGTGCCTTTATTTGCACTCCCGGTGGCTGCTCCAAACTCAGTCGGTTTGATGTGTGCTGAGTTTTGTCAGCTGATCACAAACTGAATGCGGTTCATATAGTTGTTTATCTGATTCTTAGATGGGTTTTCCCACTTTAAACCTTCCATTTCTGGGATTTTATCGGGGATTTCCAGCCATCAATGAGGACCCCTGGATTGGGGTGGCAGCTGAGGTTTGAAACCATGACCGTGGAGCCTTTGCAAGGCTTATCTTGTTGTTTACAGCTTGTGGAAGCACATGTTGTTTTGGTGAAGGGTTGAAGATTTGTTTCGCCCAAAAACTGTCGTGATTTTGGGGATTGAACTACATTGAACCGACATGAGCCATGTAAACTGTTGGTTTCAGCTACCAATATTGGATGGTTTTATACCAGCCCTCAGGTAGCGGACGTTTCCAGGGCTTGTGAAGTACTGTATAGGAATGACTAGCCAATCTTTGTTTGTTTTCAGGGCTCCTGAATTTGTCACCTGCACCTGTAATTGGGTGTGTCACAAAAAAAGAAAGAATTGCCTCCAAAAAGGATCTGATTCTCAGAATACAGCTATATACATACGTATCATATATATATATATATGTGTGTGTATGTATGTGTGTATATATATATGTATATATAGGCTTGTCCTGGCTTCTGGAACTGCGGCAGCAGTTACGCACACGCGGGGTGGGGGGTGGGGTGGGGTGGGGTGGGATGTTAACGTTCATGTGAACTTGCGGCAGCAGTTTGATGCTACGCACACGCGGGGTGGGGGGGGGTGGGATGTTAACGTTCATGTGAACTTGCGGCAGCAGTTGATGCTACGCACACGCGGGGTGGGGTGGGGGGTGGGGTGGGATGTTAACGTTCATGTGAACTTGCGGCAGGATGTTAACGTTCATGTGAACGGGACAAGTTTTACCAACCTAATTCAGGTTTGCGCGGTTCCAGAAGCGGGGACGAGGATGATGATGATGATGATGATGATGATCTGATGATGATGATGATGATGATGATGATGATGATGATGATGCTGATGATGTGATGATGATGATGACGATGATGCTGATGATGATGTTGATGATGATGAGGATGATGATGATGAAAATGACCCAAATGAAACTTGTAAATTCCGGGACGAAATTTCGTCCCGGAATGGACAAGTTTTCCCAACCTAATTCAGGTGGTCCGCAGTTCCAGAAGCGGGGACGAGGCATATACATATATATATATATATGTATATTTATGTAAATATGTATATATATATATATGTATACATATATATATATATATATGTATACATATATATACATATATGTATGTATAATTATGTATATATATATATGTATATATATATTGTGTCATTGTTCTGTTATTATAATTACTGTTATGATCAGTTTCATTATGATATTATCAGTATGATTATTATATATATATATCCAACATGATTACCATTTGGATATATCTATATACATATTGTCACTATCATCAAAAACACCATGACTGGAGGGCTCCCAAAGATTGATGACAGGCCAGGGTGGACCACGACTCTTGCCATGGCCTCGTTTGCAGGTGCCGTGCCGTCGATTTTTTGACGGTGATTCTGACGGAAAACCATAGGGAAACCCATAGGGAAACCCATAGGAAAATGGAGGTTTACCATCTGGTTATGACCAACATTGCCATGGAAAGATCCACCCATTTTTAATAGGTAAACCATCTATTTCTATGGGCCGTCTATATGGCTATGTTAAATAACCAGAGTGTAAGTCATCATTTTAGACATCCGCAAGATAGAAAAGTAAATCCCCACTGAAAAAAGTGGAAAACAACTCTTCTAATTCTATCTTTGGGGGACTACGATAAACTATAACTATAATGATAATCATCATAATGCAGGTGTAATACGAAAAAAAAACAGATAGTGAGAATGATATACTGATAGACATAGACCGCAAAAAGGATACTTGAGCCCCATTGAGCCATCTTGAGCCCCAAGAGTATGGGATGTTCACATAGGAAAATTTAGGTGAAGTGTGGAAACATGATTGAGGTAAGCCTGCGGTGAGCAGATATGGCGAAGATCATGGAAAATGTGCGATTTATAGGACGATTTCCATTTAAGATGAAGGCCCAGGTGGTAAATATGTTTTTTGCAATACATATATACGTCTAGAATTCAAAATCGTCTATGATTTGTATTTTGTTTGATGATCAAAGTGGTAATTCCTGAAATTTCGTATAACTGATCCTATGATTTTGTGCAAAAATATGCAAAGACATGTTCTATTTTAATGGCAGTTGTCCAAAAATCCGTGTCAAATTAACGGAGAGTAAGTCCCACTGCTTTGACACAGTTTTGGTATGGCTCTGAAAATGGTTTGTGCGGTGATTCTTGTTGATTTACTCATCAGCAAATCCAACCTATTTTGAGAATCTAGATTAATCAGATCATTTTTCCGATCAAAATCTCCTATTCTTTTAGCAGAAAGTGAGGCCTCCAAACGATAGCTCAGCTGGTGAACATACCTCCAATTCTGCTATGGTTTATGATAGTATTCGTGGAATTTTCTAACCCAACAAACATCACGTTTTGGGGAGAAACATTATATGCAAAAAGATGAACATATATTATATATATGTACGTGTATATATATATATGTATACTATTATAGACTATATGCATCATATTTAGATGACTATATTTCCTGATCAATGGATATAGCATATTCTATGGATACTATGGATGACTATGGATTGTCTATGGCCGGAGTCAACCGCCACGCCAGTCCCTCTTCCAGCTCCTTGGTGCGAACTGGATCTTCGTTTCTCGCAACTGTTGGAAGCTCAGAGCCGAAGCTGTTGGAACCGTTTGGGCGGCGTCTAACGCGGCTGAGCGTTTGGAGATATTGGGCCCAAAATCCGTTATTAAATGTTGAAACTAGTAGTAATTATATGTGTATATATATATATATTCAAACATGTTATACTTTTTAGTACCAACTATACCAACTATTGATATATACATATATATATAGTCTTTATGGCATATGAATCGATATGAAGTGAATATGTGGGCACCCCAAAATCCACTGGTTACCTGGTTAGCTCGGGGAGTTCCAGTGCTGAAATGTGCTGAAGGAGAATTCTAGTAACCCGCGGATGTCATATGAGATACTCTCTGTGGTATTGTTTACGAACAAACATCTGGAATGAGGTGTAAACTGATTAAACATGTTTATTTATATAATACATATTACATAGTGTATATATATATATGTTTATTTATAAATACATATGGATATGGAAATTGCCATTGACTTTTCACGAACAGATCTTTTAATATGTAAAAAAGGAACTGTTGCTGGTGATTTCGTTGATACATGGGTTTGATTGAAAATATGGTACCCTTCGGTAGTCAAACGTGGCAAGTGGAAATCCTGCTGGTAAAATGTTTATAGCTTGTAAAATCATCTACAAACGGTGGATTTGCCAGCAAGCCATGTTTGATTCCCGGAGGGTCTCAGCCATTCGGTATTAAGGGTACCATCGTAGATATATCAAAATATAGGTATCTAGTTTTATAGATATCTACTTGTCCAACAAATATTAGATATGGTACTTACCCAACATTTCACTTTTACGATCCCCTCAAATCCATCCATTCACAGCCGCCCGGGACTTTCCCTAGGTCCTCTGACCCTGGGCTTCAGCCCGCAGACGCACCTCACGCATGACGAGTTCGTCGAGGAACGATCTGGTCCAGTGGTGTTTGAAAATGGGCGGGTTACCCATAGAATGGCCATTGAAAGTTGGGAAAAATGATGAAAACATAAACATGATTTTGTTGTGGTGCTTGAATTTTGGACACACCCATGATGTTTTTACATCGTTTTTACGGTGATTGTATGAATCAAACTGATGGAATATGGAATGAACTGAATGATTTGAGATGTTTTTTGTTTTCACGGCATGAAAGCAGTTTTGAAACCTCCTGCACACTACGATTCTGTCGGCCTTCGGCCTTGGGCCCCCCCGGGGGCCCTTGGCACGCTGCCTGCGTCATCGTGCAGGTCCTGTTCTGCGTGTTGGCGCAACTGGACAAAGACGCTGTGGCCAAAGATGCTCAGGTGGGGCCGACGGGGTATCCCAAGGTGAGAGACACATGTTTTTTTCTGATGGATCTTCCGAAGATTCTGCAAACATGCTGGTCTACAACCTAGAAAATTGATGAAATGTATTTTTTCTATTTCTTGATAAAAATCTGGATCCATTTCCAATAGACTCTGCATATACACTTTTAAAAAATATGGGTTAAACAGTTTCAAACCAACCATCAAGGCCCAGGTGAAGTTTGTAAACGCCAAGAGAAGCAAAGAAATATGGGGATCATAAGCACTGTGAGCGTATTGTCAGCCACAAACATGGATACAAAGTGGGGCCCCCTAGATTGCTAAGTTGGTTTAGACCTCCAAGATCTATAGTTTATGATATTTATAACATCTTATAACTATAGTTTACGGGATTTATAATTTATAAACCAACTTAAAACTTGGGGGTCCCACCTGGTATATAATCAAGTGTCTTTTAGTCATGGTTGGGGGGTCATAACCCGCTTACCAGTCAAAAGGTTGGGAAACAAATTGTGTGTTTCTGAAGGGACCCCATGGACGTGTATATATATATAATTATATATATATGGACATGCTTCAAATTTGCCTATGGACCACAAAAGTCGGGTGTTGAATGTCAGGGATAAAAAATGTTGAGTACTGGGAATGCCATGGAAATTCTTTTGCGCCAGGTCATAAGACCGGCCAGGACCGTGAAATCCAAAGCCTGTACGGTGCTCTGAGGGTTCCTTCATGACTTCCAGTGGAGGCTGAGCTACTAGGAGCTTCCCACTAGGTCTCTTGAAATTCCGTTTAAATAGCTGTTGATATAGTGATAGTTACCCTCTGGTAAACGTTTACATAACTATGGAAAATCACCATGTTTAATGGGTAATTCAACTATTTCAATGGTCATTTTCCATAGCAAACTGTTAGTTTACCAGAGGGTAATCGTGTTCATCATACCCAGACAGGTGCGGTTTTGATCTGAAACGGGAACCCAGAGTTGGGCGGTGATAGTGGCCTAACGGATCAGTCAGTGGCTGCCAAAAGATCTACCAATGGCTGGTCACGTTTAGCCTTGAACCGTCATAGATCATTCAAGTTTGTTAGCGCGTTATGAACCATGAGGCATGAACCAGTCAACATTGGATGATGTTGGCCATTCAGTATTTACCTAGATCAAAACATGGTCAAGTTTGATGAATGAGTGTGAGCTAATCCTCCATCACCGCTCAGTTGTATTCGCTCTTCTGTTTCGGGGACAATGAGGCCCCTCTGTCGGCGTAGTCAATGTAGACACAGCGTGGCCAATGTGCCATTGAGCCAGCCTTTTGGTGGCTGGTAAATCAGTGGCTGATTTGGGGATGGATTTGAATTTCTCTTCAGAATTCACCCAGGGCATCCCAGGGCACAGGGGTTGGGGCTACAACAATTGGGGACTTCATCACTCCAGACTAGAAACATGTTTTTGTTGGATGAGACTGTTGAAGATGTTTTTTCGAGGGATCAAAACAATCAACACACATACAATCAACATATCCATGACTGGTTGGTGGTTTGGAACATGTTTTTTTTCCATTTCATATATGGGATCATCCGAAACCCATTGACGAACTCATATGTTTCAAGATGGTGATTGCACCACTCACTGGATTGGTTTAAGGGAAAATCTACAGGAAACCATAGTTTTTACCATCAAATATAGGGTTTTCCTGTAAATTTTCCCATCATCCAATTCTATGAACCACCAACGGGTTTTTTCAACTTTGTGATAAGGTCGCTATTTGCCAAGGAGAACCTGGATAAATCGCCATGGTGGATCATCTCGTAGGTAGCCCTGTGACGAAAAGCACGGGGACTGTTTCGGCTTTGAGTTGCGTTGAACAACGCAACTCGGCGGACAGTTCAGTTGGGACAATAGCAACCCCAAAAAGATCAGTAAAATCCTAGCAACATAATGATAACTTACTGTAAGTTACTGTTATCTGATAAGGGAATAAGTTGAAGATGTCCCAGAAGTGGTTTCATGATGTATCACGGGGAATTTACAGAAAGCATCAGGAAGCCCCTACTTGTACCATCTTGTACCTATGTTTGACGAAAAAAGTAACGGGTTTCCTGTACTTGTTCCCTTTTACTGTCAAATGGAATTATGATATATTATATATATACATATATATATATACATACATATATATATATACATATATATATATATGATATGATATATATGTACAAGTACATATCAATCCAGTTAAGCACCGTCTTGTTCTTGCAAATCATTCCTAGTCATGCTGGGTGCCTTTGTTTGTTCTTAGCCGTTCATCACCAGATAGGGCTTGGCTGATGGTTAGTATCCATGGGTTTAGTCCATGATACTCTAGTGTGACTCTGAGAAAGATAGTTCCTCAGCAAATTTGATGATAAATAACCAGGTTGGCCTTGAAGTCATTATAGTATATAATCATTATAGAACCTCGCTGGGACCAGAAAAAAACATGTTACAACCCAAATATGATCTCCGAGGTGTTCGCTTTTCCCAGCATGGCAATGTATGTTGTGAAGAGAAGTGGGAAGAAGCAGGACCTGGAACTTGGGACAGTCATAGAAAAGGACAGCCGAGTTGCAATGACCCCCAAATTATGCAGTCCGGCATAGTGAAGATGCCCTTTTGTTCACTAGCACTTCAGTGAAAAAATTTTTGGCGTCAAACGGTAAAACGGTATACATACATATAAATATATATATACATATCTAAGATTATCTAACTGGTTGGTGGTTTGGAACATGAATTTTATGTTTCCATATATTGGGAATAATCATCCCAACTGACGAACTCATATTTTTCAGAGGGGTAGGTCAACCACCAACCAGACACAGCCACAGGAGGTGAAGTTTGACAACATCACCAAGCGCATCCAGAACCTCTGCGAGGCAGATTTTTTTGTTAGTACAGCAATATGCCACCAATATATGGTTTCAACATGTTTCAATCTCAATCATTTATAGTAAAATGGGAAATAGTTTACTCTTGTTTTACGAACATCATTATTACCCAAAAAAGATTTTATGTTGTTTAACAGGGAAGACTGTGATAAACTATGGGATGAGATGGGGTAGCCCATTGTCAGACAAATCCAGAAGATGCTCTTTGATGTTCTTTTGGCTATTTCAAATGACTTGTGTTGTAACCCTTTCGGAGAAACCACGATAGATGGTTGTGTTTTCTGTTTGCTATGTTTGTTGGAAGCTAAATCAACTGAACGACAGAGTTTTGGAGGAACTGTGTGAAGGCACACATCATTTTAAAGTAGGATCCAACAAACCATTTCCCTTGGAATGTGATTTTACGGGGTCCACCTTTGAGCCATGTCTCAAGTGGTACCATTGGAAGATATTGGAAGTACCGATCTTCAGCTTCAACAGCCAAGTGGTTTGCAAGACAAACTGAGATACTATGATACCAAGTCTAGGGAAGCTAGAAAGATATCTTAAATTTGCAGAAAATACCATGGAAGTACTAGTACTGGCTCTAGGCTCTAAGTGTATGTCCGCAAAAAAGGCTGTTTCATACCCTCCAGTTTTTGTTGACCGTTGGCGTACTGGAAAATCCCCATGGACATCCGTCTCATCGGATGACACTTTTTTTACGGCGTCAGTCTATGGGTAAGTTCAGCAGAGAATTCAGAAAGTCAAATAGAGGAAGGGTGAGAATTATCTACTGGTCATTGGTTGAATGGGAAAGATATGGTAGATACCTGGCAGTTGTTGATTATTTGGTTGATGCTTAAGCAGTATTTAGATGTATTTAGTGTTTCTTCATGCTTGTTTTCGCTGAAAGCCGCTTATGAACCTATTTTAGCACCTTTGTTGGTTGGAAAAAATCTCTATATTGTGAGGAAACAACAATGGTGCTAATTCATGCTAATTCTATATTTTATAGGTGCTAATTCTATATGTTGTAGAAAATTCTTCCTTCAAATCCTATTGTTTGTCGAATTGTGAGCATAGTCAACCATGCATTTCTGCAGTGCCCAGCCGACAAGGGCTTGGACTTGCAATTCATCGATCCCGTGTTGATCACACAGAAGGTGCGGTTGCCGCTTTGGCGTTTTGCATTTTGGATGGGCCACAGAAATATCATCCAACGAAATGTTTTGTGGAGGAATGGAGGATGATAATTACATTTTGGATGACATGTCTTAGATTCGTATTGTTTTTGACTTGACATATCAAGTCCAACAATGGTATCCATGATCAAATCCATTAACAAATCAACTCACATATATCAAATCCAGATTAAAGGAAACGTCATTTGGAATTGATATCTTTGATATGTGTCTCACAGAAAGGGCGTTCATGGTTTGTCCACAACATGAAGAGTGTTGGATTTCATGTTTCACCAGGACAGGGAAGGGGATCCAGGGAAGTTGAGTGGTTTATGGGAATGGCGAAAGGGAATTGTCCCAACTGCTGTTATCCTCTTTGTCAGTGGGTTGATATACCCCCTGGTAATTTAACGTAGCAAACTGGAAAATCAAAATGTTTTTTAGGTAAATCGTCATGTTTATCATCTACAAATGTTAATTTTCCATGGCTATATTAAATAACCAAGAGTATAGATGTGTTATATTGTTTGGTGATGTTTGCGAACCAACTATCTCAATAAATTATTGTCAATCGGTTCATCATTTGTTTGTTGCTTCCTGCAGTAAATCCTAATTACTGTAACTAGTTGCTGCAATCCACCATTACCTAACGTCCCCTTCTTCTTCAGCTAAATCCAGCATATGGTTCTCCAAAACTCATCTTTGGCCCATCTTTGCAGCATTTTTCTTGTTTCCAAGGGCGGTGTGTCCATGACGAAAGTCACGGTAGCGCCAGGTGGTGGAGGGCTTCTACAATGGCATCTCAACTGCAGAGGTTGACACCTTGGCCGCAGAGACTTGCGCCTACATGTGCCCTGTACCCAAAAAGAGGGGATGGGGAGGATTGGAAAGAGATGGGGAGATAATATGAGATACGGGGATATATATTAGGGGCAAGTTTGGAAAGGATGGTTGATTTAACTGATTTAGCTCTCACAAATGGTTGATTTCAGCCAGCAATAAAAGTGAAGGCATAATAGGATAATATATATATAATGATTATAATAGGAAGTTTGGAGTTGGTTTAGAAGATGAACACCTTGGGAAAGTTGGAGTTAAACCTTAATGAACCATAGTTTTGCGTTTTTTGAGTCGTTGTATTACACACAAGTTTTCTGGACTTGTCGCCGTTTGGTCCTACCTTTGTTGGACGACAAAGTGTGAGACCCCCACAGAGATGGTGCCCTTTTTTGACGTGGCGAACTTCACGTCATCTCGCTGCATCTGGCATAGTCTGATTCAACATGTTTGATTCTGGCATAGTTTTGCATATTTTTGCATTATGAAATTATTCCAATTGGCCCAGGATTCTTGATATGCGATGAAATTCTGAATGTTGTTCGAAAATGAAATTATACTATACCCATAGGATCCATGTATGGTATATATGCTAACATTTGGGGTATATTGATGGTAAATGTTCCCATATATATAGCAGCACAATGGATCCTATGAGATAGAAATTGCTCCAACGATAAACCACAACACCACGACACGGAAGTTTCCGCCTTGGCGGTGCATAGCACGGCCAGGATCTGCGGCCAGCCCATCATCTGAGGGGTTGCAATTTCCCTGGGAAATGATACCCTACATGTAACCTCAGTGGCTATAGTTACTACATCTGGTTGGTGGTTTGGAAGATTTTTTATTTTGCATAATATCTGGGATAATCCTTCCCATTGACTAATATGTTTCAAGATGGTTAAAACCACCAACCAGTACATGTTATCATTAAGAAAAGTACCTAATCTAGTTTTGTAAGTATCATTCCTCAGTGGCTAACCTAGTGGCTGCAAGAGATTTTCTTTTATGATTACGTGGCTAACCTATCCGAAAAAAACTGGTGATTGTCGCACTAAAAACGAACTGGGCAATCCTCTTCAACAACCTATTTTTTCCGGAATGAAGTACTCCGGACTCCGGGTTTTGAAGATCACAGTTTCTTAGAAAAATTGGTGAGCTATATCATAAGTGATATTCCATTACCCATATTGTTGCTTATATTCTCATCATTCCAATCACATCCCTATTTTGGGATATATTCCCACAATATCCCCATGATATGCTCATTATATCCTGTTAACATGCCCATCATATTACCATAATATCCCTACTATTTCTGGGTTATATTCCGACAATATCCCCCTGATATTCTTATCCTGTTAATATGCACATCATATTTATATATATATATATATTTATAAATATACTATAACATTGATTATACTGTATATGTATTATATATTATATATCAAGATATTATAACATTTTATTATATATATATATATAATTTATGTCTTACACTCCCCAAAAATAACATAGAACTGCATGCTATTCCTGCGGTCTCCTAACATGAACCTATGGGACGGTCTCAAGTGAATTTTGTTCCCCAGGAAATCATGCACTTATCCCGCTCATGAATTTTCACATGGGTGCGCTAACATGGAACCATTTGATTTTTTTGCCCAACGTTAGTTTTCGGGAGAGTACATATTATCCTCGGGTAAATTAATATAGACCTTGAAAATTACTATTTTTAGTGGAAACTAATCTTCCAACCCCGACAACTGGCAGGGTCTATGTTAATTTACTGGAGGGTATATATAATATATATAATTAGATATATCATAGTGATATATATATATATATATATTATATCCCCATCATTTGAGCAGAGCCAGGTCTGGAAAGCATCCGGATTTTTCAACCCTGGCTGCACGGATCGCCGTGTCCAACCTCCACAAGTCTCCTGACGGAGCTGGAGATGTCGAGCTGGCCCCGGTTCGTCGAAGGGGTAACCTAACTGGGTTTGTCTAGAAATTGGGCAATAGAAACTGGTGAGTATTAATGGTTTTATACAACGGCAAGACTAGCATCCAGTAATTATCCATTAACAATCATCAACAACCATTAACCATTAGTAATTACCCTCTGGTTATGACTAACATAGCCATGGTATAGATGGCCCTAATCGAAATAGAGGTTTACCGAACTTAAACATGGATGGTGATTTTCCATGGCTATGTAACAGTCATAACCAGATGGTACCTAAAATGGCTGAATGGTGAAGTCATGAGAACCATTGGATTTTGGGGATTAATTTTTCAGACAATCTCAACTAGTGAGTTGAATTACTTCATACAGATACGTCCCAATTTTTGTATCCCCATTTCAGGATGCTTCAGCTATGCTTAAGCTATGGTTAAAGATTGTGGTCAACAACCCATTCTTGATGACCAAAACCCCCGTACTTGGAGGAGCACCCCGTACCTTTTCGGGCTGGTGTGCTTCGTAGGCGAAAATTGACCACTGGGATGATCCTCCAAATATGAAACCAACTGTTCAATGGGAATTTCAGGATCCTAAAATGGAGGTACCTACCATATATAAGGCCGAAAAATAAGGCCTATGTAAGAGAATATCCCCAGAAAATATGGCCTTATATGGTACAGTACCTCCATTTTAGGATCCTGAAATTCCCATTGAACTGGTTTACTGGGGATTTTTTGTAATATGAATCATTAGAAAATCCATAGTGAATGGGATTCCAATGAAGATTTGTGACACAATTTACTGCCGATTGGCTGGTTGTTGAAAATTTTGGCGAGTTATGCTAGTTGTGGATTATTGGAGTATTCATAATCCATACTAGGGGTACCCTCTGGTAAACAAACAGTTTCCTATTGAACATATATTGGTTTCCTATTGATTTACCCAGCTACATAGCATGGTGGATCTTTCCAGTTCGTTTTTTGTAAACGTTGACCAGAGGCTCAATGTCAACCAGCCAGGATTCAGGGGGATTCAATGGGATAGTGACTGATAGTGGTATTTTTTAAGATCCAGGCAAAAAACGGATAGGATTTTCTGTTGTTGTTGCCCAGGTCCATGCCCACCTCGAAGATTTTGTTTGAAGTATGCTGAAAGCATCTGAAAAGCTGATAATGTTGGGGGTAGTGGGATGGCTGCAATCATTCTTGGGATGCCTTGGATGAAATTGGAAGTAGACGTGGATTTTCACAATGCAGTGAAGGATTGCAACCTGCAGAAATATACATAGCTTTAAGGGATCTTATGTAGTGTATGATTTGTCAGGAATGGCCACCAGCTGGCTAATTGTCGTACCCGAGGACCCCTTTTTGCGTGTCTAAGTGCTTGTTCTGGCAATGGTGAGAAGCTGCCAGTAGGACTAGCTGAGGAAAGTACGATAAAAGGGAGCAACAAATAGAAAAGAAGACATGTCCATTTCATTTACGACAAACCCACCCAAACATATATATATATATACATATACATATATATATATAATATGTCAGCATCAATGTCCCTTGTGATTTTGACATATTTTTATATGGACCAAGCTGGGCTTTCAGGAGGAAAACTCAGCTCCCGCGTTCAGGAACACCTCGGAGTCCTTCGTCGAAACCTGCAGGGCCTTGCTGTTGTACAGAGATCCCCAGGGCCGCTCTGCCGCGCTGCTGGCCGAGGACGGTATACGGACGGGGACATGGACGCCGACAGGAGAAAGCTATGGTAAAGCTATGTCAGAAAGGTAGAGGTCAGGTATAATCCCAGAAAAATCGTGATGATTCACTTTTGGGAATCTTTTTAGGTGGTACTATTGCTAGATCCCATACCCCTTTTACAATAAACACCCCGGGTGAGAGACACCCACAATTGTTGTTGGGGTATCCAAGTTTGAAACAGATACAGAATGAGACAGATTTCATCTTTCTGGTGGTGTTTTTTCAGGGTTTCCCCTGTCCAACTATGGTGATCCTTTGAGGAAAACCAGAAACCTGGTGTCCAACATGTAGATATGTCAAAAATACGTCGCAATTCCCCAACAAGATACCGTTAAAAGTGTTGAACCGAGGCTGATAGTTCAATGATGTTGTCTGACTACCATGTTTTTCAGATTGCAAACTTTTTGACTTTACTTTCCGGTTGCCATAAGCATCCATAAGCTCCAAAAAAGTAGAGACATCAGTCATTGACTGGGCATGGCTGGCTGAGCTTGGCTAGATGATGTTCCCGATTGAGCACTATGACATATCCCAAAAATCAAATCAACTGTCACAACGACAAAAGGTAAGTCAACATAAGTCAACTAAAATTCTGAAGTGAAATTCGGTTTATGATATGTTTTGATGATCCCACACTTTTTAAAGGGTCGGCCACATGGTCACAGCATGTCACAGCCACATGGTCCTCGTCGAGGACGTTTGGAAGTTTGTGGAGGCCAATGGGGACCAGTTGGATGCTGCCATCGACTACAGTCGTGATTTGGGGTATGACTATTTTGGTGCCTCGGACGACTATTTTGGATGACTATGGGATGTGACTCTTTGGGATATGATTTTTTGGTAAACGTTTACAAAAAACGAACTGGAACATCACCGTGCTATGTAGCTGGGAAAATCACCATGTTTAATGGAAAATCACTGGTTAACTATTGAAAATCACCATGCTATTAATGGGTAAATCAACTATAAATGGCTTACAAAAAACGAACTGGAAAGATCCACCATGCTATTGATGGCTGGGTAAATCAACTATTTCGACTGGGCCATTTCCAATAGCTATTTTAAAGTACCAGAGGGTATGACTATGGGGTTTGCAGTCCATGGGGGTTAGCTCCAAAAGACATCCAAGCTATAGAAAGTATAGAAAGGACCATGGCTTAGTATATTCAAACAACCATGGTGACGACTGGGGATCGCCCATTTTTTAAGAATCCTATCTGAACATGTTTCGGCTGGTACAGTAAATCATAATGTCACTATTATTTTTTGGGGTGTATTATGACTGCATGTGTAGAACACCCTAGAACTTCTGAATCTGTCAACCCCCTACATCCACATTATTTGCGAACAATCTCACAGCCGCGTTTTTAGATGTGTGGCACAGTGATAGGCGCCGTTGCTGTCACTTGAGATCATGGTTATTCAACGGTTATTCCATGTTAATCGACCAGTGTTTCCACAGTTCCGGTCTTGAACATCAAAATTAGAGTCATCAAATGGGTTAAGTATAACATCATATATAACCATCTAATGTCATCAAGGTTAAGTATAATATGTTCAACATCTCTCACTATATCTCCATGATATCCCATCATAGTTGGGATGATGATCCAATCTGACTATATCTGACGAACTCCATCCTTTTTCAGGGGGGTAGGTCAACCACCAACCAGCCATAATATCCCAAGTATACAGTAACATATATATATATATACATATATAACATCTCACCATATCCCCATCACATTCCCATCACATTCCCATCACATTCCCATCACATTCCCATCATATTTCCCATCATATTTCCCATAATATCCCCAACAGGTCCCAGTGTTTTGAACACCGCAAATCCAGGTTTCAAAACCTTAGAGAGATCCTACCTTCTGAGAATCAACGACCAAATCGTGGAGCGACCTCAGCATATGTGCCATGGATCAACTGGACACTGGGGGGTGAACCGGGTGAACCATCAGCTGGTAACCGGTAACCCCTAGCGCTGGTATTGCGAAAGACACCATGTTTAGTCGTATTGGATATTCATATGATTATGATTGAATATAGATATATGTATATATATAGATATCCTGTGAAGAATTACGATGTTTTTAAGATTTTTAAGTATCTTGGTTGGTCGATTGCTAACTATCCGCTATGTAAATGACCATGCTTTGAAGTATCGTGCTTGGTCGATTTCACAAGCGTTGTGCTAACAGCAAACTCCTGGCTGCGACGCCTTTGAGTTTCCATGTCGATGCAAAAAATCGTAAAAAACCTAGTAAGTGAATAAGTTAAGACACCCAGTGCAGTTATATATAGAATACCTATAGGACCTATATATACCTCCATTTTTGGTACCGGGGCATACACAACGGTTCCAGATATACTGTTTTTTTTAAAGGAAGGCTTGGGATATGGAAAAGCCACCATGTATCGATGATGTGTGTCGAAAGTTGGGGAGAACCCCTTTTTTTGACTTGTCACCTAGGATCATGCGCGCTGCATGTGGAATCCATTGCGGAGATGTAGAGGCCACCATAGAAAGTCACTGGCAGCGATGGGATTGGATGCATCGGACTTGAACCAACAAGTTCCAACCACTGAACCACCAAAGTTCCATTGATTTCAATGGCTCCAAGCAGAAAGCATGCTGGTGTTCGGCGATTTGAGCATGTTCAAGTTCAGGTGATCTCCATATGGGTGTTTCTGTTTTTCGGTGATTTCGCTAGCATCTCAGCATTTTTTAGCATCTCAACCTTCGATCAGATGCCTCTTAACATATCTTAACATCATCTCTTAACATCTCTTAGCATCTCTTAACATGTCTTAAAACAATGATAATAATGTTTAAACACTTCACAGCTGTCTCAAACATTCCGACAACACAAAGGAAAGCAGTTTCCACAATTGTTGGAGCATACCAAGCTGGGCATGGATGAAAATCAAACAAGAAGTACAGGATCTAATTTACTGATTTTACTGTATTTCACCCAATGTGGTAAAGCCAATTATAAACCATCCCCAAGATAACCACAAACGAACCATTTTTATGGGTGGTATAAACATGTATAAACATGTATATACCATCCCCAAATGGTAGGTTTACTGTTGGGTTTACCACATTCATATGAAGCTTGGAAGGGCTTGTTTCGAATATATCATCCACTTATGGGATTTGCTGACCTGCACTGTCCAACTGTTTCTGGAAGGGCCTGTGATCAACTGAATGAACTGAATTGAAAATGGAAGTTTCCTGGGAATTTCACTTATAACATCTTATAACTAGATGTTTTTTTTACAACCTCTGTGTTTCTTCAAAGTGATTTACATGATTATCGTGATTTTCCCAGTGATTTAAATGATGATCGTGATTTTCCCAATGGAAAGTAAAGACCATATGGTGAATCTCTAGGTATTGATTACTGCTTGGTGGTTTGGAACATGTTTTTATTTTCCATTTCATATATTGACTAATCATTAATCAATAAAAAAATGAAACCGAAACTGTTGGTATTTTCCTCTAATAAAACTGTTTCATATATGGGATGTCATCCGAAACCCATTGACTAATATTTTTTCAGAGGGGTAGGTCAACCACCATCCTACTTGGGGAATTGTTGATGGAATCCAGTAGCCGGAAGAAAAAGGCCTGAGTTCACGTCCTACAATACGTGGGGCCCCCGTTTACGATATGATATAGCTAACTTGGTTTATACCTCCAATAAGTATGGTTTATGATACTTAGAAAACATCTTATAACTTATAGAATCTCATAGATAATTACAATTAATGGATAATGGTGGTTGTAGGCAGCCCCTACTTATTAACTGAGCAGTGGCTGCTAAACCCCGGGTGGTTGATGATCACCATCCACGAGGGCAATCCGTTACCAATCATCTTTCGGACGACAAAAAGGGTATTGAACATTGCTCAACTATAATTTGCCCATATACTCTTTATGAACATATAAAAATCGAGGTTGACTTATGATTATAGGTGAATTTTAAATTATTGAGATAGCCATGCTATTTATGAATCTAGCCAGCCATAAAGGGCATCATCAACTCCCAGCTGAGGTTATGATTTGATGTCTCGGAAGTTCTTCACCCACGCGACGCCGACCTTGTTCAATTCTGGTGAGCGACCAGCGGGGCGGGTGTAGGCGTTGACCTTTGTATGGGGGAATCATTCCAAAATGGTATAATGTCAATAAAAAAATTGCATATTACTGGTATTTGGAGGTTTCTTTAAATGGGGGATCCCCAAGTCACTAATTATAGGTTGGAATGCTAGAATTCTTCATTCATGACTTGGATGATTTGGGCATATTTGGGCCCTGTTTTCGGAAACCCCGAAGTTATGGTATTCATATTTAAGGAGAATCATCGCACTTACTATAAGTGGCAAGTATTCCGATTCGATTCGTGGGAGATCTTCCCATAGATTAGTTATAACCTTGGTTACCAACCAGTTGCTAAGTCGGATGATCCTCCAAGTAGTAAGGGCAAAAATCCCCAAATGGCCCTTATGATAACAGCTATCCTCAGGTCAGGGAATTCCTGCAATTCAGCTGGAACATGTGCAATATTTGTTGATTGGAATGTGTAGGATATATGTAGAGATATTATGTTTGACAAGTGATCGAATAATATATATATATATATCACATTATATATATATATGTATGTATCACATTTATATATATATATATATCATATATATATATATATCATATATATATGATATATATATATATATGTATATGTTTTATATATATGTGATAGATATATATATATATATCATGTATAATTATATATATAACATATATATCCTCTATATACAGATATATATATATATACCATGTATAATTATGTGTATATATATATATATATGTCATTTGTATATATATATATCATGTAATGTTTATATTATAAATATTTTCTTTCATGTCATTTTTTTATATCATGTCATATATATATATTTATATATCATGTCATATATATATATATTTCATATATATATATAGACATACAAAGTTCGAATATGTTCGGATGATGTTAGATCAAATGCTTCTGAGCATGGGATTCAATGAAGTTCACCAAGAATCAGGTCGGTATGTTGATGTGGGACGGAAGCTGTCTACCATTATTCTCGCGCGTGCCTGGACAGGCACTCCTAAACCTCAGATGTCATCGTGCTTCCTTTTAACTATGAAGGACTGCTTGATTGGCTTGGTTCATGAGCTTTGGACAATCCCAGGCCTTGGTTTTGAGGGGAACATTTAGCCGTACGCAAGATTTTCCCATGTTGATACCCTTCATGATTGGCTGGAACAAAAAAAAACGATCGATGACTTTCCGCAGGAAGATAGCATCGAGGGCATCTACGATACCTTGAAACACTGCGCACCTTGGACGAGAACAAAATTCATGACGGCATGGCAGTTGTAAGTTTCCATTATAAGTTGAGAATTTTGAGAAGAAACCATAGCAACTTATAGCAATTTATAGCAATTTATAGCAACTTAGTTAAAAGCTTTGGGGGTGACGGAATGTTGGACGATTTTGTTTTGGTTTCTTTGAAATGATGAACCACCTGATCAGATTATACTTGGGATGGGTTTCGCAGTTCGCCCCAACGGTCGAACATGGTGATAGTTCAAGCATGTTCAAGCTACAGAGGGCTCAATGGGAGAATCATGTTTAGTAATGGGTGAAAAGACGGTTAATAATGGTCAAAAATGGTGAATAGTATTCATAGTGGTTAATGAGATACTGAATGGTTTTTCTCCTTCGGTAATCAAACGTGGCAATGGGAAATTCCGGAACTAAATGGAGTTTTTTTTTTAAATGGCAAACTCATCGAACTAAAATTCTGTAAATAGGAGATGTATGGAGATGTTCCATTGCAATGTTTCATTACCGCAGGATTATATTTATAGATGTTTGTTGAAGAGATCCTTATTTTTTTAAATATACCTACGGGCACATCCCCAGATACACTGTATCATTATTCAGCCTATATATCCATTGAATTCCATAAGTATGTTCATTGAGGTATGCTACGTTACATAATTATCCGTAGATACCAAAAAATAGTTCTATTGAGCCAACACTATCCAGACATATTGGTGTGTCTCGAAATGGGGGATGCCTCCCTAAAGTATCCAAAAATCAGGACGATCATAATCGACTAAAAGATTTAGAGGTATACTGTTATTGTTCGGCCAATAGATTATATATATATATATATTGTATGATTATATATAGTATATGTATATTATATATGTGTATTTACATATATATATAACATATTTATCTACAACATATACATATATATATATGTATGTATTGTATATATATATAATATGTATATTGTATATATGTATATATAACATATTTGTCTACAACATTATATATATGCATTGTATGTTTATATATATAATATGTATATTGTTTATATGTATATATATACTTATTTATGTACAACATATATATATATATATATATTTATATACATACATACATACATACATACATACAAACAAATATCCATCATTTCCTTGACACGCTGGGCTTTTCCTTGAAGCTTCAGGCGGTGATCTCTAAGTTCGCGGGGGGCATCGGGGTGGCCATCTCCAATGTGCGCGCCAGCGGCTCCTACGTGCGGGGGACGAATGGCAAGAGTAACGGCTTGATCCCTATGCTGAGGACTCGAAGTTCGCCGGAAGTTCCGAAAAAAAACATGGTATGGAACAAAAATGAAAATGGATCCTAGGATTCTTGGATCTAATGAAAAATGTGGATTATTTAACCTATGATAGACCTAAAAAAATGTGAATCTATTGGAATTATAATTGATAAATTAATATGATGATCTATTGGAAAATGATGGATAAAAATAAAATGGATCCCATTGGAATTATAATGATTATCCGATGATTATCCAATGGGATAATAGGAGATTGTAATCGATAATGATAGGGTGAATAATTTTCCCATATTTTCCCATGATCATAATCCCAGAATCATATACAGTAATGGAAAAAATATAACCCCATGGATGATGGGATATTGGGATATATCTTTATCAATCCCAGTTCTCTCGATAAACATGATAGGCTATGAAAATCCCGACGAACTCTCAGCAGCTGGTGTGCTTTGAGATGCCCTCAGGTGTCATCAACGCAGCGTGAAATCTCCGAAGTACCCTCTGGTAACTGGTAATTTAACATGACTATGGAAAACCACCATTTATAGTGAATTGTTGCGTGAAAAATGGTGATTGTCCATAGTTATGTTAGTTTACGAGAGGGTAAATGGAGGTGTGAATGTCAACATCACCTGTAGATGATGTATTTTCCCGCACGCCATCTTTGATTAACCAGATGGTATATATTTCACCGAAAACCGGGAGTTTACTCACCATGTCTGGGGCATGTCACCAGCAGAAATGGAGGTACAACTATGGATATAGCTACAAGGTGGTGCCCCATAGTTAGCTAAGTTGGTTTATAACTCCCATAACTATGGTTTATAGTAGATATAACTATAGTTAATGGGGTTTATAAACCAACTTATAACTGGGGGGCACCATCCTGTAATACCTATGATATTTAAATGAAACAATGGTTGGACTCAACGGGCAAATCCGCTGGCATGGGCTTTGCAGAGGCATTCTTACGGACAACGTATTTCTGATGTTTTTTCCTTCTGGTGCAACGTTTCGGAAGGATCAAAGATGGGTCTACCAAGAATGGTTAGGATTGGGGCATCTGGTGAAAAATGGTTCAGTACTTCCAGGATCTGTGTTGATAGGCAATTTTTCCTGGGAATCTCTTCTGGAACCAAGAATTTCTGACCAGCTCTCAATGTCAGCGCAGAAATCCTCCCTGGATGTCATGGCCCCCCGCTCCATTGGTTGGTGGTTTCTGTTAACTTCAACCACATGAAGGATGATTGCCTCCGCAATATCGGGGGATGTGTCAAAACCAAATTTTACCATATTTTGGGGGAATAAACATCCATTAACCAGCTATTTTAGGATACCATCCGGGTGTCAGAGTTTTGACGAAAATCACCATACAGGTAGCTTTCAAAATTTTGGACATCTATATCGTCGTTGAGGGACTCAACCACCCAGTTTTGGCAAAAAAAACATTTTTTCCCCGTCAACTTCAGACCTGGCTGCCGCAGGAACTTTAATGAGACTGCCAGATATGTCGATCAAGGTGGTGGGAAGCGCAAGGGTGCTTTCGCCATGTACCTAGAGCCCTGGCAATGATCAGGGCTGCGAAAGTGAAACGTCGAAATGTGCTGGGTGTCATGTTCTTGAAGCTGGATGAATAGATTAAATGGGTAGATACAGGGGGGGTCTTAAGTCATGGGGGATCCGCAATTCATGGGTAGATATGGTGGTTTCTTAAGTCATAGTTGTTTCAATACTAAGTCATGGTCATCCTTGACTTGGATGAGTTGGGGGTACCCCCATGGATTGGAAACCCCGAATGTACAGCAAGCCAAACTCCTGTGGAGGTTGGAGCAAAGGGTAGCAGATATGTTCTGGAAATAGAAAGATATAGATGAAAGACAGATAGACAGATAGATAGACACAAAGACAGACAGATAGATAGATGCGCAAGATAGATGGACAGATTGCGGAAACCAGTGATGGAATGAAAGGATAGAAATGGGGTATGGTCATCCCACAAAATTGGAATCCCAGAAGGATGAACATGGACTGAAAAGGGATTGATGCTCATCCCCAAAATGATGGTTTTGTTGGATTCGAAAAAGTACCAATCATTTATTCATTTATTTATGGGCTATGAATGGTCCACATTTCTTTAAGGAATCCAAGCATATACTGATGCGTTACATCATGGCTACGTGGCCATCCCTATGGAAAAATACGGCCTTGCCATCTGGGTCATCCCCAGGAGCCGTGGCACGCGGACGTTTATGACTTCCTGGAGCTTCGTAAGAACCACGGGAAGGAGGAGCAACGTGCCAGGCGGAACAGCGGAACGGCGGAACGGAGCGGGGTTTAGGTACTGTTATGGGTTTGTGCCGGTGAAGGTAGCCATGAAAGCCACCATGATAGCTGTTTGCCACTAGAAAAGAACGTTGTGAATTTCGATGATTATTATGATGATTGCGATGATTAATTACTATGATTCTGACTATGTTTACTGTTATGATTGCCCTTTTGCTGCAGCATCAACATTAGGGTAGCATTGGATGAGTACAGCAACAGACCAACACATTCCGGAAACATCACTGGTATTTTTACATGTTACCATCCCCACAACCAGCGACCCTCAGAGTTGTTCATATCATTTTCACAGGAAAGTATACTATAGTTATTTAGCAGGGTCGTCATCGTAGTTTACTCACAAGTAGTCAACAGTAGAAGCAAAAGGTGTTGGATTAAAGCCTTTACCCAGGGACATGTTGCATTTTCCTGCAGTTTTCCCATGAAGCAAAAGGTGTTTGGAGAAATCTGTCCACCTGCACAGACGCTGGACGTTGACCATAGGTCAAAACCACGGACCTCCGGTCGTACCTTCCATGGCGGGAGTCATCTGAGATGAACTTATGAACATTCACTGGTTGGTGCTTTGGAACATTTGTGATTTAAATGTTCCATGATATCTGGGAATAATTTGTTATCTGGTTGGTGGTTTGGAACATTTGGATCATTTTTCCATATATTGGGAATGTCATCATCCCAACTGACGAACTCATCTTTTTCAGAGGGGTAGGTCAGCCACCACCCAGCTATGAACATTGGGATGCCATAGGGGCGACCCGACCCTGCGCCAGGGACCTGTTTTTTGGGCTCTGGGTGCCCGACCTTTTCATGAAGCGTGCCTTGGAGACGAGCTGCGGGTCAAACTTGAAGACTGCGAAACAGCCAGGATTTTTGGGGAGATGAATCTACTGTAGCTAGGCCCTCCAAGTACCCATAAAAAAATAGTGTTTTTTAAGTACCATCATTCTAGTACTAGTACTTTGACGCATTTTTTCAGGAAGTTTGGAGGTCTAGTAATTTATGAGTTTTATGAGGAGATAGATGGATGGATGGATGGATAGATAGATAGATATAGATAGACAGACAGACAGATAGATAGATAGATAGATTAATTAGATAGATAGATAGATATAGATATAGATAGACAGATAGATAGATAGAAAGATAGATAGCTAGATTAGTTTGATTAGATAGATTAGATAGATAGATTGGATAGATTAGATAGATTAGATAGGTTAGATAGATTAGATAGATTAGATAGATAGGTAGATAGGTAGATAGATAGATAGATAGGTAGGTAGATAGGTAGATAGGTAGGTAGATAGATAGGTAGACAGATAGGTAGGTAGATAGATAGGTAGATAGATATAGATATAGATATAGATGCAGATACAGATACACATATATCAATGGGATTTTCAGGATCCTAAATTGGAGGTACCTACCATATATAAGGCCTATGTAATGCCTATGTAAGGGAACATCCCCATAAAATATGGCCTTATATGGTACAGTACCTCCATTTTAGGATCCTGAAATTCCCATTGAATATACACATATACACATATACACATATACACATATACACATATACACATATATACATATATACATATATACATATATACATATATACATATATACATATATACATATATACATATACATAGATTCATACATATGTATATATATATACATAGAGATGCAAATTTGTATTTTGATATATTCAATCCATTTTTTTCGCCCTCACCATAGCCATTTTGATCTAAGGTGTGAAGCAAAACGAAGACTGGACATTGTTTTGTCCAAATGAAGCGTTTGACCCCGAGACTGGCAAGGGCCTGTTGCTTGGCGAAAGCGGCGATCAGTCCCGTTTCGGTAGATCAGTTGATTGATATTGGTTATGATAGGCTGATCCACTTTGCTTTCATTTATGATGTGTGTTTTTTTTCATTAAATCGATGTTCATAAGTTTATCCATGTTTATCCAATTGACGAAAACGCCCTTCTTTTGCATCAAATCTGATGTTGGCCACATTCCACTCAAGGCCTTGGTGTTTGTTATCCACCATGTCCAAGAACCAGCCAGCAAAGGGATGGAAGTAAAACACTTTAACACGATTTACCGTCTGGTAAACTGACATAGCTATGTTAGATTACCAGATGGTAGATCTAAGTCCTCCAAAATTGTTGGAATTTGGACTTGTAATGATGGGACCCCCATGCCCATACTACTCCCATAGGAATCCCCAATAGTATGGGAAGTGTACGAGAATGGAGGTTCCATCATTTTGGGTCGCTATAAATTCCATGGACAAAACCTGATGGCTTGCTACTCACCAAGTTTCTTCCTGTGTTGGTTCCCTTTGAGGCTACAGCTCAGCCTCCTATGGATGAATTTCACAAATTGTCCCTGGTTGGTGGTTTGGAACCATGGAATTTGGATTGACTTTCCATTCAGTTGGGAATGTCATCATCCCAACTGACTTTCAGTCCATCATTTTTCAGAGGGCTAGGGTTGGTCAACCACCAACCAGTCATTATTATTAACCATCATTAACCATTCTTGATAACCATCATATTAACCATGATTAACAGTATATTAACCACAGAGTTGGTCAACCACCAACCAGGTCCCAACGATTTTCCACTGAGGATGGATGTTTGGGGCGAAGAGTTTGAAGCTTTGTACAGTCGCCTGGAACAGGAAGGCAAGGGTCGAAAGACCGTCAAAGCACAGCACCTGTGGTTGCCCGGCCAAAACGGAGACCGGAGGCTTCAGTGCACCAAAACAAAACATGGAGGATAAATGAATTAGATAGACATATATATACATATAATATGATTAATATGTATATTGTATATTAGACATATATACATATGTATGTGTGTGTGTTTTATATATGTGCTAGATTTGTTTTACATGTGTTTTGCATATGTTTGACATATAGTTGTACAGTAATATGTTGGGTCACAGTCTGTCCCATGTTTATTTCTTTTTTGATTTGCCTGGTGTTTTGTTTGTTTCTGAGAATCAATTTTGGAGTTCCATGTTGAACCCCTTGAATGGTGGTTGAAAAGCACCATTTTTGTTCATAATATTCATATAGTGCAAATCGATGATTGTCCTTTCCTCGACACTACAAATTGATTTCAGAGGCGGCAAACCGATTCTCTAAAATATGTTTTGCTGCAGATTGTGCGTTTGATGACCGAAAACGTGCAAGGGACGATTTACCATGATTTACCTAGGCATGGTCCAAGATGCGTTTGTCCAGAAATATGGTTTACCCAAATTGAAATGATGATGAACATGATGATCTACAAATGGAATTGGGGGTACCTCATTTTCAGACCACCCATACAGTGATGAATTTGTTCAGACATTGTGGTACCCAAGTCTTATCTCTCTGGTTTGGGTGGCTAAAGCTCCTATTCATGTTGGTTATACCTCATCAAGAAACTTACATATGTGTCCCATGCGCTTTATTGAACCGCAATTTGGCGCTATGCTAATTATCCCATGACAGTTCGTACCTCGCTTCAGTTGGTTCATAGTCCATCTGACTTCTCCAAAAGCATCCCTGATCGTCCTAAAATGTTCATAAAACCAACATATTTTCACACCATGTTTGGTGCTTGAATTGCCATTGTTTCCAGTTAAATCATGTTAAAATGGCGCATTTTTGTTGCTGAATGTTCCCATGTTCGTTTGGTGAATCCTGGTGCATCAGGTTTCGGATTCTAGAGGCGCAGATGGAGACGGGGACGCCTTACATGCTGTACAAGGCGAGGTGAAAACCCTGGTGATCCATGGTTTATTTTCGGGAAGTAGTACGGTACCCCCCGGTGATAAGATAGTGACATATAGTGACGGTGAAAACCCTGGTGAAAAATCGGGAAGTACGGTCCCCCCCGGTGATAAGATAGTGACATATAGTGACGGTGAAAGCCCTGGTGAAAAATCGGGAAGTACGGTACCCCCCGGTGATAAGATAGTGACTAATATAGTGACGGTGAAAACCCTGGTGAAAAATCGGGAAGTACGGTCCCCCCCGGTGATAAGATAGTGACATATAGTGACGGTGAAAACCCTGGTGAAAAATCGGGAAGTACGGTACCCCCCGGTGATAAGATAGTGACTAATATAGTGACGGTGAAAACCCTGGTGAAAAATCGGGAAGTACTGTACCCCCCGGTGATAAGAGAGTGACATATAATTAGTGACAATCTACTGAAAAATTGCACCCTCTTTAGCCAAAGGGATCAGGGCTTTATTGATCCAGGGGTGATATGTGCCATGGCCAAGTTAGGTTTACAGATTTCCATATTGCAATCCGTGATGGCTTTGTTTGGACATGGGGTGACGCCCGCTTATTTTTTTTTGGAGCGTGCCCCTTCCCTTTCTTGGGACCCCAAAATAAATAGATCCTTAAGAAATTCACGCAAGTCTCGGGTATTTCATAGTGGGATGTGATTGATGGGATTTGGAAATCACTTGAGCAACTCATGTGATGGAGCATCTGGGAGCATCGAGAACCATGGGGGCCTCAAATTGGAAGGCTGGCTTTCAGCTTCACCAATAAAGTTTGGATGTCAATTTGAACTTGAAGTTTTGACCATACGTAAATTTCATAGAATGCAACTGTTTCAAGGAAGATGGACCCAGTTGAGATTTATGACCCAGTGTGCCCGTCAGCGGTGCAGCCACAGATGTTTTTTAACCTGTGGGTTTGGAGTTGTTATGTCTAAGGCTAGAGTTACGCAGATATCATAGATTGATGATTGGTGACTGGTTGACTAATATTTTTCAAGATGGTTAAAACCACCAACCAGATGATGATGTTCAGCGCCCGGATAGCCAGATCTAGTAACTTCGACAGTGTAGTGCAACCTACTTCTGTTCCTACTACCTGTTAACTTGGAACTTGCACATCTTTTCAGTGCGCACTCCATATTTTTTCCAAGCCAGGACCATGCCAATCGCAAGTCCAATCAGCAGAACTTGGGGACCATCCACTGCTCCAACCTCTGCAGTGAGATCATCGAGTACACGTCACCGGATGAAGTGGCGGTCTGCAATTTGGCCCCCTGGCGTTTCTGGCCGCGGAAGCGCAGCAGCGGGATGATTTTGTGGCTTTTTAAAAAGGCCATATAGGGAGATGGCCAGAGATGGCCATGTGTTGCTGAAGCAGAACATATAAAGTATGTCATATATTATATATATATGACATAATTACAGATAACATACATATCCAATTGTTGGGTTAATTCACATGTTTCCGAGCATGTGAATTAACATGTGTGTGTGTGTAACCACTTTTAAAGCATCGTCACTTCACATCAATAGTCAGCCCCGCGCTGCCGACACTTGGCGCCTAGGCATCGCTTGCCTTACCGGCCTTTGCCAGTGCAGATGGAAAGGCCAGGTCCGAAACCATGGGAAAATGGTGATTTAACCAACAATAGTGGTGATTTCATGGGAGTGATAGCTGATTTACGATAGCCAAAATGGTGAACATACCTCCAAGTTCACTATGGTTTATGATACTAACATCTTAACGAATCTTAACTATAGTATCTTTGGGGATTTTGAAAACCAACAAGCATCACGTTTTGGGGTATCACATTGTGGCTACTGTTTGTTTCGTCGCCAAAGGATTTGTTGCTCGTGGATCTGTTGTTTTCATAGGTTGGAACTTGGCAAGTTCTTGCCAGGCCCTGGTTCCGAAGGGGTAGAATGCCATGGTAAATCCATCAATGGAGCAACCATCGCCATATTGATCCCAGTTGTTTTTTTAGCCACAGGACTTTGACTTTCAGAAGCTCTATGCCGTCACCAAAGTTGTGACCCGAAATCTCAACAAGGTCATTGATCGGCGGCTTGACGTTGTTGAGATCGGGTGGTGCTTCCTGTTGGGATCCAAAAGGGGATTCGAAGCTTGGTGAAATGCAAAACTGTGAGTGAAATGCAACGTTTGTTGGTTTAGGAGATCTGAAGATGATTCTAATCTTCCAAACATGCTTTGGCTTGAAACAAGATCTATTCAATTTTTGCGGGGCCGTCGACTTAATAGACGCAGTTGCGAACTTTTTCAGGGTGTTCCAAAGATTGGGATTCTGAAAGAAAATATGGATGATTACCATTGATTACCATTGGGAACTCCAATAACTATGGTTTATGGTACTTATAACTATAGCTACTGGGGCGAATCTAAACCAACAAACATAATTGGGGGGCCTCACATTGTACCATTGATTACCATTGGGATTCCCATTGATTACCATAGATTGTTTTAACACTTTGCGAACCATTGTTCGAATCGCATCAAATCACCTGTTCGAAGTCTCTGTTGACACTGGATGACCAGTGGCTGCCTGGTTGATGATTAGTTCAGGGATTGTTGAGCTACTTGTTGTATTCATTGGGGATTAACAATGATTATCAATGATTATCATTTTTCATCCATGATCATCATTGCTTATCCATGATCATCAATTATCATAGTTGCTTGTCAATGACTATGAATGATCATCCTTGCTTATCAATGATCATCAATGATCATCATTGCTTATCAATGATTATCAATGATCATCATTGCTTATCAATAATCATTGATAATCATCAATGATCACCGTTGTTTATCAATGATCATAAATTATCATTATTGTTTATCAATGATCATCAATAATCATTGATAATCATCAATGATCACTGTTGTTTATCAATGATCATCAATTATCATTATTGCTTATCAATGATCATCGATGGTCATTAATTATCATCGGTGTTTTTCAATGATCATCGATTATCATCAAGTGTCATCATTGCTTATTAATGATCAACGATGATCATCAATGATCATCAATTATCATCATTGCTTATTAATAAGCATCGATGATCAGCAATGATCACCGTTTTTTTTTAATTAATGATCATCATTGATCATCAATGATCATCAATGATCATCATTGTTTATCAATGACAATGATCATCAATGTTTATCATTGTTTATCACAGATCATCAATGATCATTATTGTTTATCAATGATAATCAATGATCATCAATGATCATCGTTGCTGTTCAATGATCATAAATTGTATTCATTGATTATCAATGATCATCAATGATCATCATAGTTTATCAATGATCATCAATGTTCATCATTGCTTATCAATGATCATTATTGATCATCATTGATCATCATTGTTTGTCAATGATCATCAATGTTCATCGTTCTTGATCATCAATTGTCATCTTTGCTTATCAATGATCATTAATTATCATCATTGCTTATCAATGATCAATATGTTTTTCAATGATCATCAATGATCATTATTGCTTATCATTGTTCATCAATTATCATCATTGCTTACCAATGATCATCAATTATCATCATTGCTTGTCATTGTTCATCAATTATCATCATTGCTTACCAATGATCATCAATTATCATCATTGCTTGTCAATGATCATCAGTTATCATCATTGCTTATCATGATCATTGACGATCATCAATGGGTATCATGCATGAGTACAATGTCATTTTTTGTTTGGATTATCAATGATCAAACTACCCTAGCCCCCTTGGTTTTCCAAACTCCCAGCTGAGGAACTACTACCCCTTGGAGGAGGCAAAAAGGTCCAACCTGCGGCACAGACCCATTGGTTTAGGCGCGCAAAAAAATGGGGCAGCCATCATGATCGATGATGTTTTGGATGGCGATGGTTTGATGGCGATGGATTTTCTGGAATCTATCCAATATATAGAATCATCTATCCATTCATCCAATATATATATACTGGTTGGTGGTTTGGAACCATGTTATTTTATGACTTTCCCATCATTTTGGGAATGGAATAATCATCCCAACTGACGAAGTCCATCATATTTTTCAGAGGGGTAGGGTTAAAACCACCAAACAGTATATAGAATATTATAGAATCATCTATCCATCACTCAGGTGTGGTACTCGTAAGTAATATTAAGTACAGGTGCTCGTAAGCTCCAAGTTGCTCAGGTCGAGAGGTCGAGGATGTTGGAGGTGAAATGAAAATGTTGGTTCCGGCGATAGCATTCTGGTGGGTGCAGACAAACATTGCGAATGATAACATGATATAACCATCAAACAGTGCGAATGGTCTAAGAAAAACGTTGGTTATTGATGGTTAGATATGGTTAATGTTTTTTTCAGCATGTGAACTGTTTATCCAACGTTCACGGCTTGCTAGTGACTACAAGCAGCTTGGTGGTGAAAGGAACCAGAGGGGGATGACAGACAGCCAACGCAAGGAATCTGTCTGTCATGGGGTTGTACCGTCGGTGTCATATATTTCTTTGGTGGAGTCTATTGACCGAGTTGACTGGATAAACCCTGGTTTGGAAGTTTACAAGTTTCATTCTAGGGAATGAATTGGGGAATGAAATAAAGTAGCTGAAACTGAAATTTGACACTTGTTGCAGATTTATGATTAAGCCATGTTGGTAATTTGGTGAACATGTCTTTCCGATATCATTCCTATATCAGATAGGCGACAGGGATTTGCGCGAGGTCTGTGCACTCCATTGTCTACGTTGGTCCCGTTTTGTTCAGCAGTTTAGCTCGATCATCGTCGATGTTGCAGAGTTATCCCCATTCCAATATACCAATGAATGGGGATACTGTGTGGGTAATGGTTATCCCATGTTATCCCCATATATCCCCATTACAATGCACCAAGATATATCGATGTTGGTATATCCATCCATTCCTTCAGACCACCAATATACCCAGGCAGTTTCTACCAAGGCGGCAGTTTTTATCCATGGCAACCTGTCGGATCCCTCCGGGAAAATTTGAAGATAGCATCTGGTTATGACTAACATAGCCATGGGAAATCCCTAAAAAATAAATGGAGGTTTAGTGATTTTAATGGGAAAATCATCTATTTCTATGGGCCATGGCTTAACCATGGCAAACTGTTAGTCATAGCCAGAGGGTAGCACTGTTTTTTTTATTGCATAGCTAGGTCGGTTAAATGATGTGAATCTCGATGTTTTTATCCGGGCCTTCAGAAAATCCCGAAACTCCCAGCGAGGCGTGCAAGGCTTGGCTGATGTCTTCCTCATGATGATTCTCGGCTCATCGAAACCTGGGAGATCTTCGCCGAAGGTATGGACCTGAAAAATTGGGAGATCCTACGCCCAGATCAACGCACCGTGATGGGAAAAATGATGAGTGAATGGAAAAATAGATGTAATTAAGCCGTTTTCAAGATAAATTCAAATAGTGGAGAAATAGAAAAACTACCACGTAGGAGATTCGATATCTTCCTTTTATTTTCTCCCACTACAAACAAACTGGGATGTTTCACAGATTCACATGAAGCCTTGCTTGGGATAGTGACAGTGATTGTTAATTTTAGGAACATTATCATTTGTTGAAAATGTAATCGTTTTGCCTAGGATAAATCATGAAACGATGATCCTAGGACCTAACCGCAGAGGAAGCTTTTCGGGCCCCGGGCTAGGAAGCTGCCCTTCGAGAGTCCTCAAGCTCGTCAGCTCAACGAGGAGTGCAGTTGGGCCGCCACACAGACAGCTTCCATACAGTACTACATGCACGACATGCACACAGATGAGATACAGATGGTATACATATGTATACAGTATACATGATGTTTTGGATATGGCTTCTCAAACATTCAACACCCTTTTCGTGGCTGGAAGGCTGGCGGGGATTGTTTCCGACACCAAGTTAAATGATGCAGGACATTTTCGAGACCATCTACTTTGCTGCATGTGAAGCCTCATGCCACTTGCCTTGGGAGTGGGCAGATCCAAGTGGAATTCTTTCAATGGTCGATGTGTGAATTTAGCAGCTTGAGCTTCAGAAGAGGATGTTCTGAATTGTCTAGTCGTGTTGACTTAGCATATGATCCATGAGAGTCAAAAGCTGCTGCCCAGGCTTGCTTCCCCCAGCAAATGAGACCAAATCATCAAATTGCCAGGGTTGCCAGTTGCATATTTGGCAGCTGAAGCAGCTTCCATGGGAAAGCCTCAACGGGAAAAACACAAAGCCAGAAAGCAAAGTCATGTGGTTTCGGTTCGGAATTCAAAACCTGCAAAGAGAGAGAGAGAGAGGTTGGCCTTGTTTGTTTTGAGAAATAGCGGTGCGAAGGTTCGTAACGAATTACTTCCCAACGGTTCGCAACTTCTAAGGTGAACTGGCAGAAGTGGAAGGTTCGTATGAAACCTATCCAGGCAGCCCCGCCAGCAAAGGCGGGCTGAAGCTTCTTCTAATCATATGTTCATTGCATGTTTCCACACAGTTCATTGACAAACATCATGGTTCATCGTATTCAAAGCCGTTCATGTAGTAGTACTTCATGTATTATGTATGTATATTAGGTCACCCCCCTACCTGCACCTACCCATATATATAATCCTTTATATATATATATACATACATATATATATATATACACTATCTATTTGTACCACACTGCCATACGCAGCTTCCCGGGCGTTCGCCTGGCAGGGCTCCTGCAGTTCGACCTCTGGGGCGCGGAGCCGAGCGGTCGATGGAAGTGGCCGGAGCTCAAAGCGAAGATTGCGGAGAAGGGCCTCAGGACCGATATCTTTAAGGGAAGAAATCACTATAGGGTGAAATATATGTGTTATTATGTGTTATTAATATTGGTGAAATATATTGAAAAGGTATGAAATGGTGAAATCTGTGATAATATTTTGGTGAAATATGTGATCATATCCCACCCTATATCGTAAACTTCGTAAACATCATGATTTCAGGATAGGGTGAAACATATGATAATATTTTGGCTTCGTTTTTCTTGGAAAGAAATCCCAGCCTTTACGACATTGAAGATAGCTATGGAAGCCATGGCCATTGAGTTTGATGACCATGGCCATGGTGATTTTCCATAGTCAAACTACCAGAGGGTAAGGTAAACCATGATTTCTGGGTGAAACTGGGTGAAATATGAATATATAGATATATGATACCTTCTGGTAAACTAACATAGCCATGGAAAGATCCACCATTTTGAATAGGCAAACCATCTGTTTCTATGGACCATCTATACCATGGCTATGTTAAATAACCAGAGGGTATATATGAATGGGTGATTCGGGATGAATTATGATAGTTTTTTTTTTTTTTTTCGGAAAGGCAGGAATAAGTCGAGCCTTTTAAGGTAAAGCCATTTCCATACCATCCCTAAGTGGACACCCCTTGATGGGGAAAAAAAGATCAATAGTGGGTTAATAGTAATAAACCATGGGAATATGCTATAATTGTTAAATATAATGGGTTAATAGTAATATAATGGGAATATAATGGGAATACTAAAATTAGGGTTTCTTCAATTGAGTATACCGACATTAGGATGATATCAATTATGACCCCCAGTCAGACTTTTCGTTAACTTTTGAGTGCTTATGGCATTGGGGGAAGTGATGAATCATACCCGTTATGTATCCAGATGACGGTTAGTTAAAGAAAAATCATAACTTATAACCATTCATTTCTCATTTAGGTTGGTTTATAATGTTTTTCTGGCTAGATGGGGTACCCTTTTGTTAATATCTGGAACCCCAAAGAGCTAGAACTAGCTATGGTCGTTTCCTATGGTCATTCAAAGAATCCCTACAGGTTCAAAAGGTTGGAACTGGGGAAACCACCATCAGCTAGTTCTGACTAGTTCTGGTTCTCCGGGGTTCCAGGTAGCCAGAAAACACCCCATTCAGGTATCTATCTATCCATCCATCCATCCATCTATCTATCCATCCATCCATCCATCTATCTATCTATGTATCTATTTATCTATCTATCTATCCATCCATCCATCCATCTATCTATCTATCTATCTATCTATCTATCTATCTATTTTTGCTATTGCTGGGGATTGGCCCATAATCATACAGGTTCGTCTCCGCCTTGTTTTTTTTTCTTGGTGTCTTCTTTCTGCTAGTGAAGCATGTTTGCGTTCCGAGTTTTTGTGGTGCTTTCTCGTCGTATTTCCAGTCGATGACTTTTTGGTCATCAACCATGGCTATCTGATCCCAAGTAGATGCAGTACATTTCAAGGGATGTTGATGGTTACCCTCTGTTTTTTTTTCACATAACTATTGAAAATGATCATTTATATATAGTCGATTTACCTATTAGACATGGTCTTTTCTTTCCATAGCTATGTTATATAGTTTACCAGAGGGTATTGACTGACTTCTATTGTTGGGGCCTGGTTCATTTGCTTGGTCGCAAGTTGCTTGATATTGCTGGTCTGGATGTTTCTCGAACTTCAAAAAAACTGCGAGTGCAGTTACTGGGTCATGCTGACAAGCACCCAGCAGATATCATATAGCCACCACACTTTTCACTCTGGCGGTGGATCAACGCTGATCAACGGGGGAACAGTTGGCTGAGCTGGTTAAATTCTGCTGGGCATTGCACGGTCCATAAGCTCAAGCCCCAAGTCATGTAAGAATACAGTTACCCTCTGGTTATTTCTAACATAGCCATGGAAAGATCCACCATTTTTAATGGGTAAACCATCTATAAATGGGCCATTTTCCATGGCTATGTTAAATAACCAGATGGTAATGTTTGCAATAGTTCAATTTCTTCTGAAAAGTCAGACTTCCAAAGAATTTCCAAGTTGTCGCGCAACTTTTATAAACCGATTCCAAACCGATGGCCGGGCCCCAATTCCAGAGCTGGACAGGAATTCCTTGTTGGTCGCACCTTGGTTTTCTATTCACTGACTGGGGACTGCAGGGGGAAGGCATGGGAAGCGGGAAATAACACACTTCCGGGGCATGGATCATGTTCAGAACGGGTTTTCTCCTGGCCACGCCACCACAAATCTCAAAAATCAGGCACATTCATAGAACAAGCCACATTTTTCTGGGATACCAAAAAAAAATTATCCACACATTTCTGGGGATAGCATCAATCAGGTGAACTTGAGATCCTGTCCTTACAGTCTCCGAAAATGTGGCATCTTGAACAACAGGAACTGAACCTGAAGACTTGAAGACCCGCATTGAAACCTGGCAATATATGGCAATATTTGGCCTAAAAATCATGTGAACCAATCCTTTTGCATATCCTACTTTGGTATAATTTTGTTGTTATTGCCCCTCTGCAGTCGAAACTCACGTCTCATTGGGGCATCAGCATACCTTTCTCCATGGTTCAATGACTTGAAGATGCTTCCCGTCGATCAGTCTTTGATATTCATAGAACATCATAAAAGTGGGATGGTCGAAACCTTTCACCCACTTGGGTTTATGGTAGATATGGAGGTTTCCTAAGTCATAGGGCTACCCCCAAATCATCCATGTTCTTTTGGGATTTTGTTTTTTTCTCTCCAGCGATTTTTAGGGGTACCCCCATTCCACCCCCCATATCCCATAGGATCCATGTATGCTATATATATATAATATATATATATATATGGTGTGCCATGGATCCCATCAATATACCCCAGTCATGTTAGCATATATACCAGCACCAGCCGGATCCGTCATGGGATGTCCTGAGCTCAGGCTCCAATGCCTACCGCCTCCACGGCACAGATCTTGGGAAACAACGAGTCCTTTGAGCCCTACACGTGTCCTGGAAGCGATTTGTTAGATGAAGTGCTGCCGGTGAACATGCTTACCCTTTGGTTATGACTAACAGTTTGCCATGGTTAAGCCATGGCCCATAGAAATAGATGGTTCACCGAATTTAAAAATGGTGGATCTTTCCATGGCTATGTTAAATAACCAGATGGTGTATACTGTGGTATATGATCAACCCAATAGAATATACAATTGAAGTGGTATAATTACTTACGCGATTATTACATAGCTAGTGAATGCTAGTGAGAATAATTGAAATACATGGGTTCTGTTCCGAGATGTATGTCATATAATGCTGATGATGATGGTGATGATGATGATGATGATAATGATGATGATGATGATGATGATGATGATCCCCTTTTTTAATATGTATATTTACATCATTCGAAAACGCGATTTTCTTTCGAGCGCAGCCAAAAAAAGGGGCCCTCGTTCGGACAGGCAGAATCTCTATGTTCGCAGGGTGCTCTCTGGGGAGTTTGTGCAGGCCTGGTGGATTGTCCGAATCTAGGGATCCGTGACACACCTTGAGTCACGTGGTTCGCTGGTTCAGTACTTGGACAGGTAAAGTAGCCCATTAATCATGCCATTTTGATGGGTAAGAATCATCCCCAAATGCTAGGTTGATGGCATTGGGGTAAACCCTCATTGCATTTCTACAAGGAATTACAAACATATATACACACATCTATCGTTCATATCAATACCCATAGGATCCATGGTGCTGGTATATATGCTAACATTTGGGGTATATTGATGGTAAATATTACCATATATAGCATACATAGCATACATGGATCCTATGGGATACATATCATAGCTGTTACTTGACCCTTTGGGTGCCAGTGCGACAGGTGCAGCACCCAAAACCAACAGCATTTTGGTTTTGGAAAGTGACACCAAGGTATCGGGATGCAAGAAAACTCCTCAAATGCAGTTGAGAACATGTTGATGTGGCAGGCTGTGACTCAAAAATGAGACACAAAAATAGGATGATCACATTTTGCACCTGACCATGTGTGTCTTCTATAGACGTTATGTGCAGCCAAGCAGCCCAAGAAACATCAAGGAACCCTTGCCATACTGCGGTTGGTTGCTCCAAGCCATAGGCAAATCATAGCCACAATGCGGTTAAATAAGTCATTTTATCAGTTGTAATCTCTAAGATTCTTTAATTCACCCAGTTTTTCCATATAGTTTTCCATAGTTTTTGTTCACGTCTTTGGGGTTAAAAAAACAGCCCTGTTTTTGACGGCAGGTGAATCGTCATCTCCTCAAGGACCTCATCTCCCGTGGTCTTTACAACGAGGCGATCCGCAGCGATCCGCCTTTTTTTTCCCCATCGATCCGTGGGGGGCGAAGAACATATCTTAAGATGGCCATTGGTCATAGTGGATGGTTGCGAAATCCTGCACCAGTTGATAGGTGGATATAGGTGGTAACTTTATCCCAGTATCTATCTATTGGGTTTCAAATTGATTCCAAATTGCTGGTGCAGGATTTCTTCTTCCATCCACAGTATGGATGTTTCCGAACATTGGCGGATCCCCAAGTCACCACGGGTTCAATACTGGATCGCCGCTATTTCAGGAATTCTCCATATATATGGCAAGATCATGCAAGATCTATACTTGGGGGGTTCCATAAATAGGGGATCCCAAAATGCATGGTTTCGGAAAGTCCTATTAGTACAAATGGATGATTTAGGGGTACTCCCATTGTAAGAAACCCCCATTTAATCAAGATGGGTAGCCCCATGACTTAGGAAACATAGGAAACCCCCATTTAATCAATATGTTGGGCAATGTGGCTATAGCTTTGATAAATGGTCTTGGGTCCACCTGTTGATTTATGTTGATCCCGTGCCAACGATGGTGGAATCCATGTTCTTGTGTTGGCGAAATGTGCCCCTTGCTGGCCCCACAAAATGACATGGGGGGTTCCGAAAACGCGAGCACCCCAATAGTTTGATGCTTTATCATGGAAAATCCAACAAGAAAAAAAGGATGATTTTGGGGTAGCCCCATGACTTGGGAAACCTCCATTTAGGTCCATTTAGGGGTACCCCCAGTTTGACTCTGGCTATATAATGTCGCATTGTAATGTAGCTATGGAAAATGACGCATTTATAGATATGTATATATATATACTTCAGGAGGAACAAAGTTTATGCTTCTTGACAGCTTGACAAAGCATCCATCTCGGTCAACCGCGGATCACATTTCCAAGTCCATTTCGTGTGGCAGGTGTGGGACGGTCAATTATCACCCGCTTTTAAATCTATAAGATTAAAAGCTTTTGGAGGGTGAAAATTCGACCGGGGTACGACAAAGCTCCATGCTAGGATTCTAAGGGGAAAGGGTGCGCAGAAGAAGAAACCAAACATGTTCACTGTCGGAAGCTCAACAAGCACAACTTTTGTCCTACCAGTGCGTCACGGCACAGGTGTAGCATTGCAGAAAAGAGTATGGACGTTTCCCAAAACCCTCAATCGAACAGAGTTGCAAATGAGACGCCATGGCAACAATGAAGAAGGCAAGGGTGCTGCACAGAAAGGCATTGAAACCAGAGGATGCAGATATTTTATGTGGAGTATGATGACCAAGCTGAAGCACGTGCAACAAGCAGCAGCCGACTTGACAATTCCCACTGAATAAGCTTTTTTTACCCTTCAGGAGGAACAAAATTTATGCTTCTTGACAGCTTGACAAAGCATCCATCTCGGTCAACCGCGGATCACATTTCCAAGTCCATTTCGTGTGGCAGGTGTGGGACGGTCAATTATCACCCGCTTTTAAATCTATAAGATTAAAAGCTTTTGGAGGGTGAAAATTCGACCGGGGTACGACAAAGCTCCATGCTAGGATTCTAAGGGGAAAGGGTGCGCAGAAGAAGAAACCAAACATGTTCACTGTCGGAAGCTCAACAAGCACAACTTTTGTCCTACCAGTGTATATATGTACGTATATATAGATGATATGGTGATTATTTACCCAATGATTTTATAGCCATTTACAGATGCTTGATCTTTATTGAGGATTATTGCCTGGTTGATGACTGATGATGATTCAGCCTATGATTATATTCATGTATAGATGATTGATGATGATGCCCATGTTTTTTTTTAAATGTCCATTTATAGATGATTTGATATGATATTTACAGATGGTTGATGATGATTTAGATAGATTATTTATGATGATTTATTTAGCCCCAAAATATGGTTATGTGTTTTGTGAAAAAATAAATAGATAGATGGTTTTGATAGGTGGTTTATTGATGATGATTGATGATGGTTTATCATCTAGATAGACTATTGATGACTATTTAGCCATTGCCAAATTATTATATATATATGATTATTGATGATAGATTATTGATGATGATTTACAGATGATTACTATTGATTATAGATTATTGATGATGATTTACAGATGATTACTATTGATTATAGATTATTGATGATGATTTACAGATGATTACTATTGATTATGGATTATTGCTGATGATTGTTTTAGCTCTAAAAACTGGTGTTTGACATTGCCTGACTAAAAGCGCTTCGACGCCTTTGCGCTTCTTCAGGACTTGCGCATGCAGCTGATTGCAGAGAACGGCAGCGTTCAGCGCCTGGATCTGCCGGAGGATCTCAAGGAGTAACGGAGAGATCTGGTTGGGATATCATGGCTATGTAATTACTGGGTATATGATGGGTATATGTCATGGGTTCATATAGTTGGTATATGGGCAATGTCATGGGTATATAGTTATACAATGGGATACAATGGGTATAATTATAATACGGTGTATATATATATATATAGTGGATATGTAATGGGCATTTCATGGTGGGTATACAACCGATGATGCTATGCATATATAGTGGTTCCAGATCTGTTTTTGAACCAGATGGCATTTTTTTGCGCCCAAGCTCGGACCTAACCCGGGGTTTTCACACCAACCAGATGGAGATTCTGCACAGAAAAGCGATTTGAATCTAGGCTCATCTCAGCGGGAACGATGCAGCATCCCCTTGAATTTGTGCGGCGGTGTTTAGAATGGGACTACCTCGAACAGGTGCACCCGGGTCACCCGAGCATCCGGGAATCAGCTCGCTTCTTTCAGCATCCCGTTTCAGCTCTCCAAAAAGGTCATTGGATAGTTTCACCAGCATCTCTGGTGGTTTCCCCCCACGAGCCACAAACAATGCTAGGTAAATCATATTGAAAGCACTAAGGTGTGTTCCGGATATGTTCGGAAAATCCATAGTTTTTAATTTAAGTTCCAATGTCAAATTGTCCTTCGACCAAGTATGTTTAAATGGTACCAGTCATGTGACTATGGTTCATGGTTCATAAATCATTGAACTTCAAATGACGATCGCCTATTGTGGGTTCCTGAACATGTCTTAGATTTGTTGTGTTGCATTTTGTGTTGCCATCTCCAGCTGTCAATGTTGGTTTTTCATCCCCAATTTTTGGACAGAACCACGTCCGTCATTCAGAATGGTTCAATTCGCAGTGTTGATTGTGAAAAATCTCCTGGGACAAAGCCCAAAACTAGGCATCAGGTTGTTTATCCCATTATATATAACTTATATAACATTATATAACTATATAACTATATGTCATATAACATAACCATAAGATAACCACCATATAACTGGGGTTTGTTTTCTACCTCCATCCCCTCTCCTTCTGAAATCCCATGTCCAACACAGTTAGTTGGAGCACTAAAAACCAGTTAGTAGGTCACTCCATTTTTGGAATGATAAGCTCATTTATAGCATGTTATAGCCATAAAAGTCATTGGTTTCTAGGGTTTTAACTAGTTTTAACTGCAGGATCTCTACAAAACCGTTTGGGAGATCAAACAACGCGTGGTTTTGGACATGGCCGCAGACCGTGGGAAGTACATCGATCAGTCACAGTCCTTGCCGTTTGACTGCAGGCGGTGCTACTGGTGGAGCTAGTTCCCATAGAAATTGGGCCGGCTGGCCATCAAACATGCGGATATAGTATGACATGATTTAATGGGGATATAGATGGGGAATCCTGTGGGAGATAACGAATACACAAAGCCCAGTTTGTGATTTGGGGTGTGTCTGAAAATGGAATACGAACGGATACTACATGATACTACCCATAAATTCCTATTTTGACAGACAAACCATGTCTTTGGATCAAGCTTGGTAAATGTTAAGTTCGTGATAGTTAGTGTGTGTTTTGCCACCCATGCAAAAGATATTCACCATCTACAAAGTGAGTCTTTTCCTTGGGTAGCTGTCTAGAGCTGGCCATGTTCTATATATTAATAACTCAGTGAAGCCGAGTGTCACGATTGCATGAAGATATTCAGCCAGATTCCATCTCGTTGACGATCATCTTCCATGTTGCTTGATAGCTAAACCCATAGGATCCATGTATGCTATATATGGTAACATTTACCATCAATATACCCCAAATGTTAGCATATATACCAGCACCATGGATCCTATGGGAAAGAATCTGCGGATTTCATCTGGACAGCGCCGGACAGCGCGGGATAGCGTCAATGGTCCTTCTCACAACTTTTTCTTTGACATGTTTTTTCAGCGAAGAAATGGTGTGTCCACAGGGATGTGCATCCCAATTAGTAAGTAGTATATATATAAGCCATCTATCATCATCTATGGTTTACCAATATATATAAGTTATCTATCATCTATATATATAAGCCATCTATCATCATACACAAAATGGTTGTTACCAGTGGTATCCCATTGGTGATCGCGGCGAGCTCTTTAGGAATATCCACATGGTCGATGCCAGCACTGCCAAATTGACCTCGATGCACTTTCACGGCTGGGAGAAGGGCTTGAAGACTGGCATGTACCTTGGAACCTTGGGGATTTTTCGGGATTTTGGGGAAATTCTGTCAGGGATGTGTTTTTTTCTCCGGATGAAGTCAGAGGATGTCTTGTTGGGGGATGATTTACCCTCTGGTAAACGTTTACATAACTATGGAAAATCACCATTTTTAATGGGTAAATCCATTATAAAATGGCCATGTTCAATCGCTATGTTAGTTTACCAGAGGGTAGCTTCATCTATTCAAGAAAAGATGGCGTTTCAGATGTTTCAATCTGGCAAGACGATGGTTCGATTTGTGGTATAGGGGTGCTGGTTGACATGGCTGTGTTTGCTGTTGGGGATGTTTGATGACATTCATCCAGGCCGACTTGAAATCCCCAGAAGGCTTCCACCTGCCATATGTGGAGTTTCCACCGCCTGTGTCGCAAGCCATCGGATGGTTAGCGTCTCCTTAGAGGTCCAAATTTTGTGTTTGTTTATACGAAGAACTGCAATGAATTGGGATGGGTCATGTCGGTCATAGAATCTGAATGGAAGGATGAATGAATCCATTTGCCAGCATTTCTTTGGGAGGGTACCAGGGTTCTTGACCCGTTCCCAGCTTGCATCCACCAGACCTTTTTGTTGAATTGCTTCGCCACTTATCATTCAATTGACACAATGTGGGCCCACCCGTTATGGGTAGGTTTGTAAACCCCATTATATAACTATGGTTATAGGGACCATAAACCATATATAGTTATCATTCAGTTGACACCTCATTCTAACCATGCTTTTTTTTCTGGCTCAAGCCGTAAGCCGATCCCGACATTTTCACTGCCGCAGACATTTCCGCGACCCATAAAAATCATGCTTTGCTGCGGCAGCGCTCGCGATGTGGAGGAACCACAGAGGCTGAAACATGCGCGCTTCGACCATGGCAAGAACCATCAGGCAGGGACGCAGAGTACGTTTGGACAGTGCTGATTTTTTGGTATTAAATGCTTAATAATGCTTAATATACCTTAATATAATATGTATATATATATATAACAGTATAACATATAATATATATATATATCTATTCATATGCTCCACGTTTTGCCACATTTGCCTTGTTTTCTGGAATGGGTTAAAACTACCAGATGTGCGACGTTTAAGTAAGCTGCGGGCAGTAATGCACTATCCAGCTATACGAATCCATGATTTGACATTAGGCTTCCATGCAGAGTTTCCTCCAACAGTCCTGCTTAGAATTCCCCAGTACTGGTTGGTTAGATCCGCATTTTTGCTTGGTTCACTCAGTTCACTCCTTCGCTGTTTGTCTACCAGTCGTCCGTTTGTTTGGTGAAGTCTAAAGGTATTTTCATGTATGTTGTCCCTTCTTGACGATTCTTGGCTAGCTCCTTAGCCACTTTCTTTGGTTTCTGTGGTTTCCCAGTTCCACTCGTAGTCATTTGTCGCCCCATCCGAATCTGTGCCGTCTGATTCCACAATTTTTTCATGCGCTCAGATCTCAGATTTTATCATTTTCTTCTTCAACTCTCCAGGGCATGGGTTAAATCATCTTAAATATCTATTTCTACACAAAATCCATTCAAGTTTTCTTGCCTTGAGTCCCTGGTTTAACATGGTTTAATCATGGTTTTGCTGGCTTCTCGAACTTCTTCAAGATGAAATCCGAATGAAGCCTCTGGTTGCTTTCGTATCATCCTATGAGATCACCATAAAATCCCAGAAAACCTCCGAAAAAAAACAAAAAAAACATAATTGTCCTCATAATATCCCCGTAAATTCCCATGAAATCTCCATCAAACCGGTCCCGCAACAGGACTGGGGCACCGGTGCCCAGGGTCAACGCCTTGGCGGCGCCGATGTGGCGCCCAACGGCACCGACGCGCGCAGCGCGGCGCTGGCGGCCGCGGAGCGACGGCAGGCGCCACAGGGGGTGGCGCCAGAGAGAGCCAAGGAGATGACGGAGCAGAGACAGAGAGATCCTGGACATCGAAATGGGTATGGATCAATACCTATAGATACAGTTTATTAGGGGATGAACATCCATTTGCCAGCTATTTTGATGTTCACCAGGGGTACAAGGTTTTGACACACTGCCAAATGGGAAAACTATGGGAACATGGGAACATGATGGGATATTACATGGGAAAAGGATGGGAATATCACATGGGAATATGATGGGAATATGAGCAACACATTTTCAAATATGGGGATAGGAACTATATGATACTTTTATGATGGACATGAATATATGACTATATGGCTATATGATACTTGTACTAGATGATACTGTATGATGGTTTATAGCTCCAATAACTATAGGATCTTATGGGAATATAATTGGAATATCCAATGACTATAGATATCGAAGTCGGATAGGGAAAGAAATGGACATAGGGATATCTATGGGAATATGATGGAAATATCATGGGATAGAGAAAGGGATATATCGAAAGGGTACGGCTGTATCTGGGTTTGATTGGGTTTATATATTATATACAATGACTAAATGGTTTATGATACTTATTGATGCTTATAACATCTTACAACTATAGTATCAAGAATAAAAGTATAAACCAAACATCAGAAGAGGGCTAGTCAACCAAATTTGGGCGATCATATGCGATCATTGTAATTTGGGTTTTGACCAGTAGACAGTAGACATTTGTAGGATAATTCAAACTGATATGTCAATATATCTGACCTATAAACATATTTGACCTACTCGTATCAACATGTACTAATATGATATAGCAATATCGTCGACCAATGAGAATACCGTGAACGAAACAGGCAAAATTGAAGACCCTCCGGCTTCACGGTTACAAACCTATAAATCTTATGTTGAGAATTCCATCTCAAATTAACATCCCTGCAAAGTCCATTGCTGTCCCAACTTTCAGAAAGCTTTAATGTCAACCCCGGATTACTAAACTACGTATGTCGATTTTTTTTAGGGGGTTACCTGCAACACGGTTATGAATCACCCCATATCAGCGATTGATCCGGGGATTTTTTGATCATGGCAACCCAGCCAGCACCTTCATGCACCTTCTTAACGGCCCAACCAGGAAGAATTGTTGGGGCGTCTCATTGAACAGTACCAGAGACGAGGTGAAGAGATGCCCATGGGTCTCAAGCTGCTTGGCTATGACTCTATGTGTGTTATTTACGGCTCGTAAATGAACGGGATATCCCATTAACAGATATCCTTTTTTTTCACGGATGGTATTGCGATATGATTTTTTTTGATGGTGTATAGAAAGTATGGCATTATAACAGATGGATATTGATTGATATCACACCATCCATTACTCTCTGGCTATTTAACATAGCCATGGAAAATGGCCCATTTATATGATTGTCCCATTAAAACCTCCATTTATAAGGGTTGTTCCATGGCTATGTTAAATAACCAGAGGGTATGATTGGATAATATTATAATACCAACCAACGAATCTTCATTGATTAATGGGGATTAACAGAGATTTTGTTCAATCCATGAATGCTTATACCAATGAAATATTCATGATGCGTACTGTTCCATTGGAAGTGGGACATATCGCAAATTTTATCATTTCTAGGATCTGATAATTATTATCCAACTTTTTAGACTGATTCTGACCCAGACCCATTTTGTTGGAGCTTTGATCAACGGCTGGTTGAACGGCACTGTTTGATGAGACGCCAGTACTCCGGTCATTCTGTTTACGTTCATATTGGCACATGGTTGGAACAGGATGATCTCCAGCCGTATTCCCTGCTCCACCCTCTGTACCGGAACACATACACAGAAACAAACACAACGTGCGAGATGTAGATGGAAAGACCAGCAGGCAAAGAACTGCAGATTCAGATCTATACAGAATTCATGATAATGCCACCGTACACCGTTTCTGATTCTTCTCGGCAATGATTCGTTTGGGTTTGTCCAAGGGTACCGAATTCAAAATCCAGTCATTTTCGGGAATCCGGTAATCAGACATGGCTAGCTGGAAAAGGGCCCCTATCTATATAGACATTATCCCATTAAAACCTCTATAGAGGATGTCTCATGATTTTCCCATGATTTCCCATGATTTTCCCATGATTTGCCCATGATTTTCCCATGATTTCCCCATGATTTTCCCATGATTGTCCCATGATTTTCCCATGATTTTCCCATGATTTGCCCATGATTTTCCCATGATTTCCCCATGATTTTCCCATGATTGTCCCATGATTTTCCCATGATTTTCCCATGATTTTCCCATGATTTGCCCATGATTTTCCCATGATTTCCCCATGATTTCCCCATGATTTCCCCATGATTTTCCCATGATTTCCCCATGATTTTCCCATGATTTCCCATGATTTTCCCATGATTTTCCCATGATTTTCCCATGATTTTCCCATGATTTTCCCATGATTTTCCCATGATTTTCCCATGATTGTCCCATGATTTCCCCATGATTTTCCCATGATTTTCCCATGATTTTCCCATGATTTTCCCATGATTTTCCCATGATTTCCCCATGATTTTCCCATGATTTCCCCATGATTTTCCCATGATTTCCCCATGATTTCCCAATGATTTCCCCATGATTTCCCCATGATTTCCCCATGATTTCCCCATGATTTTCCCATGATTTTCCCATGATTTTCCCATGATTTCCCCATGATTTCCCCATGATTTCCCCATGATTTTCCCATGATTGTCCCATGATTTCCCCATGATTTTCCCATGATTTTCCCATGATTTGCCCATGATTTTCCCATGATTTCCCCATGATTTTCCCATGATTTGCCCATGATTTTCCCATGATTTCCCCATGATTTTCCCATGATTTTCCTATGATTTCCCCATGATTTTCCCATGGTTTTCCCATGATTTTCCCATGATTTCCCCATTATTTTCTGGATGGGAAGCCCTTGAAGGCTGGCCGCGGTGGAGCAGCTCAAACGACATTTGGAGATGCTGCGAAACCGCTGAGGGCAGGGATGGCAAAATTTGGATTATGTTATGTTGGTTTATGGTAGCAATGAACGCACCAAAATCCAATGGCTGTTGTTTAAACACATAACAAAAGCGGTCCCTGGAAAACATGTTGCCATGTTGCCACGTTGACTTTTGGAGGCCAAGACTCCCATGGGCTAGCCTTTGCACAGTGGAGAACAGCTCCAGTGGACCCATCGCCGGTGGTTTACAGCACTGGATGGGTCCGTTGTTGGGTCGATTGCGAATGCAACTGAATCACCCAGCGTTGGGGATGTGCAATACATCCAACATCCCCAGGAATCATTTGAATCGTTTTGTATCTCGGCTACATGAAGCATCACCGGCCAAGACTTTGTACAGTTCCCTGCCGGTTGATGCGCTGGATACGGAATGCTTGAAAAGGAATTGCGCCAAAGACCTTACACATGATTCAGGAAGGGGCAATGACTCTGAAACCGTCCCAAAAAAGGTTAAACTTCATCATAATTCATCATGGTGGATCTTTGTGGACTCCAGATGATGGTTTCAATATGTTTCAATCTGGGCCATTTCCACTTCTTCTAATCACATGGATGTGGAGGTTTCAACAGAAACTCAGCTATACATGGTGAACTTTCCATTGGCATGTTGAAACTACCAGGGTGTAGTGAACTTGTACTATGCACTGCTAGCAAGGGATGATAAAAGGATATAAAAAGTATTGGCTTCCTCTGGTATTCGCAGGTCTTTGAACATTTGGATCCATTCCACAGAATTTCATGTGGGGAATACAAAGAGAAGCAAATGGAGCTTCATGCAACTCAAACTTGAACAATGGCAATATGTATATGTATATATACACATCATATTTATGTGTATTATTTAAATTTAATATATTATATTATATAGATATTATTATTATATATATATTATATATATTGTATATATTATAATATATTATATTATATGATACATTATATAATCGCATTATGCATTAGATGTTATATAATTTTATATTTCATTTATGATATATTATATGTGAGGTATTAGTTTATATTGTATCTTCTCTTGTTGTATTACATTACTTTTTCAGACAATGGGTGACTAGAGGGGTGTGTTTTACAGCATGTCCCATGAAATCCCATTAAGAATCCCATTAAGAATCCCATTAAGACTCCCATTAAGAATCCCATTAAGAATCCCATCAAGAATCCCATTAAGAATCCCGCTAATCCACTATGTAATCATATTAAATCCCATCAAGAATCCTGCATTTTCCAGGCATTTTCCAGGCTAGTCCTTCACTCAGCCAAGGTATTATCTCCGGACCAAGGCTGCAGCAGATGCCATCAAGTTCACGGTAGAGGCCGTGGCTTTGGACAAGAGGAAGACAATATATATAGGGGTCTCAATGAGTAAGCGATACATCTTTCAGTCATCTTCCAATTCTGAACCTGAATTGATATTTGTTTATTCTATTCAGGGATTCAGCTCCAAGCGTCTAATTTATATTCATTTTTTGTTAATTACCCCCTGGTAAACAAACATAGCTATTGAAAATGGCCATTTATAGTTGATTCCCCATTAAACATGGTGATTTTCCATAGTTATGTTAGTTTACCAGAGGGTAATCTGTGATTGATGTTTCATGTTTGATAACATCCACCAAACTTGGAGACCCCAAGAGACTCCATCACGGATGGTCGTCGCCTGGGAATGGTCACCGGGTTTTTTTGTTTCGAATTAAACATGGCCCAGTAGAAAATGATGAAGTTAATTGATTTAATGGTCAAATGGTGATGATGATTCAATTTGAGGATGATTTATAAAATTCAACTCGTAATTCAATGGTGATCAGTTCGCAAACGCTTAGTCATTGCTCTAGAGGCTAGCCATTTATTCCAGGGAAATCCCATGATATTTACTGGGATGACCATGGGACGCCGCACTCGCATGACCAGGTGAAACAGAAGGTGAATTCCGACTCAGAAGAGACGGTGGCACCCCAGGCGTGACAGGTGGAGACCCAAGGGCGAAGATAACTCCAGTGGCTGTGCTTCATATCGTTTTGTGATACTTAGAACATTTTATGACTAGAGTTAATGGGTTTTATACGTTTTTAATAACTATAGTAACTACAGTATGCATGTTTTTTTTAAAAAAAAATATGGTTTTACAAACCTTAAGTTATAACATGGGGGGCCCACGTTGTATGTGTCTGAAACTGTACGGTCTACCCCAAAATGGCAATATCACCAGCATCTCTGTCTATCCTGGTCTTCGTCCATATCTAAAATAGACCATGTATAATTGTATAATTGGATGATAAGCCTGATGGTCACACCAGTCACCAAGTAACTATACTCTATGGTCATATCCGTTATTAGCTGGCATGCACATCCAAGTCGTTGTTCCATGCGACATAAATATAGTCATGAAATATGTGTGTCCTAGCTGCAGATCATTTAGTCTATATGATGCATTCAGGATGGTAATCTCATCCTCCCAGTCTAAAAACAAAAACAGTTCGGGCCCCCAATCCATGAATAGATCCAATGCTAAGTGATGGTTTCTAGGTGTTGTTTTCAAGATATTAGGGGAAACCATATCAGATTATCAAAAATAATATAACTATCGGGGGGAAACCATACGGTTTATATATACACTGGCTGAATTATAACGACCTCATTGCGACCTCACTGGAATGATAATTATTGGGGATAAGAGTCCCATTATTTCAGCTTATTTCAGATGAGTGTACTAATTTTAATTCATCCAGATATTTCAGATGATTCCTTTACCCATGACGGATCTGGGTAAATTATAACGACCTCACTGCGACCTCACTGGAATCATGGCTAGTAAGGGAAATGATCCCCAAATGGCCTTAATTCAGGTTAGTGAAATATTATAATTTACCCAGATAGGATCCATGGTGCTGGTTTTTCTATGCTAACATGACTGGGATTTTTGTTGATGGGATCCATGGCACACCATATATAACAGCACCGTTAGGATCCGTCATGGGTTTAGCTATCAATCAGATGCGCATCGTCGATCATCGATCCGACCCGCAGAGGTCCTGGAGAATTTGGAGACTGCCGCGATCCAAGCCTTGAACGGAGAGAAGCCCAAATACTCCTGCGACGCTTGGTGCTCGATGGGAGTTGAACCATCCAATGTGCCCACGAGTTCAACGTGTTGTTGACGTTGGTTTATAAAGCCCAGGAATACTATGGTTTTAACTGTTTTAACATACACCAGATAGGAGTTATAAACCAACTTAGCTATCTATTGGATTAATAGGATTGGGAAAAAAAAGGGGAAACATTAGCCTGAAGTTGAATCATTGGGATGAGAAGTGGAGTTTCCCCAATTCCTAAGGATCCAATCCCATTCAGTCGGATTTTTTTGGGGGGTTTTGGGGGGAAGCCCATGACTTTCTCACTGCAAATTGGCCTTCAAAAATGCCATCCTAAAAGATGATGAGATCCCCGAGAGCATCAGATTTGAATCAGATTTGAATCAGATGGCCAAATGGCCAACAGAACCTGGCTGAAGAACGCTGGTTTTTCTTCAAGAAAAATGGTGGCAACCGGAGACGATCTTAGAGAAAAACGATGTCACCATAATTCAGTGATACTTTGTTAGTATGGTTTCACCAGCTCTTGGAGACACCCCCATCATTTCCGGTTGGTTTCACAAGAAAAAACAAAAAACAACGCCGGAGCCCCTTGGGGGTTGAACCATGAGAACAGACCAGTGATTCGGCTGCGGATGGTTCAGTGATTCGGCTGCCCCTTGATCCTGGCTAGGTACATTAGGTACCCCATATAACAAAGTGCAACAAAGTGCTAAAGATCCCTGAGCAAAGAATATGGCCGGGCCGTTATTTCTGAACATAGCCTTTATGACCCCAATTCAAGTTTGCATATCTAGATATATCCAACTGCATCTAGTACATATATAAATACCTAATTACGTAGTACGTAGTGTATCCCCATCCAAATGGTACAACAACGTCCCATTTAACTTGGATATACTTGGATACATATTTAAATAATATATACGTATATATGCCATATACTACATAAATACATAATTATGTTATATATACAATATATGAACCATATATATAATATATATATATATCAATATAAATATACTTGCCTGAAAATTATCTATGACTCGTTTTTATTAAAGCCACCTTTTTGGTCGTGATGATCCACTTCAATTTTGCCCAGAAGGGTGTCATCCACGGTCTCGTCGTAGGTGAACTGTAGCTCTTGAGCTCCGTCCTTAGCCCTGGGATCGCTGGAAATGGGGATGTCATGGGGATTGAACCAACGAAAATGATAGGAGAAATCCCATTTCGTGCAGGAAAAGATGAGATTTTATATATAGTATGAGGATTTGAGTAACTATGAGGTTTTTTTAGTAGTATATTTGATATATAGATTTATAGTAAGTATAAGAACATATATGAGGATTCAACCTTCAGAAAGATTTGAATGTAACCATCAAACATGGCGATGAAAGTTGATTTCCACCAACAATTGGGGGTTGGCCCAGAACAACACGAGTCTCGAAGTCAAAAGAGTGCCGACCTGTAAAAACGGTTTTCTTGTCGGCATTAAAGCATGTCAAAACATGTTTTTTGCAGGGGATGGCTCTCATTTAGCCATCTCATTTAGCCAATAGCCAAGGTGATAGATCAAGGGCAAAGATTCGATGTGAAAAATCTTGGATCCATCCGGACCTCACAAGCCATAGCTAAGCTAGTCATGTTTAGGGCGATGACATGTGGCTGTGGAGTTTTAGTGTTTTGAAACGTCTAACACTTCCATGGCCCATGGCGAAATCCATGGGTTTTTGGCACAGCGGGGCTGAAACTCTAGGTGACCGCTCTCTGAAGCTTCCAAACTCTTTGTTGCGATCGGACGGCAAATGGCTGACGGACCTGTTGCTGGATAATTGGAAAATGGGGGAGAAAATCCCTAAAATTGTTTCTTGATGTTTCTTGCATTCTATTTCAGATAGTAATGACAGTTTGCCCAGATATCTAGGACACCAGCTAGTTGGTATCTTTGTCAGATATGGATAGGACATACAGCTATCTAGGATTACGTAGGCTAATACAATCATCGTCCAACATATATGTTTATCAATCTCCAGATAATCATTATTCGTTCCAATCATCATTATTCATTCCAATACTCATAATTTATCCCAATTAAAATTGGTTATCATGATCAGCTCTTGAATCTCCATCCGTCATCAACTGGATCCAGTGCAGAAAAGTCGTCCGACGACATGCGTGTGTCGCAGCTGGGGGAAGTACGAGATACTGCCTGGGCTGGGAAGATGTTGTTTCAAGATATCTGGTTGTTTGATGCTTAACAACAGCCCTTTAAACAGCGTCAACACATCTGTTAAACATATTCTAGATACTTCTTGTTTAATGCTAGATATTTCTTGTTTACTTCAAACATCGTTAAACATCTTTAAACAAAAAGTATCTGGCATTCTCATCCTGCTTTGGATCCGAGATGATACCGACAAGCTCCATGTACAGTTTCTCGGGTTTCAGCCACTAGCCCAACTCGGTACAGCTCAGGCAGTTTTTCGGCTCGGTGTGCAAAACATCAACCGATGGAAAGTCAGCGTTACGGTTTCACCCTAGGGGCAGAGCAGCTCATGCTGCTGGAGTTTGACGTGGTGTTCCCGCGATTCTTCGCTGGAACAAAATAGGAAACCCACACTCCATTTTTTGTGGGATATGTTGGGACAAATATATCTCAAAGATAATGAAACTGGTTTTGCTAACCTTCAAAATAACGATTGCCAATCTATTCAGCGAAGTTGCTGAAATCTTAAGACTTGAGGATGTTTCCTGTTTTCTTGGCGAAGTGCCGTCCGGAAGATTGGGAGGATCTTCCGTGGGGCATATTTTCGACCCGCCGTTTCGGCCGGAGCCGGAAACTTTTCTTTGCCGTGTGGGGGGGAGGGCAAAAAATGCCGGCAGTCTCAGTCTTGGTATTGGCCCCTGCTAAAAGATCTAAAAGTCTGTTGGAGTCCCCAGTTGGGGAGCTGAATACTAAAGCATACTAAAGCCTTCGTGTTCATCGAGGAAGCATTCGGAACCATTGACCCGCAGCGGGACCAGCAGCCGGTGCGGGCCAAAGTGTTTTTTTTGTCGTGGAACGAGGCAGGGTGCAGGGTGGATAGCAAGGCTGGATTTGGGTCTGGATTCTGTTTGGACAAAAGGATGGAAGTCTGGATCACCTGGTTTATTTGGTATGATTTGTAAATTCATGTGAGTAGAAAACCATCAGAAAACCCATGTTTTTTCTTGTTCTTTGACCGGCCAGAGTTGGGTGTTCCAGAGCTGGGTGACTGGATGAGAATCTATGGACTGGTGGGGAACTGACGCCCAGGGCAGTTGATGAAGCCAATGGAGCTATAACTTGGGATATGGGGCCATATGGGCTCTGGAAAAGTGGGGTTATTTCAAAAAATCGTCCACTCCTGGAACTGCACTTCCACTTGGAAAAAGTAGGGAGCCTCGACTCCAAAGACTTGGCGCTAAAGTGAAAAAGGGTGAAAAAGGGTGTTAGGGACAAATGCTACACGACTTCCTGGGGGAATCATCATCCGCTATGACCAGCACGGGTACCATCCGCGGAGGATGGTGGATCTGCTGCCTGCAGGGGTCATCAGCCATGGCCTTTATGGTGGTGCCAAGTGGGTCCAGAACCAACCCACAGGCCTCACCGGAAGGGGCTAGCCGGCTAGCCATATATGGGTCAAAACCTGGATGGTACCTTGAAATAGCTGGGTATGGTTAATGACTGATTGGTGGTTTGGAACATTTTATTTTTCCATATATTGACAGAATAGTAACCCCAACTGACAAACTCATATTTTTCAGAGGGGTAGGTCAACCACCAACCAGATGAATGAGGTTTTGATGAATGAGGTTTTGACATGTTTTGACTCATTCCTCCCCATATGTTGATGCGAAAGAAATCGGAAAATGGTGAGAGGAACAAGTCGCTGGTTCCAACTTTTGGACAACCTGAGGGGTCCAGTTAGGAGTGCATTGTTGATCAGCGAGTCAATGAATACACAAGTTTAGCATATTACTGTACATATATTTGTGTATATAGTCTGACCAAAGGCAATAGAAACTGGTGAGTATTAATGGTTTTATACAACGGCAAGACTAGCATCCCCAATCCAGTAATTAACCATTAACAATCATCAACAATCATTAACCATTAGATAGATATACCCTCTGGTTATTCAACATCGGTAAACCATCTATAAATGGGCCATTTTCCATGGCTATGTTAAATAACCAGATGGTAACATTAACATTAACACTCCCCAATCATTAACCACCAATTGATCATGGCACCTCTGACCCGTTTTTTTTGTTTTTTCATCCCGTTTCCACCTGCACGTTGGCCCGCACGGCAAAGTTCCGCAGGGCAAAGCAATTCCTGGGGCGTTTTGCGACCGGGCGCGCCATTGAATTTCACCTACCAGTTGCTTGGATATCTTGGATCACAAAAAAGGGTCGATCCCAATCAGCATTTCATCAACCGGTTGACACATGGGGAATGTCACCGCAAAATGATGGGGGTGTTTACAGCAAACATGGGGATATTTCACCAACATTTAGTGAGACAGCAGGACATAGTGGGATATATCGAACTATCAATGACGTGGATCTTGGTATTCTTTTCGTTTGTAAGTAGGTCTATTTTTGGCTGCCCAGTCTGACACATAACATATGGGGGTATATCATAGCCAACAAAAGCGAAGATGGAAGTAAAGTCGGTTACTCGCAACTATATGACTATGACACTCTGAGCCAAATTTCTATGATTTAGTGGTGTGATATGGTCCAAACTATGGATCTCATATGAATGAAACTTAGATATATGATAAATGTCTCTAGTCTGACGCTTAAAACATCCAAAAACATCCTTCATGGGGATGCAAACTTTAATGGTTGAATTCCCATGAATGGTTGAAATTCAATTACCATTTTCTCCAAATCAGAATCAACAGCTTACAGCGGCTCGTCATGGATTGTCATTCAGGCCAGCTATGGTGGGAGCAGGATACATCGCCTGCGAAGGTGACGTTTTTTTCCCGTTTTTTTGTCATTTTTTTTGGTGATTTTCATGGATATTCATGGTATTTCATGGTGATATATGGGAGAATTGACCAATTACATTATAGTGATGTAGTGATTAATTTTCATTACTGATGGTTTTCCTGAGTGATGGGGGTACCCCAAAAAAATCCAAGTCATGGATGACCATGACTTGGTATTGAAACAACCATGGTGACTTTGGGCTCGGGGAAATGATGATTAGCCTTCGGATGTTGGGTGTGAGTCGTGGCTGGTGGTTCCAGGGAATCTCTCACCATTGCTTGGGATGATCTGAAGAAACACCAGCCATGGCCAGTCAGCCAGTTTTCCGATGGTAGTGGAAAAATGTCATAAATGGATGATAACTGGGGGTACCCTCATGACTTAGGAAACCAGGGAGACTTGAAATATGTTTTAAGAATGAAAGACACGTTTTCCATACCCTCTAGGGACGTTTTCCATAGTTTTAAGATGTTTTAAGTATGTTTGAGCAGCCTATTTCACCGACTCCCATAGAGAAATGTACCCCAATCGATGGCCAAAAAGATATGGAAGATGATCTGCTTGAGACTGGATGAAAATGGGAAAACGTGGACAAAGCCACGTTCCCAACAATCTAACCTGGCGATACAATCATCATCTATTAGATTATTCATAGATGATTTTGACAATTTATAGATTATTCAATGTTTATCTATCATCGAATCATCCATGATTATCTATAATTTATCACCAGGTTTTATTATATCATCTGAAGATAGTTATCACCTGGTTTGATTATAGATTCTCAATCTATAGAAACCAATTAATTTACAGATGGTGTGTTGTTTCTCAAAACTTGTGATTCCCCATTGACCGGAGCATCACTTTAAAAGGCAAACGTGTCTGTGGTGCAACGATGACTTCAGATGGCTTTGGTCGTTGGTCTGTGCCATCAGCGCGGGATCTGGCGGATGTTTTCAACATGATCATTGCGAGCAACCACAGTCACCTGGCGTAAACTTCGTGGTTTTGCTGAAGATTACCCTCTGGTTATGTCAAAATAGCTATTGAAAATGGCCATTTATAGTGAGTTTTCCCATGAAAAATGGTGATTTTCCATAGTTATGTTAAATTACCAGAGGGTAGCTATTGAAATTCTGAAAACTACCATTAGTTTCGTAGATTTACCCATTGATAGCATGGTGATTTTCCATAGTTTTTTGTATGTTTACCAGAGGGTACGTCTTGTTTTCCCAATGGAAACTCCAAACCTTGGGGAATCGAAAGGGAATGACGTTTAATGGTGGGCTTGGCTGACAATTTGGCATGGAACCATGGTGGGAATTGCGTGTACCGAAAACAAAAAGTCTGTGACTTACCCTCTGTTAAACTAACATAACTATGGAAAATCACCATTTTTAATGGGAAAATCCACTATAAATGGCCATTATCCATGGCTATGTTAAATTACCAGAGGGTAATCATGTTTGGCCCCTTGAATCGGATGGCGAAAATGGTCAGGTCATTGCTGGCTGATGGTGCCCCCATCCTTTTTTGCAATGGCCACCCTTCAGTCACGGCTGACAAACATGGCTGGGCCCAGCCATGTTCGTAGTAAGTTGGTTTCATGTCAAGGTAAGCTTTGAAGCCATCCAGTTGGTTTCATGATCGACGAATTCCATTCCACTTGAGTATGGGTCTGTCTGAAAATGAGGTATAACTCCTACGGTATAACGGTATAACCCCAAAAAAGGCTATATAAAATTATAGTGATAATATGGGATAATGATGATTAACGATTGGATTAGGGATACACTATGTTCAGAAGAACCCTCTTAGTCGCCACAAGGTGCCATCTTCGGTCGGTCGCTAGCAATGTCAATTCTGTGGTTACCCTTTGGTGATCTCAGATGGCGACAGATACCGTTTGACCCTCCGTTTGTACCTATCAAAAGCCACTAGGAATTAGTACACCATTTTGCTTGAAGAATTAGGAGGGCTCTAGGTACATTCATTCTACATAAATGCCTGGTGGCAAGTGGCGGAGATGGGGCTTCGGCCATGCGACATTTGAGGAAATGGTCACCGTTGGGTCCCAGAATGGATGGTTTCACGGAAAAATCTGCGACCACAGACAGGTTGGCCTGTCCCTTTTCCCTGGTTTTTCAGGGAAAACCTGCAGAAAAACTTAAAAATTGGGTGTCAAAAGCCTACCCTCTGGTAATTTAACATAGCTATGGGAAATCACCATTTTTAATGGGAAAATTCACTATAAATCACCATGTTCAATAGCAAACTGTTAGTTTACCAGAGGGTACTTTCCTGCAGATGTTTCCCTTCATCTTAAATCAATCGGAGATGGCCACCTTCGCCACTAAAATCATCATGGTCCATGTTCAAACGCCAGACTCATTGGTGGTTGTATATCCCATGACATATCCCCATTAGCACAATGATATCCACCATTTTTGATGGTTAAACCATGTTAAACCCCAATTTTCATGGCTAACAATTTGGTTAAATCCCCCAATTTGGATGGACAATATACGATCATATCCCCATGTTCTGAAAAATCCTGCTTGTTCAGGTTATTGTCAATACTTCGACATGACCGTGGACCGCATCTTTGAGCGTGTCAACGTCCTCGGCGCCGAAGTGCATCGTTTAAACCTGGCCCTCAGCCGCAGTGCTGGAGCTGCCGAGACGGTGCGGCCATCGGCGCGGGAGAACTTGCCGGTGCAGGGGCAGATTGTGGAGGAAGCAAGGCAGCCTGGCGGGTGCCGTGCTTGCAAGTTTGGAATAGTTTGGAGCTGGATGAGGGAAAAGTATGGAAAGTTGTGGTATTTGTGATATGGCTATGAGTCAATACCTATTAATACCATTTTTAGTGGGATGAACATCCATTTACCAGCTATTTTGGGGTTCACTAGGTACCAGGGTTTTGACCCATCCCCATATGTGTTGCTGATGGATTGCTGATTTTAGGCTGATCTTTTGCTGGAAGAAACCTTGGACACTGCGATCAAAAATCACGGGAAGTGGCTTGCGTCATGTGCAAACGTTCCAACTGCCGTTGGATTCTGGACGTCCCTGCAATCACAGCTCTCATCGAAGGAGCCAACTGAAGTCGATGTGTTTTTTCTCAACATCAATGGTGTATCGCGGAAGTGAATATCAAGTGATCAAGTAGGACAGGATTCTAGAAAGTCTAGATGAGATGATGAATTGGGGATCATCAGTAGCTACCGGAAGACAGCCATGGCTGCCATGGCTGCCATGGTCGAGTTGGGATGGCCCATCTGGGGATGGTCAATTGGAGGTACCAATCCCATATCTAAGGCCGAAAATGTTCAGGCCTAAATTTCAGGGAATATCCCCAGAAAATATTGTCAAAACTATGGCAATTAAATTGCGGCAATTACTAACGTACCTCCATGACTCAGGATCCTGAAGATCTCCCATTGATTCAGTGAGATTCCATGGAGATTCCCATTGCGGCTGACCACATTTTGCCTCCAACTCAGGTGGCAACCTTTGCCGCCATCAGCCGCGCTTCGCGAACACAGTGCCTGGCCATGTGATTGACCAAATTGGGTGTCTCTGAAAACGCTTGGATACGCCCAAATAGCAATTCTTAATGGGAAAAGATGCCCCAAAATAGCATCAAATAATAATTTTAAGTGGAATAATAATGCTTAGTCAGCGAATTGTGGGGTTTTCCCAACATGTTCAGACAACCCGCCCAAACATATCCGTGTGGTTGAGGTTAGGTCAAGAATTTGAATGTTCCTCGGCGAAACATCTGATTTCGCAATACAGCTCCTGTTGATTTGGCATGTTTGTTTGCTGTTGAGTATTAATGTTGGGTGTTTACATAGACACGACAAATGGTGCATCAACAGCTTAGGTCAAGCTGCATGTTTGGTAGACTATCAATCATTGAACCCACCAGCATTTTTGCGCATTCCGCATTCATAGCATCTGGAATAGCTGCACAGGCAACTGGAACAGCTGCAAAGGCAACATGTTCGTTGAATTCCAAGAGATGAGAATACGTTTCAGAAAAAGTCTGGTTGGTGATATTTGGTGATGGGTTTTTGTATGTTTATGTTTCATCTCGCAAAAATGGGATTGTTATCCAGACTGACTTCAACAGTCCCCACAGATGGCGTGGTATAGTCATATGTCCATTAAATTCCTATTGAAGTTCAGCAAGTCTCCATCAATTCCCCAAAGCCATATGACATTCATTTGATGTTCGGTTCACCACTCGTTGTACCGTGTACTGTGCATGCCTCAGGCGGACCGTGCATGGCAACCGGAGGCAGCCGTTGTCGGTTGGAGATGGGTTGGGGGCTTTGGAAAGGCCAGGGCTGGGTTGTAACCCCCCAAAAAAGATCCACAGGTAAAATCTTACTAGAAGAATCAAGAATCTGATGTAGTGGTCAATGACTGTTCTGGCTTTTTGGGAGGAGTTCTATAGAATGAGACACTCCAACTGTCCATGAACATCGTTCGGATGGCTCAACAATCAGATGATTTTGAAAGTACGGTGTGGCTGGGCACAGGGCAAAGTTCAATCAGGTGTGGAAAGCAGCTGGAGCACCAAGCGGCACAGTGTTCTAGATGTTGCTGGGATTGGTCGATGTCCCATTGTGACATCAAATGCTGTTGCAGATGTGGATTGTCATGTTCAGATTTTGGGGATAATCCTAGCAATGGCTTTTTAGGAGACTTTGGAACCTTGGTTGTGGTCCGCGGGCATTCTTTCGTAAAAAAAAATCCGGTCCACAACCGAAAGCAAAGCCATAAACACAACGCATATATTGCATATGCTGCATGACCATACATATGCTGCTGAATTGGTGTTGCGTTCTACACCAATCATCGATCTGAACCAAGTCCCAATTGAATTCCCATTAAAACCCGACATCTCCCTGGTAAATTCCCATTAATTTTAATCAAGGCACATTACTGTACATCCCATTCATTGCTTTAAATTCCCCTAAACTCCGCAATTATGAAAACCAAATGATGCCCCATTTCCCATTCAATCACTAGAAAATTCTACTCCCAGTGGCTCTAAATCCCCACTCGGATCATAATTGCATAATTGGAGGCGCCTGGGAAGCAATGAAGTTCGCGCCGGGTCAACCCGTTCCAAAGCCCCCTCTTCAAAGACCGCAGACGGCAACCAGACACTTGGTGCAGGTCAGAGGGTACAGCTTCCACAGCAGCTTGAACCCTTGAAGATGGGTATACCTTTCCCTAAGTTATTTTTTGTGCGTGCCCATTTCTCCCATGATGTACAAAAAAAACATTTGGAAGTTTGGCACACCAATCTTTTGAAACGCATTGAGATTTTATATACTCCCAATTTTCAGAAATCTTTAACTCTCATTCTAAATTGTATCATCCCAATTCTTATAGAATCCCAGTGTTCATGGTTATCTTTTTTCCCCACCCGTTCACAAGTTTCTCCCCAAGCCCTCCTCAAATAAGGACCTGTCTCGATGGCGGATCGACGCGCTGCGGTTCCTGCCCCCGCTGCTCTCGGTGCTCCTGCTGCGGCTCCTATGGGTCCTGCGGGTCCTGCGGGTCCTGCGGGTCCTGCGGGTCCTGCGGGTCCTGCGGCCAGTCCTTTCGGGCCTCCAGGGGCGCAACCAACACAGCCAGGTGCCTTGGGGAGATGGGTGCCATGATGTGTCATGAAAAGCCATAAAATCCAAGTAGATCCAAAGCCAACTGATCAGGGGTTGAAATGTTTGAAATCCCATGCTTCTAACTTATAATTAGCCACACAAATATAAAAGACCTCCCTAGTTCTGCATCCCCAGGTCTATATAGCTCCCCATAAAAATCACGGTAGATATACCATAAACTGTAATAAATCCTCTGTATATTCCCATTTCTCATGGTAGAGCCTCTAATTTTTCCCACCAGATTCAATTCTAAAATTCCAATCATAAGTCCCTTTACTGGGCCCGACTTGGGACGGTTTTGAATGATCCCCAAATGGTTGGTCGACTTGGTGTTCTTCACGGATTGATCCAGTGCATTCTCCCATGTTCAATGGAATCTCTCATCATATCAGAAGCATATCCCATGAGATCCCAATGAATGCGAATCCCGTCAAAGAGTGTTATTACTGCTTGGTGGTTTCAAACATGGCTGAATTCTTTTCCATTTCAAAAAAAAGAATGTCATCCGAAACCTATTGACGAAGTCCATCATTTCTCAAGATGGTGAAATTGCACCACCAACCAGATAAGTAGCTAAGTATGATAATCAATGGGATTAAACCATATTAGACCATACTAACCATATATATAGGGATGGTGAAATTGCACCATACTAACCATTATTAGTTATGTTTACCCAACCTATCAATCTAAAAGCGTCCCCCCCAAAAAAAACATGAAATCTTCATAATAAATCCCATGTTTCATTCGAAGTTATTCCCCTCATGATTAAAACACCATCAAGTCCTATTTTTTTAAAACAAAACATTGTTTTCATGGTTATTCTCCCCATTGTTTCAATGAAAAATCATCAATAATGCTGTTCTTCATGGTCAATCTCCCCTCATGTTCCCTGTGAAATCCATGGATTTAATCCCAGAGAATCCCATGAACTCCCATCTTTGGAGTGATTCCCCCCATGTTGTTCAATTAAAGATCACTAAGTCTCATGAAAATCCCATAGAATCACATAAAATCATCTATAAAAAATTATAAAATATTATAAAATCACAGTTTCATGAAATCCCATAGAATCATATCAAACACCATATTTTTCCCATATTTTTCCCATGAAATCCATGGCATTTCCCAGCGTTGTTAGACCTGGCCAACGCCGCGACCCTAGCGGCGGAGCTGGACCTCTGCGCCGCGCGGCAGCCCTGGGTGGCCGGACGCCGCAATCTGCCTGCTGGAGGCCGACTTCACCATGGTTTTGCAGGGAAATCCATGGGAAAATCCATGGAAAATCAATGGAAAAGCAATGGAAAATCAGTGGAAAATCAGTGGAAAATCAGTGGAAAATCAATGGAAAATCAAGGGAAAAGCAATGGAAAATCAGTGGAAAATCAATGAAAATCAATGGAAAATCAGTGGAAAATCAGTGGAAAATCAGTGGAAAATCAGTGGAAAAGCATGGGAAAGTATGGGCAAATCCATGGGAAAATCACCATAAATCTATAGGACAGGAAAATGATGATTTGAAGCAAGGAAATTTGGGTGGAGTTTTCAGTGGTGGATTGAGCCACAAAAAGTGGGGTGGAGGAGCAAGAAAATGGAGGGTCAAATCAACCATAGAAAATGTGGTGCTGGAAGAACATTCTCCTGTTCTAAATGGCACATGTATCACATGTGGGCTTTCCATATTGGATTTCCGGAAAAGGGAAGTCTAGCAGCCACGAATCTCGGGAAATTTGAGGAGCATTTGTTTGGAGAAGCAGGGTGACATGTTTCTTTAGCCTGTGCTTTAATCCGATTGCAGTTCACGAGCCGGGTCCGCTGGGTAGCTGACCAACTCAAATGGGTTTACAAAAATCAAGCGGAGCTGTTGAACTGCAACAACCTATGATAACCTTAATTGGTTGGTGGTTTGGAACATTTTTTATTTTTCCATCTGGTTGGGAATTTCATGATCCCAATTGACGAACTCATAGTTTTCAGAGGGGTAGGTCAACCACCAACCTTACACAGTTTCCAGCAGGCTAGATGCAACTTGCACTTAAGCGTTCCTTAAAGGAGGCAATGAGATCAACGCAGTTAAAATGGAGATGAAACCATCGGCCTCATCGGCCAAAATTGATGATCCCAGAAAATGGGATCTCATCAACTCTCATGACGTCATAGATTGATATACTCTCTTGTTATGACTAACAGAGCCATGGAACATCACCATTTTTAATAGGTAAACCATCTATAAAATAGGCAATTTTCCATGGCTATGTTAAATATCCAGAGGGTATATAATGGTGTATATATATATATATATATATGGTTGGTGGTTTCAAACATTTTTTATGACTGTCCATATATTGGGAACAATAATCCCATTTGACTTTCATATTTTTCAGAGGGGTTGAAACCACCAACCAGATATATATAGATATGACGACCACGTCGATATTCGTGACGGTTGATTTTTGTTGCGCAATAGCGCGGGCTGATGTATTTCACGGTGTCAAAAAAAGTGAACTTGGTGACACCTGGTCAAGAGAAAATGCTGTTGGATATGGGTATGGATCAATACCTATTAATACAATTTTTAGGGGAATGAACATCCATTTACCAGCTATTTTGATGTTCACCAGGGGTACAAGGTTTGGACACACTGCCATATGTCACCAATATTGGGCTTTGACCCACCAATGAGTGTCTGTGAAAAGCTTGGATCTCGATGGACTAGCAGATTCGACATAGGGGTATTTTGCTGCCAACTCTCAGCATGCCGATAGGCCGATAGGTACCTTGTTCTTGACCAGCGAAAAATGGAATAGAATCAAAATTATGCAAGCTGGGGGTACAACTGTGTAATCAACCTGTTGGGGATAGCAACAATATTGGTCTGCGTATGTTTCAATATTGCCCAACGTGCTTCCCATATTCCATCGAAAGATCATGGCCCAAGAAAAAGCGGCTACGAATGAAAATAAGGAACAAGTCAGGAAACTCAGCAAAATCTTACTGGTGCTAAACGTAGGGAATTTTCGGGAATGATCCACAAGAACTCACAATAACTATCAATAATCATCCCAGCAACCCCCAATTCCCATCCATTCCCTACGTAAAATGCACCAGTAAGAAATCCAAAGGGTTTCCTCATTGAGTCCGACCCCAAGTCTGACCCCCAGTCGTGGCCCTCCCGGATCGCGAGGCCGTTAATGATCGGATCGCGAGCGAGCTGAAAACTTGAGAGATGTGACCCGTGGAAACGCGTGGCTGGGTTTGTCCAGAAAAAGAGAGATTCATATGCCATAGATTGCCGGCCACTGCAAAAAGGATGTCATGAACATTTCTATAGATGTTACTTTCTTCGGGTGAGAAAAGCACCTTTTTGCATATATATATATATTCTGACATCTGACATTTTGTTGTCTAAGATTCTATCTTATAGTTAATAGTTATTCTGACATACTATTTGACATTCTATCTGACATATTCTGACATTTGACCTTCTCTCTGACACTTTACATGGCATTCTTTCTGGCATGTAATCTGGCATTCCATTTGACAGTCTATTTGCCTTCTGACATTTGTTCTGGCATCTAAGACACTTTATCTGGCATTCTGATTCTATGTGGCATCTGACATGTTGGGGGATGGCATACTGGCGGGGAATCTGGCGAGGGAGGGAGCAGGATGTCTTGCTAAAATCGACCCTCACCTGACAGCCCTGGCTGGGGAAAAATGGGAACTCAGAATCTTCGATCAAACTTTGATGTGGTGACTGTGGTGTATACTCTGGTAAACTAACATAACTATGGAAAATCACAATTTTCAATGGGTAAATCCACTATAAATGGCCATTTTCAATAGCTGCCAATAGCTATGTTAAATTACCAGAGGGTAGCCATTTTTTGGACAAATCCATCTGCGCGCTCTTCAGAGATTGTGTTCCATCCCTAGGCATGGGATGAGCATGCCGAAATCGATCAGAGGCACCCAATTGTTGTGGGTTCCAAAGGTAGAACGTCCATGAACGTCCCACGGGTCTGTCTGAAAGTGAGGCTTCACTGGATTTTTCATGGTTAATCATCATGTTTCATGGTTAATCATCATTTTTCTTGGTTAATCATCATTTTTCTTGGTTAATCATCATTTTTCTTGGTTAATCATCATATTCACATTCAAATGGGGCCATGAAAAACGCCTATTGCTTAAGACCCCATGATGATGGTGGTCGGGACATCGGATGTTGATCCCAGATCCTGATGCTGTGCCCCACGATATCTTATTGTTAAGCATTGATTTCCCCATTTAGATCGTGATCTTTGAATATTATACATTAATATATATATATAACTATATATATATAACTATATATATATATACTATATATATATATACACACCATTTTCCCACACACTTATAAAAATTGATGACCCAACCGCGAGGCTTGGGCAGATTCCGGAATCATTAGTCAATGGATGGTTCCCACTGGTTCAATTTTTTGGTTCATTGGTTCTGATTACTTTAAAGCAGATGTTTGGGATAGGTATGGATAGGTTTAAAAAAGCAATGCAAATGAGCAATGTTCGAAAGCGTTGATTGATGATTATAGGTGATTACATAATATTATATATGTTACCCAACTCATTGGGGATGATAAGAATCCACTATCAGAACCCCGCCAAAATCGTATGGACAGTTTGTGATCAAATTTCTCGGACGATGGTCCTCAAGGCATGACATACAAAACTTACAACACACAACGTCGAAAGTCCATATATAATATATAGCCTAAGTAAGCATGTGGGTAAACAATAACAAACCATCCCCCAAATCACCATTTTTATAGGTGGTATGGTTATCATTCCCAAAACCTATTGGAAAATTCTTTAGGCATTTTTTGTATAGGAAATTTGAGCACTGTGTTTCTTCCATGCGATGTGTGTTTGTGCCCTCTGATCAGTCGGAAAAATCTGGTGACAGATGACTTTACATATCCTGCCTGCACGTGTCTTGTATCCTTGCTCTTTGCCTTCTTTCCTGTTAAAACAGCAGGATTTTCAGAAAGAGCTTTCGGAGCCTGTTCGTCAAGCCCGCTCCGCTGTCTCAAAAGAGGAAGGACTCTGCGCCAAAAAGTGTCTACGGCCTATAGTTGCAGGATGTTGGAAAAATCAAATGGGAAGAAATACGAAGAAACTATGAGAACCTATAGGAGATATGGCAGATACGATATGCTTATGGAGTGGTTTGAGAACCAATAAGTCTGAGTTTTTTCCAATCTGCAATGGAATGAATATGGCTTCAGACCGATTGCACCACTGGTGGCAGATTGAGTTGGGATTGGGAAGTTGGAGCACAGCAGTCTCATGCTTTGTGTCCTCATCTTCCGATTGGCACTCTTTCAAACAAAAAGTTGGCACAGAATCTGGGAAAGCATTGATCCAATTGGACTCTATGGTCATGTTGATCTTAAAGCAATAATGATTCTGTCTTCAGCCAGCTGATGGTTCACATAGTTTACATATCACTATATATATATACATATATATATATATTAGATATACATATTTTATATATTCCCACCTTCAGGTACCAAGCCCTGTCTCAGCTTTCGCGGCTCAAAACGTGGGCGCAGTTTGGCGCCGCTTGCGCTTGCGGACGCCAGGCGGGACGCCAGGTCCTGGGAATGTCCGCTATGTCTTCAGGTTTGTTTTCCATTAGGCTTGGCCATAATTCGCTGATATTAGGTGTCTCACATACTGACTATTCCCAGTTTGTTTTGTTTCAATGAATTAGTCTTGTAACATACTGAGTATTCCCATAATCATAAATTATATTTGTTCATGATTTGTTGTTTAGTTGTGTTTCTTGCTCAAATGATCTCGAATGTTTATCCTATATATCAGTACGACTGGGATGATTAACCCCAACTTGGCATTTTTTGAAGAGCCGGTTGAAAGCACCAATCAGACTTATGAGTTTATTGCCTGTGAGATATCAATCATGAGAGCATTTTCCGGCTCGCTGATTTGCCGATCAAGATGATGGATCAAAAGTGAGGTGAATGCCACATGTTTTCATGATGATCTTACCTATATTGTTGTTAAAATGGTGCGATTTCTTGGTTTCAACTTGTCCAGACTTTTCCCATATCCGGGTGAGTGTGTAATGTCATCAAACGTGATATATTATCGTACATGGGTGTGTCTGAAAATGGGGTATACATAGGTATACCCTACAAAGAAACATAAACATGCAAATTTCATCAAATGTTTGGTACCATATGTTCAGACAAATCTATATTGGGAAAATTAATCATAAATCCCTTCGCCTTAGTATAAAAACGCACCCATATGGAACCCCAATTCATGAATAGATGGATCCTTTACATGTCGCCAGGGTTCCAGGGGTTATTTACTGTAATACTAACGGGAAGGGATTAGTTCATGGACCAATAGTTGATTCCTCGGGGTAGATGCAATGCATATCATTGCTATTGGTGTTAATTACCAACGCCCATTATCCAATGGTAGTTTTGTGGTAGCGTATGATTATCCATTGTTTGAAAATATGTGTTCTAACGTGTATCCCTATCAATATCTCCAAATACCAGTGGTAATCGGTAATTCCCCTCAATGTTACCCTTTGGTAGTCAATCATAGCAATTGACAACCCTATATAAATGGAGGTGTTTTAATGGGAAAATTATCTATAAGTGGTGGATTTTCCATTGCCATGTTTGATTACCAGAAGGTAACTCATTTATTGGAAAGGGATTACGGATTACCATTGGCATGTTTTAAAAAAGGGTTTCGAAAGGGATTAATTACCATCTTTTATTTTCCATCCTAGGAATGGGATGATGATGCAAATTGAGAAGCTAAGATGTTTGAGATGGGTTGAACACCAGTAATGTCAACCCCGGATTAATAAACTATGGTTTATTAATTAGCGGGTACCCTCCAAATCGTCACTTTACATGGTACATAAATGGTACCCCCCCAAAAAAAACAGCCGTAAACGGGGTTTATTAATAGTCATTAAGCATATAATTAACCAATAGCCATGAGTTATTAACCATTAATCCAACATTCATTAACCATTAGTCATTAACCATTACTATCCGAAAGGGCCTTTTGATGCATTTTCTGCAAAGATCCCAAGGTGTCGCCATCGCCGCCCCAGGCGATGTCAAGCCGTTGTAGTCGCTGCAGGGGTGGCCCAGAGTCGTGGTGACCTGCTAGGGGTGCAGTTGAGGTGTTTGAGTAATGGGAGAAGAATGGGATAGTAATGGATATGAGTGGGATGATTAGTATCTACATATATATATATAATGTATGTATGTAAATATATATATATATATGTATAATATATATATATTATAGATGTATATTATTATAGATGGATATTATTATAAAATATCTCTAGGGATAAATTGGTAAAGCCAATGCCATTTTTACCTACCATGACTCGGGATGTTTTTTTTTGTTCTATCCCACCCATCTAATGATGATGGGACTGCAGTTGCAAGAATGTCACCGAAAAATGCTGGGCCAAGTGTTTCTTCTGGGTGGTGAATCTATGGTCAAATTGAGCCAGATCTTATGTCAACTTATGTCTAGGTTTCGGGGTTTCGGAATTGCACAGACACTGCATTGGAGATGCAAAAGATATGCCCATCGATCCGTCACTCGTGGAGTTTTGGAGGCCCCGATCCCGGCCAGATCCTACTGTAAAAGCTCCCGGAAAGCTCTCCACAGCAATAGCGCAGCAAAATCGACACCCAAGTTTCCTCAGTTTCTATATGGGTTTGGGTCAATCCATCCCTGTTTTCATCTGTTTTCGGCCCCGCCAGATAGTCCAACGCCAACCACCAAGCAGCTTCCATATGGTTCAGAAAAAATAGAAACAAATCAGAAAAAACATCGTGCAGCATGAGCATTACCATTACCCTCCGGAAATCAAACGCGGCAATAGAAGATTCACAATCTTTTTGTACTTATAGCCATGTAATAGCCGATTTTCCCAGCTACAAAGCTCCATTCATTGAGGGTTTGCCACGTTTGATCCGGCGGGTAACCCCCTTAATATCCCATGATTTTCCCAGTGATATATCCAATAAGATGGTCTAATACCATTTAAAAAAATGCCCTGGGACTCTCCCAGTTTAACATTGATATCATGGATATCCCATAATCTATATCCCATGATTTATGTTTCACTAAGATTTCCCATTCTCCCACTAGATAGCTGAACTAGTCAGCGAAAAAAATCACCATCTTGATCGTCTTGATCCCATGACAATCGTCAAGGTTTAGAGCGCTGCGTTTCACCCTGCGACCTGGCGTGATTCTGGGAGGGAGGTGGCGTTTTTGTTCGATTTATGTGTGGGACAGATACAGTACTGAAGTAAATTACTAGTAATCTCATGTAATCTCCTGATATTCATCATATTAGGAAATGACTGCGAAGAATGCAAAAAGATGCACTCTAGATTAATCTATAGAAAGTTTGGGTGTCCGAAAAATGGGGAATCTGTGTAATACTGGTTGGTGGTTTCAAACATGGTTTTTATGTTCCATTTCATATATGGCATAATCCACCAACCATTGACTTTCATGTTTTTCAGAGGGGCAGGTCAACCACCAACCAGAATAAGTCACTTAATCTCCAGCAAACTCAAGACTTACCTGAACGATGGGGGCTAACTGGCACCACCCTGGAAGACTGGAATGTGAAGAAGTCATCTATAAATGTATGTCACTATACGATGGATCAGAATATACGTATATAAAATCATATAAGATATATTAAGATATTATATATATAGTTATAGTGATATCTGTCAATTATATATAAGATATATATATATATTGACAGATGTATAAGCACCCTGTGACATACCCTTCCCATTGTTCTGTCTAAATTTATATGATCCAAATGTGATTCAGAAGCTCACAAGCCAGGTCCCCATCGCAGCTCCAATGAACACGAGGCTCATGGGGCTATCCACAAATTCACCACGAAATCCATTAAATCATTCTCCAGTATTGACGGCTATGGTGACTTCGGGATCCCCCATTTTTAGGGGGGGGGCCGTTTGGGTGTGTCTGATGTTTTTTTCAGCAGGAATGATGCAGAATGCTGGTTTAATTCATCTAACGTTGATTTAATGGTGATTAATGCGGATTTAGAGTGATGATTCATTTCTTTCCAAGGAACATCAGTGTGATTCAATGGGATTTCATGATGATGTCATGTCATGTTATGGTGATTTATATATATATAGTGAACTCATCAGCAACAAAAATATGGAGATTTATTGTGATACAATCGCAATTGGTGTATACGTGTATATACATACATTCTCATATGATATCATCTGAGAATTGGGTTCGTCTTGAACATGGTTTGAATACCCCCCAAAAATGCAGTTTGAAAAGGAACATGATAAACAATCACTGGAATTTGGGATACCTTCTTTTCAGTCACACCAATGTTCTTCAAGTTGCAAGGTTTCCTGATTTTTCAATTGTGTTCCAGCTATTTGCTTTAAGATATGTTAAATGATGCAGATTGATGCAATGTTCTTTTCTGCTGGGGAAAATGTTGTAATTGAAGGAGGTATCACTGCTGAAGCCAGTGAACATGGTTGATGGGGAAGATGGTTCTACTGGCATTCTGCAGGGTTGAATCACAATGAGGGGGAGAGCTGGATCCAAGGTTATCATGCTATCGAGGTTGATTCCTTCAGAGATTTTGGATGCGAATCTATGCTAGCCTCAAATGTGTATTCAAATATTATAATATGACAGCTGTCATATTGAGGTTACAAAGTTAAGCAGAACATTGCAAAACGTGTCCAAGTCAAATGGCTTTGGAATCAAGACTTGGGACATTGCTAATTTACCATCTGGTTATTTAACATAGCCATGGAAAATCACCATTTGTAATAGGTAAACCATCTATAAAACCTATAAATAATCTATAATAATAATGGGCCATTTTCCATGGCTATGTTAAATAAACCAGAGGGTACATAGTATTGCATAGATTTGCATCTTGGAAGCACTTTGAGCCCGTAGTTTCTACCATTTTCGACCTGCAGAGCACCAAATTCTTTCACTGCCGTCGGCTCAGTGAGTTACTGCTCAGTGGATACACCGTCGCAGACCGGTTTTTGCGGACGCCATGAAGAGGACCCTTTTCCTTCTCCTCGGTTTGGCATGTGGCAAGGAACTAACAAAGGCTGGGGTTTTTCGTTGAATTCCCCAGGGCAGCAACCGAAATCATAGGGGAAAACCATGGAAAACCCATGGTTTTTTCTTAATGAATCAACAAAACAACATGGATTGATGAGTCCCATGATGGGGTGGAGTATGAAGTAGTTCTTGGATGCCATGTTAACATCTTGGTAAGTTTCGGTGGTGAGAAGCAGCAATACCTGAACTTCTTGGTGGTTTCAAATAGATGTTATTCCATCCCAACAAATGCGATGATGATTCACAATGACACAAAGATACACAAAGATTCATTTCCTGCATAGCAAATCACTGAATGCAACAGGCCTCATTGTGGTTGTATTTGATGGCAGATTTGGCGTTTGTTTGGCATCTGCAGTATTCTGCAGTTTGTTTTTCCCCAGGACTTTGCCTGCATGATTTTTGATCGACGCAAACATGGGGATATCAACATGCCAGTAGGCACAGAAAAGCGCACCAATAACGATGGAATCAAGATGGGGTCAACATTTTGTTCACAGTCCCAAATGAGAGGATGCCACGCTGGTCGGTGATTTAAGTCAGACATCTGGTCGGGATCAAAATGGATAAAATGGCCAGAAAATCACTGAAGATGGGGATCAAAAACACTGGCAATTAACGGATAGTTCATGTCAATGTGTACATATACAGTAATATACAGTATCCAAACATTGGCATTTTTCACAAACACAAAAAACGTTTGCAATCGGATATAACAAGGATATATATATATATATAAACGATAAAAACACCAAGATCAACCATCAAAAACCATCAACTTCAACATCAACTCACCCAGCAACTCACCCAGAAACAAAAAGACTCACGAGGCCACCTGGGACGAGGCTGTCAGTGGCAAAACGGTCTTCGTGAAGTTTCTGGCGCCGTGGTCACTGGGAAGGAAGACTGGAAGACTGGAAGGAGACTGGAAGGGGATGCCCAGCAAACACCATGGGATAAAAACTTGGGAGATGGTGGGATAATGGTGTTATATGGTTAAATACTGGGATTTTTCGGTAGGTTAAAGATTATGATTATGGTGAATAAATTAAATGGTTATCACACATGGTTTGTTAATGATAGAAACCATTAATGGGAGAATGGTAGGTTAAATGATGGGTTTTATATGCTTCAAAATGGGATAAACATGGTGATTTATAGATGATTATCCCATAAACATAGCCTCCGAGTCATGGGGCCCATTGGGGGTTCAGTTTCGGCTCCGGTTTTACATAACGAACTGGGAAATCACCATGCATTTTCAATGGGTAAATCCACGATTTCGAAAAAAAATGGTCATTTTCAATAGCTATGTAACAAATTACCAGAGGGTACCAGAAAAGATGAACAGGTTTGCAATGAAAATCTGTGGGTTCAACCAAACAGGTCAAACAAACGTGTTCAATTGAGAGTAAGAACGAGAGCTGGGCATGGGTCCAAATCGGCATAAACTCTGGGAATCTCTTCATGCTGGCTGGAAAGTTTACTAGAAATAGTGGAAATGTGTTTATTTTCAGGGAAATGTGTTTTTGCCACTGGAACAGAATGGTTTCAGCAACATTTGTTGGTTGCTTCACTGTTTATCTACACAATTTGAGTACGGAATCAACATTTGGTTTTTTTCGTAGCTGGGACTGTGTCAAATTCAGATGTCTCCACCAAAATGACACTGGTTGGTGGTTTGGAACATTTTCTATTTTCCATTTCATATATGGGATAATCCTTCCCATTGATGTTCATATTTTTCAAGATGGTGATTGCACCACCAACCAGATAAGTAGCTAAGTATGATAATCAATGGGATTAAACCATACTAACCATATATAGGGATGGTGAAATTGCACCATACTAACCATTATTAGTTATGTTTACCCAACATTCGATTCTCTTTTGAGCACCAGATTCGAATCATGGAAATGTTCCGCCCAAAAAACCTGAAGTATTACGTGTGTACACCAAGAATTGTTGAAATGGCAAGGCATCTTTGACTTATCCATTTTTTCTGAATTGTGAAACCACTTATTTCGGGGTACGTACCCCTCTTTTTTTAGAAACACCCATTATATGTATTCGAACAATCATGAACATGTAATGTGCAATGATTACAGTGCGCGATTGTCGGTGAAAAGGTGTTTTTTTTGTGTTTTTTTTTTAATCCCATTACCAACCATTACCTTAGTATCATAAACCATAGTGAAATTGGAGCTGTGTTCACCAACTTCGCTATCCAATTGGGTGCCCCAGTGCTGGTGCCTCACTGGCCCCCTCCAGGGATGAAAATCATGGTTTTTCAGACTACACCAGCACTGTAAGGAGTTTCTGATTGGTAAAACACATGAAACGAGAATCAGCGGAATTGAAACTCTTGGACATAACATGATATGAAATAGAATATAACTTAACTGCAAACTGATTAATTTGATGGTTGCTGGCTGTTCATGTGTTTCATGTTCAAAAAAAACTATCTCTACACATGCGAGATCTCTTTCTACTCTCTGGTAATCAAACATGGTTTGCTGGAAAATCAAGCATTTCTAGATCATGTTCCTCTGAAAAACTGCGGCGGTGCAAGCCAACACAAAGTAGCGAGTCGCGAGCGGGGAAATCCATGATTTTTATCAAGGTGTGAACGGGACTTCATGATCAATCAAAGGGCATCAATTTTGGAGGAATTTTCATGAATTTTCTAGTTTAATGTTTGAGTACTAGCCGGGAAAGCTTAAGGTATTTGTGAACTGTCAGGAACTGTCAGGAGGGAAGTGTTTGATAGTGATAGTTGCAACGTGTCACCTTTTGTTTTGCCCCCCAAAAACCCAACGCTTCATCGAAGCAGAAGAAGTTAGGTGAGGTCATTGCAAGAAGATGAAGCCCGATGCTCGTTGCAGCGCAGCAGGATGCACTGCATGTTGTTGCCTGTGGGGTGCGAATCAACACCAGTTGATAGGTGGTAAACATCCCATTATTTATAGGGTTTCAACCATCCAAGGTGGTGCAGGATTTCGCAACCATCCACCATATGTTGGAGTGATTTGGCCCATGTGACAACTGGAAAAACGTGCCAGCTCAGGATTAACAGGCCTATAGACCTTTTAATTAAAGGGTTTCCCTAACTATGGGTCATTCCAATAAAAATGGCGCTCCCTACATCAACAAGCAAGACATAAAAATGACATCCTGAGTTGGACCACTGTCATCTTTCAAGAAATCCACGGTATTCCAATTGTTCGATCAGTTCTTAACTGCTTGGTGGTTTTAACATGTTTTAACATGCTTTAACCCATCCAAAAAAGATGCTCGTCATATCAACTAAATCATCCCGCCGGTATCCCCATGAGTCGTTTATTCCATACGGAGGTTTCCTACAATGGGGCATCCCCAGTTGTCACCATAGGACCATAGTTGTTTCAATACCAGTCGCCATGGTCATGAAAAAGACGACTGGATGATGCTTTGGGGATACCCCATGACCTAAGAAAACCTCCAGTAATGATAATTAATCACTACATCAATATAATATATATATATATACTACTATAATTAGTCAATTCTCCCATATATCATGTATGATATCACCATCAAAATAACCATGAAAATCCATATTTTTCCAATTTCCAATTAAAGAATCACCATAATATCTTCCAACCATATCTTCCAACAGTAAGGATTGGGACAAGCTGATGAAAGAGTTCGAAGGCTCTTCCTCCGTTCTGGTGGCCGATGTGGATTGCACGGCCGGGGGCCAGGGCAAGTGTCAAGAGGCCGCGCAGAACTGGAGAGAGACCCAGAACTGGGGGAAAAACCCAGCAGCTTCTGTTGGAATACATGAAAATAGCATAACATACTGTGGATGGAAGAAATCCTGCACCAGTTGGTAACTATTGGGAACTATAAAACATTGTAAATAATGGGATTACAATGGGATAAACCATCTATCAACTGGTGCAGGATTTCTTCCATCCACTGTATGATGACATATGTAATTATGTCATAGTATCCATATGTAGCTATGACATGATGATGATATGATGAAAAATCCAAAAAATAGAATAACATAAATGATATTAGCAGATGTTATCCATAATGTAGCTACTACCAAGTGATATAGACTAGTGAATATAGCTCTATGAAAATATCGTTCTAGATATCATCAGGTGAACATATCATGTAGGAACCAGCTGCTGCAGCTGCTTGGGGGTTCAGCAGCAAATCTGTGATGGTAACCAGATGTATATAGCAATGGTCAAAAGCCATTCAGAATCATTGTCCTTAAGTGGCAGTTTATTGGTTTGTGATCAAATGTCTTGTGGTTGGCGATGTCACTACTTCTTGCAGGTTCCTACCGTCCATTTCCATGATTGGGGGACAGTTTGGGAAGACGACTCCAGAACAATACACAGCCTATTCATTGGACTAGTTGAGCCAATTTTGTGCTCACGAGATTCATTAGCTGCAGATTTGTCGGACTGGAACTTGTCAAAACTCCATGCATGACCATGCATTGTTTAACTCGCCACTTGCTTATAGTATCTTATAGTCACATGAATAGAAAGAACAGGTTGAACAGATCTAGGTCAATCTTAGATGGGTACTTTAATCCTAACTAGTCTTTTGGTATCAATGGGAATATCTACTAACCAGCAATTGTTTTTTTTTTGCAGGGTGCAGGGTATCTAAGATTGGCAATGATATGTTAAGATTAAGGTCATGTTTTGGATGTTTTGGCGCCTCTCAGACCAAGCTCATATGATGTTGCTGGTTGAGAGGCAGATGTCACCTGTTTTTTTTTGGGACAGCGTCCTCCATGGCGCCCTGCAGGTGGGTGTGAGAGGATACCCCACCATCAAATATGGCGATCCTAATGATCTGCAGGAGATGACTTGGGCGGCCGAGGTATGAAATTTAGAACTGCAATGATCTGTTGTTTTGTTTGGTTTTAGTTCCAACCAACTGGGAAAATTTACATATACAATCATACACAACTTGTATGTATATATATACATATATATATATACATATACATACATATACATATATACATATACATATATACATATATATACATATAATATATATATACATATATACATATATATATGTTTATAACTGGTGATATGTGTTTGCAGGAAATCCAGCCTATTCCAAATATATCATCAGCGTACTGTAGAAATGACAAGGACCTCACGTCGCAAGGGAAATGACGGAAATGATGGTGTTCGGATTGCTAAAATCAGGTTGGTGAATTATGATGGAAATTCTTCCGATTTTTATGCGGGATACATGTTCTTCTTTTTGATGCTTCAATGATAGAGAATCCCAGTCAAGCTATGGGTGCCAGATGTTTTCAGGTTGAGTTATAGTTGATGGATGTTGATGGCTCGCCCCCCTAAAGTAGAGATTTCATAAAGGGCGAGACACTGCGTTGGGCACCGGGGTTTTTTGTCTCCATCCGAATGCAGCGAGTGGTCACAGTACCTTTTCAGACACATCTCAGAATTGCTGAGAATCCTACCCTCTGGTAATTTAACGTAGCTATTGAAAATGGCCATTTATAGTGGGATTTTCCCATTAAAAACGGTGATTTTCCATAGCTATGTTATTTTAAATTACCAGAGGGTAACTTTTTGCGTTTATTTGTTCTACTCTGGTGATTAAATTGATTAAATGAACATTCAAGTGCTACTTAGAGCAGACGTTCATGGGTTGATTCAAGAGAAAATTGAACAGGACACCATTTGTTATCTATGCCGCTGAATCTGTAGAGACAAAATCCATGGTTGTTTCATCCATGGTTCCTTCAAAAAGGCCCATGGTTACATTGTTGATGAATTACACTGTACCATTAGCTTCGTGGTTGCAATTACCCTCTGGTAATTTAACATAGCTATTGAAAATGGCCATTTATAGTTAGTTTCCCCATAAAAAATGGTGATTTTCCATGGTTATGTTAGTTTACCAGAGGGTACTCTATGGTTAAACGAGTATGAGCCTCCCCTTCATCCTTTGTTCATCCTGCAGGACTACAATGGAGGTCGTTCCTTCGCAGAACTGCAGAAGTTCGCGCAGAGCTTGGGGCCCACATGTGGCCCGGCCAACCTCGATCTCTGTGACAACAAGAAGAAGAAATTGATTGACGAGTCACTAGGCATACCATGTGGCCCACCCCATCAACTATACATTGGGACTATATATATAATTATATAACTATCGTTAATGGGACTTATAACTATAGTTAATGAGACTTAATGGCATATAAGTTTGTTTATAAATCCCATTAACTATAGTTATATGTTATATGATCTACAATGTGGGTCCCAGTAATACTATCCGTTAGAATCGGTTCGTATAATCCCCCAACTAATCATCAACCAACCGGGGTTCAGCAGTCTCAGTTCACCGGATTGTATACGTTGTGGGATCCCCCAGTGATGTTTGTTGGTTTTTATATCCCATGAATACTATAGTGATAAGTGTCACAATCCATAGTTATTTGAGGTATGTTCACCAACTTAGCTATCGGTTGGAGGCCCCACTTTGTGGCTGATAGTGTGAGAGATTTTTTATGGGCTAAGTAATGTAGTAAAGGCAACAATTGACCAGACATACCATAATATATACCATATATACATATATAGCACCTGATGTTGCCATTTAGGATCATTGGATCATTTGCGTAGATGACCCTTGAACAAAGTGGGAGAAATTCTTGGGGATTTACCAAGAATATTTGGAGATATATAACGAATACAATATCGAACGGGGAGAGAGACATCAATATATCATGCGTATAGAAGCCAACAGCCTGATTTTGCCATTTTGGATCATGCAAGGAACCCAATAAATAGAGGCATGATCAGGTTCATCACACGAGAAGGTTGGCGTGAAGCGATCACCAACAAAATATTAAAAAGAAAAACATACGCAAGTAAGATAACCATCAAAATAGTCGATGTTCTTATGGGTTTCTGCACTCATTTGTTGGTTTTCGTGTGCTGCAATATCCGGATCCGCCATAGGTGTGCAAGTTCGCACGTGCGCAAAAAATGGGTTACAGCTCGGCACGAAGCATAATGTGGTAAAACCGACTGCAGAAAGCCTCGTTGTTGAATATGTTTTTTTAGACCCCAACTTGGTAAAAACTGCATTGCTGTGGTATATGGTCATTATTGACTTCTCATGGTAATACACTTCTCATGCAGTCATACACTAACATGGATTTGTTTGCGGGGTGAACTTAGGGTACACCAAAATCAAAATCCTACAGTTGTTCATAATCTTTTCCTTTAAGATGCCAATAAATCGAGTTTTCCTCAGTTTGTGGCACCCTAGTCACATATGGTTAGTTTCTAAATGCAATGATTTCGAAATGAAATCATAATGGTCATCAACCAACCATCATCGACAAATATGGTTGACCACTTTTCAACAATTCTCCTTTAGATAGTATTCCCATTTAAATGCCCAATTATAGCCGGACCCATGTTTGAGGACACCGGAGGGTATTCACCAACATTCCACCAATATGCCATTTATGTTCCATTTATATTACATAATATATATATATAATGTTACATATAATATATAATATTTTTTATAATCATAGTTATGTAAATATATATATAGTATGATTAATGTCCTGGCTTCATATTCCATTTCAAGCCCAAAAGCCACAGGTCCCAGGTCACCCGTCCCCGACGCTAGGTATATGGCTCTTGACTCAACGATGCTCGGTGCGTCGTGTCGAGTCATGGCGGGGTTTCTGCTGCAGAAGTGGTGTTATTTTTAATGGGCGAAGGATGGGGAATAAGCATGGGATAATGGATCTTTGATGGATCTTTGGGATAATAATGGTAGGCTAAATATGGTGTTCTATGGTTTTGATGGGATAAACATGGTGATTTATAGATGATTATCCCATTAAAAAAAGTGGGAAAATGGTTGGGATATGTTCATGGAAATCCCTGAAGGAGCCGATCCAACATGGGGAAAATTCGCAGGATTTCACCCGTGAAGACACGGCGATTGAATGGCATATTTTCATGGGTGAAACATGGTAAAACTATGGGATTGTTTTTTGGGGGGGGGCCGAAAAGCCCCCAAGAAGCAATGGTGAAATCAGCACGGAAACTGCACTTTCCAAGTATTCACTTACCCATAGGATCCATGGTGCTGCTAATATATGGTGTGCCATGGATCCCATCAATATAGCCCATTTTTGTTAGCATTAATATACCAGCACCATGGATCCGTCATGGGTTATACCAACGTTGGAAATTTTCATGTTGGATTGTAGTGATGCTCGTCATAGAAATAGGATGAAATAGGTCCATCCCCAAGAGGTTCGTCATATACACTCTGGCAAGTTTATGTATGGAAAATTACCCATGGGCCCATGACAGTAGATGATGTGCATATTATGGTAACATGGCAATTTTCCATGGCAAACTCTTCGATTACCAGAGGCTAGTTTCCTACTTGGTGATTCACCTGTTAGTAAGTGGGTTGTAAGCCTAATTCTAAGTGGACTAACCCTACTTTGCGAATTTGTAACCGTGGCTATTACCTACTTACTGAGTGGGATTAACCACCAGACCAAGTATAGTTCCTCTTAAAGCCTCTTGAATACTACGGCATGGTTGGTTTCCATGTCACCGAAACACCGCTCGGCAGCTCCCTGACAGGGCCCCGTTAAATCCCCCGGATTTTGCGTTAAGGAAACGTGAGAGCATGATCAAAGAGAAGGTTCGGATCCAGCGCGGACTGAGCTGAGAAATGATAGGTAAACCCAATTTGCATCGCAGTGGGTCACTACCTATACTTGTATCTTTTCTTAAAGGGGATGAACATTGATGTAACAGCTATTTTGATGTGAACAGAAGGGGGTACCATGGTGTTCACCCATGGCCACATGGGCAGTTGTTGAAACAATGTGGAGTACTCATAGGAAATTACTGGATACTGATGAGAAATGATGGGATACCCCAACAGCTTGATGAATAGCACGAGCTCGAGACTATGGGCCCTTGGAATTCCATTGCATTGGCACACTAGCTGCCTATACTGGAATCTCCTGGATATAAACAGTCATTCTGTCTTAAACGTGGTTGCCCGCAATAGTTGAATAGTTTCATGAAGTAAAGAACTGAAAAAACAACCCGAAGTACAGCAGTTTTCTTAAGATCAGGTGAAACCTTTTATCTCTCTATGTTATATATGTGTACATGATTGTACATGTGCATCTAGATATTTTGCTCTACAATGCTCTACATTAATTGGATATGTGGGGGTTTCCATAAATGATGGTATCCAAAAATGGTTTGTTTATAATGAAAAATCCCAAACAAAAATGGATTATTGGGGGTACCCCTATTTTAGAAAACCACCATATATATATACACATACGTATCTATACAATTACACGCTATTTAAGAGGTTTTGAACCACCATTCCCACCTGGGCAAGCACCACAAGATTTACCCAGGAGTTTTTTGGGGGCTTGGAAGCTGACTGTGTGGTGATCAAGTTGAAAGAACGCCTAGTAATGGACCATCCCTAAATCTATGCGTATAATTATATATATATATATATGTATTTAATATAATATATATATAACAATATATATATAATATATAATAAAATATACATATATAATAATAATAATACATACATATATATAGAATATATATATATATATATTATTATATATATCATAATATAGATACATAAAAAATAATAATAATAATTGATAATGATCATAATAATAATTATTATCATTATATATATATATATATATTACATACATTTTGAGCTTATGAAAATTGCTATACCCCATGTGGGACGATGTCTATAATGATCCCCATGGGTTGGGTACTGGCCTCAGTTTCCACAGCCGGTTGTGGGTGGAGCCGTTTTCCGTGATGAACATCTGGGATACTTCATGGAAGACAACCATGATATATCATTATATCATAATTATATCCATTTATAACATCTGATATATCCATTTACATCCGTGCAACTTCATTAGATCATAATTATTTCCATTTATATCCCCAGATTCTGTTGCTTATTAAATATCATCCCCATCAAAGATAGCACTTTACATATTGACAACCAGATCAGTTCTCCTCCGGCGGCTGTTTCTCGCCTGGAGGAAGCAGAGATTGAGAAGCTCGAGGCCGACTTCAAGACTTTTGTGGAGGGTCTGCAGAAGAAGTATCAGGAGATCTCCCACCGATCATCTGCTTGGTGCTTGGTATATGGGTATGTATCATATAATATATAATATGATATAATATGATATAATATGATATAATATGATATAATATGATATAATATGATATAATATGATATAATATGATATAATATGATATAATATGATATAATATAATATATAATATAATTATTATATATATATATATTGTAATAGATATGATATAATATATCATATATATATACATATGTATATTATATTATATATACATACTAAGTACATTTGCCCGTAAAAAGGGATGATGATCCTAAGTGACTGCAATATTGGAGAGTTGAAACCAAAAACCAGTGATTCTTGCTGAACCATCCTCGTTTGGGGTATCCTGGGGTATTCAGGACTGGTTGGTTCTCAGATACTTTGCATGTTGAACGCAAGCTGGGATAATGATCATCAACTGATTGATATTTTTTGAGGGGTTGAAACCACGAACTCATTGTTCCTACGGACTCCTACGTTTCACGCCATTTCACGCCCACACCTGTTTTGGATGCGAGATTAGTTTGTGCTGTCAAAAGTAGGCTACTTTCAGTCACAACCTCCACCAGCTCTGCTTTATATGCTGGACAGCTAGTTCGTTTTTTCTTGCTGATTGCTATCATCATTGTGCAAGAGCGAATTGATTTCCAAGTTTTTCTGGGATTGTCTGGCAAATTGATTCCTCTCAGGAACTTTTGGCAGGAAGTTTTCTGCGATTTTCTGGATGCTGAATTGGTTTTGTTCCTTTTTCCCACGCTTTCCGATGGTAAAAACAGCAGGAAAGCAGCGACAAGAAAGACAAGGATGTGGAAGCGGTGAAGAACTCCGGTTTGGGCCTTCTGAAGGCACCCAGTCGGTGAAAATCCTGGCATGTTGGGATGGTTTGTTTAGCACAAAGGCCATGGAGTTCCAAGTGTTTTTCAGTTGGCTCTGCTGGTAGAAAGCAGAGAAGAAAGCTAGTTGGATGGTCTAGTCTAGTAGAAGAAATCAATGGAACTGCTAAGTTGGATGGTTTGTCTGTAAAAAAATACCAAATTTTCCTGTTCGACCAGATACTGCACCTAACCAGTTTTAACCAGTGCGCGCGCCAGCGCTTCAGGCAGTGAATGCCTTCCAGAAGAAAGCCAAGGGAGAGCTTTAAGCTGTGTTTAAACCATGGAAAGACCTGCGCAGAGCAGGACTTTTGAAAATTATCCATCCTTTGCATCCTTGGTTACGAAAGGTAGATGCTGTACATCATCATTTTTGTTTGTTTTGTTCAGGCAGTGTCACAACCACATGTTGAGAATTATTTGACTCATGTTGAGGGAATCAACTAGAGTGATTCAATCAAATCCAGCACTTCTTGATGTGATTATTTTGCTTCCTGGGACATCCTGGGACTCGCTCGCTCCCAGTTAAATAGATAGGACAGGTCGGGTCGTCATTGGGCAGTTTCACGACAGCAGACGTCTTCAGCGACTGTGCTGGTCGCACCTTTCTCAGCGAATGACACCAGTGGCGAAGCCATGGCTTTTGCCATGGAAGAAAGCTGGGGCAGGCCACGGCTTTCACAACTGAAGAACGATTTCGCTGGTGCTGAAGCGGGGTCTGAATTATTTGAGATGTTGAAAGATGTACATGGTTGATAATGTAATTAGCCTCCCAGAATAAATCCAAAATGGAAAGCCCCTGAAAAAAGTTTGGAAGCACCAGCCAGCCAAGCGCTGTTTGAGCGATCTGATGAGTGCGACCTGCAAAAGCCAGCGCCATCAGGCGTTATTTTTTTTGGGCCAAAAATGGTGCTTGTAACCGTGCCGGCGTGATGGTTACATGGGGCATCATGTGACTTGATATTGAGCACCATCACCTCACTACGGTTGATAGTTGGACACCTGAACCCCTTGGATTTCAAGTCTCGAATGTGAGTTGGATTCACTGAGTAGCAATTGAACAACGAAAAGTTGGTATGAAAAATGGGTCTTTCATTGTCATGGTCTTTCGCTATGTTCAACTCAAGAAAAGTGGTGGATTCTTAAAATCCTATGTCTTCAGTTCCAAGTTGTTCTAGCTAGGAGGGAATGTGTGCTGCTGATTGGACGCAGCAAGAGCCTTGTCATTCGGGTACTCCCAGATCATCCAAGTCATGGATGACCATTCTAGTATTGAGACATGGTTTTTTTGGGGGGTACCCAATTTTGGGGAAACCCCCATTTTTCTTACTTTTCTTGACATTCTTGACCTCTAAAATGGTCAAGATTCATAAAAAAAACATAAAAATATGTTGCAATAGATCATATTAGATCCCATTCATCCAGTCCCGGGGTTTCCCCATGGGTTCCGGGGGTGGAGATGATTGGATGGGGGAAGACAACTCCTGCAGGTTGCTGCATTGCCAGAGGAGGAACCGGGAACTCTCGGACATTGCCTCGGGGCTGAGGTCCCCCAAAAAAACTGGAGACTCTTGGGTTGAAAGTCCCTTGAACTGGTGCCGAAAAAAGGAGCCCAAAAAGGTGATTACCCTGGGGCCTCTAGGAAAGGGGTATATGGGTATGGATCAATACCTATTACCATTTTTAGGGGGTTATTCACATCCATAAATCCCAGCTATTTTGATGTGAACTACAGGGGTACTATTGGTTTTGACACACTGCCATATGGAATAAGTAAGGAAACATGTCCCAAAGATTCCTGGATTCGTTGGGAATGGTGGGTTCATGGTGTTTAACCTGACCTCGGATCCAGGAGGAAGTTCCAGAGTACAGCGTTCAGGCGGGACCAGTGACCCTCTGGTAAACGTTAACAAGAAACTATGGAAAATCACCCTTTTTCATGGGAAAACTCACTATAAATGGTGATTTTCCATAGTTTTTTGTTAGTTTAAACGGAGGGTAACCGCAAGGTGATGCAATTTTGCTGATGTCAGCCATCTTACTGGTGCTAAACGGAGGGAATGGACGGGAATGGTTTTTTCTTGGGGGATGATTATCACTAGTGATGACTGGGATCATTCCCGAAAATTCCCTGCGTAAAACGCACCAGTAAGCCATTCATGAAATCATCGATGAAATCATTGAACATGGTATCAACCGCTAGAAATGGGATATGAACTGCCAAGAAATGGGGGAAAAAAAGCTCGAAGAACTGAAACAGAACCGAACCTCCCAATGATGCTATGAACTGATTCAGATTAAAACTGGTTGGTGGTTTGGAGCCATGAAATTTTATGATTTTCCATATATTGGGAATGTCACCATCCCAACTGACGAACTCCATCATGTTTCAGAGGGGTAGGGCTCAACCACCAACCAGAAATGACATTGGTTTAAAAAATCCCCAGTAGCTATAGTTCTATATATCATAAACCAAAGTATACCCTCTGGTTATGACTAACATAAAATATACCAATATGGAAATCGATATGGCTAGAAGACGTGAGTGATCACCCGCACAGGACCGTTAATTAACCTGCAGCCATGCAGCCATGCAGGTTTTCTTTCATAGATCCTGACTTGTATTGAATTACTGTTTTTTTGGTTTCAAACATGAATGGATTATGACTTTCCATCATATATGGGATAATCCCAAGCCCATTGACGAACTCATATTTCAAGATGGTTGAAACAACCACCAACCAGGTATGTGTTTTTCTTATTCACCATTCGGCGCTGGAATTTTAAGCTGGTTCAACCACTTCAACTGAATCAGCTTCTGTCCTGTGGTAGATGGTGGTTTCAAACATCAGTTCATGATAGTGCGATCCACAATATACTAATAATTCTCATAATACATGTAATACATTAATAATTTCAAAAAAAATATACAATTCTAATAATACATGTTTTTTTTTGTTATTACAGTATTGGAATATGATCTTCATACATCCACAGAATACTGTGGAAGCCAACGAACCATGGAAGTAACATGATTTCTCTGGATCCATGGACCCGTCAGACATGCATGGCGAACGAGAATCCAGCGGTCCACTGAATGTTAGACACCCAAAGACTTGTCCAATTTATATGTTAGTTCCCAACTTTGAGGTGCAAATTCATAAGCCAGAAAGCCATAGAAAGCCATAGAAAGCCATAGAAAGCCATTAGAAAGCCATTAGAAAACCATAGAAAGCCATTAGAAAGCCATAGAAAGCCATAGAAAGCCATAGAAAGCCATAGAAAGCCATAGAAAGCCATAGAAAGCCATAGAAAGCCATTAGAAAGCCATTAGAAAGCCATTAGAAAGCCATTAGAAAGCCATAGAAAGCCATAGAAAGCCATAGAAAGCCATAGAAAGCCATTAGAAAGCCATAGAAAGCCATTAGAAAGCCAAGATTTGGGGCAACCTGAGGTGTCTGGCTTCGAGCCAGCTCGCCGTGGTCGACATGTTTCGATCTGAGAAATTTTTGGGTGATGCCTTCGTGCTGGATGGGGATTGGTCAATGGATTGGTCAATTGTTAAGGGGAATCATCCCAAAATGGCCCAACATTTCAGGTTAGTGGATGATTTATTTCAATTATTATTATCCGTCCTTTCACAATTGGATGATTAATTATTCCCTTATAACAATTAATTCACTTATTTCAGGTGAGTGAATTATTATGATCTGCCCAGATGGATGAAAAGTGAATGGCAGATTCACCAGTTGGGGGTGAATTCGTTATTGGGATTTACATGGATTTACAGGATCTGGGACGGAATATGATAGAACCAACTTGCTTATGACGTCTGAGTGTGCTGGAAATCCATGGGCGATGGGCCCAATGGCATCCCATAAGCACTTTGGCCACTTTCATGTGAAAAAAACGATATGATGAGAAATGAACCATCATATATTTGGCGGATTTTATTTTCGGACGAACCAAAACATAAGATCTCATCAGGGTCCCCAGCTGGGGAGCATTGTGGAACCCTTTTTTTGCCATCAACATTAATAGGCTCTGAATAGCAACAATGGGCAATATATTAATGAACACCAGGATGATATGACCTCTGCTTGTGCCACAATGCTTGGTAATTTCATGCCGTGTCCACATTTGCAAAAGTTTCGCAGTTCAGAGTCCATCCTCAGCTGGTTGGTGGTTTGGAACATGAATTTTATGACTTTCCATTCAGTTGGGAATGTCATCATCCCAACTGACGAAGTCTATCATTTGTTCAGAGGGCTAGGGCTCAACCACCAACCAGTTATGACATTGGTTTAAAAAATCCCCAGTAGCTATAGTTCTATATATCATAAACCAAAGTATACCCTCTGGTTATTTAACATAGCCATATAGCCATGGAAAGATCCACCATGCTATTAAGTTCGGTAAACCATCTATTTCAATTAGGGCCATGGCTTAACCATGGCTAGCCCTGTGAATTTCATAACCAGGTTGGGTACCACCAACCAGTTATCACATTGGTTTAAAAAATCCCCAGTAACTATTATAGTTCTATAATGTTTTATATATCATAAACCAAAGTATACCACCTGGCCCAGTCAGAGATTCCCCTGAAACCCACGGGGGCCACGGCCGTCTTTTCAGGTCATCTACACGTTGACCATCCGACGAGGCAACGCACACTGGCCGATTCGCCGGCGATTCCGACAGGCACCGGCCTTCATCAAAATGGTGCTGTAAATGGGAGATGATCTCTGGGTAGAAATGGCATTGTTTTACCCACATTTGTCATATTTTGTATATATATAATATATATATATATTATATATATACATGGATGGTGATAACTGTTTATGGCCATCGGTTTACCCACATGACTCGTTATTTAAACGGTAGACGAATCCCCAGTAAAATTCTGCATCAACTGATATCAACTGACACAGTGAGTGCCAGGTGGCAAAGTTGCATGAACAGCTGCTCTTAGGCTTTGGCAGGTGCCCTGCTGGGATTCCAGTTGGCCTGCGTGGGCATTAACAGTTGCAACCAACCCATTGTCAAAGTCAAACCCAAATACCTTGAATGTAGCATTTTATGTATATAATATGCTACTACATATACACAATATGTGTATATATATATATATTATATATTATATATTATATATTACATATATATATATATATCCACATGCACGTAATGTATCATATATATATACATATGCATGTGGTACAAGGATGGTTAGGAACAAAGCAGGATGCACATCCAAGACCATCCAGGGAGACATGAAGGTTGTGCCGCGGATTGCCATGCTTGTTGGTTGTATCTTCCCACAAAAAGCCGCACTAAATCATTGTTTGTATTAAAGGGCCGTGATTGTTGCTGTTATCAATGTGCATCTCATGATTTGGGCTCTGGTTCTGGATTTTTGGATACATTTGTATCCCAAATGCTGCCCACATTTGGCGCATTTCCCATGATTCTGACATGTTTTGGGGTTCTGTTTTTCAGTGGAGGGGCGGCCAGGGCGTTTTCGCCATTGAGGTCCTCAATGAAAGCTGGCTTACCCAAACTTCCACCCAAGGTCACGTGTAGGTGGGCTCCCTGGGATCCTGGAGCTGTTACCGGTGAACTGGACTTGGGTCAAAGCTGAAAATGCTTCGCATTTACCCTCTGGTAATTTAACGTAGCTGCGTAGCTATTGAAAATGGCCATTTATAGTGGAATTCCCCATTATATAGTGGAATTCCCCATTAAAAATGGTGATTTTCCATAGTTTTTTGTTAACGTTTACCAGAGGGTTAAAAAAACCTCTGGTATGTGGTTTTTAGCCAATGCCACAATGACTCGACCATCCCCATTTTTGGGGCGGGAAAATAATGGTGGGCTAACTAGGATCAATATACCAGCCATTTGATTATCAAAGTAAACCAGCCATGGGCGTATCGCATAAATCCCAAAGTTTTGGGTATCCAAGTTCGGCAAAACCAAGGTGAAGCAGTCACCACAGTACCATACCCTCCAGTAAACGAACATAGCTATGGAAAATGGATGAAAATGGACCATTTATGATCATTCATTGATGATTTACATATTAAAAAGTATGTGCATTATTTTTTTCAACAGCTATGTTAAATTAGCAACGGGTATGTCGATGTTCAGATCCAAAGCCTTCAGCCGCCATCGATGTTCAGATCGCTGCTCTTTGGACAGCAAGACCAGCGCTTCTTGCAGATGAGAGTTGGGAGCCCTGGGGCAAATTCTGGGCGATTGTCTGAAATGAAGTTTGCCCAGATGAAATGAAGTTTGTCATCGAAATTCTGGGTGATTGGAATTCTGAAATTCTGTGGCAAATTCTGAAAATATCACAAAACACGATGACAAAACAAGTTGGACGTATATTTCTCGCATCGGAGATTGGAGTCGTTTCTCATTCATCAAGGATGCGCATGACTTTCTAAAAGTTTAAGATGTACACTTTGGTATCCCATGGTTTGACTGATTTCGATGCGGAGGGCACACGGGTTTGCTCATGCTGCTGAGCCTTGCGGCTAGCTGGCACTTTGGTTCGAAGCATGCGATTCCTTCGCTGCCAGTATTGATCAATATGACGACTTCCATGAAATGGATACCCCCCTCAAAAGTGACTGATCTCCTTAATTTTTGGGTGTGTCCGATTATTTCAGTTTTTTATGGCTTCAGGAGACAAACCAATATGATGCGATTTGATTAAAAAATATAAATCATATAATCATAAACTATATGACATCATCAAGATGTCGACAATATTACATGTGTTTTCTTGGTGAGATGAGACCTATTTGACAAACGTTTGACGGACACTCGCCTTGGGTAGTCAGATAGACTACAAGTAGCCAGCAGGAAATTGTCTGAATTGGGGGAAACCCCGATCAATTTGGTGGTAAAGACATGTAAAAACCATATCGTTTCCCGCAGATGTTCCAAGCAATCTATTGAGGGTAAAACAATTATAAACCCCCAGTGATCAGCATGTTTATAGGTATAAAATGGTATGTTTACCATTCCCAGTCACGGGTGGTAAAAATGCTGGTTGGTGGTTTGGAACATGTTTTATTTTTCCATATATTGGGAATAATCATCCCAACTGACTTTCATATTTTTCAGAAGGGTAGGTCAACCACCAACCAGAATGGCATTGTTCCAACCAATCATTTATATTCCATTACCAGAGGGTTAATCACCATTAATCACCATTAATCACCATTAAATCACCATTAAATCACCATTAAATCACCATTAAATCACCATTAAATCACCATTAATCACCATTAATCACCATTAAATCACCATTAAATCACCATTAAATCACCATTAATCACCATTAATCACCATTAAATCACCATTAATCACCATTAATATCCCTATTAAATGAATTTCTGGAGCATTTCCATGACTCCATGGCTGACGTTTCTCCATCTGCTTGCCGCCAGCGCGGGACCGGCCGCTGAGTGCCCCAGATAAAAATTTTCCGGTCGGGATGGAGTCGTAAAATAACCACGAAGAAGATATAGAAAAGCCATTCAAAAGCCAATTTATCATCATTTAAGCAACATCCTCCCATTATATTAAATGATTATAAATTGGCTACCAGAATAGTGATACATTATATTAAATGATGGTTGCATGTTGCTTTCATGTGCTTTTTTTTTTTTTTCGGGGATGATAGATTTAGTCAAGAACCATTTATGAGGAAAAAAACTTCAGGGATTCTCGCAATGCTGAAGTTTCTGATCGAATCCCCCCAAAGACTGTCAACGTGTTTTTTTTGTTCCATTGGAAACAGCGATGTTTTCAGTTCCAGAATGGTTCAGGTTTGATTCTGCCAGGGTATACACTGGGCATGTGAACTATCACCCATGATTTTGACCTTCACAAAGTCCTGAAAGTTGGCTATTTGAGCGAAGAATCCATTAGAATTATACGTATAATGACAGTCACTCTATAATGGCAACCATAATAACAGTAAAAAGTAGTAGAAATGATAATAATGAGAATGTTTGATGATAATGAGAATGATCATGATATACCGATAATGATGTAAATAAACATAGTGATGATGATAATGTCAATAAAGATGAACAATGGTAAAATTGGTGATAAATAATAATCAAAACACAGATAAGAATCACAACAATCACAAAGAACATAATGGTAATAATGATCATGATAAATAACAATATACCGACCTTAATAGTTTTATAATATTACAGTAATACATAGTAATAGTAACGGTAATAACAATATGAAAGTTTTTTGAACATTGACACTGTCCATCCCCAGGTATCTCTCAGAGGACTTTTTCCCTGGATTTCACATCCTGGAACGAGTGGATGGAGATCGCTTCAACGTCTATGCGCGAGGCGATGGGGAGCCTGGTTTTTTGGGGATGATGATTACCCTTTGGTAATTTTTGGGTAAATGGAGGTTTCCTAAGTCATAGGGGTACCCCAAATCATCAATTTTTGTAGGAGTTTCCCCTATAAACCAACCATTTTGGGGATACCCCATTTATGGAAACGCTCAATTTTTCATAGGGAAATAATCATAAATCAGCTGTAAATGGCCGAGTTTCCATAGATATGTTGAATAACCAGATGGTACTGACCCATATTAGGGAGACCTATCAACCAGGGATATCTTCATAGGGGGATGCAACATGAAGATGTCATAGGGGATTTGAAGCATCTAAAAATTAGCATGGAATATCTCCAAAAGTAGGAGAATCACAGAAATTACCCTCTGGTAAACGTTTACACAACTATGGAAAATCACCATTTTTAATGGGTAAATCAACTATTTCTATGGCCATGTTCAATAGTTTTTTGTTTGTTTACCAGAGGGTACAGTTTGTGAACTGGAAGATCAGCATGGAAATTATCGGTATATTTGTATATCATTTAATATGAATAATCGAAGTGACTGGGCCATGGCTTCTATAGCTATGTTAAATTACCAGAAGGTAACATTGGTTGGTGGTTTCAGACACTTCTTATATCTCTCCTGGGAAGCCAGAGGAATTAGTAGTGTTGGGATGGGTTTTTGGACCAGCAACACGTTTTTGTTTGATGTATCAAGCAGGGCAAGCATGTATTTTCCAATACACCTGAGGATTTTTTGAGAAGTGTTGAAATCCCAGCCACAGTGGATGTAGGTTTTGGTATGGCAGATTGTTTAGATACATTGTGTTTTTGCTTCTCCACCCTCAGACTCGACGTTGTCGTCACAGACTTTTTGGCAGTCAATTTAGACCCTGTCAGTATGGAACCCCCTGTCTATCCCAATGATTGGACCAAGTTCCACCTGAAACCGGCTGGATTTGCGAAGTGAAGCCGCAAGATAGAAAACCGATGGTATGTCCATAGCTCATGCGCAAATCCCTAAATATCTAGCCTCAATCAGTCACAGACAGCTGGCATTTTTGGTGCGAGGCCAAGCCAAAGGCGTTCCACCCACGATAGACCTTACAGGACTTACTTTCGCTGCAGCGCAGCAACGTGACTGGGATGCGATTCCAACGGTTGGCCTGGGAGGGTGCCCCAAAGATGTGGATTTAGATGGATTTAGCTTCAAAAATAGTAGTGTTCAAACGGAAAAAACGAAGATTATGAATGAATGAAGATGAAGTTTTAGATTGTTTTGAAACCATTGGATTTTCAGTGAGGTCCCCCTTGGTTTTGCAGAAGGTCATGATTTTGGAAGGGCCACAGTGGGCCACATCCCTATTGGGGTAGAATCATGTGGGTTCATGGTACAGCCGACCAGTTGGAAACAATTTTGAACATCTGATTCTGCGTGACTATAATGTAGTCGTGACTACGACTACAATGCTGAAAAATCATTCCAAAAACCAACTGTTGTGGTTTTTGCCTGAAAGAGTGTAGTGGTTTGGAACACTTTTTATTTACCCCAATAGTTGGGATGATGATCCAATCTGACTATATAGTATTTTTCAGGCGGGTAGGTATACCGCCAATTAGATTCTACATGTCAAGTTTTAGAAAAATATTGGTAAATCACCAGAATAGTTGATTTAGCTATGAAAAATGGTGATGTCCTGTCCGTTTTTTCTATGTTTTAGCAAAGTGACTTACCCTCTGGTAAACTAACATAACTATGGAAAATCACCATTTTTAATGGGAAAATCCACTATAAATGGTCATTTTCAATAGCTATGTTAAATTACCAGAGGGTAAATCACCAAAGGGTAAGGCTTGGGAAATCCATCGCATCTTCAGATCGCGTTGATCTGCAGGGCTGGAGTCCTACCTGAAGATCAAGCCTCGGGAAATGCTGCAGCTCCCCATGGCTCTCTTCACCTCCCAGGGGGAACAAGTCCTTGACCTGGCAGGTGCCGATAAAAACCGGAAAAAATGCCATGGATTTTGGAAAACATTGAGATCCGGAGTCCAAAACATCCAAAACCACTGGCTTTTTGGGCTTCATGGCTTTCATGGCTTTTCATGCTTGAGGATGTTTGAGGTGTATTGCTGTGTTGAAGAATGGCTTGGGGCTATTGACCTCCAAAAAACATGTGATGTGGTGCCTGTCTGACTTTTGAAAGATGGAAGCATGTCTTGGCGCTTCGCCTGGTTCAGTGCCCAACTTCCGACATTGGTGCCGCACTTGCATCTCCAACACATTCCCTAGGTATCCTAAGATTCTTGAGATGGCCACGTTCCCTTTAGATGTGTCCTATCATCTCAATATTGAAACCTTAGAGTCATCCTCTACACAACAGGATAAGAAACACGCGCAACAAAAACATATGGAAACAACCACCAGTTACAAGAAACAAAGTAACTACCTTGGAACCCAGTACCATAGGGGTAGATGGCCCCAAGTCAAATTTATCACTTGCTAATGATGATCTAACAGACCAAGGTATCCTTTGGGCGGTATTCAATACTAGTGGTAGGAGATTATAGTTTATCCAGTGTAAGATGATAACTACTTTGAGTTGGTTATATTCCCATTGCATCCCCATTTTATCATATTATATCCAGATGATCTTCCAATTGGTCCCTTTTTCATCAACCTCTCGTCAATGATTTCCCATGATATTCCCATGATGGATCAATACCCTGGTACCCTAATATTTTCGCTGGTCGATGGATGGCTATTCCCTCAAATATTGCAATTTCATTGGTTTTGACCCATCCCCATATCAAAAAAACATCCCCATGGCTCAATGGCTCACAATCTCCCCATGGGCAGGTCATTCCCTGCTGTTCCTCATCGAAGCAGGGCAGTGGATGTGGCCTGCCGTGCGTGTGGGCTTCATTCAGAACGTCTCGGGACTTCCTGGGGTCCGGCTGCGTACCGTCTCACTGCGGCCGGTGATTTTGGAGGTGGAGAGTTTCATGACGCAGCAGGCAGGGGTTGGGGAGTGGCCATGACATTGTGGTAAATGATGGCAAAATCATGAGGTTCAATTGATTTAATTAGTTGGTTAGCTATAGGACTGAATTACCTGTTTATTGATTTGATTGGTTGATTGAATGGATTGATCAATTGATTGATGAATCTATTCATGTACTATTCATTTACTCTATAGTTTCTTTGTTTTTTATTTTCAGGAAAGGCCTAAATTGCTTGGTGAATCTTGCTGGGATTCACCAGAAATGGGATGATATCATGGAAATAACGATTCACGTTGACAAAAGATCTTGGTTTCATGTGTGTTCCAGTCTGAAACTGGGGAAATAACATGTTTATACCACACCATACCACACCTATTTATGGTGATAACACACCTATAAAAATGGTGCAATTGGGGATTGTGAAATTTATTGTTTTACCAACCTGGTTGGTTTGGAACATGTTTTATGACTTTCCATATATTCGGAATGTCATCATCCCAACTGACGAACTCCATCATTTTTCAGAGGGATTCAACCCACCAACCAGGAAAGCGTGGATGATCATTCTGACGTTCATGTCTGACTGATGTATTTGAAAGCACCGGAGTAGACCCTAAAGCCACCAATGAGGGGAATCTAAACAAATATCAGTCTCAAGCATCCAAAACAGGCAGAAACATATATATTTATAGCGACCCACCAACCTCTGACATCGAGCAACCAAACTTGGATATTTTTTTGGATATGGGATGATTTAGCCAAAAAAAAAACTCAGAACATATTTTTCCAACACGTGTGGCATACCAAATACAACCAGGAGCTTTAAGCCAACAAAAAACACATGTTTGCAGTGGTCCAAACTTGGGTAAATACTTCCATATCAGGGATTCTGGGTTTGGATTCCGAATATGGCATCGTTTTTGTTTTCCATATATATATACACCACATACCACCCATGCAGCTTGACCATGACACACATGTTTACCAACAACTACAGCAACTCCCCCCAAAAAAACAAAAGAACAGACAAGTAAAATACCGCTCAAATAGTGTTGACCTTCACCTCGTTCGCATCTTTTTGGAGTTAAAGCTGTGGTAGTTTAGCATAGCTATCGAAAAAAATACGGAAAAACATTAGTTTTGGAATATCCGTATATTATTTGGCAACCAGTTATGATATATGTTCAACATTAACTTTCATGGGCCATGGGCCATGACTTTTAAATACCTATGTTGAACTACCGGAGGGGACCAACAATTCGTCAAGTTTTCCCAGGCTTGGATCATAGGAAAATGATCGGTCAAAGCAAAATGGTTTCCTGCAACTAGCCTCTGGTAATTTGACAGTTTTCTATTGAAGAATTGCCATTTATAGTTGAATTACCTATGGAAAAATGATGATGTTCCATGGTTTGTCGATGGTTTTTTGTGTATATCATCAGCATGGTTTAGATACGGTAGTACGGAAAAAAACATGGTATAACCGGTATAATCATCATAAATCTTCTATACAATGGACCATCGCTAATAGCGATGTTGAATCGCCCATCTGCCAGGAGGCCTCCGAGATCATGGCTCTGGGTGCGCAGCAAGGTCTGACAGCCTCCCAGGCGGTGGAGGGTGTCTGGTGTGATCGATGGCAGGAAAATGGCGCCTCCAAACGATTAGCTAAGTTGGTGAACAGACTTCCAAGAGCTGAATGTTTATGAGACGTTTATGAGATTTTAGAACTATGATTAACTATAGTATTCAGGGAGTAACTATGGCAATTATGATACTTATTTGTTCCATAGGAGATGTGAATACTCAATCTATTGGGATGTAGCTGTTGCATGATGTTTGGATTTGAAAGGGGATAGGGATGAACCAAGCAACAAGATCCGAAATGACACACCATTGCCAATGTTGGAATAATAACAATCGGATATGGTACTTACAATAGGATATGGTAATAGATAAGATATGACTATAATTTAATAACTTAATAACAATAACCTAATAACAATACGATCTGGTAATTAATTATCATAAATAGGGACACAGAATAGGGGATATCAATAGTTACAATGTTGACAATAGGAATAAAAAAAGCCTCTCGTGTTATCAAACTGGCTAGCTGGGGAGAATCCGTTCCGAACGAAATGCTATCGTGGGAAAATTATCGGACTAATTCTTGGATAGACCGTGGATTTTGCGGCAAGCAATATTTGATTACCCTCTGGTAAACTAACATAGCTATGGAAAATCACCATTTTTCATGGGAAAACTCACTATAAATGGCCATTTTCAATAGCTATGTTAGTCATTACCAGAGGGTACCACAGGATATGGAATGATGTGAAATGAGGTGAGCCCAGGCCATCCCATGAGGGAAAAGGATCACCAATCACTGGATGGAATTTTTAGGGTTTTTCCATTCATTTTCAGCTACTCAATTCATGTCTTGTCACTGGGGCGATGCTACTAGTGATGGCAAAGTGCCACAACTCACAAGACCATGTTTGGGATGATACCGATACCCCTAATCTAAACAAGCATGTACAGTGTCGGGTTGCCCAGTGAAGATAGATCTGCCAAATATCCATCTGTTCGGGAGGATATCCCCAAACCACGCCATCAAATGAATTAAAAAAGGAAATAATTAACGTCATGAACCCGGAAAGTCTGGGCTACCCATTACCCTATGTTTAAACAACATGTAAGTGTTTGTTTGAACATATGTTTTTCCCAACAATCTCTTGTTTGATCATACTTTTGCCCAATTGTTTGATGGCCATGGGTATCCTGCCAGTTTGGGACAAAAGATCATATTTTCCAGAAAAGTGAATTACGACATGGTCCCTGATGCTTCGGAACAATGTTGAGTAACTGCTTGGTGGTTTCAAACATGAATGGCTTATTTTCCATTTCATAGATGGGATGTCATCCGAAACCCATTGACTTTAACTCAATCATTTTTCAAGATGGTGAAATTGCACCACCAACCAGGTAAGCCATTGCCATGTTTCGCCCTCATAACTGTCAACCATCCCCAAGGGGACCATAGGTGGGTTTCCAACCCTCCCCATTTTGAGTAGGGTGATGGCACTGGATACAATCCACATCAAACATCATCAAACCGTGGCTGTTTCTGTGAAAAATGTGTGATTTTTAGACTTCCAAACAGTTGCTAAACTTTTTTTACACTGACTTGAAATAGGTGCAAGTACGAAAAGGGTAATTCAACATAGCTGTTGAAGCCATGGCCCATTTGTAGATGATTTATTCAAATAATATGGTGATGCTCAATTGCAAAGTATTCGTCACCAGAGGGTAGCCACTGCGACAAGTTGAAAGATTGGTTGTGGAGCGTGGCGCCTCCGGATGATGCGTTCTTTTCACGTGTGGTAGGACAGCCAGTGAATGAATGGAAGATTGGTTAATTCGGTTTATACCCCATAAACAGAGAATCGACTTTGACACAAAATTCTGCAAGCATCTAAGCATGTTTGTTGATGCAGGATGTTTAGTTTCATCCATGGAGTATTTCCCCAACAGTTGCAGGGTCAGATGCAAAGCAACGATCTGAAGAAGGGCACGTCCCATGCTTCCTTTCGCACCTCGAGGCGAAGTTGGATTTTGGGGGGCCACCAGACATGTCCAGACCAGGTCTTGTTCCATAAAATGATCTCAAGTGAACCAGAAGGACTGACATGGACTGACTATATTACTGCTGATTGGTGGTTTGGAACATGAATTTTATTTTTCCATATATTGGGAACAATCATCCCAACTGACGAACTCATATTTTTCAGAGGGGTAGGTATACCACCAACCAGTTATGACATTGGTTTAAAAAAGCCCCAGGGACTATAGTTCTATGTATCATAAACCATAGTTATTGGAGTTATAAATCAACTTTTGCCAGAAAAAGTGTATGAAAAGCTTGAAATGGTGGAAGCACTCAGTCGTTGCGATCCATTTCTGAGTTGGAAGCCCAACATCTGCCAGGTCGATCTGCCTCTAAAAAGAACGGGGATCCCATGGGAGATACCCCCCCAATGTGATTTTTTGGAAAGATCTATGGAAAAAATCCGGAAAAATGATCTGGTTGGTGGTTTCAAACATGAATTTTATTGTTCCACTTCATATATGGGATGTCATCCAAAACCCATTGACGAACTCATATTTTTCAAGATGGTTATTGCACCACCAACCAGTGATGGTAACCATCAAGTCTCTACGGTAAATCCATGTAAATCCTGCATTGCAACCAACTGACCCAACTGGCCCAACTGTGTCTTCCATCCTTGGGCCGAGCGAGCCAGGCAGGCTTGGCTTCACAATGAGTTGTCTCTAGTGATCGCTGACTTGGATGAAAGATCCTTGGTCAAATTGTGAGGCCCAGGAGTCTCAGACGTGTCTCTTGTCCCATAGGGATTAGGTCGAGGATTCGATCCTAATATAAACTAATGGTATGAAGCCGTTGCCCATTTATAGATGATAAAAACATGTAAAAACTATTAAATAATGGTGATTGTCCAGATCGTAAACGCTTTTTTCAGTTTCCAGAGAGTATGTGAGTATGGCAATGGTGATGGGAATGACTGGACGCAGAGCTGTATCCAATTGCCAGCTAGTTTGATGATCATGAGGATGCTAGGGGATTTTGCCATAGCCCAATGGTTTTGGTCCATCACTTCTGGGGGGTCGATTTTTGAGCAGTTCACCCCAAAGAAAGATGATGTTGAATGGATTATAATGGATTTCAATGGAAACCATTTTAAAAGGGTATCCCAATGACAATCAATGGATTTCAATGATAATCAATGGTTACTCGTAGTAATCTGTGGTTACTTTTTAATCTGATTACTAACCAGTGGCTTCTAAAAATTCGGGTACCCCAATTTGATACACCACGAGCATCCACATTTTCCCCTAATGAGTTTGTTCGGGACGACCATGGCTTGCCATGGACTGAGCCGTTTCGCACCCCAGGGACGGCCAAGCTCACGCGCATCCCAGCGGCCCACAACGAGCCCATGCAGTTGTTGAGATATGCGGCGAAGCTGCAGTGAAACATGGGGCCGGAGCTTATTTGGTTGGGATATAGTGGGTATTTACTGGGTATTTCACCAATGATGATGTGGTTGATTGGTTGGTTGTTTCAAAGATGTTTGAAAAAGTTGGGACATAACTGAGTCAACTTACTGGTTAGATAGGAACTCGTACTTTTTTCTTTTGCTATCAATCCATTCACCTGCTAAGAATTAGATTTGTTTGCCAGGTATCTAAGTTTCACCACGACAATGGGATACAATGGGTATATATATATACAGTATATATATAACCATAATACTTAATAGATATAACCATTATAATGGGATATCACTGATATATTTGCTTCGATAACCAAGGTTGAACTGTTGGTTTTCGAAGGTAAATGATGTTGGCTGCTGAATATCAACGGTTCAAACAACTGGATGGGAAAATTCGGCATACGGGGCCACCTAGCGAACTGGGTTCAATCACCATGCTATAAATGGGTAAATCCACGAAATAAATGACCATTTTCAATAGCAAACTGTTAGTGTAATAACCTAACTATGGAAAATTGCTCTTGGTTTTATGCTATGGTAATAATCTAACTATGGTAATAATCTAACTATGCTGGCAGGAAAGATGGGATGTATTGATTTACCCTCTGGTAAACTAACTTACCTAACTATGGAAAGATCCACCATGCTATTGTAGCTGGGTAAATCCACTATTTCGACTGGGCCATGTTCAAGTTCGCAAACTGTTAGTTTACCAGAGGGTAACAACAATGTAATAATCATGTTGAAAGTCATGGTGAAAATCATGTGCCATTCCATTCTCTATCATCACTGTCCCTATTAAAATGATCATTTGTGGGTGCCCTTTTTGCAGCGACCAGATTTTCGGGGATGTCAAGGCTCATTTTTTTATCGCTGAGGGTTCAAGGGGCACGGGGAGGGATCAAGAGTTATAATACATTGAGGCAATACCTCAGCTGTTGGGAGGAATAAACCTCTTGGAAACTCTATTCTTATTCTTAGCATTTCTTAGCTGTTTTGATGTTAAAGTATGTTAAAGTAAGGGATTTGACCAATTTGACCAATTTGACCATCTCAATTTGGAGTCTATCTTTGGTTCATGTGGTTCTCACGAGAACTGCCTCTCTGTAGTGCCCAGCCCGATCTGCGAATTGAGGATGCGGGTAACTACTACCACGCACATTTGGATTGGACGGAGTTGGTATTTTGGCTTCGAAACATATCGAAACGTCGCGGGTAACGTTCAACCTGTCCAGGTTTCTTGCGATCATGTGTTTTTTTAATATGCATGGCTAGTTGCAACAAGAAACCATGCGAGTATCGATCAAAAGAATGTGCTTCAATGGTTGATTGTTCCGGCATTTTGCTCTTTTAGGAGTGATTTTTTGGAAGTGGTTTATCCTGAAATTTCAGTTACCCCAAGAAATTGATGGTCTATCATGTTCTATCATCATTTTCCCCATTAAAATTGCCAATAAATGGCCACAACTGGGGGTATACAGAAACCATGTTCACACCCAGTGGTTCTCAGGATCTCTATCCAGATCAAAGGCAAATCTGGTTGGATTCGCACTTCGGCCACTTCGACAGAATTGCCACTGTGTTTTGGTGTCTCGAAGAATTCTTGGGTCGGGGACTCACCGGTGACGCACAAAGTCCGGTAGGTAATCAGGTAATCATCAGTGACCCATAAGTTAAGCATCAGCATATGTCTCAATTGGACAATGTTGGACATTTGAGTTGCCATGAATACCTGAAGGGTAGAATCTGGACCCAAAGGTCAAAACATGTTTTAACATGTTTTAACTATTCCATCATAACCTTGCAGCTGGATAGCCATGACGAAAACCAAGAGTAATGGCATGTTTCTTCTCCATCTTTGGGTATTTTGATGTATTTTGGTTGTTTCTCCCAGTCTGTAAAAAATGTGCCAGTGAATCCCCATGTTGTAGAATCATTTGGGTCAAAACCACCCATCCAACTCTCATTGTGTTGATGGAATTTCCCAAAAAAAAGGAGAAAACTCGCCACTTTCCGTCTGTTAGCCTATGTTAGCCTATGTTAGCCTCATATTCTGCCGGATTTCAGCCGGGTTTGGGCCGTTCCAGGTATCTCAATGATGTGCAGCAGGGTGGACACACCATCTTCCCCAAACGCGGACAGCCCATCTGTGCTCCTGGATCCCTGGGTGGTCCATCGGCCCGCTACTGCCGTGGGGCACTGGATCCGGACATGGATTCCTGCACCAAGGGGTTGAAGGTCTGGGAAATGGGGCAAACATCCCAAAGCCACCGAAACTCTGTGGAAAAATGGAGATGTTGCCAACATGTTGATAAGAGATGCAAATGAAGAACTTGGATTTCAGCCAAACACAATTGGTGAAAACTCATCAGGCTTCGTCCATCAAAATAAATCGGGAGGCAACCACAAAAGAGTACTCAAACAGTGTTTCTTGGTGTTTTTGGCCACATCCCCATGCACCTAGCAGGTGAAACCGCGACGTGCTCGGACCATCTTGTGGTACAACTTTCTGGCCACAGGCCGCGGAGATCGCAACGCACTGCATGCGGGCTGTGCTGTGGGCGAGAACGAAACGAAGTGGTCGGTGAACAAGCAGCTGGACCTCAATTCGTGGTCGGTGAATCATCCCGAAAGGACCTGATTTTAGTGTTGTTTTTGTATATGAATGATCCAGAATATGTGAATGATTACTGGAATGATTGTTGGGATAATTATGATCATTTAAAGTTAGTAAACCCAACATATTTGTTTAATGACTCTGCATGCACAATATATTTGGTCGAACGCGGCCCTTCACTAAATTTTCACGTCGCGGTTCTCGAACGCGTGGAGAAGCCAGGTCCTTGGTGAACACAGTTTAAAAAGTTGACGTCATGATGGATCCCCAGTCACCATAGGTTGTTTTTGGCCTGGTCCTCCATGACTTCTAGATTTATATAGATGATATTTGGGGGTTATAGCTCAGCCATTTTTGGAAACCTCCAAATAATGATCAAATGGACATCACCTCACGATGGTTGGCCACGGTTGATCTCCTTACTGGTGCGTTTTACGCACGGAATTTTATCATCACATTCGTAATGTCATCATCCCAGCCCCAGTAACCCATCCATTCCCTACGCACTAAGCACCAGTAAGTCTCTCATGGGAACCGGAAAACTGGATCCCACTGGCTTCAGGTGGGTCAGAAACAAGCCCTGGACCACGCCTTCAGCGCCGTGGACTCCGAACCATCCGGCGCTCAAGCGCTTCGGCTGGCGGGATCCGAATGGGCAAGAGCCAAGCGAGGTTCGTTGGAAGATGTTGGAAGATGTTGGAACTCGGGTGGAATGGCCGGAAATTACTTTAATGCAGTGATTATGGTACCTGTAAAAAAGTGTAAGAATTGAATTCAATTCACTTCAGGATTCAAGTACAAGCTTGCCTGGGAGATGTATAAACATATTGAAAATGAATAGGCTTTCTCCATGTTTCGCATGCTTTCAAAACCATGTCCATCTATATTCTATGTTGGGGGTTCGAAAGATCGGGAACAAAAATTCCCAACAGCAGGGCCTGTTGGGTTTCAATCTCTAGGGCTGGGGCTGGCTCGCGGGGACTTGCAGCCTTCAAAATCCGGAATGGAACCCTGGAACCCTGGAACCCTGGAACCCTGGAACCCTGGAACCCCGGAACCCTGGAACCCTGGAACCCTGGAACCCTGAAACCTTGGAACCCCGGAACCCTGGAACCCTGGAACCCCGGAACCCTGGAACCCTGAAATCCCTGGAACCTTGGAACCCTGCGACCGTGGAACCCTGAAACCTTGGAACCTTGGCACCCTGGAACCCTCAAGGATTCTGGAACCCTGCAACCTTGGAACCCTGGAACCTTGGAACCCTGCAACCCTGCACACCTGGCACCCTGCTGGGATCCTGGAACCCTGAAACCCTGGAACCCTGGAAACCTGGAACCCTGGAACCCTGGAACCCTGGAACCCTGAAACCTTGGAACCCCGGAACCCTGGAACCCTGGAACCCTGGAACCCTGACCCTGGAACCTTGGAACCCTGCGACCGTGGAACCCTGAAACCTTGGAACCTTGGCACCCTGGAACCCTCAAGGATTCTGGAACCCTGCTACCTTGGAACCCTGGAACCTTGGAACCCTGCAACCCTGCACACCTGGCACCCTGCTGGGATCCTGGAACCCTGAAACCCTGGAACCCTTGGAACCCTTGGAACCCTGGAAACCTTGGAACCCTGAAACCGTGGGACCCTGGTACCCTGGAACCTTGGAACCCTTGAAACCCTAAAACTTCCAAACCCTAAACTCTATGCGCGCTGCGCGCGCTGCATGCAATAAAGTAAACCCTAAAACTTCCAAACCCTAAACCCTAATGCGCGGTGCGCGCGCTGTGTCCCAGAGAAGTAAACCCTAAAATTTCCAAACCCTAAACCATCGTGTTATGCAACTTCCAAACCCTAAAGTTTAACCCGCGGTGTGCGCGCTGCATGCAATAAAATAAACCCTAAAACTTCCAAACCCTAAACCCTAATGCGTGCTGTGCGCGCTGCGTGCCAGAGATAAACCCTAAAACCTTCAAACCCTAAACACTAATGCGCGCTGCGCGCGCTTTGTGCAATAGAGATAAACCCTAAAATCTTCAAACCTGAAACTCTCGTGTCATAGAGGTAAACCCTAAAATTTCCAAACCCTAAACCCTAAACCCTAACGCGCGCTGCGCGCGCTGTGTGCCATAGAAGTACCCCTTAAAATCTCCAAACCCTAAACCATCGTGTCATGGAGGTTAACCCTAAAACTTCGAAACCCTAAAGTTCAACCCACGCTGTGCACGCTGCATGCAATAAAATAAACTATAAAACTTCCAAACCCTAAACCCTAATGCGCGCTGCGCGCACTGCGTGCCACACACATAAACCCTAAAACTTTCAAACTTTAAACCGTAACGCGTACTGCGCGCACAGCCTGCCATAGAGGTAAACGGTTAAACTTTCAAACGCTGCGTGCCATAGAGGCAAAGCCTAAAACTTTCAAACGCTAAACCGTAAAGCAGGCTGCGCGCGCTGCGTGCCATAGAGTGCTCCTCAAAAGTGATTACATGTCATACTTTAGTGGCATCCTCCAAATTCATTAGTCAGCCTTTGTTAATCCAGGGCCCATTTTACACATGTCATCTTCTTGGTCGTGGCGCCATTTCAGGATCACACTGATGACCTAAGCTTTGGCCTTAACTATTATGCAGGCAAGCGACATCAGCACGCTATGGTATTGGAAGACACAGGGTTTGCCCGTAGACCAGCCAAAAAATCGATTTTCCACACTGAACAATTGGATTTAACACATTTAGAATAGGAGCTCCGCCTGATTCAGATTTCATCACTTAAAAGGTACCCATGCCTGACTAGCCTTCATGACTTAAAGCGTAACCACACCCGACTTAAGGGAACCATGCCTGACTAGCCTTCATAATTAAGAGGTACCCACCCACGCCTGACTTAACAGAACCCATGCCTGACTAGCCTTCATAATTAAAAGGTACCCATGCCCCTGAATTCAGTGAACCATGCCTGACTAGCCTTCACAATTAAAAGGTACCCACTGGAACCATGCCTGACTAGCCTTAATGACTTAAAAGGTAACTACACCTGACTTAATACCTGATTTACTGGTTTTGCCTGATTTTGGAAAAACGCAGGGCCGGAATTTGTAGGGCGCGGGCCGGAATTTGCCGGGCTGGGATTTTGGGGTCGTGCCTAAATAGGATTTTTGCAAAAATCGTGCATGACTGAAGGGAACCATGCCTGACTAAACATCATACCAATCATCCCAAAAGAATCAAATAATTCCAGCAAGTGATGCTTGACCAATCCCTGCGTCATAATAAACCGTCTGCCCCTCCCCACCCAATAATGAACACACGGAGTAGTTTTTTGTATTTAGTGGGTATTTAGTATGAGGGTGCGAAACTTCCCCCTTGGTTTAAAAAACTAAATTGGAAAACATTTTTTAAATAACATCTAACTAAAATATTGCCAAAATTGGATTCCGAAGCTTCCCCCTGACATTAAATTGAAAACATTCGTTTAAAAAAATGAACTTTATATTTCAAAACCGATTGAATTCCTATTCAAAATCTAACTCAAATCTTGCCAAATTGGATTTCGAAGCTTCCCCTTATATTAAATTGAAAACCTTACTAATCCCCACCTCCTTTTACTAAACGTACCCTAAATACTAAAATATTACATTGATTCCTTTTACTAGGGTCCGCGTTAAATTTTGGGAAATTTCAGGCTGGCCAGTTTGACTTTTAATTGATACCTTTTCAAAAACAAATTAAACATGAAGGTCCCATTTCAGGATTTCACCACCAAAAAATAAAAACTAGTCAGCCCCGGTGATTTTTTAAACTAGGGTCTTTTAAGGTCGAAAAAATAAGTATTTTATATTACAACGTTTATATAATATTGGGGGAAAACTTCGAAATCCACTTTTTGGCATTTCCTGGCAATATTTTTGCTGGATGTCAAAAGGAAATCTAATCGATTCTTGAAATCGAAAAAACATAGTTTTTTTTTATTAGTGGTTTTAATTTAATCTTAGGGGAAAACTTCGAAATCCAATTTTTAGCAATATCTTAATTATATGTTAAACAGAAAACTAATCGATTTTGAAACAGTTTTTTTTAAATATATTAGGGCTGGTAATTTAATATTAGAGGAAACATTTCGAAATCCGGTTTTTGTTTTTATTTTTGTTACTACAATTTAAAAGGAAATCGAATCGATTTCAAAAAGAAAAAATAATATTTTATATTAGGGTTTTTTAATGTAATATTAGGGGAAAACTTCAAAATCCAATTTTTGACCATATTCTAATTAGATTTCAAAAGGAAATCTAATGAATTTTGATATAGAAAAAATAGTCTTTGATATGAGGGTTTAATGTGAGGGGAAAGCTTCGAAATCCAATTTCTGGCAATATCTTAATTTGAATTTACAAGGAAATCTAATCGATTCTGAAATAGAACAAATTTAGTTTTTTATATTGGAATTTTTCATGCAAGATTAGGGGAAGCATCGAAATCTAATTTTTGAACATATTTTAATAATTGGATTTTAATTTGATATTAGGGGAAAGCTTCAAAATCAATTTTTTGCTTTTTTTCATTAGATTTCAAAATGAAATCTAATCGATTTTGAAACAGGAAAAAAACAAAATGATATTAGGGTTTAATATAAGGGAAAAGCTTCGACATCCAATTGTTTGGCCATATTTTATTTAATTTTTAAAAGGAAATCTAATCGATTTCGAAATAGAAAAACATACATAGTTTTGTATGTTGGGTATTTTTATTTGATATTAAGCTTCGGAATCCACTTGTTTGCCATATTTTAATTGGATTTAAAAGAAAGAAATCTGATCGATTTTGAAATAGAAATATGTGTATATATATATATGTGTGTGTGTGTTTTTTTATCAGTATTAGGGGGAAGCTTCGTACCCTAATACTAAAGACCCCCCCAATACTAAAAACTCCTCCAGGTGTTTGTTATTTGGGTGGGTGGGTGAAGGGGCGACTGTTTAGCAACAGGGGGAAGGGATTAAACCGTTTTTTGTTTCTAATTTCAAAATCCATGAAAATAATCTTTAAATAGAATACTGCCAAGAATAGGATTTCGAAGCTTTCGCCTAGTATCAAATAAAACACCAACACCTGAATTAAAAAAACTAAAATTGACGATTTTAAAGGACGGACCCCAATAAAAGACACCCCGGTGTTGACTAGTTTTTTATTCTTTGGGGGTGAAACCCTCACATGGTACCTTCATTTTTAAAATTGTTTCCTCAAGGGGATCAATTAAAAATCAGATTAACCAATTTGACATTTCCCAAAATTGGAAATCGCACCTAGTTTCTGTCATTTGGGGGTATTTTTCGTAATAGGGAGAAAGGATTAGCAAAAAGAATGCCTGATCAAAATGATGCTGATTCTGTGTGTTACAATCTTTTTGCCCACTACAGTGTCTACAGGGTTACAAGGGATGCCGTGCCAGCTAGAGTCCCAAGTCCATTCAACCAACACCCTAAGCGATGAAGTTGGACTTGTTGAAATGGAAGTGGGACTGGACCAGTTGACATGGGGCGATGCTGACCTTCAACGGGAGCTTCGGCGCCTGAAGGACAACAGTTTGAAAAATCCGAACCTGAAATATATTTTCAAAATTGCCTTACTAAGAGTGATCCCCACCCTGACACACTATTCTGACATAGTTTCTGACATATCATCTGGACGTATATGTGGCATATATGTTCTGACATACTATCTTACATTCTTTTCTGAGATTCTATTTGACATTCTTTCTGGCATCCTATCTGGCATCTATTCTGACATACTTTCTGGAATATACTATATTCTGATCCTGCCTTGCCATGAGTTTGGGCTGGGAGTGCTTTTATTTGCGTGGATCAATGCCAATGGCTTGAATATCCACCAAATGTTGGTTTCACATGTTTGCACCCAATGGTTGCCATTACCATTGATACCCCAAAATGGCCAGGTCCTGAATTTGAGAGTAGGTCCTGAAAAGTTTTCTGGGTACTGAAAAAACAGGACTTTGGCACAGGGTCTGAAAAAAGACGTAGGTGGAAGATTCAGGTATGCTGTTGGGTTGCAAAGCTGGGTTAATGATGCAAAATTAGACCATTTGAGCGTAAAACCCGTGGTTTTGGGGTACACCCTGGTACCATGCCATATGGTATCCCCATTTTTGAAGAAACCTCCATGTTGGGTGCCATGGTTGGCTACCCCCCCAGAAAAGGACAATGTGGCAAACCAAATTTCATCAACCATCCCCAATGAAGTTTAATGAAGTGCCATAAATAGATATAAATAGGCCAAAGGTTAAAGAATTGAAGAAATCACAGCGAAAAGCATTAGATACAAGGTGAGGCCGCCCAGTGATAAGTTGCTCAACTATAGTATCATGTTATATCCCCCTAATCAACCCTTAAACGTTTTACCAAGTGATGTGCGTCAACTTATTGTTAGCTGGATGCCTCACCTTATAGGTTCATCATCCCAGCAGGATGCCTGTCACATCAGCTTCCAGAACGGCTTCGCTGCACCGGTGACCCTGCTATGGATCCCTGCGATGGGAAAAACGAAGCAGTTGGCCACCATCCCGGCGCCGCCCGGCGAAAACTGGGATAGGTGCTTTTCGATGAAGGAAAAAACCATCCTGGTTGGTGACTGGAACCATGGAATGTGGATTGACTTTCCATATTAATTGGGAATTTCATCATCCCATTTGACGAAGTCATTTTTTTTCAGATGGTTGAAACCACCAACCAGAAAAAAGATGTTGGATTTGGATGGATTTGGAATTTGGCGATGATTTTGGTGGATGCTACTGGAAAAAATATGGGAATGCACGCATATGGAAGCAGTGGATGTGAAAAGGTTGGAATACATAAGCTAATTTTAGTTGGTTGGCGAATGATGGTGACGTATGTATGGTCCTCATATGTCCTCATATGGTTGGTGAATGGGGATTCCACACGCTACCAATGGCAGTAGTCGCCCCTAAAAGGAACCATAAACCGGATGGCCAAGAACTTAAGTGCTGTGTGAGTCAATTGTGAGTCATTGTGAGACATTTTAAGAACACTATATAAAGATTTGGACTTACTTGACAATAAGAAAATAAAAACACATGTTAATGCGTCCCAGCCGCCCAAAACAATCGCTTTACCAAGTTCCTGAGGCAGGAAAGGAAGGCTCAGCTGTCCTACCATGGCCACCGTTTTCAGGCTTTGAATGGATGGCAGTTATCAAACAATCAGCGGGAGACTACGAACGACATTTGGTGGTTAAAAACCCTTGATGATTGCAAAGCCAACGGCCACACTTTCGAAGTGTCAGTTTTGAAAGGGACAAATTTGAGGCTCTTGTTTCAGCGCAGATTTTTGGGCATTGTTAAGAAACACATCCCATTTTTCGGTAACTCAGTTTTGATCCACAACCATCATGCAGAATCCCTTTGGACTAGAAATCATCAACGACCAAGTGACGCAGGTGGACTCAAAGTCCCAAAATCATCCCAAAATCCACCATGTTGCCATGTTACGCTGTAAAGATCTGTAAAGCAAAAACCGACGATGCTCCAGCTATCACCATGCCCCACCACGGTGGCCTTCGGTGGCCTTATGCCAGGTACAGGCTGGAGATCACCTGAGCAACGAAGTCAGGTGCCAGGCGCCCTCCAGTGATTTCCAGGTCACCAGCAGCGGGAACCTGGCGATGATCCGTGGCGAGTTGTAGATCGAAGAAAAAGGTGCAGAGTGCAGATCAGCTTCCCGAGCAAAACGGAGCAAAATTTGTTGTTGGCTCTTTGGGTCTATGGCCTAGTATGGTCTAGTATGGTCTATATAGCTAGTTGGCTTGGTACCATTGCTGCCCCGATTGGTCGACCAATCCATTGCGCTCACGGAACATGACTGGTTTTTGCGCTGTTCCCACAATGCGAGTTGGAAGATTTGTTCGCAGCGCTGCCAAAATAGAGGTGTCAAGTGGACTGGCTCGACTGTGTTCTACCCAGGTCTCCGTGCGAACTGAGAGCCATGTTTGGGTATGCCGGTGGAAGAGGAGATGAGATCTACCAGTCTCTCATGCTGGGCCTTGACCATTGTGAGGCAGGCGAGCAATTACTCGAGCAGAAAAAGTTCCATCAAGCAAAAGGAATGCTGGAGAAAGCCTGGAACCTGGTGGAGCCATGCATTTGGTCCGCAGACAACTATGGCTATGGAAAGCGATGTGACAGGTACTGCGCACGCATCCAGGCTGCACTGGCACGCTGCAAGGTGGACTCGGCTCCCGACTCCGATGTTGTTTCAGAGGAGGTCTTGGAGAAGATGCGCAAAGCACTACCAGATGATGGCCTGAATCCAGATGCACATTTGGACTTCGCAAAGGTACTTATCAGGAGCTTAGGCTCCGGGTTCTGTCAGAATGAAGCTAATTGGCTAGATGAGCGCTATGTTGAGGCACACTATCATGTCAGTGTTGCTTGTGCTCTCAAGCGTGCAAACAAGAGTGGAGGCCATCATCAAGGCATGGGCCGCAGACAAGATGCACCAGGAACTGTGCCAGCATCGGTCAAGAAGGCTTTTGCCGACTTGGGTGATGATGGGGGATGGAAACGGGTCATCTTGTGCACTAGCCAGACAGCTTTCTGTAGCTGGCTTGAGGCAGATAAGGCGGCAGCCGCATTGACCTCATCAACACCTGCTGGCAAGAACTTTCAAAAGCAGAAAGCCACCTTTGTGTTGCTCCATGGCATGTACCCTTTGTCCGTCTCCATGAGCAATTGTAAGATTGACCTTTATGGCATTGTGGATCAGCATCGACGAGTTGAGCTGGTGGCCTCTGATGTGGACTTGCCCCTGTTGCAGGTGGACGCTGCATCAAGAGTTCGCCTCCACAACCTCTGCATCTCCAGAAACTCATCACAGTCGCAGTCGGAGCGACCCTTGATGGGTCTGGCAGGTGCCAGCTGCGTTTCAATGTCGAAAATTCGTCACGCAAGAGACATGGCTGGTCCAGCGGTTGAGGCAATGGATCAAGGCACCTTCTTTGCCCTCCACGATTGCAGCTTGACCAGCTTCTCTGACTCCACCAAGACGACAGTGGGATCGCCGCAGGTTGTAGTGAAGCATGGCGCCACTGGCACCATTGGCAAAGGCACCACTACAGTGGTCAATTTCAAATTTGGTGGTCAGCCAGATGCTTTGCAGGCTACCAATGCGGCAGCAATGCCTGGGAGCCAGTCACCGATTGCCAGTTCCACTCTGCAGACTGCAGAGTCACGAGAGGCCTTCTTTGTAGCCATGAGGCAACTTGCCCAAGCTGCAGTCAGTTTCCAACAATTGGACCCATTGGGATGCTTTTCCAAGTATCTGAAGGGCTCTTCGGTCGTGCTCTGCGGCACAGGTGCAGAGTTGGAAGCGGCCCTTTGTGGTGCAGATGCCCCCGGGCCAGTCATTGTATGCCTCACAAAGTCTGGCTTGGCTGTGTCACAACCACTACAAGTCCAGGAAGGTGTCCTCATCGGTATGGCCACGGGCAATTGCTGTGAGATGACAATTGAGGTGCAAACTGACACCGGCAGTGTCAATCTTGAAAGTGACTCAGCAAAGCTGGAGGTCAAAACTAAAAATGCGACAGCTGCCCTGACCGTCATCGATGTGGATGTCAAGATCAAAAGCACTTCAACGCCAGAGTTCCTGCGAAATCTTCAGCACTTCATGGGTGCTGAGGACTTGAAGGATTTTGGGGACTTGGCCGCTGATTTCGCCAACTCAAACCACTAGACACCGAAGGGATGAACAAAAGTTGCTGGAGCTCAGCTGGATGTTTTTTTTGGCAGCCAAGATCATCAGATGAAGGATGCTACGATGCAGGTTGTACTGTATGTAAGTGACGAGAAAATGCCATCCTATCCCATTGTTTCCTGTAGAATCACTATGTTTGGATGGCTAAAATCCTCATTTTGACCCCATACTTTCATCATTTGACCCCACATCCATCCCTGTATCCCCTTTTTCTTGAGTAATGCCCAAGGCTCTTCAGATGCAGGAGTATTTCGAGGTGGGTCACGTGCAGCTGCTAGACGACATTTGTCAGAACTGTTGTCCCGGTAGGCTTTTGAGATTTGAGAGTGAATCATGTTTAATGTTGGTAAAACAATAATAAACCACCCATTTGGGAATGGTTTAAGCCACCTATTTATTGTTTGTTTGTGTCATGTTTTTTCCTTCGCCTCTGCTGTATGTGGGATGGGTTCCTAACAATCATGACCTGTGTTGTTTTCATAATATGTTTGAGCAACATATGCTGCTGAGGAATGTGGCTGATACCTCGCTTGTGGCAGTAAGATCGCTTTTCCGTTTTCAATCGCTTCTGGCGGTAAAAAATCTATCGCTTGTGGCGGTAAGTGAGTGTCTCTGATGCCAGGGTATACAAAACCAATCGCTTGTGGCAGTAAGCGGCTGGGACTTGGGATTTGAACTTGGCAGTTGCTTTTGGAAAAGGCCTACCTTTCTTCTCTTGGCTCTAGGATCAGCTCTGGAAAATGTTGCTGCAATTGTGAACCCTGCGAACAAACCTACTAAAGTGAATTGGATCATCTCATGGCGCAGTGCCTTTGAAATTTCTGGAAAGACTGTTCTTTAATAAGGGTTCAATAAGCGATTTGATTTTCTTGGGGAACGGCAGACAAGCACGATTTTTGATGGTTAATATGACACTGTTTACACTAAGGAAGGTCCCATGTGAGCGTTCCTAAAAAGAACCACAGTTTATGTTACGATTAATATCTCATCATTGTGAAAATTTATGATCCCATAACCAGGTGGCCCTAACATCCCCAATGTGAGTACTACGAATGGGATATTATTGGGCTCTTCGGGATTCATCATTGGTATTTTCAAATCCTGGGGACGTGGGTCCAGCTATTAAGTGGCTTGAATAGCATCGTTTGGGAGATTTGGGAATGATCTTGGTTTGCCCAGATAGGGTGACAGCGTCGAACTCTGTGGTTTTCTGGAACGCTGTCCTGAAACAAGACACTTAGCTCAAATGGAAGTACGTGAAGCAGGATTGCAGACTCCAGATGAAACACTGAATGCTGTCGAGTAGCAGCCGAGTAGCGGTTCCCTATAATGAAGGTAAGCAACGGTTGTGGCTGGTAGATCCTACCCTTTTCTTCCCTAGCCCCACCCCACCCCCCAAGGTTGAAGTGGGTTGGTAAGTCTCAGGAAGTGGAGTAGCGGTTCCCTATAATGAAGGTAAGCAACGGTTGTGGCTGGTAGATCGTACCCTTTTCTTCCCTAGCCCCACCCCACCCCCCAAGGTTGAAGTGGGATGGTTAGTCTCAGGAAGTGGAGTAGCGGTTCCCCTATAATGAAGGTAAGCAACGGTTGTGGCTGGTAGATCCTCTTCCCCTAGCCCCACCCCACCCCCCAAGGTTGAAGTGGGTTGGTAAGTCTCAGGAAGTGGAGTAGCGGTTCCCTATAATGAAGGTAAGCAACGGTTGTGGCTGGTAGATCGTACCCTTTTCTTCCCTAGCCCCACCCCACCCCCCAAGGTTGAAGTGGGATGGTTAGTCTCAGGAAGTGGAGTAGCGGTTCCCCTACCCTTTTCTTCCCTAGCCCCACCCCACCCCCAAGGTTGAAGTGGGTTGGTAAGTCTCAGGAAGTGGAGTAGCGGTAGTGTTTCCCTATAATGAAGGTAAGCAACGGTTGTGGCTGGTAGATCCTACCCTTTTCTTCCCTAGCCCCACCCCACCCCCCAAGGTTGAAGTGGGTTGGTAAGTCTCAGGAAGTGGAGTAGCGGTAGTGTTTCCCTATAATGAAGGTAAGCAACGGTTGTGGCTGGTAGATCGTACCCTTTTCTTCCCTAGCCCCACCCCACCCCCCCAGGGTTGAAGTGGGATAGTAAGTCCCAAGAAGGTGAGTAGCGGTTGTGTATCCCTCATCTAGGCTCCCCTAATGTATTGTTTGTCTGCACGAAATGATTGGTTTTCAATATTCTTACTGCCGCAAGTGATTGGTTTTGAAGAGTCTTACTGCCGCAAGTGATTGAATTTTCCTGCCGCAAGTGATGGATCATCCAGGAGGATGGGTTGTTTGCTGGCCAAGTTTGTGTAGTTCATATATTGCATGTGGACTGACTGGGGGGTGGCCAACAAGTACTGTAGTTTTTCAGGATGTGTATGGGCGAAACATTTCAGGAATCCCCAAAACCACCTGTACCTTTACCTTATGGACTCACCCGCATTGTGGGCACTAATAACTAGTCTTGAGGAGATCGACGATCCCAATTCCCAGAGTCCTTCTCTGCCACAGGCCCTACTACGATACATCCCATTTGTGGATCAGTGTGAGGCAGGGTATGAGGGACTTGGAACTCATGAGGAAACAATCGCAACTGTTATCTTTGAGAGGTCTGGTATCTAAAGGTTGCTTAAATGGTGGTGGCCGTCAATGGACTCACAAAATCGTTGATGTATGTTCATGTGGTTGATGTTTCATATTAGTAACCATCCACTTTTGGAAATGTGATTGAGATGGATAATGCATGAGATCTTTCTGAATTCGCAGCATGAATCCAATGGAGCTGCAAATCAGGGGTCCCGTTGCGAGACCGTCGATTCATTTCTTTGGCGCCTTTCGTTGGATGCCCCAAAAACCAAGAACTCATCTGAATAGTTTCTATTCTTCAAACATCATGGTTTTGTTGATTTTGTTGCATTCTCACATTTGTGTAGATTTTTCCTCTGGCGTGAATCACTTCTGTTGATTGTTGACATGTTGCTGGTCACATCCCCCTCTGCGGTGCTTGAATCTGAGACTTTTCTGGCTGGGATTCCCAATTTTTGTTGCGCACCGCCGCCATGATCCACCTGCTTTACGGCTGAACTCTGGTTCGCGACTACTTCTTTCTCTTTGGGGACGGGTCGAAACCCATGAAATTAACAAATTGGAGGGGAATCAACGTCCAATACCCAGCTATTATAGGGTACCATCCGGGTACCCGAGTTTTGACTCATAGCCATGTCCCCGATTTCCGCAAGGCCCTGCGAGAATTTCTCTGCAGCGTGGATGTGAGCCAGATGAGCCATGAACTTGGCACCAGGGGAGAATCATTCGGGATTCCAACCCGGAAGAATGGGAGTTTACACCATATCCCATGACGGATCCATGGTGCTGGTATATATGCTAACATGACTGGTGTATATTGATGGGATCCATGTTACCATGTATAGCAGCACCATGGATCCTATGGGTATATATGGAAGTTTATACTATGTCATACCTATCGAAATTAGGGATACGAATCGAGACCCATCGTTTGTGACCGGTAGTCAAACAGGAACATCGCTTAAGCCAGGAGCTGCCATAGGTCAAGGATAGATTCGTTTCGAAAAGCAGATCTTTGGGCCTTTGCCTCTTAAAGATGGGTCAAAAGAGGGGAACTCCTGGTGGCACCTGATTCTTGGGGGAAGTGGTTTCTGGGCTTGACTTCGGCCCAGAGCGAAGTCAGGTGTTTGTTTCAGCTTAAAGCCATGGGTTTTTCATATTGAATCCCCAGTTCCATCCATTTCCGGCCTTGGGTCAGAGCTCAGGTTACGATGCATTGTTGGACCTGGAACAGGTCGTTTGACCATGTGGGAAATATGCTTAACCAATGGGTTAAATCATAGCACTTGGGATCAAAGTCGACAGAAATCAGGATATGAAAAATACGGGATGTAGAATATTATAGAGGTGTTTCCGGAAAAAAAAAAGCGGATGAGCCAAATCACCTACCAGTTCATGTTCTGATTTGAGAGTGAAAATTGTTTAGAGCCTCCTCAATTTTTCCACGCTCACCACATGTTTGGAAGTCTGGGGATGTTTAGGCATCAAGTCCGTGGGAGTCCTCCCATCGTTATACATGTTCATTTGGAGGTTTCCATAGCTGGATGGTGTACAGGGGTACTGTACCCCCATTCCAGGAAACCACCATTTGAGTGTTATGGCTGTATGACGTAGTATGACATTATTCTTCATGGAAACAATGGAAACACTGAAAAAACTTCTTTCCAAGAACTATCAACACTCTGTCTAGAATATTATAACACGAATGTGACTTTCATAACCCCACGGAACATGGATAAACACTATGAATCACCATTAATCACCATTCATTAATCACCATTAATTACTAATTAAATCTAATTAATCACCATTCATTAATCACCATGCATCACCACTATTGATCACCATTGTTTTTGTCACGGGGAGATCCCGAATTGGGAGGCCATGGGCCGCGGTGGCCCGGAACTGCGGGTGGATGCTCAGCTCATCGCTGCCCTCCCAAAGCGTGAGGCGCGACCCAACGGCAGACACCCCATGGGGGAAAACGATGGGCAAACAAATCCAGAACGGTTTTTGTTGGGATTTCTGTTGGGTTGGGCTTGTAAAAATGATGTTTTATGATGTTTGATTGAATTTGGGATCCGGGAAAACAGAAATTCTAACAGCCATCGGGGTTGCACGTTGCACGTTGCCAGCATCTCCATGGCCACAGGTAGCATCAAAATGTGCGGGCTGCTGCGTAATTTGTCAGGCCGCTGAGCGTTGCCTTGGTGGACATCCCAAAGCTTGGTTCATGATGGTTAATGATGCTTAATGATGGTTAATGATCGTGATCTTTACGGGGATATATATGTCACCACCAGCTTTTTATGATATTTGGAATGATGATAATGAGTTTTCCTAACACGGGGGTACCCCAAAATGGATGCGTTACAATGGATGATTTGGGAAGATTTTAGGAAACCTCCACAATGGAATTCCATGGGACTCCACCGCCATCAAACCATTGAAGAAATTGTCTATGACAACCACCCTGGCTTGGTGTCTCCTAATTCTTTTGTGGAATATAGCCATGGTGCTACAGGCATCTGACAAAGTCGTACCTGTTTTAGGAAAAAAACGTTGTGCCTTGGGGAAGTTATGCAAGGTTCGAACCATCCACCAGTTATGCATCAAACATATGTTTGGCACATCTTTGCCCCCATTGTTTGTGTATAGTAACCTAACTCAACCCTGAAAAAGATAGAAAGTTCAAATCCCACTGAAATAGTGATTCACAGTTCTATGTTTGGGGTTCCTATATTATATCATCAACATACACAAGTTTGAGATCTTCAGATGCAACGCGACTGGCGTTACGACTCAGCGACCATGAGCTCTGTTCCAGGAGCCGATGGAAAAGGATGAAGATGTGAGGGTTCTGCCATGCGGCCATGAGTGCGCCAGCGAATATGGCGGGCAGAGGTGACACGGAGGTCTGGATGGTGAGCGGCCCGAGAAAAGTGTCATTAATATAGATACAGGATGATATATTGTACTATGTATATATAAATATATAGACTGAGATGAATTAATTCTCATGTATTTATTTAAATAAGATGTAAAGTGAATGAGTGTGTTTGTCTTTTTGGGTGTTTGGAATCCGATGATTCCTCTTCGGTTTGCAGCTGACCCACCTCTCAGTATGGTTTCAGCCGCTGATCGCACTGGTGCTCAAGTCGTAGCCATCTTTTGATGCACTTTTGGGCAGGAAGGTCCAGGCGCTTGGTATGAAAAGACGATAAGGATGTTTTCAGCAGGTTTGCAGCGTCTGCAATGGAAAATCTCGCTGGAAGACAAATTACCCCTATGTTGGAGAGGTTTATGGGTCAAAACCTTCCAGATAATCGCAAATGAGGGGGGCTACAACAGATATATCCTAAACTTGGCCACCCAAAATGGCCCGCATGCTCAACCTCAGAGGGGGCAGTTGGCTGAGTAAGTTCTCACATGATGCCGCTCTAGCAAAAGGTCGATGTCCTGTAACGGGACCTGTCGCAAAATATGTGGGACATAACATGAAATAATATACTATTTTAATATGATATACTATTATGCAGCCGTGATGATAGCAGTGGTACAGATACAAAAACATGTGCATGGCTAGCTGGAACCCCCCCATGTTGAAGTCCCAGGTTTCCCATTTAGAAAGACGTCCGGTTTTTTCGGGGACTTCCCAGCTAGCCAACAAGAAGAATTCAGGGCGAAATTCAGGGCGAATTTCAACCATCTACCATCCACTGCAGAAAATTTCCAACCAGATTCGAGGTTGTGTTTCATCCAAAATTCGACCAAATTTAGCACATTTTAGCATTGAAACAGCCATGGTGACTTGGAGATCCAGGTTTCCCGTTGATCGACCTTTGCGGAATTACCCTCCGGGGAGCGCACGCTTTGGGAAGTCCAAAATCACGGTTTTTGATAGGTAAATCCCCATGAATCATCTAGAAATGGAGGTCTTCTTGCTAGGAAGATCATCTATAAATCGGGCATCTATACATCCATAGCTATGTAAAATAACCACATGGTACTATCCTTACTCAGGATATGCTAGGGGTATGCTTAACTTAATATGAATAGCTATTTATTCCTATTATATAAGCGCTACATATCAATTCCATTACTATAGTCATCATAAATCCCAAAACATACTATAGTAGTATATTATAATTCATTTTTTGTCATATATCCCAATGCCAGATTAGTTAATAGTAGATCCCTATAGTCAACAATTAATTCTTAAATCTCCCTATATCCTAAGTGTTATACAGTCCAATTCGCTACTATAGTTACTATGCATCAATCCCTCTATCATTAGTCAATATTAATCTCAATTATATATATATATATATTACTATCGCTACATATCCCAGTAGTTAATGATTCTTCATGATCTTTTATATTTAATACTTATATATATATTACAACTATTACTATAACAATACGATATACATTTATAATTATGCAACTATTACTATATTCGAACAACTATTTTATAGCACTGATCCTTCGATGACAAATCCAGGTACCACTTCGAATGCATCTCGCAGTGGATCCATGAGAGCAACACTTGCTGCGTGCACTGTCCCAGTGGAAGCGTTGTGCTGTGGCGAGGTTTGACAATGGGCCATCCAAAGGAAACCATGAAGGGATTGACAATGTGAATTCTATGGTGTATATATATATATATACACTGTATATAAACATATTTATATATATATATACATAAACCATAAATGCCAATGTTCTTCAACTGATGGTCGTTTTTTTTGTGGAAATGATATGTGGAAAATCCGTGAAAATGAATAGATGCAATGCAAAACCAGGGGTTTTGGCCACAACCGAGGTTTGTCATAGTATGGCCGTTCCACAGCCCGGTGATTGCCCGGAGCGGCTGCCGGTACGGCGATTGGCTATGGGATGGCTTCCATTGGGAAATTGAACTTTCAACTGGTAATGGAAAGGATTTTCCCAAAAGTTGGATGCAATTGAACCCATGGCTGGTGAACTTCCAAGAAAAATCTTCCAGCGTTTTCGCGGTTTCGTGCAAAAAGGGGGATGATCCAGATGGAACTTTGGGGGAACCAAAAACAAACAGCAAACAAGACGGACGTTACCCGGCCTGGTAAACGTACAAAAAGCGACATAGAAAATGGCCATAGAAATAGTGAGTTTTTCCATCAATAGCATGGTGATTTTCCATAGTTATGTAAACGTTTACCAGAGGGTACAGTGGAGAACTTCTCTTGCCCTGCACTAAACCCCCTCCAGCCTCAGGCTGAGATACTCTGAGATAAAAAAAAGGCCCTTTTGCGTTTCAGAGTTTGAGGTCATGTTGGGTGTCAATGAAAAGAAGACCATAGAAAACATACCTAACTTTGACTCGGATTTGTTCACTATATTCACGATCTAAACTCCCAGGATCCATTGAGATGTGCTCGTCAACAGCCCAGACCTTGCTCTGAGTGCTGCAGGATGTGGGTGAAATGGACTGAGGGGCCACGCAGAAGAACTTGCACGACCAGTGAGTGGCGTTGGCGCCTGAGTTCATGACACTGACGGAGTCAGTGGAAACATGAGATGCCCTGAGGTGTTCAGGGTATTTCAGGATGAAGTCTACTGCATTTGAGATTCGGTACTATACAGAGGATATATGAGGATATATCATACATACATTAATTGTACATATAATACATACAATATATATATATATTTATATTTAATGCATACATAATCATACATGTATATAGTTGAAGTCTACTGAAATAAGATGGTGCTATCGACGCGTAGTTCGCCATGCTGTGGCATTTTGCAGGAAGCTCCACCTTCTGCGCAAGAATTTCCCAAGATATGGCCATTGGGCAGCAAGAAACTTAAAAAAGCACTTTCAATAGGTAAATGATGGTTTTTTATAATCTATAAATGGAAAATTTCCATAACATTTTCCATAGCTATGTTCAATATCATCCAATGATATTCCAATGATATTCGAATGCAATTATCCAGCAAGATTTTACGGCGTTGATGATGTGAAAGAAGCAGCAGTCGAGCTGGAATGTCATCATTTTTAACATCCCAATGGGCCAGTGGAATTTCGCATCAAACGGGGTTTTCAAAGGTTCTTGCGTCCTGGATCAATTGGAACCAGGGCTCCGTGCACGTCCAAATTGGCTCAGCCATTGGCTCAGCCAGACCCTCCGGTGGCGCACCCGCACTTGGCAGAGGTTCCTAAATTGGGGTTACCCCAATGGCTGGATGGTTTATTTCATGGAAAATCTGTTTTTTTGTCGGGGATGGTTTTGGGGGTACCCCATTTTAGGAAACCTCCATATCAGCTTCATTATGACTTGTTTGTTCTGATATTCACCTATAGCTGGTGGCTAATGTCGTTGGATATAGGGGTTTGCAGCGAGCGATCCACGAGTGATTCTTATGTCTTCACCAAAGAGATGTGCTTTTCTGCCCGTCATTTTAATTCTCTTTAACTTGCTTCTGTCTGAACATGTGGATGCCCATATAATATCATATAATGCTTTAGTTAAAATTGGAGAAAATGATGATAATGATGATTAGCTCAGGCATCACATGTCTGTTGGGTCATTTTCAGCTAGGAGTTGTCACCTTTTCTGGCTGAAACAACAACCACATGTGGGATGATCATCCCCAATGAATGCTCTATATTTTTAGGTGGGCATATCTCAACCGAAGAGTTTTGATTGCCATTGAATCATTGGCAAAGTGTGTTCTTCTACTTAAGTTCTGAAGCGTCTTTTCGGAAAGGTGTTTTCCACGCCTCTGTCGGAGTTTCTCGGCTGAGTTCCGAATCCTTGAGGTCCATTACGGAATTTTAAGCGATGGACCGGAGAAGGGTTCAGCGATTTCCATGCGGGGCTTTGAAGCTTCAAAAGCTGGTCAGATCCGATCATGATCCGATCCAACATGACTGATTTTTGCTGCTATCAGACGACAAAAATATGGTGATTCATGGTGATTCATGTAGGGATGGGTCAAAACTGTGCATTAAAAACCATCTGAATTTCTGGTACCTCCAATCATCCAGTCGTCATGGATAACCATGACTTGTTGTATAGGTTAACCCATGGTGACGACTGGGGTACCCCCATGGATTGGAAAGCCCCAAATGCCCCAGATCCTCAGAGATGTTGTCTGGGTGAAGGTTGTACAGATCCACCAAAGGCTGTCGAAATCAGGGGAAACCGTTTTTTTGGCGGAAGACAGAGCCCCAAATCTCACAGAGTTCCCTAAACGGTGCGCTGTTGGTGGAAAAAGAAACTGTGCAAAAAGATATTTTTTCTGGTGGATCATAAAGAAATGGAGGATGAGGCCCAACTTTAGGGCCATGAACTCATGAAAAGATGATGGTCTTACCCCACTTCCGGACAAATCCATCATGGGTGGATACGAGTAGGAGCCAGTTGTGTTACCACTTGAGCGTTGCAGAATGTCGACGGTTGGACAGCTTGGGACTCTCAAGGATCTGCAGTGCTGTCCAGTGGGTTTCCCGTAGGACGTTCACATTTCGCAGTACTCTTCCAGATTGTTCGACCACAAAATGGGGATAGCACACAGATGTTTTGAAAAAATATTTACCATATTTGATTGAGAATATCCATAAAATTCAGCAATCTGTTATATTCCTTCCAGGTACCAGGTTTTTGACCACCAAATGGCGCTTTGTAGCTGCTTTGAGCAATGCTCTGCGGTGCGAAGACAAGCCCATGACCGTCGGGGTGCCCTGCGAATCGGTCCTGGGAATGGTGTCATTTTCACATCGCTAAGCAAGCTGGAGTTGGTCAAAGATATTGATTGTTTGCCTGGGATTGGCTTCATATTTTGATGTTCCATGTCCGTAGTTACACATGATATGTGACTGAAGAACGTGTCGATGTTTAATCGATGTGTACTTCGACTCTACCTAGGTGACATCGCTTTAGTCTGGTGTTTGCTTGTTTTCATGCATCCTTCATGGCGCGTCAAGGGAATCAGGGTTTGGAAGTGCCAAGGAACGAACGAAGGCATTGCGACAGTCTCGTTCGAGATCTCCCAGAGGAGCCATTGAAGGTAGCCATCCCGCGGAGCTGTGAGCATCATCATGCGCATAGCTGTGACATCACAATATGGGGGGGTTCCAAAAATAGTGGTACCCCCAAACAATCCATGTTCATATCTAAGTCAATCTTAGATGGGTACTTTAATCCTAACTAGTCTTTTGGTATCAATGGGAATATCTACTAACCAGCAAAGAATTCATTTTTTTTGCAGGGTATCTAAGATTGGCGTTAATATGGATTTTCCATCAAAATAACATCCAGCAATAAAAGGGGTACCTTCATGACTATGGAAACCCCCAAATATAACAATGGTTGAAGATTGATAATAGGCTGATCATCCCTGTGAGCAACTATGACACACCAGTAAAAAAAATTGACATCTTTGTCGACTATGACACACCATAGGCTAATCCTAAAAAAATCACCATCATTTTTTGGTAATTCGGAATGTATAGGACCTATATCCCATAGGATCCATATATGCTATATATGGTAACATGGATCCCATCAATATACCCCAGTCATGTTAGCATATATACCAGCACCATGGATCCGTCATGGGATATGGTGACCATTTAAGTGACCACTTCATTTTGGGATTTCGATAAAAATGGTGGCATCGTTGGAGGTGATTGGCCCGGCTGTCATGTGGCCCATGGTAAAGCTCCATGGATTCTCGGTATAGAGGTGCGGTGCCGGGACCTGGGACCTGGGAGCTGTGACCTGGCAGGAGATGGGATAGATTCGGATAGCCTCTGGTTATGACTAACAGTTCGCCATGGTTAAGCCATGGCCCTAATCGGAATAGATGGTTTACCGAACTTAATAGCATGGTGGATCTTTCCATGGCTATGTTAGTCATAACCAGAGGGTAGATCAAATTCTCTGGTTGAAGATGGGATGAATTTTCTGCTTGAAGGATGTTTTATTGGATCAACCTTGGAAGAACATAGCTGGGTTGCTAAGAGATGGTTGGTGGTTTCAAACATGAATGGATTATTTCCATAGTATATGGAATGTCATCCCAACCCCATTGACGAACTCCATCATTTTTCAGAGGGGTAGGTCAACCACCAACCAGTGTTATTCAACCAGTGTTAGTAACTACATTACATTATAGTAACATTATATCTATAGTAACTACACTTTCATCTATTATGTTCATTGAAAATTGGAATAATTATGAAAGTGTAGTAACTACATCTATAGTAACTACATCTTTCAACAGTAACTTACACTATATCATCTATCATTATATCATTGAAAATTGGAAATTCTGTCATGAAGATCGTCTCCGACCGCTGTGGAAGATGTCAAGGAAGATCGCTGTGCATCGCAAAAAATTCGTTTCGCTGGACTGAGGATGGATTAAGGATCCCCACAAGAAATGCTACATTGGAAGTGTTTTTTTTCGGCCCTACATAATCGTATAATCCACATATATATATATATATGTATCTATAAGTATTATATACCTATATAAGATATATCATATATCCACATATCACGTATCCACATATCATATATTCATATCATAATCATGTAAGATTATATAAGTACATAAACAATGATAGTATATAAACAATAATATATATATATATATGATAGAATATAACTTGCGTATTGCAACCCATTCCGAATGGATGCACCCAAAAAACGCCACCAGGATCTCCAGTCCACAGCTTTTGGCGATGGCAACCTTCCAGACATCTCCATCGACCCAAGGAGAAAGGCGTCCCAGTGGAGATTTCCAACAGGTTTTTGAAGCATAACCAATGGATGTCAGTGGACATATGGTCATATGGGATTATAATGGATTATACTATATCTGGTTTTGGAGAAATCCCATATCTAACCATATGGCATATGGTTAGATATGGGATTTCTCCTTTTGGTTGATGATTATATGGGTTTATACTGTAAATTATACTATAATAGTACCTGGTTGGTGGTTTGGAACCATGGAATTTTATGACTTTCCATTTAGTTGGGAATAATAAATCATCCCAACTGACGAATTCATATTTTTCGGAGGGGTAGGTATACTACCAACCAGGTGGTTAGATATGGGATGTCTCCATCTAGGATGAAATCTACTCTATTCTTCTATTCCCTATAAGAAATCCCATATCTAGGTTGAAAATGAATAATTAGATTAAGTGGCTAGATTCATGGTGCTTCTTAAGTCATGGAAAATCCCCCACCAGTCGTCACTATGATTGTTTTAATAAAACAAGTCATGGTCATCCAGGACGACTGGATGATTTTAGGGGTACATGGATTGGAAACCTCAAAGCGAATAAGGGGAATCATCCCCGATTGGCCGAACTCTTCAGGGCTGCTAACCGAAGATTGGAGGCCTCACTTTTCAGGTTCGAGTTATCACGAAAATTATCTTTGTGGTTGCTTAACACGCAGTTTTTGAACGTGAAGGATTTTTGAGTTTTGGGGATGACGAATACACCAGTTTTGGGCACGGGGCTCTTCCGTTCTAAAACTGGGAACGTGATGTTTTCAATCTGTTGTTTGGAGTGGTTCCTCTATTTTTTCAGATAAACCTGCATGTTCCCAATGTTTAGGTTCTCAATATCTAATATGTTGTTTGGAGCGGTTCTCAATATCCAATAAACCTCATTTTCCTACATTTTCTCAATGTCCAAGACTGAAAATGTGCTGCCTCAAAGAAACATAAAATTGGCATTCATCGAATCAGAAAATTTCACCATCAAATTCATGGTCAAAAATCCATTGGTCAATGGATGGGTTTAAGGATTAAATATGGGGTTTTCCGGGGGGTCCTGTAAATTTTCCCTTAAACCAATCCATTGGTCATTGGCGAATCATCATGTCCCTCATGAAAACGAAACCAGGTGCTGAGCGTGATCAACGTGCAGGATGAGACCAGGCCAGAGTGAGCCATTCAAAATACACTGCTGGTTGGTGGTTTGGAACCATGGAATTTTATGATTTTCCATCTGGGTGGGAATGGAATGGAGTAATCGACTTTCACTCCATCATTTTTCAGAGGGGTAGGTATACCACCAACCAGACTGGTTGATTGGTTTCTATAGGGACCCAAACTCCCTAATTTATTGGGGATTATGATACCCCATAGGATTGTGAAACCGTTTTCAACCAACCAGTAGAATGAGATGGGGTATGGCTCAACTGATTATAGGTAAATGATAGCCACAAGAAGGCGAAATTTGCCAGTTTACCGCCATAAATTGCCAATTTGTCCAACTTGTACCTGGCGTGCTGGGAGCATCCTGTATATCTAGAGACCTCGAAAAAGATAGAACAGTAAACTCCTGTACTAGTGATAGATAATTATTTCTATTCACTTAGGTATAGTATATTATACCCTCTAGAGTACTATGATTTTTAGCTATGGCAGCCATGGCCCATTTACTTCGATGATTAACCTAATATGTGTATTATGGGTACAATATGGGTACCATCCAGTAACCTGTCACATGACCAGGGGAATCATTCAGCAATCGTTCCACGTTTTTTCCAGCTATGAACCTCCATGAATTGATCGGGGTCCCAGCTAGCCATGTTTGATTGCAGAAGGGTATATCAAGCAATGAAGAATATGGTGTCTGGATTCAAATATTTTGAGAGATGTTCAAATCAAAAGGCGTTGTTCAGAGAGTTTTTAACGATACCAACTAGTAATGGACTCACAAAGACCGTTTGTTTTGATTTTGGATAATTACTAGGGACTAAGATCATCCAAGTTTGGCGTAACTGACTTTGAGTCGTGGCCAGAAAACATCACAAAACCTCAATCATGTTTGCTTCGTCAGAGACTTTGCTCAACCAGCGACTGGAATATATCAAGCGAATTCGGAACTTGGGTCTTGGTCAAGTCTGTTTACCTGAACACTTGATATCGTATTTGGAGAAACCTTGGACAGGTACTTTACTCATACTTTACTAGCTTCATATTTTGCCATACATGAAAATCTGGTTGATGGTTTCAAACATTGTTTATTTTCCATAATATATGGGACAATCCTTCCCATGTACTAATATTTTTCAAGATGGTTAAAACACGTTAAAACCACCAACCAGAAAATAAATGGGTAGAACTGCTGAACCCCGCCAGCTCAAAGAAATAGGCCAGGTATCTGAAGAAAAAGGCCGTGCGTCATGTTCCTGGAATGTTCACCGGGGTGACCAGCTGACCATAAGCTGACTAACGGATTCATGGTGATAATTGTGATAATATTATCGAAGGAAGTTTAGAAGTCAAACTTCCGACAATATGGACAGATGAAAAGTAGAGATGGGAAGAGTCACAGAGAAGAGAAGAGTAGAAGAGAGCAGATCAGAGAAGAGAAAGAGTTAAAAGAAAGAAGATGCAGATCGCGAAAAGGTAGGAAAGTCGCGAAACACTGTGTTTTTCCAATGATTTGTGGCTCCGCAGGGTCGAAAAGTAGGCTCGCTAAAGCGGCGGGTGCGGAGCCAGCTGGCCAGGTGAGAGATGAAAAATTGCACGCCGTTGTGGCGCGAAGCACGTTTCCAAGTCAAAATGTACAAAGCACACCAGGTTCGGAACACTTTTGGAAGTTAAGATGTTGAAACAGCGCACGCCGTTGTGGCGCGAAGCACATTTCGAAGTCAAAATGTACAAAACACACCAGCTTCGGACCACTTTTAGAAGTTGCGATGTCGAAAAAGTGCACGCCGTTGTGGCGCTAAGCACATTTCGAAGTCAAAATGTACAAAACACACCACGTACGGACCACTTTTGGACGTTTAGAGCTCGTTTCGCGTCGCAGGCGCAAGGGATTGTGCACCTTCTCAAAAGTGAGCAAAACATGAGAGTCTTGTAGCATTGCCAAAAACGATGGCAGGCGTGGGACATCTGAAGAGGATCTGCAAAAATGCATTTTCCGTGGCAGGCGCAGTACAAGAGTCGGAGCTGTTCGGAGGTCAGGGCGCTGATTTCCTGAGAAGGATTGCATTTTGGAGCATGAGATTTTGAGGTTTGCTGAGATGATTTCGCGTGACAGGCGCAGCACTTCGTACGAGCTGGCATCACTTTTTCGTGGCAGGCGCAATAGTTTAGACAGATGGACTGGAAAAATCACAAAACGCATTGGCACGAGGCCGTCAATTTGAAGGAAGTCTCGCAGAATTGTTTCGTTTTTGACGTTGTTAAGTTCAAAAAATGAGGAGGTCTCGCAGAATTGCTTCGTTTTTGATGTGGTCAACTTCAAAAAATGAGGTAGTCTCGCAGAAATGCTGCGTTTTTGATGTTGTCAACTTGGAAAGATGAAGAAGTCTCGTAGAATAGCCAGGTTTTCAAGCTTGCAGATAGACAGGTAGATAGATAGATAGACAGACAGACAGACCGATAGATAGATGGATGGATAGATAGATAGATAGGATGGATGGGTGGGTGGATGGATGGATAGATAGATAGAAAGATAGACAGATCGGTAGGTAGGTAGGTAGATAATCAGAGAGAGAGAGAGAGAGAAAGAGAGAGAAAGATGGAAGACATCAATCACCTTTCGATCCATCAGTGGCTTCGCTCTGCCATCAATGATTCACAACAACCAATCTCTCCGATAGGTTTCCTATTTTTGAAACTTCCGCCACCGCCTTGTGCGGTACTACTGGTATAACTATAGGATACGAGAGGAATACAATGGAATACATATATATATGACACGATTTTAATGATATATGTATATTTATAACATTATATAACTATTTTTTGTGGACCGTTGATGATGATCTCCCATATTCCAGGGTGAGAGATTTCTTCAATATCCCAGTCACTAAGTCTCGGGTCATGATTGATCCCCACTGTGAAGAAGGGATTAATTAGTTATCATTGACTAGTTACATATCCCATTAAATCATTAGTTAATAGTAATTAGATAGTACTGTAATCCTGTTGTTATTTGTCCACATTAATCCCCATAGATAATAATAGTTTTATATATATATATCTCTCTCTCTCAGTAGCTAACAGTGTGCTACATATCCCTATTAGTTCATATTAACTATCAAGGCATATCGATATACAATAGCTGTTAATATTGATAGTTACTAGTTATTATTCCTATTGGTCTTAATAGTTTTATTTCCCATGATCGATGAGTGAATATTATATCCCTATTAGTTAGAATATATATGTTAGTGTATATATATATATGAAATGTATAATGCGTATACATTCCATTCATTATAAGCTCTCTGTCCCAATTAGTTAATATCAATCTCTATATATATATATAGTTATATATCCCATCAAGTTGTATATTCCCATTAGTTCCCCTAGGGTAAACTAACAGTTCGATGTGGAAGCATAGCCCGTTGAGTTCGATGTATTACCTATCAAAAATCGTGATGTTCCACATCGAACTCTTAGTTTACCCTAGAGGAGCTCATCGGAAAAACCATCATTTTTCATGGGATATATAACTATAGTTACTATAGTTATATAATGTTTCTATATTGTAACTATATGGGAGTAACTATAAACTATATATATATATAACACATGGGAGTAGCATATATATATATTACTATAGTTATAAAATGTTAATATATTGCTATAGTTATATAATGTGACAGATTCCAATCAGTCAATAACATTCGGGCTCCGCTTCGGTCACCAGGTGTTTCTATATCTCGGTCTTCAGCCCTTGCCTTGGCCGCGTGGGCCGTGGCATTTGGAGAAGCTTCGCCTGCGGCAAAGCACGGCGCACGGATGGTGTCTCGGTAGAACAGGACTTGGGGACGTGTGAAATGGGACAATTCCTATGAAAATATTGGAAAATCATGAGACGATAGCCTAGAAATGGAGGGTTTATAGCTGGGAAAATCATCTCGAACTACTTTTAGGGCCTAGGGGATTTTCGAGCAAACCATGTCTGATTGCCGGAGGAAAATTCATAATTGTAATATCTTATGTGGTAAACCCAATGCCATAAACCTCCCATTTCGGTTCATACAACCCATAAAAATTGTTAAACATGGAGATTTTGGGGATGGTTTGCATTGGGTTTACCACATTACACCAAAAGCGTCACGTGGTTGGAATGCAGCAGCCGGCCATCTTTCTCAGCCCTTTCCCCAGAAAGATGGCACTCTTTCAAGGTGACATCATGTGACATCCGCAGCAGATTGGTAGCTGAATATTCCAAGTTGCACAGCGGTGATGATTCATCCACTGATGTTCATTGGTAAATCCATTCGACCACTTAAGACATCGAAAACGACAAACTGATTGATGATTGGAAACATTTGCTGATGATCATTCACTATAATTAAATAATATAATTAACATGAATTATAATATATATATATTTATTTATTTATAATGTGTTTTTTGTTGGTGACATCCCCATTTTCCTGGTGAATTTTTGTCAGTCTTTAGGAAGCACGGTGGAGGTCACAACCTTCGTGTGTCTTGGCGGTGGGGAAACGATAGATGGTCAAATCCAATATGATGTGGTAGAAAATGGTAGACACCAGGTGCATGTTTAGTGTATCCATTCCTGTTTGGGATGATTGAAGCTGATGGAATTTGATCACATGCTAGGAAGTTTCTTGGATGTTTCATGATAATGATAATGGCTCGGATTTGGCCTTTCCCACTTCCAGCCTGCTAGTGGAGAGTGAAGAATCAGGTTGTGATCACTTCTAAGGTGACACTTCTTGTGGTGACAATCTTTCATGTAGGGGATAGACCATGAAAAAGTGGTTGCCCGTCACAACTAGACACCGCAAAAATGGATACTGTCGATGAAAATCCAAAGACAATCTATTCATGTCTCTTCATATATCATGTAAAAACAAGGTTAGTGGTAAGAATGCTGATGATATAACAACGAGAACAATAATCATAGTATAACATGATAGTAGTATCACAATAACAATAGCATATGTCATAATCATAATCGTCGTAATTATATATATATATGTATATCATAAACACATCTTCCAAATCCATTTTTTGGGGGTCTCTGGGCTCAACATCTCGGTCAGACCCACAACCAAGCCCGGCCACTCCCTTGACTGAGGTTAGTAGTGCCAGCCCGGAACATCATGGACGTTTGCAAGCTTTCAACCAAGGAAACCAGTATCATTTTAACCTTGGTTGTGAGAAAAGTCGGGGAACCAATACTGTAAAAAGATGAATCTCGATCTCAATGATCGTGGTCCCCTGATTTTAACAAGATCCCAGTCTCACAATCGAGAGGACTACAGACTATATGTGATGCCTGCTGCAAATTCATGGCTTCTCTGCGTTGGTTCATACAGAGAGGGCAGGCGAAAGTTGGGAATTAGGTGAGCCAAATCAGGTGTGGTTTCCCCATGTCAAATGTTTACCTATCATATCATCAAGGTTGCTAAATGTGTGTTTTTGGTGGTGGAAAATCATGAAACCCCTAGATCCAGCGCTTTGGTGATGAATGCTGCAGTCACCACATTCCCATGCTGGGGATCTCGTGCTTCTCTTGAAACACCTTGGGTGTACATCAAAATGGAGATGGGTCAAAAATGGTCAAATTTCGATTTCAAAAAAAAATTGGGGGGAACGAAGGACCATAAACCCCAGTCACAAACGTTACTTTGATTATCTTTGATTCATGAAGGGATTTTAAGCCAGGACCCGCAAATCCCAACCTCTCACCTCGATGCGTTGAGGACGTTGAAGGTGTCGACGTTCATTCGGACATCGTGGTGTTAAAGCCAGCAGCAGCACTCACTGAATGCGAGGTACTTGGAGGGTCACTGTTGGTAAAAGATGCAAAGGTGGGTGTCCAGCTTGGGAGCTCATGGTCGGTCCTTTCGGAGCAAGATTTTTTCTTCGGTGTTAGACCATTCATGTTGGAAGCTGGCAAATGATCTTGAGCCATGCATTTTTTTGAGTTATATTTTGGACTCCAGATTGAAACGATGATTTGGAACTCCACCAGAGTTCTACAAGTGGTTGACTCGCTTGATTGGTGATTTGTTTGATGCGAGGATGGGTCTGAACCTCTGATTTTCATTGATTTTCCATAAGAATTGCGGGGAAAACATCTAGATATTTTCATTGCTGTCGCCAGGGTACGCCAATCGTGGCAATGTAGTGGATGGTGCATCCATGTCCGCTGAACAGCGGCAGCCAGAGGTTCCTTCTATGGTTTTCCGTTGGAGGGAGGTCCTTTCCGATGTTCTCAAGGAGATAAGGAGGGAAGGCAGATTTTGGATGCCTTGATATCTTGGCTCGGGCATCAGTTGTCACCTCTGATCCCGGAATTGGTTTCACTGTTAGTTTCACTGAAATCTCCGGGGAAACGCTAGATTTCGCATGGTAAGCATGGCTGAAATGGGTCCAAAAAGGACCTTTTTGTGCTTGCTGTGCGAGGACGTGGCGGCAAGCTGACCCACTTCGCACATCCGTCGACGTTCTACGCCTTGGACTTTGACTGTCCAGATGCTTGGTGGCAATTCAGCAGATGGGCCCCATAGGATGCAGTGTTCGGGTCGTGGATAGAACCGCACACTGGGAGATTGGATTGTCTTGCCTGATGACCTCGGTGTTTTTTTACTTCATGGTGGTCTGGCGTTTTCAGGGCTGCTGAAGAAACCCACAATAGGGACATCCACGGGCTGTTTTGGACAGGTTGGAACTCCAGTTCTGGCTATGGAAGATGGTATCGTCCCTTGGATTCAGCCCGTCACGCTGAAGCGCCATGCGACTCGTTTCAGCATGAAGCGAGAGTTGTATCCTTGTCAAGAGGCAGTTGCAACATGAACAGCATATCTACTTGACATGTGGCCATGTTCGGATGTTCATTTGGGGACTTTTGGGCTCCCATGATCGGCGAGCAGCCCAGAGCCATCCAAGTTGATGACATAGAAAACACTCTGGTTATTTACATCGACTGTATTTAACATGTAGCCCATTTAGTTCGGTTATCGTTCTATAAAACATAGCGGTTTTCCATAGCTACTTTGGCCCATCTACTCTGATTCTTGGTTCGGTACCTATGTTTCTTCCTAAAAATCCCATCTCATTTGTTCTTCATTCACTGCAAGGTCATGAGAGGCGTGCCCATTGTCAAAATAAATATGCACATCTTCAAAAAAACATCATTGAACATCATTGATGTGTTGGTCAGTTTGGATTATTTTGCTATATGTGGTCCTTTTGCAGTCAGGGCAATTATACCATGTCTACAACCATCGAATCTGTTGCGGGGACACTATCTTGCCGTGACAGGTTACACAGCGTCTTGATCAGGAGACGGTGTCTGGTCATCTGGCAGCACTAGTGATTTAGCCAGAATTCTTGCTGGCTTAAGCATTTGTTTATCATATTATCATCCTGAAGTATATAATTGAGATATATCATGATATATATATATATATATAATATAATGATACATACTGTATATATATATATATATTAATGCTCTATATATATATATATAGATAGAGAATATCATTCTGGGTTGTTCAAGGATATGTCCCTTTGAGTGAGCTTGTTTTGAACATTCCAGATTAACTCTACTCCAGGATGACTACAGCTATTGGAATTTACCGGGCCAGGATGGAGGTCTTCTGTCAAAAATGAGACGGGCAAAGCGTTGAAGTTTGCCTACACCTAAGCCCCAGGCAGGTGTTTTAACTGGTATCGGAAAAAAGGCCAAGAGATTTCAACCTGGCGATATGGGTTGTCTGAAAAATCAGGTAGTTACGCCAAAATGTGATGGTTTTTTCTATCATTTTCCTTATGAAGATCGCCGTTTGGAGGCACCCCCGATTGTTTGGGAGTGGCCCTTGATCAATACATGGAGCCAATGTGAAGGTCCTCAAAGATCCATTGAAAATGCATGGACTAAAACTAGTTGATGGATGGTTATGGTGATTTATGGTTTTTGAAGCATCTGTTTTGGTGTTTATTACGTCACCCCTGGGGATGATGATTGGCCCCTCGTTGGGGGAGAACTTGGAAATCTGCCCAAGTGAATGATGAGTTGGATGCCCAGGATCTGGCCAAATTAGAACGACAGGTCGATCTCCGTCACTGGAATCATGGTGATTTTTATGGTGTAGCTCTCCCAGAATGGCCGAAGTCATCCAAGGAGCTCAGTCATCTAAGGAGCCCAGCTTAGCTAAAGATCATAGGAAACAGGGTATTCCGGGTATTCATAATTATTCATATGGATCTAACTCAGGCCAGGTGTAAATTCATCAGACTGTTCTATTCCTATCCGACCTGCCACCAGTGCTTGGGATTCCTGCCGCTGAGGCATTGATGTGGAGAACTTCTTCAAGTGGAACCAGCTGACGATTCATCAAAAGGATGCGAAGTTCCCGCTGGTGTCATGATGTTTCAAGAAAGATTAGCTTTAGATCTTATGATATCTATGAATTCTATTTAACGGCCTTCGGCATGTTCCGCCGGCCACCATGGAAGAACATGGTTTTTGTGTAAAACAGTTTTTGTGTAAAACAGCTCTTTGTGTCAAAGGTGGTTTGGACGCAAAAACATTGGTTTTGTTCAAACCACGGTTTAAGTTTAAACCAAAGCATGTGTGTAAACCAGGGTTTTGGAAAAGGCCATATTAAGAACGGCTTTGGAAAAGGCTATATTTAGAAAGGTTACGCGTGTAATTAATAGGTGTTCGGCACAAAAGCCAGTGGATCAAGTATGGATATAAGAAGCAACGGAGCAAACTGATGGCAAACACAACAAAACAAACGGAAACCACCATCAAAATGGCAGCAAGATGCGCAAAGCCAAGCCGGTGTTGAGCGAGGCGTGGGCAGAGTTGAGCCCACCACAACGTAAGGAAAGATCAAGAGGGCGGGGGAAGGGGGGGGTGAGGGTGGGTTCAAGTTAATAAGTTAGACGAGGCAAAAATCCGCGCCAAGGGGAAAGTCTAGACAAGACAAAGACAAAACAGACAGTACAACTACGAACAAGCAAGATCCACGAGACACTCCGGCAGGCCGGCGGATTGATATCTTATGTGTTACAGTCTATGATTTAGAGTATGTTCACTGTATGTTGTCATGTTACATAGTTTTGCATGCGCTCGTAGGTATGGGTCAAACGAATCAAAAAGAGCTACATAAAACATCTGTAGGTTATAGTCCATGCAAAGAGAAACTAACGTTTATAATCCATGATATATTATGTGTTAGTTATATGTCGAAATTAAGATCATATTTTTATCGATAATCTTCCGTTATCAATTCATGACTATTCTATGCATATGATCCATGAATATTTTCTTACAATCCCATATTCTAGGTTCTAATCATTGAATATATATATATATACCATTTTATGCCCATGAATACTGCGGATGGTTGCGAAATCCTGCACCAGTTGGCAACTATTGGTAACATAATTCAACACTGTAAAATCATGGGATTCGAAAACAGGATTTTGCCCATCTAGCAACTGGTGCAGGATTTCTCGACCATCCCACAGTATTCATTTGGGGGTTTCCATAGCCATGCAGGATTCCCAAGAGCTGGTTGGTTTATTTCATGAAAGATCCTTTTATAAAAAGTCGATGATATGCAAGGGTACTCCCACATCTTCAGGAAACCTCCAAATAGATATCTACCATTAATTATCTATCTTTTTGTCAGTAGTATATCCCCCGAAAATATCTCTATGCCCATTCAAGCCCATTGAATCCCATTAGATGCTAATGTGGTTGGGTCAGAACCCGGGAAACCCAGATGGCACCCTGAGTCATAGCTGGATGCTGAAAAAAAAAATCCAGGACGGCAACTGGGCCGAGTATGTGCACCTCCAGGTGCGAATTCCACGGAAATTCCATGGGAAAATTCATGGAACAAATGGAAACAGGATGGAAAATCCGCGGACAGGTTGGCTGTTTTTGTAATTTTTTACACGTTTAGTATTGGGCTATGATCATGGTCATGGAAACCCCTTTGCTGCGATGCACTTCGAAGAGCTTTCCTTCTGATGTTGGTAGCTTCAGTATTCTTGGTCATGCAGAGTAGCGTTGGGGCTGCAACCTGCCACCATATGGTCAGAAGACGTACAAGGGTTTTGATTTTGCAGAAGTATCGTGAAAGTCTCTTACCAGCATTGGCAGCTCAGCACAACCCCCACTGCAAATGCGCAGTTCCTTGTGCCTTGTTCCTTGTTTGCAGCAACTGCTGGAGTTTGGTTGGTTGAGTTAGGTTGGAAAATGAGGTGCCTTACCCAGAGGATGTCCAAGCATAGTATGTGGACGTTCTACACACCGTTGGCCGGGTGTGGGGCGCATGGTGGGGTCCTTTTGGTCTAAAAGGAGCTTGGAGTTTGAGGCCAACCTGCTGGTATGCTCAGTGGATGACAAGGAGACGATGCGCTAAGGTGCTCCTTGGGCCCCAGGTGCCAGAAGGTTGCTCACGACGGGCACTGTGTTTTTGCTGAATTCTAAGAGTTCTGCATTCTCACCTCGCCCTTGCCATTGCATGATGAAATGCATCAGGGGGAGGCCTTGCGTGTCCCAATCTGATTGTGCGTTGCTGTAGTTGCTGAATTGGTTGGATGTCTTGCTCATGTTCTTGTATGATCTTGTGTGATGTTACCACGATTCCTGCAGAGTGGAGCAGATTGGAAGCTGTACGTATAGTCCGGAGCATCGCGAGGAACATGGCAGCTCAACATGGTTTCAACATGTTTCAACTTGCCTTGACTAAAACAGCTGCTGTGATTTTCTTTGAGCCGCTTTGCAGGGTACTTGGGGGAAAATGTTGGAAATTGAGGTGCCTTACCCAGAGGATGTCCAAGCATAGTATGTGGACGTTCTACACACCGTTGGCCGGGTGTGGGGCACGTGGTGGGGTCCTTTTGGTCTAAAAGGAGCTTGGAGTTTGAGGCCAACCTGCTGGTATGCTCAGTGGATGACAAGGAGACGATGCGCTAAGGTGCTCCTTGGGCCCCAGGTGCCAGAAGGTTGCTCACGACGGGCACTGTGTTTTTGCTGAATTCTTGGAGAAGAGTTCTGCATTCTCACCTCGCCCTTGCCATTGCATGATGAAATGCATCAGGGGGAGGCCTTGCGTGTCCCAATCTGATTGTGCGTTGCTGTAGTTACTGAATTGGTTGGATGTGTTGCTCATGTTCTTGTATGATCTTGTATGATGTTACCACGATTCCTGAAAAGCGGAGCAGATTTGCAAGCTGTACGTATAGTCCGGAGCATCGCGAGGAACATGGCAGCTCAACATGGTTTCAACATGTTTCAACTTGCCTTGACTAAAACAGCTGCTGTGATTTTCTTTGATCCGCTTTGCAGGGTACTTGGGGGAAAATGTTGGAAATTGAGGTGCCTTACCCAGAGGATGTCCAAGCATAGTATGTGGACGTTCTACACACCGTTGGCCGGGTGTGGGGCGCGTGGTGGGGTCCTTTTGGTCTAAAAGGAGCTTGGAGTTTGAGGCCAACCTGCTGGTATGCTCAGTGGATGACAAGGAGACGATGCGCTAAGGTGCTCCTTGGGCCCCAGGTGCCAGAAGGTTGCTCACGACGGGCACTGTGTTTTTGCTGAATTCTAAGAGTTCTGCATTCTCACCTCGCCCTTGCCATTGCATGATGAAATGCATCAGGGGGAGGCCTTGCGTGTCCCAATCTGATTGTGCGTTGCTGTAGTTACTGAATTGGTTGGATGTGTTGCTCATGTTCTTGTATGATCTTGTATGATGTTACCACGATTCCTGAAAAGCGGAGCAGATTTGCAAGCTGTACGTATAGTCCGGAGCATCGCGAGGAACATGGCAGCTCAACATGGTTTCAACATGTTTCAACTTGCCTTGACTAAAACAGCTGCTGTGATTTTCTTTGATCCGCTTTGCAGGGTACTTGGGGGAAAATGTTGGAAATTGAGGTGCCTTACCCAGAGGATGTCCAAGCATAGTATGTGGACGTTCTACACACCGTTGGCCGGGTGTGGGGCACGTGGTGGGGTCCTTTTGGTCTAAAAGGAGCTTGGAGTTTGAGGCCAACCTGCTGGTATGCTCAGTGGATGACAAGGAGACGATGCGCTAAGGTGCTCCTTGGGCCCCAGGTGCCAGAAGGTTGCTCGCGACGGGCACTGTGTTTTTGCTGAATTCTAAGAGTTCTGCATTCTCACCTCGCCCTTGCCATTGCATGATGAAATGCATCAGGGGGAGGCCTTGCGTGTCCCAATCTGATTGTGCGTTGCTGTAGTTGCTGAATTGGTTGGATGTGTTGCTCATGTTCTTGTATGATCTTGTATGATGTTACCACGATTCCTGAAAAGCGGAGCAGATTTGCAAGCTGTACGTATAGTCCGGAGCATCGCGAGGAACATGGCAGCTCAACATGGTTTCAACATGTTTCAACTTGCCTTGACTATAACAGCTGCTGTGATTTTCTTTGAGCCGCTTTGCAGGGTACTTGGGGGAAAATGTTGGAAATTGAGGTGCCTTACCCAGAGGATGTCCAAGCATAGTACGTGGACATTCTACACACCGTTGGCCGGGTGTGGGGCGCATGGTGGGGTCCTTTTGGTCTAAAAGGAGCTTGGAGTTTGAGGCCAACCTGCTGGTATGCTCAGTGGATGACAAGGAGACGATGCGCTAAGGTGCTCCTTGGGCCCCAGGTGCCAGAAGGTTGCTCACGACGGGCACTGTGTTTTTGCTGAATTCTAAGAGTTCTGCATTCTCACCTCGCCCTTGCCATTGCATGATGAAATGCATCAGGGGGAGGCCTTGCTGTGAAGCGCTGGTGTTGGCGTTGCTGTTGCTGTTGCTGTTGCTGCTGCTGCTGTTGTTGTTGTTGTTGCTGCTGCTGTTGCTGTTGCTGCTGCTGCTGGTGGCGGTGTTGTTGTTGTTGGTGGTGGTGGGGGGTGGTGGGTGGTGGGTGAAGGAAGCATTGCCTGTGATGGCATTGGTTCTTGCTGGTTCCTGTCGCAAAGATCTACCTTTTCAAGTCTTCTGAGGCAGCTCTGGTGGAGGTTGGAAGCCAGGTCCTCCGTGGTCAGTGCATTGCACGCAGTGGCGACGTCGGCTTTTGTCCAAGCCCACATTTGCACGTCGTGGGGGCCCCAAGAGCCGGAGGTTTTGAACACTGACCTGTGATGAACAATGGGAAAATACTTTATTTTGGAGGTTAGGATTCTAGGATGGGGCTAATGTAACCTCCCAAATGGTTTATGATTGGGTGGTTGGTGTACATATGGTTTAGTATTCACTTTACCAACACACTGGTGCCAGAACAAGAAAGATCGCACTGTAAGCATGTGATTCAGATGGACTTCCATTGGCCCTTTCCTCTCAAATCTCTCAATGTCCCCAGGTCCAGTGCATCCGTCATGGGGGACCCCATCGATCATCACACCTGTTGGTTCTTGCTGCTCAAGTGCCTGTTGGGAAATCATAGGGGAACATCGTGAGGAAAAGACTTGAAAATCAAGGGCATCTTGAAAACTGTCACCGCCTCACCTTAATTTTACCTTTTACAGGACACTAGCTAGATCTAGCTAGTATGGTGGTTCCTTTGGAAGTTCCTGCTTTAACCAGCTCCAGGACATTTATGAATTAAGGGTCCAATGTATAGCTCCAACAGTCAGATCTGTGGTGAACCCGTGAAGCTAGGACCGTTTGAGTCAGGACTTCCCTGATTCGCCAATACGGGGTGCTGAGCGTTGGGAAGCGATCTGTGCCAAAGAAATGCCCCAGACAGGCTGCGAAATCAATTTGACAATGGAATTTATGATTTGTATCAAGTTTTCGAAACCAAAGAGGGGAATGTCGCTCAGTCCAACCGCTCCAAGTTTAAAAACCCAGCTCTAGGAACGATCTCAACTTGACTTGGTCCAACATTCAGGATTTCCGCTGGTGTAATATTGGAAGGAAGGGATCAGCGTGAAACTGGCAGACTGGGGATGGCTCCAATCGCACCCATTTCTGGTGATTTATGGTGTTTCAATCCCATGCTGATTACCATTCGATGGACAAAAAACCCACTAGAAACCCATTGATGGGTTGGTCTTGCTCGTGAAAATGTTCTTGTGAAAAGATCTACAAGTTGCATGAAATTATCGAAAACTTGATCGGTTTATCAGTTTATATCACTAAATCACTAAAGTTGGTACCACAATAATCAACAAAACCATATAAAAACCACATTTATAGACATGTTATCTAACATAGCTCAACAGCATTTTGGTTCAATGGTTAATGTACCATGAGACAGTCATCGTCCTATCAACCATGTGGCTACCCATTATCCGAGGAAGTACACCGCTCCAGCGCTGCGGATGCCGACAGCGTTCCCTTTGCCTTTCAGACAGAGGTTTGGGGTGGCCACTGATGTTCTCAGCTCACGGCTTGTCCCCTGAAATCATGGCACTTGAAGCATGAAAGTCCATAAAAATTGCCTTGTTGATTGCTTAAGACCTAGGTAACAAGGGACTCAAAAACTATTGATTAAGCCATTGGATGGACTAGGGTACGTTTTTTACGGTTCAAATTGAGTGGGTACAACATCGGATTGTTACATATCAAACATGCCACGTCATTGGCCGGCTCAAGCATGAAATTGCTGGGAGCATTCTTTCAGACAGACCCAGATGAGCTTCTCATTGATTTTCTAAAGCGTGGACGGCGTAGAGGACCAAAAACATGGATCTTGTTAGTTTCAAAGACATGTTCAGGATGTTTTGGCTGATATTGATCAACCCATTTGGCTCAGATGTTGGTGCGCTAAAACAGCTAGTGATCCCAGAAAAACTTGGCCGCATTGAAGGAATCAGCAAGATACTGGCAAGAACTGGGTGTGTCTAAAGATAGGGTATAACGGTATACCCCTAAATTGACAAACAATCAATAGAATTAGGGAATACTAAGGATAGTCCATTTTCAGATAAGCTCAAATGGATAGACAAACTCAGAGTTGCCAACATGGCGACGGGGGGGAGAAGATCCCAACTTCTGTCCGAATGGACATGAAAGATAGCAAAGATGGTCATCAACAAGGACAGATTGACACCCACTTTGGATGTTTCCAAATTTTGAAGGTGCAAATGACCATGTTGTACGGGTTATATACCCCACTAAACGAATGATCACTTGGTGGTTCATATTGGTCTCAATATCCCAGATCTTGGTAAAACATGTTGGATCATGTTGGAACCATTGAATTTGACCAATGTCTAAACTTTCAAAACGTCCCAAGCGTATATCGATGGTTGCTGGGGTTGCACTTAGGTGGATGGTTTGAGTAGAAAACCAACCATGTGAATTTTGGTCAACTGATGATGCTCATTGTCTCAAAGCTGTTTTTCATATTTTTTGCACATTGTAACAGTAATAATTACATATATCATATATTGATTGGTGCGTCCGAGGGGCAAAAGGGAACTAAAGGGGCAGTAATGCATGGTTTCGTCTTGCTAGAAAAACTTATGGTTTTTGGTATATCATTATGGTTTTAGTTCGGACACTCAAAGCAGGAGTGGGTCAGGGCTCTTCCACCCTGGAGTTCGCATTTTCAGATATGAATCGAACACTCATGAATTTGCGGATAAAATCTGACTCACTTTTTTTTGGGGGGTCCATTCCCATAGCTGGTTCCATTATGGTTGGGCCCAGCAAGGCCCCATTGGGTTTCTCATGTTTCCTGTGCTCCAGGCGTATCAGTTTGAGTGCGAGGAGGGGAAATGGTACACTGCGCAAGGTGAGGTGGAAAAATGTGCTGCGCAAGGGCATGGTTTCATGTCAAGTGCTTTGGGTTTGATGTTAAGTGGTTCACTTCTCCACCTGGTGGTTCAGTCCTGCATTTGTCATGGGTTTGGAACCAGCCTGTTCCATGGGGATTCCAACCTTACCCAAATTTCTGCCTTGGACATGGGCAGGTTACCATTGCCATCTCATAAAGAGACTGTTTAACATCTTTTCAACATGTTTTCAGCATCTTTGGTCTATCCTGGCCCAGGTGTAGTCGATTTCGGTTCTCATATGTCTTGGTTTTGCGGCTCGAGCCCGGCCGTAGGGGTTCAAGCCAGTTGAAGCTGAAGCCGTTGGCTATCAACCCATGGCCTCCAATCAAAAATAAAGAGCTGAAAAAAAGCGGGGGCCCAGGATACCCTATTTTCGAACACACCCAAATACCATGATGCTTGTTTTTATATCCCAAGTAGATCCAAGTACCATGTTATACCATGTTATATCCCCATTAAATACCAGTTGATATCCTATCAAATCAGCATAAAAAAATGATCGTAGCTGGCCTTTTTCTGGTGGAGTCGGAGTCCATCCGGCCGAGCGCAGCGTCGCGCAAAGCGCGCGAAGTTTTGCTGCTGCGATGGCTGGAGCGTCCTGGGAACTTCGCGATAGCTTCTGGTTTCAACAATATTAAATTAACCATCAACAAATGTGGATTCAATGGTGGTTTAATGGGATTAATCCCTTCTCCCTAGTATACTAAACGCCCCCCTCTATTAATAAACACTTCAGGTAGTTTTTAGAATTAGGGGGAATTTATTATTAGGGAACCCTATTAATAAAATTAAACTCTTAAAAATAAGAACTATTTTTTCCGATCTCAAAATCAATTAAATTTCTTATATAACGCGATTAAAATATTGCCAAAAAATTGGAATTCGAAGCGGACCCTATTAATAAAACCAAAACCTTAATTATAAAAACGAGTTTGTTCGATTTCAAAATCAATTAAATTTCCTTATATAACGCGATTAAAATATTGCCAATAATTGGATTTCGAAGCGGACCCTATGAAGAAAAGTAAAAGTTTAATAATAATAACGAGTTTGTTCGATTTCCAAATCAATTAAATTTCCTTTTATAACGCGATTAAAATATTGCCAAAAATTGGATTTCGAAGCGGGCCCTATTAATTAAAACTAATTCCTTAATAATAAAAAATAATTTGTTCGATTTCAAAATCAATTAAATTTCGGACGGGCCCTAATAATAAACACCCTGAGGTGAACTAGTTTTTTTTTAGGGGGCAAAACCCACACATGGTAGCTTTATTTTTAAATTGTTGTCTAAAGGGGATCAATTAAAAGTCAAATTGGCCAATCTTCATTTTTTCAAAATTGGAGATGGACCCTAGTTTTGAATATTTGGGGGACGTTTAGTAATAGGGGGAAGGGATTAATGAGCTTTAATGAGATGTACCCCCTGCTTTTTGTTAATGCTTTGCGAAGTGGAACATCACCTTTTTTCATTCCCCAAACAGTGTGTCCAAACTGAGGGGTTCTTACGGTAAGAGTAAAAGGCTGGTGCTTGATCAGGGTGCTCCAGCTGGTCTGCGGCATTTTTCCTGTATATTCTCGCACAAAATGGCTCTTGTGAAATGTCCAAGTGCATTTCGACTGCGCAGGCGTCGCGCTTCTGGGCCCCTGCATTTGTCCTGTAAATTCTCGTGCAAAATGGTTCTTGTGACATGTTTAAAGTGCAGTTCGACCGCGCAGGCTCGCACAAAGTCTGCGTCGCGCTTCTGGGCCCCGGCATTTTTCCTGTAAATTCTCGCACAAAATGGCCGTGTGAAATGTCCAAAGTGCATTTCGACTGCGCAGGCTCGCACAAAGTCTGCGTCGTGCTTCTGGGCCCCGGCATTTTTCCTGTAAATTCTCGCACAAAATGGCTCTTGTGAAATGTCCAAAGTGCATTTCGACTGCGCAAGTGTGGGTCGCGCTTCTGGGCCCCGGCATTTTCCTGTAAATTCTCGCCCGAAGTGGCTCTTCTGCAACGTCCATGTGCATTTCAACTGCGAAGGCTCGCACAAAAGTCTGGGTCCCGTTCTTGGGATCGGTCCTCCTCCTCAACATCAGCCTCCTCAACATCATCATTTTCAACATCATCATCTTTCTCCCCCTGGACCTCATCATCCTCAACATCATGAACCTCCACCATCTTCCACAACATCATCATCCTCCGCCTCATCTTCCGCAACATTATCATCCTTTCTCCTCATCATCTTCCTCCTTCTCACCATCATCATCCTCCACCTTATCATCCTCCACTTCATCTTCCGCATTATCATCCTCATTCTCATCCTCCTCAACATCATCATCCTCCACCTCATCATCCTCAACATCATCATCCTGCACCTCATCATCCTCAACATCACCATCCTCAACATCATCGTCCGCAACATAATCATCTTCATCACCATCATCATCATTAACATCAACATTGACATGCATTATCCTCCCACACCCTAACACTGTTTGGGGTCTCTGGCCAAGATTATAGGTAAATCATCATGTCTATAATCTTAAAAAATGGGCCATGGCTTCCAGAGCTATGTCAAATAACCAGAGGGTAAAACTTGATCAAACTATATTTTTGGTTGGTGGATTGAAATATGTATGTTCCAAGCTGGCACGATGGTGTCAAATGACGAGCATGCTTATAATGGATCGCTCAGCCACCATCCGAGCCCGAGTTTCTTACGATTTTTATGTAAAATCGAGCTCTCGCTACAGTCTCGTGCACCTTTCATCTTCCAAAAGTGCTGCGAGACCGACAATTCTTTACGATTTTTATGTGAGATCGAGCTCTGGCTACAGTCTCGTGCACCTTTCATCTTCCAAAAGTGCTGCGAGCCCGATAGTTTTTTACGATTTTTATGTGAGCTCGAGCTCTGGCTAAGAAGTCTCGTGCACCTTTTGCCAACCTCATCTTCCAAAAGTGCTCCGAGCCCAATAGCTTTTTACGGTTTTTATGTGAGATCGAGCTGTGGCTACACAGTCTAGAGTGCACATTTTGTCGACCTCATCTTCCAAAAGTGCTCCGCGCCCTTCAGTTGTTTTAACAACTTTATGTGATCAACTACTTGATGATGATGTGGTTGACATTTGAAATTGAGCTCTCGCTACAGTCCCCTGCACCTTTTGCCGACCTCATCTTCCAAAAAGTGTCTCGAGCCGGACAGGTTTTTCACGATTTTTATTTGGAATCGAGCTCTCGCTACAGTCTCGTGCACATTTTGCCGACCTCATCTTCCAAAAGTGCTCCGCGCCCTTCAGTTTTTGTAAACAACTTTATGTGATCCACTACTTGATGATGATGTGGTTGACATATGAAATCGAGCTCTCTACAGTCCCCTGCACCTTTTGCCGAAATCATCTTCCAAAAGTGTTCCGAGCCGGACAGGTTTTTCACGGTTTTTATGTGAAATCGAGCTCTCGCTACAGTCTCGTGCACATTTTGCCGACCTCATCTTCCAAAAGTGCTCCGAGCCCGATAGTTTTTTTCCATTTTTATGTCAGATCGAGCTCTGGCTACAGTCTAGAGTGCACATTTTGTCGACCTCATCTTCCAAAAGTGCTCCGCCCCCTTTAGTTTTTTTACGATGTTATTCCCCAAACAGGCTTACCTGTTTCAAAGGGTTGCATCCCTGGGCCGCATGATTTTGCCTGTGTCTCCGGGCTTGCACCCCACTCTGGGTGCCTTGGGCCGCATGAGTTTACACTTGTCTCCCCCTTGTCTCCCACTCTGGGTGCCTTGGGCCGCATGAGTTTACACTTGTCTCCCCCTTGTCTCCCACTCTGGTGCCTTGGGCCGCATGAGTGTCTCCCACTCTGGGTGCCTTGGGCCGCATGAGTTTACACTCACCTCCCCCTTGTCTCTCTGGGTGCCTTGGGCCGCATGAGCTTACACTTGTCTCCCCCTTGTTTCCCACTCTGGGTGCCTTGTACACTTGTCTCCCCCTTATCTCCCACTCTGGGTGCCTTGGGCCGCATGAGTTTACACTTGTCTCCCCCTTGTCTCCCACTCTGGGTGCCTTGGGCCGCATGAGTTTACACTTGTCTCCCTCTTGTCTCCCACTCTGGGTGCCTTGGGCCGCATGAGTTTACACTTGTCTCCCACATTTGTCTCCCACACTTGTCTCCCACACTTGTCTCCCACTCTGGGTCCCCCTTGTCTCTCACTCTGGGTGCCTTGGGCCGCATGAGTTTACACTTGTCTCCCACTTGTCTCCCACTCTGGGTTCCTTGGGCCGCATGAGTTTACACTTGTCTCCCCCTTGTCTCCCACACTTGTCTCTCACTCTGGATGCCTTGGGTCCCATGAGTTTACACTTGTCTCCCACATTTGTCTCCCACACTTGTCTCCCACTCTGGGTTCCTTGGGCCGCATGAGTTTACACTTGTCTCCCCCTTGTCTCCCCCTTGTCTCCCACTCTGGGTGCCTTGGGCCGCATGACTTTACACTTGTCTCCCACTTGTCTCCCACACTTTTACTCTGGGTGCCTTGGGCCGCATGAGTTTACACTTGTCTCCCCCTTGTCTCCCACTCTGGGTGCCTTGGGCCGCATGAGTTTACACTTGTCTCCCCCTTGTCTCCCACTCTGGGTGCCTTGGGCCGCATGAGTTTACACTTGTCTCCCTTGTCTTGTCTCTGGGTGCCTTGGGCCGCATGAGTTTACACTTGTCTCCCACATTTGTCTCCCACTCTGGGTGCCTTGTACACTTGTGTCCCCCTTGTCTCCCACTCTGGGTGCCTTGGGCCGCATGAGTTTACACTTGTCTCCCCCTTGTCTCCCACTCTGGGTGCCTTGGGCCGCATGAGTTTACACTTGTCCCCCCCTTGTTTCCCACTCTGGGTGCCTTGTGCACTTGTCTCCCCCTTGTCTCCCACTCTGGGTGCCTTGGGCCGCATGAGTTTACACTTGTCTCCCCCTTGTCTCCCACTCTGGGTGCCTTGGGCCGCATGGGTTTACACTTGTCTCCCCCTTGTCTCCCACTCTGGGTGCCTTGGGCCGCATGAGTTTACACCTGTCTCTCACATTTGTCTCCCACACTTGTCTCCCACACTTGTCTCCCACTCTGGGTTCCTTGGGCCGCATGAGTTTACACTTGTCTCCCACTCTGGGTGCCTTGGGCCGCATGAGTTTAAACTT